GGCCTCTCGACATTGTTTTGATTAATTGCTGCCGCTCCGGGATCTTAAGTACAAGTAGCGGGCAGAGCATGCTGCCCGTTTAGTGGATGCGGGCACAACGGACTTCGCGTAAAGTTGCTCCGGTCCTTCTACAGAACACGATATCCGGACAGAGGTCTCAAATCCCCTGCCTGTCGATCATCGGAAACTGTAGTAATTCATGCTCCGGCCTATACTCGCAGCCATATGAAATTTGAGTATGACTTCAGCGGTATTTTGGTGAATTCAGGTTTCACCGGTTCGCTGCTCTTCGATGCTTGAGCCCCCGCTCAACCGATCAGCGGTGAGGAATGTCGTTCCATTGTATCCTATAGCAGACGTATTAACATATGTACTTAAGTAAACGTTCAAGCTGCGTACGACGGAAAGCGTCTCCTGAATGCAATGACACCTTGACGCTGTCACTATCATTCCCGGTCAGGCGTGACGCCCCACCCTGCGTAGCTCCCATGGTAATATAGTTTGTCAAAGGGCACGATGCGCGTTGTATGATACAAGCTGGAGCGAATCCAGTCGTTCGGGTATGTCATCAACGTGGTCTTGACGATTTCTCGTCGACCTGACATCTATGGGTTTCGTACATGCTATGCTATGAGGGTTTGCACCGGTTCCACGCTTGACTGTCCGTGCTGCGGCTGGAAATGACGCACACCACGAATAAGCATAACGGCAAACGTGACGCAACTGTTAGCGGTCGTAAGCGGGCAATGTTCAAACGCGTGCAATGCTCATGAGTGAGTTCCGACAATCGATAGCTCTAGCGCCCATTTTAGGACCCTCGCGGGAGGCACGATCACACTCCGGGCCTTTGGCGTCTCTAATATTTCTTCCACGTAGGAGCCTAGTATTTTCCCTCGATCGCTGGTGCTTGTCGTCACGGAATGGTGTGGTCCTCTCATGGTGATGGTGAGCCTAGGTGTGCTGAGTTTCTGTCTGTGCACTGTTATCTACTACTGATGATCAGATCTATAGTAACTCCTGATCGTATCCGTCGTTATGGGCGTCTGTGTATACAGCGCTCTGACAAAATAGCAACGCCAAGCTCGCACACTAGCAGTTGTTGGCATCAAACAGGTCCATCTGCCAAACCGCGATTCAACTCTGTTATACCTCCAATATCCGTCCTTCCGCTGGTTTGTTTCTTTTCGATGGTTTGGCCTTTTATGAGAGTCAAAATAACTCCAAGCTCGACGTCCCATTAGACCGCTTGGAGATAGTCGGTTTGACACGCTTCAACTGCGATTATGCATAGCCTTGCATAGTATTGCAAGATGTTCCCTTTCTCCTCCCTTCCATGGCTTCGCGATCATAAGAGACAAAACTTGCGCGGGTTTGATGCGCGGTGAAGCCAATTTATCACTTTCCTAGCACTGAAGTTGGCCCGGTCATCCGGTCGTCTTCATCAGAGCCACCATCAGCTCCAAGCTCGATGCAGTGAAGACTCATTATGCTTCATTTTGGACCGCTATATTCACTCATTTTCCGAGGCCTGCGCAAAGCAGTGAGCTGTGAAACACGGATCATCAAACCTGCTCTAGTTGCCAAATGCTATCCTGTGTGCTCAACTTTGCTGTTGCGTGTCGCTTTGACCGTTCACTTTCTCATGCCAATTTCCCCGAGCATTGCACGTGGTTCATGAGCCAATTATGCCCTTCGCATAGCATGAAGTACATGTTTGAACTCGGTGGTATCGTGCAGCCGAGATCTCGGCATCGCATTCAAGGAGAGGAGTTGTGCGGTCCTGATGAAACACAGTAATGTCCGATCAGTCGTGGGCCGTGGCTGTGAGAAATATGATTCGTTCATTCGGTAGGCACACTTGGCTGCCCGGGCCCAACGTTCTGGCAACGGCAAAGTGGTCACTCACACCTCGCTCAGCGCGGCAAAGGAACCTATCATAGCAACATTATTCTCTTTACCCTTTGGTTCGTGGCCTTATGCAAGCAGCAGCAATTTGTCTAATATTTTTCGTAAGAAGCACATGAGAAGTTCAATTGGAAGAAAGTGCAGTGAAAGCCGTCCGACGGGGCCAAAGTGATGAGGCTCCACCTTCCCTCCCACGACCTTCTTGATCTTCTTATCTAACCCCGAGGCGAAATTCCGGGCTGACAGTTATCGTATTATTAGTGTGTTACTAAGAGTAGTAAGCCACATGGGAAAACAAAACGACTATAGGTACAGAAATGATACATTCAGCAAGACAGTAGGGAGAACATTCTGCATGCAATACTGCGGCTCAGAGGGGGACAACTTGGTCGCCCACGGAATCGCACCAAGCGACCAGGCTGTATTACACAAAAGTACTTTAGCAAGTGACTCCAAATGGAAAAAGACGCGGACAACTCACTCAATCTGGCCATAAGCTTGCGGAGATACTTGTGTGAGTTGAGGATTGATCGAGGTAGGGTGAATCTGATATTGCAGACCGTTAAGGAGAGCCTACGCATCACAAACGCCGTGAGTTTGCCTGATTGTTTCTCACGACGGGATCGGGTAGGTGGGTAGCGACGAACGAGGTCTGCCAGTATACCGAAGGCACCAGACGTTCTCAAAGACGGGACGAAGACGGATTGTCCGTCTGGTCCTCGGCGCTGGTGACGATGATACGAGCGGCTTGAATGAAAGGGAGACAATTGGCGGCGGCATCCTGGGACAGGGCGATCCGGGTGAGTATGAATGGATCTGGAACCTTGCCATCCGGGAACGTTTACTTGATAAGGTAAAGGAGGCGACGTCGGCGTTCTTTGGCTAGCGGATCAACCTTGGTGGGTCTGGGAGGATGGGGGATGTACTTGGAGGTTGTTGTGAATTCAAACCGGACGACTGCTCCTGAGAGTGAAGAGCGACTGGGGCATCGGACGGTTTGAAGGGGAGCAGGCAAGTAGCGGTAGCGGAAAACTTACGCTTGGATAGTGTAGCACGGCGCTCGATCGCTTGAGCTTCCGAGTTGGATGCGCTTGGCTTCCTCCTCCTCACGAATGACTGAGAGAATGTCTTCAACTGGAACCTTGATGTCTAGTTTGGCCAGTGCAGCCTCGAGTGAGTCGACAGAGACGACTTGAAGACCTGGAAGAGGAGCCGACATGCCGAGTACGAGCAGCAAATCGAGATGGCGATCAACCGTTTGGAAAATAAGTGTAGCGCCGCACTGAAGAGGGTCTTGCCTTTGACCGATCGGAGATCGAACAAATGAAAGGGCGGCAGAGGCTGGCGCCGCGGAAAAAGCCGAGCGGAGATCGAACAACCTAAGACGCTCGTCTTTAATGGTCTGGGAACGAGACTGGTTCACTTGTAAGCAATTATTCTATTTACCCTTCGGTTTGTGCGAGCGACAGCAATGCCTGATATTTTTCGTAACAATCATACGAGAAGTTGACTATCGCCTCCAGGTTCTCAGTTGGCTTTCTCAGGCAAGTAAGACCATGCTTCCTTTCATTGGTATAAAAGCTGTATTTGCTCTGTCTCGATTCAATGCACAGGCTAAACAAATTTACTGTTGTCGTTATCACAATGATATGATCGTCGTGATTAACGAAGCTCATAGCATTGACGTGTCCCGGACCCCACGGCAGAGATAACGAATAACATCGGACGCAGCTCGCGGCTCGGGAATTAACCCGCGAAGCAAAAGATGCGCATCGGAAGTCATTAAAACAACATGAATGACACATTATTTGACATAATGGGACTCCAGGATTGGTTGCGGCCTGGCTGAAGGACATTGTCAGTGCGGATGCGCCAGCCCACGAAGTTTCTGGGAGAAAACTTGCCGGAACACTTGTTCATCTAAGACGGCCCCGTGGTGTCTCGCGGTCAGCTAGCGGCTGCATGTAGCCGCCACGCTCCTACCACACAGGGATTGGCCGTGCCTTCATGTCCTATTCCGGACGCTCGCGTAGACGACTGCACGAGGTCATACTTTCCCAGGTCAGTCGTAAATTACAGCTGCGGAGCTCACCAGCTATGCATAGTATTCATCAAGAAAAGAATTGGCCATCATGCAATGGTCGCGAATATTGCGTCTCCATTATGAAAGTAAACTAATAGAACAGATATACCTTAACGGACATGTCGCTGATCTGATTTAACCAGCGACACAGCCGGCTTACTAAGACCGTGCCGCTATCATCTACTTAACACTTAACGAATGACTATCGTTGCGGAATCGCTCAAGTGAGACTTCTGAGACATTGTCTTGATGATCCCTGGCAGAGATGCGTGTGTTTATGCTCCCCGCTTGAATGAACATTAACCATTAACTTCCCTGGATGTTGTGAATCAACAGCGGCTCGCGCAGGGCTGGAACGAGAAAAAAGGCCAAGCAGAAGCGGAAGAATATTAATTCACCAGCAACATTGATTCTCATGCATGCATTTTGATCGCGCCTTGTTGTGATGCGCCTGGTAACGTCGCAGTGTCGTGAGATGGTTGGCTTCCTGCCTGCAGCGTGAACTCCAAATTTCCGGAACTCGACCAACTCGCGCGGTGGCGGAGTCGTGCTTCCGTGCTGCTCGAGGGCAGCGGGCAGCATATGCGTTCCGTATATATGTCGGCTTACACTAGTGCTGCTGTCGGCAGGACTGACCAGCATGTCTAGCGGTAAGACAACTGACGGCTACTTGTGTTGTGTACGTTTACTGACGTAGACGATGTTGCAGAGACTGGGACTGTCGACCTTAACAACTGTACCAGCTTAAGCATCCTACAGTAAGACTGCGCACTGATTATTGATTTCAATAGATCTTCAATCTAAGGAGCTACTCTCTCAACTCAGTTGGGAGGAGTCCTTTACAGGCCCTCGCCACGCACCTGAATGGACCTCGGTGTGCAAGCGTCAGTATCTCTGCCTTTCGAATGTACGAGTACTCAACGAACCTGTGCAGTGTCGGGAGCGGTTATCGGCCGTGGAACCGGCAGCTCGAAACATGCCGCCCGAGACATGGCTGCCAAAGCTGCCCTGGAGCATCTCATGCAGGAAAATGCTGATGAGTGAAGTGCAGCCACGACGATGTTGACCTGTCCAGAGTATTGACCCATTTCTAACATGTTTCGGCTATCATCGCTTGTTTTACCTTCATTGCTTCCTATGTTGTCGTTTCTTCGCCTGGCTATGCCCGGAGCATATTATTAGTTTTTTTCGCTGATCGTGGCATTCCTCCCTGGCATCTTCACCGCGTGGAGTCATTATTATCCGTGTTTGACCGGAAGTCCTCTACATTCGTTATCGCTGCAATAACTTGATACTCACGGGTCTTAACGTGGTCGTCCAGATCACGACCATCTAGTTCGTGTCAACGATGGTGTGACGGCGCCGATGCACACCGTCTAAGCATAGTATATTCAGCTATGTGAACGTGACAACTTTTGGCTAGCCCCGGGTCAGTGTCCCCATTCAAATATGCCGCCAGTATCTAAAGCTTCGCGCCAGCCGCGATATGTTAAAACGAACAGACTATTCTTGCGCTATGCGGACATCTAGTGCGGATTCCGGTATTTGCCGCTGAAGCTGAAACGATTGACGCGCATCAAGTTACCAGGACAGGCGATATTTGTTCCGCGCTTACTTGTGACCCGGGTCCTCAATGATACATTTCATCATGTATTCCTTCAGAAAATTTCCTCCTGCACCGACTCGTGTGGATCGGGTTGCAGCTTCAAGCCTTGTTCCGTCTTTCCGCAGGAGTTGTAACTCCTGACGAGTATCGGTGATAGAGCTATAAGATCCACTCAAGGCCGACGGAACCGCACGCATTTTGAAAACTTGAACTTAATGCCCGGTTGCTGTATCGGAGCGCTCGATTTTCAACTGGATGGGAACACGTTCCCGTGAACGTACGTATCACCACTGAGGGTGCTGCGATCTGCTACAGACGGTTATTTACAAATACGGTATGCTATTGCGACGCCCTATTGATGAGCTTCCCTCCGGTGCTCAAACCTGCATAGCTGCAGTATATCCGATACTCCCGTACTTCGCGCCCACAATGATGTATGACATCGCACGTACAAGCAACTCTCATAGCCTTTCGCATATTGAGAGCGGTTCATCTTGCTCCGGTACGCTTTACGGCATTCTATATTCATTCATGGGTTACCGGTTCATGTACGGAGCAAGCTCACCTTTGGCCGAGTACGATCTTAATCGCGACAACTCATCGGAAGTCCGTTTCTAACTATTTTGCATCATCAAGTAGACACCGCAACCCACTCGCGTGACTGCTCACATATCTCCCGTCAAATCACTTACTTATACAGCCTGAATAATGCAGCGCCAGTCAAACAAGAACCAATATACTCCAAGGAATCCCAACTCAGGTGAGTTGCTGGCTTATGCGCTTATGCCTGGAGTTATGCTAAGCATTACTAAGTGTAGTCTTGCCGCTGTCTCAATCACATCTAGTATCCATGCTGTAGCTATCAATCTCGATTTCATCGCAGGCGGTGATGTCATCAATTGTTTTCGTTTTCAATTAAGCATGCACCTACACGTTCCTGTCATAAAGCCGAGACCTCTTTCGATGCATCAGAGCGTTAGCGGCTGTGTGAGCGGATACATGGCCACTGCTCTTCTGGTGGCCCGATTCTTCTTTCCCTTCCGCTCCGGCGGCGCAGTAACTCAGCCATCGGCTCCGAGAGGACAGTGCATGTAATTGACTCTGTCGGACGTAAGTGCTTGCCGTAGAGGTTATACTGGCGGCATCTGCTGATAAGTGTAGCAGTTTTGACGTGATGCGATCGCTGTAGCGGTGAGATCGATGGAGCCGTTACAAAGAGAGCAAATTATGCATTTCACCTTCAGCATGAGTAACTCCAAATAATGATACTGCGGTAACATGAAGATGGCCGCATCGACGGAACATTCTGGCTATTCCTGAGAATTGAGAGCGATGACGCATTGGCCTTGACGCCCCACGGAGAAAACGTAACACATGGGAAGCAGTGGCCCCGCATCCCGTCGCGATTGCGCCGGGTAGCTTGCGAAACGTGCGGGACTTGCCACGGTATGTGGTATGACACCTGTACGAGAGAGCCTGTGAGTGCTCGAGCTGGGCGACGGCATTCGCTGTGAATCCCGTCGTACCAGTTAGCGTCCCGGGTCCACAGCCCTTCGTTGCATGGAGGACTCTAGTCATGTAACCGAACTACAGCGCACGCTCACTATAAATCGCACAGTATGCAGGATGCCTCCTCAACAGCAAGAGTACATCCCAGCAATTCGAATCAAACATCTACTGCACTCCTGAAGAAACATGGCAGGTCTGTCTTCCATGGGATATTCTAGACATGCAAAATTCTGATATCGCACCTTTCAGCTACCTGCGTGATGCGCCTCAACAACCGTACGTGCTTTATTCATTAGCGCAGAGCTCTCGGAAAACATCTTCGCGCAGACTTGCAGAAGACTGGCCAGGCGGCCTTGCTTAGTTGGGAAGCGTCATCGGTCGGCCCCGCGAATGAGCTCCTATGGACCGTCAAATGCAAATGTGAGTGTCCAATTAAAAGACAAAATTAATCTCTTACGGTCTTTGCTGCTAGTGAGGGGAGAAATCAAGGGTGAAGCAAGCAGCAGGTCTAAACATGAGGCAAAGGAAATGGCAGCTCGGAGGGCGCTAGAATCCCTGGGGGCTGCTCTGCCTTAGAGTAGACACATGGCCGTGGTTACAGTATTACCATCTAGATTATCATACATAACACACAATAGACGCAACTTTTCCCTGCGCGACGCAAATCCTCCGTCTTGCGAGACATTCTGTATCAGGTCAAGGACTGGGGCAAGCTACCAGAGACTCGGAATTTGGCTTGCAATTACGTAAACAAATTTGCAATCTGTCGATTAACGTGCTGCTTACCAGCGAGCTTGCGTACAACCATTGGCCGGATCGGACAGGATGTCGCGTAGACAAGTGGCACCTCTCCTCGTAGCTGGCTTGACAGGTAACGCGAGTCCACATCCTGCAATCGGAAGATAGTCTCATGGCGCACATGGCAATTGGAAGGCATCCTTTCAGGCATATACATCTTCAAACCGCTCCTCGAGTCGGAAGCCAAGTCGCTTGACGCTCAAAGCTCGATTGGGTTAGCGATATAGTTCATTTGTGATGGTTGACCACATGTTACCTGCGCATTCCTCCAGAATCAAGAACGATAGAAGCACCGAAAAAAATGCTCCGGATTTGACAGTTTCTGAGCCGCAAACTCACGCAGCGATCACTTCTGCTAAAGGTCGTTCTGCTAGTTGTAAGTCATCGTATTAACGCTCATGCAACAGTATGGCAGTGACCCTATATTTCTCAGCAGATGGGGCCAATCGAGTAGCGGACTAGAGTGAAGTACGGAAAGGCATATCAGAGCCCACGTTGTGTATATACATGCTGCTCCTTCGCTACTGATCGATATCCATTTTCGATCCATTACCTTCGACAGGTTGACTTGGTTTTGGCTCGACCCGGCACTCCCAAATCTGCCAGGATAGGCATCAGCAACACTGTTGATCAGGCAGGTGGTGGACGATCTGACCTGTAGCACCGTCTCGCCCAAGAAGATCATTTCCTTCCTGATCTCCTCGACTATCAGATCTTGTATCTGGAACCACTTCTCATTTTCGCCCCCACCTGCTCCAGCTCGAAGGTGTACTTTCCAAATCGTACTCTCCTTGTCACGAGTGGTGCCCGCGGCCGACTCGTGAGTGACGTTTGCGATCAAATCGTAAACTGTCGGAGGGTGCCCAGGAGGAGCATCGAGATCTACGCGGTGCTTCAGCACCAAGCATTCACGACCTCGATTGTACGTCTCACTTACATTCCCGGAAGTCAAGACCCCTAAGCGGAAAGTTCACGATAGTGGGGTTCTTTTCCTCAACGAAAATGTTCTTCGTGAAGCGTCTGAAATGGAGGATTATATACGGTGGCAGCTGTTGGCATTTGAAACGTCGCAGTTGACCTGCTGACTCCTGCGTCGTGTGACCATCGTATTTTGCGAGTACGGAATGAATGCCAATTTGCGGAATGATATTCTTCTCGATAGCATCCTGGAACAGGGGCGGAGGAGGCAGATCGACAGCGAGGAAGAGAAATGGCGAAACGGTAGATTTGATCTCTATAACGTGAGCGACATTCAGAACCACCCTCAATAAACGCGAGTAATGAACGTACCCCGGTCAATATCAAACTGTGGTTTCTCACCCCCGCCTACGTCTGGTCGTACGACGACCTGCTGTGTCTCCATATGAACTTGTCCTTGGAATGTTGAGAAGATGACACCTTGTCATGCGTTAGGTCCCGAATAGCATGTCAGATACCTCAACACGTACTGGACTGCCTTTTCTTTGTCCCTCCCATGTCTTTGTGGAGACGATTGAGCAGCCAGCCCAAGAACTCCACTGGGTCTCCCTGCGTCTCCAAACTGAACTTACCCACACTGGCTCTGTTGACTTCCTGCAGGAACTCGTGCGGGCTGACTTGGCTCTTGAACAGTCTTGGATTCCATACTTTCTTCGCCAGGCTGGCAAATCGTTTGAGCAGTTCCGGTTCTTTTCCACGAAATCTGGATAGTAATAGATAGTCTCGAAGGGGGGAAACGTGGAGCAGTGAATGAATGACCACATTCATGTAATCATTACGCTTGATATCGTTCAAGCCTATGTAACCGGGGATATATGGCTTTGATGACAGGTCGTAAGACGGCTTTTGTATGTGCGACGGCGAGGAGAGAGTCTTGACAGAAGCTGGCGTGAAAGATGGTGCAAGCACAAACGCAATGTCTTCTAATGATGGATCTGAGACCAAGTATCCGTCGGGCAGCACGTATACCTGAGCAACGCCATATGGGTATTAGACAATCTGCCACCCAATGTGTGATCACATACCTTTGTTGTTTCTAGGTTGATAAAAACATGGTGATCGTCATGGATGGCATGCGCAAACGCATATGAATTCCGCCCTCGACCTTGGAAGTACTTCCCACATACTAGGCACCCGTAAATATTGATGTTTGACAAGGATACGGAGCACACTTTCTCGAAGTCAAAGTCAAGGACAGCCCGGTTGATCTAAGTTGGGTGAGAAACGACTCCCGACGCAGTGGCCACAACACACCGTATCCAGGTACATATCTGAAGCTCTGGGGGCCTCAGGCTGGCCAGGCCTGTGTGTTCTGTCCTCGGTCTCGTCCTCCTCATTGTCCTCGGTATCCAGCATGTGCTCATCCACCGTGCTGATGGGTCTTGCTGGAGATTGTTTTGTCGGAACAACCGATGTCTCGGAATGTTCTTCGTCCACTCGCGGTCGTTTGGTCGGTCTATTTGGCTCATCATCTTCAGATACAGACCGGACATTCTGAGAACTCATCCCCGGACCAGTCGTCTCAGCGTACAAGACGCGCTATATGTCAAGCAGTAAGCAGTTGGATGTTAAGGTGTTACGACGTTTTCCCGATTCGAATCTCCCAATCTGTCACGTGGTGTGCATGCCGTGCGCCACCAAAATCCCTCGATCATTAGACGCCCACGCGTCCTGCATACGCAGAGCGCACTGCGCGGGTACTTTTTCCTTCTTTGCCCACCATGTTGCGCTCGAGATGCTGTTCATCGCTTAAGGGAGCTCTGCGTCGACCCTCTGATGCTTTCTGCTTCTCATGGTCCTCTGTCGCTTCCTCTCACCAACCCAATGCCCCGCTGGATCTCGACCCCTCTTTCCAAGCACTACTGAAGGATACCGATATGTCTCTATTGCGACGAAAGTCTCGCCACGCCGCTTCGGAGAATCCACATGCGAAGGCTTTCCGAGAACTTGAGATGTACACTAGCGATTCCACTGGGCTTGAAAACGCTATGTTAGTAGAGAAAGTCGTGGAGTATGAGGAGACTCCCGATCAACAGGAAGCAAGGAAGTCGCCCGCTGCCGCTTACGGTAGTCAACACATCGGTGCAGTGGTCCTGCCGACAGAGCTTCAACAGACAATCAGTCGTTTGATCTCGGGTATGCCTAGTGCCTCTCCACCTCTCCAATGTCACCTGATCTCCGTTTGCTCGTGTATAGAGTCAGACAAGCATGCTTTGCACGCGGATGCCTCAAGGATTTTTGCGCACGACACCGAAGAGGACGCTGAATGGACTGCTGCATATGACGTCGAGTACAGGTCGCGAAAACAGGCAGCCCGCCATGCTGAACGAGACGCCGTTGCATTTGCTTCCATCGCGTTACCCTCCCATTATTCTGCCATCTGCTCAGTTCTCGATCATGCGAAGCAACGTCTAGGTCCACAATGGAGAGTGGAGCGTGTGATCGATTGGGGATCTGGTGCAGGCGCAGGACTATGGTATGTTGCCTGGATTTGAGTACATGATCGCTTGCAGTGAGACACACCAACATGATCCTATAGGGCATCTTCGCACTCATTCCGTGCAACAGCACACGAAGATGCGAACCCTGGGACTCATAATGCTCAGATATCTCACTCAAATATGTCAAGTTATACCGGTATCGATAAACGAATGGCACTGGTCAAGGTTGGCGAGCGGCTTTTGAAAGGTATGTCTCTCTGCATGGTTCATGGCGTGTAACGTTTATCCCCATTCTTTTAGACATCGAAATGGGTGGTCTTAATGTATCATGGCAGAAGATATTTAAGGAGAGCAACCAGATACCCCGCTCCGAAGGTGGCGATGTTCTCGCCTTGTCCGCTTTCGTGTTGTCAACTCTACCAACGTCATGGGAGAGAAGAGATGCGCTGAAAGAAATGTGGCAGAGTGGTGCGGATGTAATGGTCGGTAAGGTTCGATATGAGGGTCACGAATATTTCTTAACCCAAATAAGTAGGTGCTCATCGACCACAAGACAACTGCTGGTTTTGAGTGCATAGCTGAGGCAAGAGATTACCTCCTCGGACAGGGAAGGAAAGAAATGAAGGACCCTGCGACAGAGGGCCAGCCAATCGAGGGTTCTCATGTCGTCGCACCGGTGAAAATTCCTGTTCTGGCCATGTGTTCGGTACAGCACTCAACGGGTAATTCAGTGTCCTCATGATGGAGCATGCCCGCTATACCGACCCGGGTCCAGCAAGGTTGTGTGCGGCTTCTCGCAAAGACTTCAGCGGCCGGCATTCATACGAAAAACGAAGCACTCTGGCATCGGCCACGAAGATTCGGGCTACTCTTACGTGATCATCCGTAGAGGCAGCAGACCATCATCACCGGGAACCAAAGTGGGTCGACTTGGAATGGTTGGCAAGAATGAATTGGCCAAGAAGGCTTTGCAGAATGTGCCTCTACAAGAGCTCATCATTGAAGAAACGGTCAGCGCCAAGGTCGAAAGCCCCATAGACCCGGCATCACCTGCATCTGCGGACACGATAGAGACAGCTCCTTCAAAAGACACGTCAGATGGCCCTGAGAACCTTGAGGAAGCCTTGAGACTAGAAGCTTACAATTGGCCACGCCTTGTCTTCCCACCGATGAAAAAGAACGGCCATGTCATCCTAGACGGCTGTACAGCAGAAGGTACATCGTTGCTCCTTCTGTATCTGCTATGACACAGAATTGATGTTGGGCGCAGGTAAAATCATGCGCATGACCATTCCGAAGTCGCAGGGTAAACAACCATATTACGATGCTCGCAAATCTAGCTGGGGAGACATGTTTCCGCATGAGCCCAAAAACAAGCCCCAGCAACGCTTTCAATCGATTGATGCTCAAGCAATGAAGACATCCAATCGGAACGCTGGCAATGACAAACGCAATAAGGCTAACCATAAAGCACCAAGCGATGGTAATTTTTCGGAATATATCAAGGAGCAAAAGGAGCCCAAATGGCAGAAGAGACGTCAACGGGTGCAAGCCCGCGAAGACGATTTTTGGGAGGAGTAATCACGCGGTAGAACTGTACCTCAGACACATAGCATTATTGTCATTTGTAATCTCCTTTCATGCATCCGAAATGGTAATCCCAGGACCCTGCTGTGAGCTCAAGATCACGCGCACGATGGCATTGACTGAAAGGCGTGAGTAAAGAACGATGCAACGCTCAAATGCACTCACCAGGTTTTTGGTTTGTATCCTTCTTGTCACGGTCAGCATCCGGGTCCCTAATATTGCCTGTAGCGCGCTTGACGACAGTCATGAAATATCGGACGTTTTTGACGACGTCTGGCACAGGAAAGTGCGCCTGTATTGTGCGGCAAGATTAATTCACCGGCCCGCTGGACATTACAAAATTTGTATTCACCCTTGCGATAGGAGTCCTGATTGTACCGGCTTTGTCCCCTCGCCACTCATCGCTACTTCTCAGATTCCGGATGTAACCCGCGATGTTGTCGGTCACAGTGCCTCGCCGCTCGGAAGGCATCAGCCCACGAGGACCGAGGACGCGCCCAAGCTTAGGCGTAATGGTACGAATGAGCTCCGGCGTCGACAGGAAGAGACTAGCTTTATGGCGACCGCTAATAACCTTGATCTTGCATTAGACATAGCAGTGGTGCGCAGTTCAGAGGATACATACACCGTCCACGAGCTCAGGACCGCCTACAATATCTGCGCCTGCATTCCGCGCCTCTTCAGCTTGTTTCCCTTCCGCAAAAACGAGGATGCGATCCTTCGTCTTCGCTTTAGCTTCTCTGGGCAACTGGTAACGGCCTTTGGGAATGGTGCTTCCTTTCGACATCTCGGTCTTGACAAAAAGCTCGTACAAAGAATTCGGGGATGCCACCTCGACGGACTTGTAGGAAGCATGGACGAGGGATGATGTGTGAACGCGCATTCCATGAAACTATGGCGCGTGGAGACTCACACGCAAGACAGCAATAGCATCTTCCAGCGTCATCTTCTCGTTGTCATACATGCTCTTTTTCCCTTTGAAAGCCCTCCTCCGAGCCTTTGCAGCGAGCTGTTTCTTCGAGAGTGTCGGAATCTTCTTCTGCTTCTGGCGTGCGAGGACGAGCCGAGTGCTATGGAACTGTCGACTGTCCTGCGATCGCTATGCATCTCCAGGTCGGCATATTTCCTTTAAGAAGGATCCAAAGCAACGACGTACCAGATGGATGAAGGTGCCGCGCCAGAGGCGACATCCTGAACTGAGGCCCGCAAGCCAGGAGGACATGAGTTTGCAGAAGGATGACTTTCCGCGATCGAGCAACAACGCCTGACGAGCGCTCGTCGGCGTTTGCCGAGAACTCTAGTGGTCGATATACATCCACGGGAAGGAGCTCAAGACCACCGCATTGCTTTTGGGCTTACTGGCCAGTGGGATGGTCTTAAGCGTGAAAAGAAAGACTGCTAATCGAGGCGTAGCAATTTTCTATAAAATATTCTCTACCAAGCCAGCGAAACGAGCAGCAACTGTATCACAATAGTTTATCTATTGGCTCTCAATTGACAGCCATCTCAGCATCTCATCCACATGGCTCAAAGTGAGAATGTGGTCGTGTGAGAGTGAGAAGCAAGGCTAAGTTTGAGTTAGATCCACATACTGTTCCACAAGGGTAGCTCAATTCAATTGTGAAGCATTTACCGGATGGACGCATGTCACCGGACCACCTCCATGCAGCAAAGTGCACTTCCAACACACGGTAAGTTTGCCGGAGAGAATGTCTGCAGCATACCTCAGGAAGCATTCGCTTCTTCTATTCGGCGAAGCGCAGACCCATACCTTCACACATCTCCAGGAGATTCGGCGCGGAGACGCATAATTCCACCGCTTTCATCCAGGTGAGAGACACGGTCATATTAATGAGGATTCACTGAGCTTGGAATGGACTACGATCTTGTCACGGAGTCATGCGGCCAGCAGTAAACAAAGGGTTACAGGTTGCAGTGGCACATTAGAAGTAATTGTGCCAGTTGGTTCGACTTGAGGCGAATATGCAATACGGGTGGTTCATCTCACAATGACGGAGAGAGTTGTCAATGAAAGCCGCGTTTGCTGAAATGAGCGTTCCAACGCAAGAATTTGCCATGCGGTATCCGCAAGAAGTGCCGTCCCGAATGTCTCCTCACATGAGCGCTGTGTTCCGCGAGGCCAGTGGCAAAGAACATCTATCGTTGATGCTTCATATGTGATATCAGCAGTGTCGCGATAGCCGGAATACAAAGCAATGTGTCGCAATAGCCAGCAACGTCTGCTGACAGCGCGCAATGACTCCTGGTATTCTGATTCATTTTCACATTGCATGTTGATGGCGGAAGACATGTTATCTAGCAATATTCTCGTCAGCGATGGCTCTTAGAGTTTCACTTACTTTCACATGGTGACCCCGAGCGGCGTACATCCATGAATGTCGGCGAAGGTCGGAGAAGACGGCAATAAGCAGAAATGCTCTAGACATGCGTTCAAACAAGATGAGAGGGCCATAAGGCGGAATCGACGGCTGATCTCCGCGCGCCGTTTATTGGAACGTGGGCTCGGCATTTTGAGTGATTGATGCGTCAGCTCATGAATGTGCAGGGGAAAATGTTTATAGGAAGTCATAAAGAATGTTTCATGAAGCTTTTCATTGGTCAACTGCTGCGCATGCTGCCGGATGGTGCGGGACAACATTCAGTCGCTGTGTCCTGGCTTTAGGCACGGCCCGGCGGAAGGCTTGAGTCAGACTTCCGCGCGCTTGTGACGAACGCGGGAAAGCCGCCCGGAGCAAAAAAAAGCATCTGTATCCATACACGAGGCTTTATCAGTAGATGAGGTAGTATGGTTAACAATCCTCATCTCGAATCACAGGCAGCCTGAGAGTCGCTTGTGCCAGAACTAGACACGCTTTTAATGTTGCAGTGGAATATACTCGGTGCATGTTCCGTTCTACAACCTTCTGGTGGATGTGAGATGATATAGGCAGGGTCATGCAATGGGTCGCACGAGCGGTTGTGGCTGGCGGTAACCGGTTCGTGTGGCTCGAGTCGAAGTTGGTTGCCATAAATGGATGGTGATGGTGGCCCCCGCCCCGAGCGCTTGGAGTCCAAAAAGCGATCTCTCGGACGGCGCGTCTATTGCATCCCGCCATGTCCTCCTCACTGCTCGCGCTGCGCGAATCGCTCTTTCCCCTCCGCGTCGCGCAGTCCTCCGTTCGCTATGCCACCAAGAAAGAGTACGTCGGCGAACAGCGCTACGAAATAATGCGCCGCGCACTCTACCCCCCGACCATCCGCAACAGGCCCTCCCCGACTGGGACTTGGAGACCCGACGTCGGGCGGCGCCTCCAGCGCGCCATCCCCTCCGTGCAGGCCCATGATACCATCGAGCGTGCGTGGTTCCTCCACAAACGACACATCCGACGACAGCGGCAGGCCGAGCTGGAGAGAAAGTTTCGCTGCATGACGCATGCGATGGAGGTGCTGATGAAGATCAGTCCGAACTTGTACGCAGAGGCGAACAAGGAGGAGGACCCGCGTGTGCGGACCAGGCAGGAGACGGAACTTGCAAAGACGTTAAGGATCCCAGAGAAGAAGGCGTTAGAGGCGAGGGTGAGGGGACTGTTCCCCAGAGAGTTGCGTATACCGACGGACACGCCGTCGCGGGATGGCTGGAATTATGATTGGAAGCCTGTCATTCCCCGACGCGCATAACCTTGTCAGCAACTTTATGTCGTATTTCTCTTCTAAAGCTCATGATCACCATCAGATATGGGAGGATGCATGCTCGTTGGCGTGTATGTGTTGCCAACACTGGCTTCCCCAGGGTCTCACTCTGTAACATATGATGTTGCCCCATAATTCAACTCACACACAACGTAACCATCCAGATCGCATGAGACATGGCAGCGATTGCATGAGAATGAGAATGTACGACAATCAAGTACACGGATGGTCAACAACAGACAGCAGGTCCGGTCCTTTACCACCTCCCTTCCAGCTCTCGAATACTGGATCCGAACGGATCTGCACCCATGCCAAAGTCCGTTCCCTTGTTTCCGCTCTGGTTCTTGGCGACCACAGACGTGTGTACCGACTCGAGCGCGGTTGTCCACTTGTCGAGTGCTGCATATCGTTTCTTCTCGAGACTCTGTCTGGTTGAAAGAAAAGTCACGTTAGGCAAGGATTAGCGAACAAAGCAATGAAGACTGACTTATTCTCGAGCTCAAGCCGCATCGCGACTTGATCAATCTTTCCTTCTACCTTGCCCTCGAGGATAAGCCCAATGAGGAGATCCTCGACTTCGTCTTTGTCAACGTTGAGTTGCTAAGGCAAGACGAGTCGTTAGGAGGAACTTGTTACGACCAGCCACGACGCCTACCTTCGCGAGGAAAGAGAGCTCGAGACGGGTGTACGGTTTGATCAGGTCGATGAGGTACTGTGTGCGCAAGCTGCGTAGCAATTCACCGATGTACGCCTTGATGAAGGGATCGCCCATGATTGTTGACTCATTGTCTTGAAGGAGATCATAAAAAGACCTGCGACCAGGAGATGAGACATCTTACCGTGCAGAATCTTCTCAGCGGCATGCACTTCTCGCCGTTGATACGCATCAACGAGGTCTGTCATCGCCTTGATCTGTGGATCGTTCTTGTATCTATGATTCACCGATAAGACTGCGCTATAAGCGGCAGAGGTGTATACATACGGCTTCGTTTCTTGGCTGTCAAACGGATTCACCTCACTTCCCGTGAGCATGTTCGCGAGGACGAGATACTTGAGCACTTGGATGCGCTGCGGGGACCCGGCTTCATCGTAGTTCTTGAATGATTCAAAGAAGTCTTCGCTCGCACGGTTCCATTGGCCTACCGAGCAATGATATGTAAGAGTTCTAGGAAGGTTAGCAGACAGAACAGTAAGCGTACGTTCACCCATCCACATCTTGCCGCCGCATTCTTTGATGACCCCCATGATACGCGGGTGAGGAATGGCGGAGCGGACAGAGTTCGATGCATTGTAGATTTCCTGAGAGAGCATGAGTACAGAGCGTAAAAGATATGTGCATTTTCAGGTGACGTGCCTTTAATTTCTTGAAGTTCTTCGTCTCATTGTGCATCTGGATCTCGAGCGCGTAGATCTCAAGCAATTGAGTACCTTTCTGTGCCATATCTTCCCCATCACCGTTGGGAGTTGTTTTATGCAACTCTTTGAGGACCTATGAGAATGCCTACGTTGAGAAAAGCTCGACCACTCGCAACGTAGTAACTTTACCTGCGCTAGGCGACCGTACTGCTTGCGATCAAGCCAAAGCTTCGCGAGCTTGAGATTCGTCTTCGCGTTGAGCCTCTGATTAAATCAGCGTCAGAAATACCTATTATCACCGTCATCAAGATGCCAACCTCATTCCTCGCCTCCAACAGCGCAGTCTTCGTGGCTTGATAGAACTTTTCTAATACCTCATCACCCACTGGTCCTCCCTTACCGCCACCGACGTAGTCCAGGATACCATTGATGGTTTTCTCGGCGTAGTTTCGTGTGACAGCGGACTTCGTGTACGTGAGCAGCTGTCGATAGGTATTGAGTGCATCGTTTGGTCTGTGTAGTGTCAGGAAGAGAAGCTTTGTTGATTGCTTCAACGCTTTGAATCCCCTTTGTGAGGTGATGGACGTTTCAGCGCGGAAATTATAGCTATCAATACGATCAGACGCACCAGTCCCCCTTCTCCTCTTCCTGATCTACTATAGCACGGAATTCCTTTAAGGCTTGTTCCGGATTATCGTCCTTCTTCGCTGGAAGACAATCAGTACGGATATGAGGTCGAGCCACATTTGACCTACACTTGGCCGTATAGTACATGTTCTCGACATCGGCGCTTCCGGCTTCATCGCCTGCATCGTCATCGGAATAGTCGAAGCCATAGTCCTATCACAGATTTAAATATAGTAATGGAAGTAGGTTAATCTGCAATATCCACCTCGTCATCGCTGCCTTGCATGTACTCGGCATCATCGTCATCCATCGTTTGAGATTGCTTGTGAAGAAAAGATCTGGAGTCCATTAGGTCATTTGAGTATACCATCGCAGCAGACTCATCGACTGGTCCACATACAGAGAGAGTTGCGCTAGGATCAGTGAGCGGGGAGGAAAGGAAGAGGCAGTGCAAGTACGCGTATGGGTGCTTCGCTTCGACGCACGCGCCACAGCCGCGCTTCGAAGGACGAGATCACGTGCTACAGCGACGCGGCTATGCGATCAGATCTCGGGGCACGAGAAAGCGATCGACATTGATCCGCCTTCTGAGAATGTGCTGCGCAGCCCTCGCTTATAACGCTGCGGGTGTCGCGAGTTTGGACTGGAGAGATCTTGCGAGGAGAAGACAATGAACGGTGTAATTCATTCATATATGCTCGAGCTACCTGTTCTGTGCCACTTCAGCCTTGGCCTAACTATAAATCCGGGTACACGACGATTATTCACCGAGCACAACGATTTCTTGCGCCGGCGTGATCGTTTGGGTATTTTATTTCATAGGCATAGTTGCCTCGTCAGAGTTGTGGCCAGGAGATCCACGGCTTACATAAGTAACACGGTCGCGTCAATCAGGAGGCCTGCCTATCCTGGCAGTTGTCATTCTGTCCGTGACACCCCTCGGCTCTTCCTGCTACATCCATGTCTCCTTCTTCGTTCTTGTAAAATACCCAGCTGCCGGAGGCGATGGAGTCAGATGCCAATTCTGCGCACGTACTCCCTTCCAACGAACCGTTAACGAAATCGCGAAGCAATACGAAGATAGTAGACGATGTCACGAGCCTGACATCATTCAATCCATTCTCCGAGGAAGATGAACATGACCAGTCTTCGTACGCTCTTGTCACCTCGCTGTTCTCCAAAGTCAAGAATACTCTTGCTGCTCCTCTCTCTTCTGCGGCCGCGTCTGCTGTCGCTGGAAACATACATCATACTCCTCAGAACCATGCCCAAACCGCCGATTCAAAACGACCGTCCATCTCGAACCATGCTTCAAACCAGTCAAGCAGGTCCTCTGTCGATCGTCACAACCTGTTCAACGTTGCAGCCTCCAATCCTGCGCCTCCTTTGGTCTCGCTGACGCCAGTGGTGTCAGAGACTCCGTCATACATCGCAGAACTGGATCGACCTCCATCGCGAAATGGCTCTTTCTATTTGCCCGACACCCCGGATGGTGTAGTGTATGGTACCGCTATCCCTGGTTTCCCTATACAAGACAGCGATGCCAGGAGCATCAGAACTACAGGTAGTATCCGGAGGTCTGCGTCGGTATCCAAAGTGATCCGAAGGATCCGAGGAGAAGGTGAGTTTGGCTGTGTGGCCGGACCGCCAATTGGCTTACTCAGACATTTGTAGGATTGTCTCGAGACTACTGGATGGACGATGAGCTATGCAAAGAGTGCTACGATTGTAAGAGCGTGTTCACTGCTTGGCGGAGGAAACATCACTGTCGTATATGCGGTAAGTTACATGCCATACTACATGCCATGAGTATATTCTCATGCTTGTGTAGGACAAATCTTCTGCTCTCGATGTGCTTCCAATATTATCAAGGGCGCTCGTTTCGGCCACAATGGCATGGTGCGGGTGTGCAACCTCTGCCTAGAGAAGTTGACCAAAGTAGACGACGACGACGACGACGATAGGCGCTCAATAAACTCCAGCATGACCTCTCCCTTTGCCGCTCACCAGCTGGGAGAGGCTTTGTCGTTCGCCCATTCTCATCATCCACAGTCACCATTCGCGGCCTCGCAGCTCTTCGGGCGCACAGATGAGCCATTCAACCTGTTTTCCATAGCGGAAACGAAGATATATCCTGGTTCTGATGACAGTGCTCTTGCATCGCCCCCCTCCACACCTCTTGAGGAAATCCGCAGAGATCGTCTCGGCCGCGAAAATCCAGTTCCATTTCGCAGGGCATTAGCTGAAGAAGTCCAAGACTCAGTGGCCCTCCCTGATAAGTTCGCAAGCGAGGACTCCCCAACTGCTCCTGGGACCAAAACACCTATCGACTTCCCCGTCACAGTGCCGATCTCTGCCATTGGGTCGATGAGTTCCGTGCAATTTCCCGTTACCTCACCCGATCAAGGGCATCCGTTCGAGAGTCCAGGCATGCTCAGGTCACGGTTCAATTCATACGTAGATCTCGAAGCGCAGAGTCCGTTCATCCGCAGTCGCGTACAGAGTGGTATTGGAGAGCGCTTGGCAGGGCACCCTGGCTGGCGTACGCGGACAGAAAGCATCGCGTAAGTGATGTCAACCTCTATGGAATAATCATTGAATGATATGTTTTCCCAGATATGCACAGGAATTGAACTTGATTTCCATGTTCCACCTGAGGATCATGCTCCGGCAGATGCTGTCAGCTGAGGACATTCCCAATATTGACGAATGGGAGGAGACGCTCTTGAAACTCAGCATGCGCATCGCTCGCGAGTTGACATTCACTGCTCACCCTCAGAGGCAGGGCGCCGACATGGATGTCCGTCGATATGTCAAGATCAAAAAAATCCCCGGTGGCGCGCCGAAGGATTCCGAGTATGTGGATGGCGCCGTCATCACCAAGAACGTCACGTATAAGCAGATGGCGCGGATGCAGCGTAATCCTCGTGTCATGCTCGTCACGTTTCCCTTGGAGTTCCATCGAGTGGAGGGGCAATACATGCACTTCGGCCAGATCTTGCGGCAGGAGAAGGACTACCTAAACAACTTGGCTACTCGTATTGCAGCTCTGCGGCCGCATGTTGTTCTGGCAGAGAAGTCTGTCTCCCGGCTGGCTCTCGATGCTCTCGCAAAACACAAGATCGCCGTCGCCAGGACCGTCAAGCCATCCGCCATCGCCTTCGTTGCTCGGATGACGCAAGGAGATGTCTTCTCATCCATGGACAAGCTTGCGCTGGAGCCGCGCCTCGGACACTGCGCGCGGTTTCGCATCCAGACGTTCGACCATCCGCTGATTCCCGGTCGCCGCAAGACGTACATGCGCTTCGAGGGATGTAACCGGGAGATGGGCTGTACGATTGTGCTCCGCGGTGGCGATATAGATACACTTAGGCGCGTGAAGAAAGTGACGCGCTTCCTCGCGTTCATCGTGCGCAACCTTCGGCTCGAAACTCATTTGTGGAAGGATTCCGTCATCACCTTGCCGGCGCTGACGGCTGAAGCTACCCCTCCTGTTCAGTCATCGGCTGACTTATCAGCTCTCGAATCGGATGCATCGATGCCGTCTCAACTGACTGCTACTCTGACGCAGAAGACGCTGTCCCAAGCAATTGTTGATGCAACTCCACAACGACTTCCCGCAAGTGACATAGTGGATGATCTGCCGGACGAAGATGCAGAAGAAATGCGCCTGTCGCGGCGCATTCAGGAGTCGATTGAACCATATCGGAAGACCTTCCTCTCTGTCTCGGCTACCCTTCGTTTCCCGCCTCCATATCCTATCAGCCGCATGAAGGAACTCGACGATGAACTCACGCAAATTAAGCGGGAATGGGAAGACGAGGTGATCCGTAGAGAAGAACGGGGTTCTGCGAAGCATCAGCAGGAGGCAACCTTCACACAGCAGAGCATCATATCCACGATCACACCTGACATGGATGATGTTGCGGCGCAGATAGAGTCTCTTCCGCTCCCAGAGGTAATCGACACGCCCATTTCCAGTGACGATGGCTCGACTCCTGCCGAACACACCGGATACTTCGAATCCCTTCTTGCATTGCCACACATCGCAGCACCATCGCTTCCCCAAACACCCTCAGAGGAGCTGCCAGTCAAGGTGGTCACTGCTGAGGACATCAGACTTGAAAGTCGCCTGAATTATCTGAAGTGGCAACATGCCGAGTACCGCCGAGTGTGGGAATGGTATCTGCGCAAGAATAGGGATGACTTCGACGTGGAGAAGTACCAGTGCATTAGTTTGTGGGAAATCACCCTTCCCATGACAGAGAGCGGGTTGCATCCCGCTTGCTTTCCTCCTCGTCTAAGGTACATCACGTTCTATGGTGAAAATGACTGCACTCTCGGCCACTACATCGAGCAGGCGGCAAGAGATGCCTTTGCGCAGTTCATGGACGCAAAGGCAATCTGCGAGAACAAGGCATGCAATCAACCCCTGGCTCGGCATTGCACCGTCTATGTGCATAATGAGACTCGTCTTCTAGTCGCAGTTGAGCAGTGGGATGGGCAGATCAACCAACGTTCGCTGCCTCCTGACACGATCATCACCTGGAGTATCTGTTCTATCTGCGAACAGGCCACACCATTCATTCCGCTGTCTCCGGAGGTACAGAGGTACTCTTTCGCCAAGTTCCTCGAGCTCCACTTCTATCCTGCGGATGTGCAGCTTGTGCCAGGCGCGGGCTGTCAACACAACATTTACCGGCATCACATCAGATACTTTGCCATTCAGCAGATGACGATACGCTTCCAAGCAGATCCTGTGGTCCTGCATGAGGTTGTATATCCACCTATGCGTGTACGAGTACGACCAGAGACGCAGCTCGAAATCAAGAACAGCGATTTTGAGCGCTTGCATACAAGGAACAACATGTGGTACACTGCCCTCATCGATGATCTCAAACTGATCAACATCGACGCAGCTACTGGGGACGAGGAGGCGGATGCGAAACTCACCATAGAGATCAACCAGCTCATCATCAGAGCTGAGTGGGAGAAGGCAGATATTGCCAGGCTGATCAATACGATCTACAGCGAGACTGCTCCCACAGATACTCTTGCTCTCAATCAAATCAGAGCCTATAGGCAGGATAAGATGGTTGCATGGCAGCAGGACTTCGATAAGCTGCCAAAACCGAAGGTGACGCAGTTACTCGATCGCAACAGCCGCAAATCATCCGCGTTTGGCTCTGTTCGTGCTATGTTCCCTCGGAGATCCGAGTACTATGGTTCGCTCGAGAACGCACACAACGTTTCAGAAGCCGAGGACTACGGTCGCCTCGTCAAGAGACGGCTTACGGGAGGTTCTCTCGTGTCGACGTCGTCCACTTCTGACGCTTCGGAATCAGAATCGGTCATGGACAAGACCGCGCAGCGTGCTCCCACCGAAACGGCCCCGTCGACCATCGGCGATCAGCTGCCTACGGCTAGTTGCGCGGAGTTGGAGTCTTCTCCGAGATCTGATGTAGACAGCGACTCTACGATCGGTGCAACGCGCGCAGAGCAAGTTTCTGTCGAACTTTCATCGTCTCCTCAGGTGCTGCAACTTAGCTTATGATGTAATGAACATCTTACTGATATTTGACGTATAGGTTGATCACAATGTCCCAGATATCGCGCGCACATTGCAACGTGCCTCTCGGTTGCCGAGGCGTCCGACGAATTATCCAAGTGTCGCTGAACTTGTGAAGAAGTATCAGGACTATCTCCCTGCGCGGGGTGTTGAAGAGCTAACGAAAACGGCCCTTCCACCTGCTGCTCTTGTCTGTGAAAGTGGACAGGAGACTTCTACTGACCTTCCGCCCCCGGTGCGGAACAAGTCTCGTCGACGAATGATCAACGGAAAATCGTCTATTTCGGACTTCGAGTCGAGCTACGCCGTAAACGTCGCGCCCAGATATCTCACACATGCAAGACGTACGCTTGGACCAACGCCATACAGTGCTCGGATACCTCCACCTGCAATTCCATTCGAGTCTCGTACAACATCGCGGCGTGCATCTCCTGACAAGCGCTCTGCGACCTTGCATTCTAACGCTGATGCGGCGAAGATTGACAAGAACTCACCGCCGCTCAGTAGATTGAATTCGCTTGCAAAAAGGAGGGGAAAGGCGACGAATCGTCCCACTGGTATGGAGAAGGCAACCTCGTCACGCTTCACAGGAGCGGTCGGGTCTAAGTCCACCGTCAAGAAGCCACCAGGGCTGGGAAGCAAGGTTTCCAATATCGCCAAGCACTTCGAGCGAATCAGCAAGGATACTGAGCGGACCAATCGTCGGTACAGTGTCATTCGTGGACGGCGACCCCGTCCTGTTGCATCAGCCCGTGCAAAGGTGGAGGTTCTCGATAGCATCAAAGACGCGATCCAAGACGAGTCAGAGAGCTCAGACTCTAGCGAAGCCGACGATGAAGGGGATGGCGATGACGAGATGGGAAAGTCGCCCAAACAGAATCAGATGGAAGCAAGTCATTCATCGGAGACGTTTGACTCAGGACAATATACCCAGCCTATGAATGTGCCTCCTCAGAAGGTCACTGCCGAAGTCATTGAACATGCACAGCCACAGGACGGAGAGCGGTCCGTTTCTACAGACGGGGAACTCCTACAGACACCCGCGCCTGCTATTTCAACGCCCAGCTCTCCGATGTTGACGGCGATGAACCATGCACCGATACCGATGGCCCCTATAACTCCTGAACTCGATGTTGGATCAACCGGTACCGAACGTTATTCTATTCTGAAGACTCTCTCTGGCTTCTGGCCTCAGCAACTCCCGCAGTCTCGCATTCGTGCAGATGTAGACGCCGACGACCCGTTAGCAGATCCTGAGCACATTTTCCGCGACTCATCAATGGTAGTACGAACTGACGAGCCTACATCGATCATTGCTCTCGCTCTGAAGTAAGTATCACTGCCCTTTCTCACCGTGGCCTTCGGTCGTTCGGTCGTTCGGTCGTTAATGCTCAGCTGCAGTTCCCCACAATACCGAGATATGTTGGCGAAGTCGCGTGCTGAGAAGCGCCAAACGAGAGAGCCGAAGTTGACGGATGGTGGTGAAGCGTTCATGCCTGACGACAGATCAGTCGCTGAATCAACCTCCACATGGGGAGTCGTGAACGTAGATAGTCCCGAGACTTATGATCCCACGGAGGAGCTACGGGTTCCCTCGTCGAAGCAGCCGTGGGCTATATGTGAGCACCTGTCCTGATCGCTTATGAGACATTATTGGCTAATTCTCTTGACAGCCTTCGAGAGTGGAGGATTGACGATCGCTTGTACCGTCCTCTATCCTGAGCAGTTCGATGCGCTCCGTCGTACGTATGATTGTGAACGAAGTATGATTGAGTCGCTTGCTCGATGTGTCAAATGGAATGCCAGCGGAGGGAAATCGGGATCTGCGTTTCTGAAGACCCTTGGTAGGTTTCACGAAACGCGTACGTTTCAGTCTAGCTAATGCAACCTTAGACGATCGCTTCATTGCCAAGGAGCTTTCAAGAGCAGAACTACAGGCAATGGAGACCTTCGCGCCAGCTTATTTTGACTACATGTCATCTGCGGTGGTTGCCAATGTACGGTACGACAATGCACTTTAGTAGATCATGAGCTGATGGAGCATGCAGCGCCCTACACTCCTCGCAAAGATTTTTGGATGTTTCAAGCTTACCTTTAGGACATCCCATAAGCACCAAGGGCCAAGCAGAGGGAATGCAACGCAGATGAACTTGCTCGTAATGGAGAACCTCTTCTACGATCGCCGTTTCTCCAAAGTACGTTGTACGATACAAATCTAGGGCAGTACAATACTCAAGCGACGTTTCAGATCTATGATTTGAAAGGATCAACCCGGAATCGTCACGTACAGTGTACTGGTCGAGAAAATGAAGTACTTCTGGATGAGAACCTGGTGGAAAGTGCGTATCCGCTATGTCGAAATAACGTATATTGTTTCTGACGCGTCACTCTCCTCAAGCTGCGCATTTGGCGCCCTTCTACTTGCGTGAACATTCAAAGCGAATTTTACGGGGTGCTCTTTTCAATGACAGCAAGTTCCTGGCTGAGATCAACGTCATGGATTACTCTCTCGTGGTCGGTGTTGACAGTCTCAAGAACGAACTTGTAGTAGGAATCGTTGGTATGTTACTATAATTTCGGTGTCCCTTTTTTCAAATTAACCGCAGATCATAGACTACATCAGAACCTACACGTGGGACAAGAAACTGGAAAGCTGGGTGAAGGACTCTGCTTTTCTGGGCGGTGCCAACAGAGGGGAGCCGACAATTATCAGCCCAAGACAGTATAGGCAGCGCTTCCTGAGCGCTATGGAGCGTTACTTCCCTCTGGTACGTTCGGCAGTGTACCGGGAATGCTTTATGGTCTGATACGCGACATAGGTGCCTGACCGGTGGATGAAACAACATGATGCTCCTGAAGACGAGGGCAACGCTCTCCTGGATCTTTGGCCTGACTGGTGACCCTGAGGGTTTGTATCTTGCCGTGTGGCTGTATTCTAGATATTCAGGCTGTCATTGGTTCATAGTATTGACGGACCTTGCAATCACCGCCGATTGTGTAAATTAGCCAGTACATCATATTCTACGCATTCTGTACATTACGTGCCATGTAGTACTACAGGCCCGCCTGTGATGCTCGCTACATACATCTACTTCACAGCTTCCGTCCCTTATTCCTCTCCTTATTCAAGAGGACCCGATTCTGCCGCTTAACTTCAGTCGAGAATTGCTCCTTCGTCGCCTTCTTATCCGCACGCCGCAGCTGTCGCTCTGCTTTGATGGCTTGCTTTCGGGTCTGTTTGTCTTCTTTTGATTCGTTTTTAGGTCGTGAGACGGTCACACACCGGGCTGTAAACAGAGTGAGTAGCAGAGACTTGCGCAAGAAAGCAATATTTACGCCGTATATCATCATCTGAGTCGGACTCCAGCGAATCGGAACGGTCGATCCTATGACGAGGCGCGGATTTGCTATCTTCCGTTAAAGGCAGACCTGTCTTCGGGTGGAGTGGTATTTTCGGGACAGGTCTGTCTTGACGAGCTCTGATTAGCCGAGGATGATTCTCCAAGACACTATACGTAGCTATGGGGGGGGAGTAAGTCTAGGAAGAGCAGCGGCGAGCCGGCACCTAAGCATACATAGAATTGTTTCACAGTCCCATCGGTCCTTCTTCTCATCAATATCAAGCGGCATTAAGATGTCATCTTCTTCATTTTCCTCATTTTCCTCACGCAAGCGGACCCCGCCCAGTGCTTTCCGGATCGTATCGAGTTTCTCTGTGCCGGTTGCGCCAGCTAGAGCGGGACGCATTTTCCCGCCAAAGATCTCATAGTTCTCGAGAAACTCATTCATCATTGCATCGAAATCTTCGCGAGAGGTGATTAACTCGGGTGCTCCGTCGGAATCGTCGGAAAGAGTATGGGTTTCTTCATCCTCTTCCGAATCGTATTCTTTTTGTATCTGGAACAATCTTGGGTAGACGAACATATCTAGGCTGTAGATCTCGAGATGAGCTTACCTTATCGAATTGCTCGTCTATCAGCGTAAGACCTTCATTACGGAACATGGACGAGCTGCTCATGCTATATCCAGACGCGTCGGAAGTGCCTTTTCGCCGTTTCTTGCCTCCGATGACAGATATCTGAGGAAGCGCCCCAATAGTGTCGCCGCCTTCTGAAGATGCATCCACGTCAGAGCCAGCACTGCGAAGGCCATTCTTCTGAGCCTGCTTGAAATGTGCGAAGCGCGCTTCCCATCCTGTTCTTTCAGCATCGTCGAGGTCACTGTCGGCCTCATCTCGTGCATCCGCCTCATCATGGCCATCTTCGATACCTTCGTCCGTAAACTCGAACTCAAGGTGTCCATCTGGGGCTAGCTCGCCATCTGCCACGAGATCTCCGAAGAAATCATCATCGAGGTCATCGTCCACAAATGCGTCGTCCTCGAGTGCCTCTAGCACCTGACGCAGGTGAGGATCGAGCTCGGGGTTAAACCGGGCTATTGACGATGGAATGCTCTCTTCCGCTTCATAGTTGCGAGGGACCTCGGACGTCGAGGGCAGTACCTCAGGAGGCAAGTCGATCAACGTGATTGGCTCTTTAGCCTTTCCCTTGGGTTTTGACAGGGCTTCTACGAGTACGCTATCGACACCATCCTCTTGCATACCGACCGGGCGCAAATGCTGCATATAATTGTATTCAGTGTCATCGTAGTAGACGCCGTATAGCGCAGCCTCGCCGATATTTTCGCGCTCAGTATCATGAGCCAGGTCCGAGGGAGATAGAATTTGCTCGAGCTCTGCTCTCGACTTTCCCTAATTAATTCGACCGTAAGTTGCGGAACATGCATAGAGTCGGTATGCCGAACCTTGGCAACATTGCCCCGCTCAAACGCCTTTAGAACATGTTGGCTCGCCTCTGGGTCATGTACTAGGGGGTCTCGCTGTGACCGGTGGACGAGCTGGAAGTGTCGTGCACCAGGCTGTCGGAATATGGATTTGGTGGGCATCTTGTACGCTGTGCAATTTTGTGTCGAAGGAGGAGATTTGCGATGAGATTGCGAGATTCACAATTTGAGATGAAGACCATACGGCCGGCGCTTACGAGTTCCAGCGTTCTATTACGTAATCACTACTTCTTGGTCTCGGTCGAGCACGTCGAGTGCAACGACCGGCCACTCCTCTCAACCAATACTCTCACCTTCAATTCTACCCACCATGCAGAGGGAACACGTTCGCAGAGGCTTCTCCATATACGTCCTCTCATTAATCTCACCCGTTGACATCTGGTATTGACGCCACTTCTCGTCTTTACTAGTCATCAAAAGGTCGTCCTTGAGGTTGACTTCTCGGGAAGCATCTGGGTGAGATTACACTGTCAGATTCGCGATGGCCGGCGTTCTTATTCCTGTGGCAGGGATACACGGAGATCACGGTGGTTCCCACCAACAAGGATCTCAAGACTCTCCATCTGCATTCAAGACAATGCAGTATGTTCTCGACCCTAAATGTTATTGCATTACTCATCATCGTCCCCCTCAGCGATCCACTCCGTTACCGTTGCCTCCCATCCAGCGGACTTTACTTATCACGACCCTCTGGCGAGCCTCAATGTATCGAATCCGCAGGATGTCCATCTTCACCCTGAACTCAAGAGGAAGGTGTATTCGGCACTTGCGGAGGGCGAAGAGGGCGAACTCTCCATTGCGATACCAAACGAGGTGTCTCTAAGGCAGTCAGGACATGCTGCCGCTGGGCTTGTGAGCGAAGGTGCGGTATCTCCGACATCATTACCATATTTTTGCTCATTCTCGCGACAGCTGCAACCCCGGAGCCTCAAACGCCAGGCCTGAACGCGCAGGCCACGCTTCCAGTTCCGGAATTTGTTCCCATTAACATCAATATCATCTACAGCATGCGGAACCCAGCCGATGGCATCCAGTTCGTCATACCGACGGACGCGTATCCATATGTGAGTGTACTTCCTCCTGCTCAGTAGTGATACCTGCTAAGCCTTGAGGCAGCGTGTACCACACGTGTACACGACACCCTCGTCTCCCGATGCTGCACGATGCTGGGTTCCTTGCGTCGACAATTTGTGGGAAAAGTGCACGTGGGATTTCGAGTTCGTCGTCCCAAGATATCTCGAGCAACGGGAGTCTGCACCCGAAGACGACGGAGAGTTGCTGGAAGGTGATAACCCCACCATTGTGGTCTGCAGTGGAGAGCTTGTTGAGCAGGTGGCTCATCCTTACAACTCGAGCAAGACGATCTTCGTGTTTTCTCAGAACACGTCAACCTCCGTGCAGCACATCGCTTTTGCCGCAGGGCCGTTTCACGTCCATTCCATTCCGGCTGATTTGAGTGCCGCTGAAGACGTGTCTGGGACTTCACAACCTCTTATGCACGCGTTCTGCCTCCCGGGTCATGAATCGCTGCTGGGTACTTCTGTATCCTTCATGCGATCTGCAATGAGCTTCTATTCTACCGAGTTTGGATCATATCCATTCGGGTCGCACAAGCTCGTATTCGTCGACGAGATGCCGACGCAGCGGTTTGATAGCGCCACACTTTCGCTCGTCACTGTGGACCTGCTACATGGCGAAGATGCGATTGATCAGGTCCTCGAGACCCGCCACTGTTTGAGCCATGCTCTTGCATGCCAGTGGATTGGCATCAACATTCAGCAGAAGACGTGGTCGGACACTTGGTTAACGAATGGACTTGGGTTGTACATCGCAGGACTTTTCATCCGGAAGCTCATGGGGAACAATGAGTACCGATTCCGACTGAAGAAGGACATGGAGCGCGTGCTCGAGCTCGATAATGGGTCCATGCCGCCGGTCTGCCAGCCACAGCTCCTTGAGCCTCCAGACTTAGTCACTCTGTCATTCATCAACCTCAAATCACCCCTCGTACTTCACATCCTCGATCGGCGCTTAGGGAAATCCGGCACATCCCTCGGATTGTCTCGCGTCCTTCCCAAGGTGTTCTTGTCTGCTATCAGCGGAGAGCTACCAAACAACGCGCTCTCGACTCATTCGTTCCTAAGGACTTGCCGCAAAGTGAGCGGCATTGATCCACGTTCGTTCGCAGAACAATGGATATATGGCAGTGGCTGTCCTACGTTCGGGTTCTCTGCCACCTTCAATCGCAAAAAGATGGCAGTGGAAATCTCAATGCGCCAGGAAGCCCCGGCGTTTAAGGTTCACGAGAACAATGAGGTGACGAAAGTGCTCATGAAGCCAGTGCCGTTCTTCGAGGTGTGAATGACACTTTTTGTTACTTCTCGCATATCTAACACAAAGAGTAGGGCCAGATGACAATACGTATACACGAAGCTGACGGCACGCCTTACGAGCACGTTCTCGACATCAGGAGTTCTTTTAAACGCTATGAGGTTCCATTCAACACCAAATACAAACGTGTGCGGCGGAATACAAAGCGGTATCTTGCCCGTCAAGCTGCCGCACAAGCCGCTGCAGAGGGTGATGCGGAGGCTGCGGCTGCTATGAATATGGTGGACATGGGGTTCGGTCTGGAAATCTGGGAGAACGAGAGGGAGCGAGAGAATTGGAAAGTCGCTGACTGGACCGAAGAAGATGAACAGAACATGGCCGGGCAGACGTACGAGTGGATACGGATTGACGCTGACTTCGAATGGATTGCCGCTATTGCCTTTGACCAGAAGGATTATATGTGGGTCTCGCAGTTGCAGCGCGACCGGGATGTTGTTGCGCAGTATGAGGTAGGTCTTCTCAAAGCTGTTATACTCGGTAAATCATCAACTTCTCTTGTTTTTCTTCTTCTCCAGGCCATCCAGGTGTTGTCGAAGACACCGAATGCCATCATATCGAGCACGTTGGCCAAGACAGTGCTCGTGTCCAATTACTACTTCCGGATCCGCTGCGAGGCTGCACAGGCTCTCGTCACTGTAAGTATGCATCAGATGCAAAATGCTACTGGCCAGCTCACCGCGTGTTGCTCGTAGTGCGCAATGCGGCGGATGGACTGGCTAGGCTTGTTCCACCTGTTTAAGCTATTCCTGAGATATTGTTACGAGCCAGAGGATCCCAATCCCGACCTGTTCAGCCACACGTATGTGCCACGTCCGAACGATTTCAGCGACTTCGCAGAGTACTTCGTGAGGAAGGTAGGATCATACACGTAGATTGTTTGCTGACCAATGCTGACACTGCAATCACAGAGTTTGATCAGGGCGATCTCGAAAGTTCGTTTCGAAAACGGCAAGACACCACCCATTATCCGGCAGTTCCTCATCGATCAACTCCGCTACAATGATAACACATCCAATCCAGTGAGTAGCTGGAAATCGATCATAAATAGAATCCTGAACGCTTTCGCAGTACTCAGACGCGTTCTACATCTGCACCATCATCGCTGCATTGGCATGCGCGACCATCTCCACCGTTCCTCCCGAACGCGGCGAATTCATTGCCACGGATACTCACCCAGTGCAAGACCCGACAGACATTAAGCTGCTTGAGCAAGCATTGACGGAGGTCGACAGGTATCGCAGCATGGATCGACTTATTCCCACATATCATAACGTCGTTACGGTCGCCGTGGTCGAGGTCGGTGGTTCTGTTCTTGCGGAGGGAGTTCAGCTATTCAGAGTGTTCTTACAGTTCCACCTCATGCTGAGCGTCGCCAACCTTATCCCGCATGACCCTCGCTTGTTCTTCCCGTTGACACGGTGCGTATTCCATATATTCAGGTCGATGTAGTATTCTGATGCCATGTAGTGAGGGCAACTACTCCCAAGTACGCATGGCGGCGTTCGACTACTTGTTCCTCTCAAAATGGTACACGCCGAAGGTCATGCGCTATATCCTCGCCGTCATGGCACATGATTCTTCGCGAGTGGTCCGCCGACATGTTGCGCAAAATGCATGTCTAAGTCTGGCGCTACTTGTGACCATGGGCGAGATGAAGACGTTGAAGGAGACTGAATCTCTGCTGATTGAGGAAGACGGCACGAACGCTGAAAAGGCGAAGGAGAGTAAGAAGAGCGACATGGATCTCATGATTAAAGCATTCAGGAAGGATAGGGAGCTGGGCAAGAGTGAAGTGATTAGAGAATACTTGATGCCAATTGCTCTGTATGTCGATTTTCCGTATGTTATCTTCCGGATTGTCGCTGATAACATCCTGTCTAGCGCTCCTGAAACTGATCACGAAGTCCGATGGGGTCTGCTGAAGCTAGCAGACCTTCTTATCAGAGGCGCTGAGGAGGCACCTCCCAAGGTTATGATTCATTTGCCTCCTACCCCTGTATCGGAAGTTGCGCCCGTGCTCCCTGCGGTCAAACTGCCTCCAAAGGCTCGGCCTTCTTTCAAGAGTGGAGGTCCTCCGACAAAGGCCATCGCGCCTCCTTTCACCCCCCGTCTCAAGTTTATGTCCAATAACTCGCAAGTCGACGTTTCAGCCAGAATGCCGGGCGCGGTCACCCCTAACGTTAGTCGCCGTGACGTCTTTCCTGTTCCAAGACCACCAGCCCCGAAGAGAATATCAATCGTAGAGAAGAAGGATAAGAGCATTCCTAAGGCACGATCTGGTGGCATGAGTCTGAACGACGTACAAGCTTGCCGCAATGCTTTGAAGAAACTACAAATGCACAAGAATGCCCACTGGTTCTTACAGCCGGTAGATCCTGTGCGAGATAATGCCCCGAAGTACGTGTCGTCGTCACATTTTCTCCCTCCTGTCGACCTTACAGTGCTTTAGCTACTTCGACATCATCAAGAAACCGATGGATCTTAGCACCATGAGTGCGAAGCTGGAGCAGGGAAAATACAGGGATCGATTTGCCTTTGAAGAGGATTTTCGCCTCGTAATCAGCAACGCAAAGTTGTACAACCTCCCTGGCAGCTTCGTTCATAACGAGGCTCTTGGTCTTGAATCGTTCTTCGATAAGCGTAAGTTGCGCTGTCCTGTGATAGTAGTCGCGATTTTCATATCGGGTCGCAGAATGGGTCCGCATCAACAAGACACTTGAAGCTGCGGATCGGGCCATGCAGTCTCGGGCTGTCCACCAACCTCCACTCCCCACCAAGGCGCCGAGCGTAGTTTCTCTGGTATCTGCTCCTGTGGCCTCCTCTTCTAATCCAGTCGCTCCCTTGTCTTCCCGGCCATCTGTCAAATTGAAGGTTGTCAGTGCGGCAGCTGAGAGACAGACCACTCCTAAACCCGCGCCGAAGTTAAAGGTGAAGAAAGTGCATGAGTTAAAACCTCCTGCGGAACGGCAATCAAGTCCTGCCTTCATTGACGATGGGTCTGCTGATCTCCTAGAGGAGGTGATAGCGATCGAGCGGGAGAAAGACGAGGAACAGCGCAGAAACCGCGCCTCAACATCCATTGAGAAGGAGAGGGAAAAGGAGAAGCAAATTCCTAAAGTTATGGTCGGAAAGCGCAAAAAGCCTGCCGAGGAGACACCAGGAGACGACCTGCTAGCTCTTACCTCAATGCCTAAGAAGGATAGGTCCATACCGCCGCCCTCTGTAGGCGTAACCCCTACCAAGGCAGCCGCGGTCCCTCAGAAGAACGACACCAGTGCATCCGCCCAGAAGAACAGCGCTGTGCAACCGAAGAGTAAGGAAAAGGGTGTCAGGCCTGTCGAGAATCCGGCTCCGACTCCAGAGGCAGGAATATCTCAGCGTCCCTCTACTACCAAGGGCAAGGAGAAAGAAGTGCCACCTCCCATCAATGCGGCTTCTATGCCGTCGAAAGCGAAAAGGTCGCCCCCTCAGGGCATCTCAATCAACGAGAAGAAATGTAGAGATGTCTTGAAAACGCTCATGAAATTGCCAAACGCAGCAATCTTCTTGAGGCCAGTTGATCCCGTACTTGATGGATGCCCGACGTAAGCTTAAGGTTCCTATATTTATGTGAACTGAACACGAAGCGCTTCACAGATACTATGATGAGATCAAAGAGCCGATGGACTTCAGCACAATATCCAACAAGCTCAACGAGGGCGCGTACGCGACGATGGAAGACTTTGCACAGGACATCGAACTTATCCTCCACAACTGTCGAACCTTCAATCCCTCAACGACTTATCCAACACTCTGTGCTGATGAAGTCGAGCGGGTGTTCAAAAAGGAATGGGGGAGAGCTTTGGAGAAGAAATTGACTGGACGAGAGAAGCGGAGTTTACAAGGGATCATGACGAAGCTTAGTTCTGACCCACAGTAAGTTGCTCTGCTTCGCACTAACCATGCTCAACATTGACTAGTTTTGCGCAGACATTACGTCTTCTGGGAACCGGTGGACCCGATCGCCTTGGGCATACCAACGTATTTCGACAGGATTCCGCGCAAAGATGCACGCGACCTTCGTACGATCCGTGAGAAGCTTGATGCGGATAAGTACGACTCTGTTGCTGCCTGGGAGGCAGACATGAACCTGATGGCCAACAACGCCATTAAGTTCAATGGAGCGACATCGGAGGTCGGTCAAATGGCTACGGCGATCAGGCGTAGGTATCAAGAAATGGTCACACCTCTGAAGTCGTCCCCTGCCACCAGTACCAGCACCACCCCAACGGCGACGAAGAGAAAAGGTAATGAGAGAGAGACTAGCCAGTCTTTCAAGAAGGCCAGAATCGGATGATCTATATTGATTTGCTGTCTGTTGTGCGCTTATCACTGCTTGTCGCATTGCTTTCATGTACATTAGTCTTGCACAGTCAGCTATTCCTCCGGGAACTTTCGAAAACTTTGTTGAATTGGTCGTGAAGTCGGGGATATGTTATCAAGTGTGAATGTACCACCACACGCTTATTGCTCGTCCTCTACTAGATCCATCGGCTCCTCTCTTGATTGAGGAGGCTCAACTATACTCGAGGACATCGTAAACTCCGAGGGAGTCGGCGAACTAGGCGGGGAATTTGGATCAAGAACTTGCTCGGCAACATCTGAAGGTAGTTCAGATAAGAACAGACGATTGTTGTGTTTGACAGAATTCTGCGCCAGTAGATGTCAGATTATGTGAATCTTAGGCAGAAACATGGAAGACAAACCTTGACAGCTTCAGGCCATGGAGCTAGCGTGTTCTCGACCTCTGCGGAAAGTGCAAGGCTGTAGATTAGGAAGTAAGGCCCGGTTCCGAGGTGTAGACCGATTGAATCATTGAGAACAGTGTCTTCTGAGACCTGGAGAGAATCGTGAGAACACAACGACTCGTGAACGATGAATAGCGATATACTTCGGTGACAGCATAATCGACCGTTTTCCACCACGCATTCTTATGCTTTACATAGGAATAGAGATGATTGCGGCCGTATAAACCGTCATGGACGAGGACCACCCGCAAATCGTACTGTAAATCCATGTCGAGGAGTGCTTAAGACGTTAACGAATTGTCACTCACTCTATGTTGCCTCAGCTCCGGACAATCAAAGATGTTGGCAGCCTCCAGCTTTAGCCTTGCAACGGTCGCATCAATAGCTACGAGATATTAGCGACATTCGACACCAACCGTCGAACTCACTTTGTAATTCATTCTCAATGCGGGCGAGGATCTTACGAAGTTTGAGCGCAGTGTCATGGATCATGGCCTTGCGCTCCGCGCTGTCATCGTCCTCGGCTACATGCTCGTAATAATGAAGCGAGGATCGCAAATCAGCCAGTGTATCTCTATTCTGCATGGAAAGGAATGTTAGTGCGACAATGAGCAGATGCAAAGAGTAGGCACGCACGTTATGCCGCGTCAATGACGCTCTCTTGGCAAGAAGCTGTTCGACCTCGGCCAAAAGCTCGCGCTGCTTTCTTCTCTTCTCAATCGCAATTGGGTAGTTGTTTTTCATGAACTGGTCCAGATATACATGTTTCGGATAGACGAACGTCGTACGCTCAGGCCGTGGTCCAGCACCCAGGGAAGCCTCATACGAGGGTGGGTCAATATCTCGGAGGATCTGAAACGCGACCACTTCGGACGGCTCAAAAATGACCTGCTGCTTGGTATCATCACCCGAGAGACCGAGCTCGATTGCCAGGCACGACATCAGATCGTTTGACTCCTCTGATCCTCCGACGGTGACCTTTACAGCAGACGGATCTATCCTGCGGTCAAACGGTGTGTTTGAGAGGTCATCGTCACTGAAGCCGTGGCGAAAATGGAACAGTCTGCTCCATTCAGAAAAGTTAAGACGACGAATCAGACAACGAAAACGGGGAGGATCAGTACGAACCTAGGCCACGACGGTGCCGAGTTAGTGGGGACGTCGTCGTGCAGAACGAGCTCAATATGCCATGCCAGTGAACAGTAAAATACTGATGATCACTGAGTCACAGCGAAATGCTACAGATGGACAGTTTGCGTACTGAAAGACACGTCGCCGGGGCGTTCTAAGGGACTGCTCCACTGTTCTGCGGATAACGCTTCAAGAACAGCGTCTACGCTCAATTCGCCCATCAGGGCGAGATCCATGTTTGCGAAGATTTCCATGAGGGACCACGTCGTTGCCGCTACGCAATGTCAATGAGGCATTTGTTAGAATCACAATCACTAGTGGATCACCTGCATCGCTCCCTGGGTGACTGAATGCTTTCACATTGTCGCCTTCTTCTGGAGTGTCAGGCAAAGGTCGCCACCGCGCGACAGCCTGGCGGACTTGGGGTACAAAGAACAATCCTTGGAGGATGAGTGCGGCGTAGTTCAGCGAGGGGAGTGTAGGGCGAAGTGCAATGGGCCTGGCATCCTTGTAAAAAAACATATTATCGTAGGAGAGGGGTGCGCACCTGCCGTCCTTGCGCACACGCTCTTCCAGTGGCAGCTCCACAAACATCTCCTCTTCGACATTTGCGGTCAGGCTTGCTTCAATCGCGCGACTGAGAGACTGGTCATCATGCGGCACGCTGACGGTGCTGATTGCCACCTGTATCATCCGTCAGTGAGGCCTCAAAATATCAATTATACATACTCGTACATTGGACGGCACCATAGCCCAGCTGTCATTCGGCGCTCTATTACTGGGACCAAACTTGGGGCCTTGGTCCTCCAACGACGCCCGGAGTGCGCGCGAAAGCTCCTTATCCTCATCCTCAGCAGTGAGATCTATCACAGGCGGCTTTTCTTCAGCCTTCGAAGCTGGTAAAGGTATCAATCAATGCGCATATAGTCGTGCAGATCGGGCCACACTCACTGGGTGACGTCGTTGGCATTGGGGCAGAGGTCCCTGCTTCTTGAGATACGTCCATCGGCACCGAGCGAGTCATTGCATCACTCTCCAGCATAGCTGCTCCTGCCTTTTCCACATCGCCATCGTGCCTCCGAAGCAGGGAGAGCGCGGCATCGACTGTTAGGCCACCGTCCGAAACTGCGACCAACGTCGCAACATCTGTCTCCTCGTTCGCGGTAGGAGGGGCTGGTGTGAATTTTCCCATCGTCTCGGAAGTACCTGTTCTCTCAAGGACAGCAATCAAGTCGCACAGGTGAATAAAATGTGCAAGGCACGAATTCAGATTTGACTACGGTTCTACGCGGCGCTTGCAAGTAGTGTGGCTGAACCCATAACGCCTTGCATTGGACTGCGTGCCATAACTGAATGAACTATTAGACTATCTGATGTCGGCCAACGCGAGCGCACCAGTACCTTCAAGCCAAAATATTGAAGTCGATATCGATCCTATTTGGACGTCCAGTCGCACTGCTAGACAGATCTACGCGCTAGGCGAAGTCGAAAAGGTACGAGCGTAGCTGTAAACCCTCCTCGGTGGTCTGGACTGACCATAGTCTCAGGACATCAGCCGTCTGCTCTCACTGGCTGCATCCTCCATCTCATTGCTGACCCTACCTCAGACGGATGGGCCCGATGATGGACTGCCTCAAGGCGGGGAGAGGTCCGAACAATTCGTGCTCGAAGCGAGCGAGTACTTCGAGAGGCTAGACGTGGGTGCTGAACGACAATCTTGTCGACTCTTGACCTCATGCAGCCTCATATACAGGCTATCCACATCACGATCCGTTCCTCCCTCGCTCACATCCGACAATCGCGAATTGCCCCCTCAGCCATCAACGCTCCTCCGCCAGGCTTCGTGCCTCCTTCTCTCGGAGTGGGTCTTCCGTCTGCAGACGAAGAGTACAGCAAGGGAACCCGGGGCTTACAAGAGGAGAGAGTCGAGAGAGATGCATGGAAGGGGATCATGGATGCCCTGAAGCGTTTGAAGGAAGCCCGAGAACAAGAGAACGCAGATGCCAGTATGGCGGAAGAGTGACGCACGGCATGGTATAATGCTCCTTGAGCCTATGGGTACAGCAGCTGTCTGAATCTATGACATTATACGCTAACTTCCTCCATAGCCTCCTGCGCCTGCATGAACGCCTCGTCCTCTCGCAAAGCCGGATCTTGTTCCGCAGAGACCTACAGCTCATGTCAGACGAAACGCCGGAAGGAACGACCCCCAACTCACGATTAGTTCACGCAAGTCTTGCATGGAACCTCCGAGGCGATTTGAGGTATCTTGGATCATCTTCTGAGATTCTTCCATCATTCTCCTCTGAAGGGCGTAGGAAGAGTGGAAGTCCAAGGTGCGACGACATGATTAGGCGCAACAGAGACGCACTGTGTTTTTGATGTCCCAATCCTCTGCACCATCTGCAATGAACTTGTCTAGCTTCCGCTTCAGCTCCTCTGCTTCCCTCTCGTAGGATTTATGCTCCTTGTATAGCCTGATCATGAGCATGTCAGTAGCAGGAAGCGTGATGAAGTTTGAACACGAATTACCGTTTGCATGCTCCCGACTTGATCTTGAGTTGACGGCGGATCGCTGCGGTATCACTCATCGTCGTCGGTGCACTGGAGGTAGAGGATGGTGTGCATTCGATGATGGCAATCTTGCCACATCGCGGTCACGTGTGACGCGTTTTCGTGTCGCTCGGCCACCGCGCTCAAGTCAAGCCCCGGGTTTAAACATCCTGTGTCACATCACAACGTGCATATATTCTCATATTTCCGTCTCGCGTCACACGGGCTCTCAAGTCCGGCTGTGGAACGAGCAAAGGAACAACACATTTAACGAGGTCGATAAAAGCGGAATCGGAATTGACGAGCCGACTCGAGCTGCTAGGTACATGCGACATCAGGTGAGTAATCACTACTGTAACTACATAGCGCGGGGACAGTCCGGGGCATAGATGGAACATATGGACGGTAATGCTGGTTCTGGTCTAGTCAAATCGGTCAGTCGCACACGCAAGCTCGAGACCTGCAAGCAGGTCAGCGACGCGGTGCTGACGAACCAACGGGCACACCACAAACTACAACTAGGCACGGCGCGCCACCTGCGCTCGAGGCCGGATCTCACCTACTCGTCTCCACCAAGGGCGTGAACTAGCACGCGCGCGTTGGGAGATAGGAGGCGGGAGAGGCGGCATGAGCGGAGGCGAGCGAGGAGTGCGAAGGAGTCGATAGCGCGGACACACGAGAGGATCAGCGTTTTCGTCGGTAAATATCCCGTCTTCACCATGTTCTCCCTTGCTGGCTTGATGATAACGCGGAGTAGCAGAGAGGCAGCGAGTCTTCGTCGCTACACGCGGGAACACGCATGAAGGCGAAGGGCTTGTCAAGAAGTGCCATTGCCAGGAAAAAGTCGGGGATGATGTGTGGTTTGCTAAGCAGAACTACGGCGTTGATCAGACGCTAAGGCTACGCTAGCGGCGGTATTGGTATACGGCAAGGAAATACAGCTCTTGAGGGCGCGGTAGACCAAGGTTGGAGTCATCGGAGATGTCGAGATCGCAAGTGGGCATCCACGAGCCGGTGTATCGGCGCGCAGCAGGCGAGGCACAGAACCACAGTTAAGTGGTCGTCGCCATCAGCGTGGTATGCGCAGAGCGGGTGAAAGGCGGGCGAGCAGAAGGGGACAGGCGACAAAGAAAAATAGGAAAGCGCGCACGGAGGGGCGAGACACTGCACATGGTGCACCTCGAGCTCCCTTCCGCGGTCCTACGTCGGTGTCGTGTCGCGCCATCGCATCGAGCCCGGCTTGGTTCGCTTGCTTCGTGAGGGTTTGTTGTCTATCTCTAGTGCGGCACGGCCGCGGAAACATTCCTTGGAGCTTGCTTGGATCTGGCATGCGTCACGGACGCAGCGGCCAACCTGGCTTGTCCCGTCGTGAGCCCCACCCGGGGTGGAAATGTCGGTCATGAGGGCGTGGTGATAGAGGAAAAAGGGAGTCGTGTGGATAGAACGATGGTAGTGCGGATAGAAGAATGCCGGTAATAAAGAGAATAAAAACGTGTAAAATGCAAATGTGATACGCGTGAAAAAAGGTCCATCGTAATCGTTAACATCCTGCAAGCCTGGCGAGGATCTCATACTGGTCGTCTTGTACACGTGAACATTGTCCGTTCGTTCTGCGTTGCTCACGCGTCCGGACGCGCATGACGAGCTTTTGCGAGTGGGCATCTTCGCCTTCAGAACGACTGTGCCGGAGACACGGAAGTCTGTTGCACGGTCGCGGCAGCAACAGCGGAAGCTGCAGCAGCGTGACGCTGCTCTGCGGTGCCGAGCATGAGGGCCTCGTTGACGTGCCTGAGACGTGCGGTCTCTGCCTCCGCCTGCTGGAGCCTCGTCTGCAACTGCTGCTGGGTCATCTCGAGATAGCGAATGTGGGTGGTTGCTGTGACATTATAATCAATCTCTGGGATACCTTCATCAAGTGTAGCATGTCGTGACTTACCGCGATCCAACAAAGAAACCTTGCTCGATTTCTGGTTCGACACCGGCAACGCGTCCTTGAGCCGACGGTATCCGTCTCTCAGCTCATCACGCCTCCGCTGCTCAGACTCGATGCGCTGGCGGCGAATCTCCTCTCGACGCATGTCGTTGTTCGCGGACGTGGACACAGGGTTGAAGTCGTCGTCATCGTCGCTCACGAAATCGTCCGAACCCTTCGCCCGCTTCTTCGGTTGCGACTGCTGGCGCGCAGACGTGCGCATCGGCGTGCCGAGCGGGTTGAAGCGATGCGACCGGGGAACAGCAGCGAGGGAGCCTGGAGGAACAGAAGGGCCAGGGGAGTGAGCGCCGCTTCCACGACGACTACGACCAGACGCGACACTGTCGGATGACAGCTCGCCCGTGCTCAGGTTCGAGAGAGCACCAGGGTAGATGCTAGTCGGAGTGAAGGGACGAGCGGGAGAGGCGGTCGTGTACGACGGGCTAGACGAGTAGGTGTACTCGCTCATGCCGTTCGTGAGGTTGAGCGAGTTGAACCCCAGGCGCGGAGATGAGTCGGCTGCGTGAACTGGTGTCTGTCAGTCGATGAAGGGTGCCACTAAATATAGGTACCACTCACGGCCCATGATCGGGTTGGGGAAGGGCGAGTGCGGGTATTGCAGGTAGTCGAGACCAGCGAGCGCGTCGTAGTTGGCGAAAGATGCAGCGTCCATAAAGTCGGGAGCGGTCCTGGTGTGGTCGAGGACGTGTTCAAGGTGAGCGGTCTCCATTGCAGAATGTGGTGTATAGACGTGTGGTGGTGCGAGTGCGAGTTTCACAGAAGGTGCGTGAGTGTACAGATGTGCGTGTTAATAAATGAGATGGAATAAGCCAGATGCCTAGCAAGAATACAACGTCAGCTATTGTCCGCAAAAATAAAAAGTCGTCAAGGCAGAGACGCACGATGAAAGCACAACAATGTTGACCAGTCGTGAAGAGGATGCAAAGAATACGATGGCAAGAATAACTAAGAAAGGAACCGGCGGGGGAGGGCGGGACGGAAGGGCGGGACGGGGGAGGGGGGAATAGGGAGCTGGGAAGAGAAAGGAGGGACTATATACCCCGAGGGGGGTAGAGAAAGACAGAAGATCAGACGCTGCCTCGTGTGCTAGGGATAACGCCTTGTGACGGAAGGTGACTGATGTCACATTGCCGCTCGCTGGGAAATTACCTCCGTCGTGACATGAAATGGTTCCGCGGCCTTGCTTCCGTGTTCTCATCTCCAGCAAGGGCCGTCTCTCCTTACGGCTTCTGCCCATCGGAGACCCTTTCATCGTCCGATGGCGTCTCCTGCGCAGCGGCTCGACAATCCTCCTTCTCACATCCCGGGCTTGGGTCACTTCGCGGCATCACAGGAGCCTCGCATGGCTCGTCTTCGAGTTCTTGACCTATCCCCAGGATACGTATCATCATCGCCCTTCGCCCAAGTACATTACTTTCATTATGAGCCACTCGCCGCAATGACCCCGCTGATGGTATTGTTCGCGGTGGCGGTTCTGAACTTCGCATACCAGAGTCTGGATAGGCATTCGGTCATACCGTGTAGGCCACCTGGGGTCCACGACGCGGAGGTTTACGGGTGAGTCAACGACGCTCCTGCCCACCTAGTAAGCTAACGTTCATACCAACGGGCGATCAAATCCCAATACCCTTGAATTTACGTACGCATCTAGTCCTGTACCGCCTCAATCGATCGCAACTAGCTTATCTTCATATCACCAGTCTCCATCGCCTGTTAAGGCAAGCGTCCCGACATGCGTTGACCCTGGTCACGTCCCAGAGCCTGGTCAGGTCAGCCATTCAACACAGCGTTAAACTCCCTACGAGAGTATTTCTCATCCCCCGAGAGTTCGGCCAATTGAATGACATTCTTCCTATTTCGAGCAAGCGACGCCTCGTGGCCGGGGACAAATTTCAGCGCCTGCATCGTTGTTTTCATTTCCCGTTGCCGGTCTGCCCGTGCAGGTCCGCGTCTGCGTAAGCCACTTTGTGCGTTCATTCTCCCCTCCTGCCCAGCTCTCTTCTTCCAGATCCCCATCCTTAGTCTCCTTGTGTTGTTCCGATCAATCCTCCACATGCATGCGCAACTCTCGATGTTCTGCCTTCGACTTCTTTTGGATTGAGAAGCCCATGTCATGTGTGGCATTTCACTCGTCACCTCCGTTGAGGAGTCTCTTCACATCGGACGGAGCTATCCGCAAGCTTCGGGACTCACAGCTGCTCCGTTTGCAACAGGATCATCATTGCCGCGGGCGTCTCGCCACTGCCAAAAAAAAAAGGTACGACAGGGAAGACAGTAGATAGGAAAGAAGTAGATTGCAAGCGGTCGATACCGATAGCAGTCGGACGTGGCAAAGTCGTCAGTCGTAAAGTCGTCAGTCGTGAGGTCGTGAGAGTCATGACGGTCGTGATGGACAGAACAGTGGAAAAGCAAAGAGGTACTACTTATGCCGAGCACTCGAAGATAGCGGCGTAGCAAACAGCGGATCAAAAGAGTTAATGAATGGGCTCGGAATAGGCGGGTATTCAGTTCAAGCCTTGTAGTAACCTGTTCCAAGGGCCAGAATGTGACCATAAGGTGCACCGGAACGAAATGTGAAATGGTGCTTACCACCGATCGACGGTGTCAGGCTCGAGTAATGCTGGAGCAGTTTCTCATACCGCCATGTCATGAAGAACATATACATCTGCCGGTCGGAGTTCATCGCAATCATCAGACACTCCGCTTTGTGAATGAAGACCGCGGCGGGGAAGTGGTTCGGTCGGCAAGCGAATGGGCGCTTACCTGGAAGGCGATGTCCACCAGGAGGGCGATAATGAACACCAGGTATAGTGCTGGAAAGCCGGCCTTGCAGAGAATCGAGGGCATCGTCGTGCTACCACCGTAGTCTGCCTCAGCGGAGGCGGGCCACAATTGGTCTCCGTTCGCACACTCCCACTCGAACTTCGATTTCCTGATAATGGCATCGATAGCAAGGATGCGCATTAGTGATGAGGCGTGCATGCATGACGTTGGATCATGTGGAAAAGGTGGTCAAGGTCAAGCTACGAGAAGATCCGACAAGAGCTCAGACGATACCGAGATGGAGTCGGGGGATGCACAGAAGATTACAATCATGATCAGGATCGTTCTCTTCCAGTGGAACAAACGAGGAAGGATGGAGAACGGTGATGCAGCCGATAAACGCCCCACTAGTATCTCGCAGGAGCTACCGTGCACATGAAAATGAATGGTGATGCTGTATGTTCGCAACCTCTATATGTGCACGTTCCTCGAAGGCCAGCTACCAGAATCCGATCGTGGCATAATAGAAGCAAAGGTCGACAAATTGCAGGAGTACTCCAGGCAACGAGAGAATGGAGCATGTCTCAGCGACGGAACGCCGCCGTTGAATGTGATTGTGAGAAAGGGGACGCAGACGCACCCGCGTTGCATCTCGACGATCATCGCGATAGCGCGAATCGCAATAATCACGATCACGAATGGCCAGGCTATCTTGCAGACGCGTGTCCATAAATACGACCGCTATAAATCGTCAATCCGGATTGTCAGTGGACGTTTAAAGCGGTGGGGCTCGATATGAGAGTACACGTCTAAATTTGTAGCAGTAGCACTCACATTGGATAGTGCGAGAACGTTGATAAGTGCAATGAAGGCTACGCCCAAGCCGATGCCACCGTAGATCTGCCTGAAATGTCGACCAAGCCTCGTTAAGCATATATTTTGGACTAAAAATGATCGACGAAGCAAACCATTCGGGGTACGTGAAATAGATGAACTGGCCAAATTCCAATAGGAAGACAGCTCCTGCAATGCTGTAAAGCTGGTTTTAAGGAGTTTTGAGCGACATTCCAAAGAGTGTCGTGATGCTAGCCAGTCCTCACGAGTATGATGATAGCCCAAGCCATAGCACCATGACGCTGTTAGGACGAGATAATCAGCTTGATTTTGGTCGAGACGATCACGACTATGCGTACTAGAGGTAGAACGAGGAGGCAATTATCACACCTAGAGCAGGAGAATGACGTTCAATTGGATGCTTTCGGTCCTTATCGTGATTTGCATACCACATTGTGAGAGCCGCCCTGTAGAAGTGGAGCCGATAGTAAGATAAATATATTCTCGTCGCTTGCTGAACAGCAGCTGCGCAAACGCCAATGTGTCTGTATAGCGGTCTGAAGAGCGTTGGCCGCGGCGACGAGCTGGCGCTGCTGGGAGCAGGAGACAAGGGGCCTGAGAGCGCATCATCGCCGTGGTGTGCAACCTTCTTCCCCTCGAACGTACGTTCACGAGCTCGGAGCGTGACTGATTGTGGCGTGACGTGTGGCGTTGACGTCACACCTCGTCCCGCGTCTGTGACACTCTCACAATCTTCCAGGGCTCGACCAGCAACGTTCTGGCCATCAATGAACGCGGCATCTCATAATCGTTACGGCTTCCTGGTGAGCTGTGAACATTATCGTCGCGTGGAGGATATTTTGACAGGACTACCCACAGGGTCCCCGACACGATGCAGGTCAGACGACCACGGCAACTTGGATTGTGCGCGACGCGCCTCACAAACGCACTTCCATCAAGACGCTCAGAGAGAATACTTACTGCCCGGAGCGTTATCGTCTGCTCATCGCTTTTGACACTAGTTCTCTCGACGAGCTGCACCGGTCCGTGAAAAATGGCGGACGCTATTGCAGGCGTCTCGCTCATCTGATGGGGTATCTGTACGTTTCCAGCAATGTTGATCGTCCTTCTCTCCCAGTCGTCATAACGCCAGATCCGACGATTTGAATACAAGTGTGATAGTCAAAGTACACTCCAGCCTCCAGGTGAAGAGTAGCAAGCGCTATGGGCCTGAGAGAATCAGACTGTCTTCATGTCCCGTGGTCCGAGAGCGCTGGACTTTGCTCGAGCGGTTCCGAACTTGTAAGCCGTTATGCTTGGTGTCTGACCTGCCAATTGATTTCCCATCGAGAGTATGACTGCCTCATGTCCTCTACTGCTACATCGCGCCCCCTTGGCGCTCGTGAGAAGGCGCTCATTTCCGATGTTCGCTTTGCATCCGAACGGGTGCCGTGTTCCTAGTAGATGTTCTCCCCTCTTGGGCCAGAATCGATGTAGAAGCAGTGGTAATCAATCTTCTATCTGACATTCGCAGATAGCGGAGAGCATACTTCTTTTACTGTATGGAATCTCGGCTCCAAGACAGCAAATGACCATGAATCGACCGTCTTCCTGCGCCCTTAGCTGAAGTTATCCGCAGATGCTGTAATGCAACCTATTCTAGTTGTCCCGATACTGCCAACGGGATTTTTCACAAACCCCAGAGTGAAGTGCACTACCCTCCTTTCCGTATCACCGTCTTACAAAACTGCAGCCGGAGCTTCTTCCCTGATAGTATGATTGGTGTCCAAACCATCGCTCTGCCACGGTGAAGGTCAAGTCGGACTCAGAGGTCTCGAGGATGCTTCTCGGTCTCCCTATTCCCCAGTAGGACTCAAATGAATTAATAACTGCAAAAGTCTGAATGGTCCGTGAGTTCTTTTATGAAACCATCCATGACTGCGTTCTCGAGCTTCTGTGCTACTGAATTAGCCGTCCTGTTGGTGTCCGCATGTTGATTTGAGGAGCTGCCCTATTGGTCATTAAACTCACGCTGGTAAGCTTCGAGTTTTTTTAGTAAGGTCTTGTCTTTTCTCGCGAACATGTTTTATGAAGCTGAGTTCGCATCCATGCTGAGATTTGCTTGAGATCGCCGAGGCTATCACTGCTCCAAAGTTGTCCATCTTGGTGCGCAATTCCCATCTGCAGCTCAGACCCCCATAACTCCGGGAAGGTTTGACCACATATCGAGGGACTTCGGCGTCCCGGAAAGGGTATGTGCGAGCTCCGTACGGATTTTCCAAATCCCTCGAGCCCTGACCTAGATCCTTACACACAGCCTGCATAGATTTATTTTTCCACGGGAAACCTGATGCAAAAATGGTGAAAATATCTTATGTCTGGATATGGAAATAGTTTGGAAATTGGGCGGAGACAATTAAATTATGTTACGATTGTTTTACCGAAACGTATCAGCAATAGTGAAACTATTTCCCAAAGGAAAATATTTCAGTCCAAAAATATGTGATACTGATATGTTTCGGTGAAGCAATTGTAACATAATTCAATTGTCTCCACCTGATTTCCAAACTATTTCCATATCCAGACTTAAGATATTTTCATCATTTTCCCATCAGGTTTCCCGTGGAAAAATAAATCTGTGCAGGCTGTGACAGCAGTTTCGCCGTGTGGGTTCCCATTTGACTTGTAAAGGCATCCTTGGTCATCAATCCTGTGCAACTTCATCTGCGTGGTGCCGTGTCATCTCCCTGCTCATGATGGCGGCGCTGCCCAATAGACGGGTCATTTATACCCCCCAAGCCTTATCGTGCTACCTAAACATAGCATAGCGCAGCGTTGGCCGGCGTAGCGTGCGCTGACGATCGCAGTTCTGAGTCATCAAGTTGAAGCGCGTCTGGACGTGCCGGAACTCGCCCACTGTACGCCGACTTGTTTCTGCGAACTATCTATTCCTCAAAAGGAATGGGAGCAGGGCAATCAATTTAGCTGAAGCCTAAGCGCGAAGACCGATGCAGGTATCTTGGAGATAATTCAACCACCAACACCCATCCTGTCGCCCCACTTCCAGTTGGCTCACATGGCGCGGAAGGTTGCATCAATAGCTGTATATGTCATGTATGGGCATGTTGCCGTCGTCATCCGTATCGACGAAGTCTGACTCAGATCACCCCAGAATAGAGCAGTGCGGACGAACGATGGGAGACTTTGTACCTTCAACTCCGCTGGGCCATCTAGAAGTCCCACGACGATCCCCAATATATATTGAAACCGCATCCTATCTTCATCGCTGCTCGTCAGCAAGCGTGCTACTTTTACTGGTTCAGAAGCCACGCAAGGAAGATATGTCCATATAAGACTGACCGGTCGTCGGGGTGACACTGTCACCGACGTCCCGCCATACCGCGTACCCCAGCACGGACGACTAGGCAGATTAGCGTCATGCTGGTCATCATGGATCGTCGATATTCTTCGAGTAGCCAGGCGTTGCAGCCCAGGTCTCATGGGCAGCTACCATATGGATTTTCTTTTCAGATCGAGCCGCACAAATATCATCCCGGCTCCCATATCGCGACTGGCCATGTTCGTACCTTCGTGCCTTCGCTCTTGTCGCTCCATGCCGCTGCAGAGTTCAGCCCTCCGTGCTGCATTCCATGCTGGCCAACGCATGAATGGGATATCGTCTTCTCATCTCTGCGAGCTTCGCATTCCGTCTACCGCTGGCCTCGTCGACCGGAAAGAAAAAAACGAGCCTCCAAGGTTGCTTTGAACAGCTTATGGTGAGAATAATCGTATACAACACCTATTGATAATACAACCACGTAGATAGACATCTGAAACCAGATCATGCTAGAGATGACTGAACGGATGTGATAGGGACTGGCAATACGTAGTCTTCTGTTTTCTACAAGAATGTTCGTATGTGAAGCAACAGCCGAAGACGCAGGAGGAAAAGGCAAAGAATGGGGACACCGGCACATGCACGCATGAGTAACGTCCCAATGATCACCACCTCCACTGGTTCGAGTTCGACAGGATGACTCTAAGCGAGACAGCATTTTTGCTAGAAAAGGCACGCCTCGAACGACCAGCGATGAGCGAGTTCGGTAGGTAGATCATCTCTTCAAAGGGGACGAGGATAATGCGGGTCTTGCTACACACCAGCCTGCAGCATCGAGCAACAGGATTCTGACGACAGTCGAAGTGCGGATCGATTTTTGCAAGAGTGTTGGGAGACGGATGGCGATGCGCGCACCCGGCGCTGTGTACCGTCTCCAGCATCTGAAGTTTGACCAACAGACTCCGGCCCATCATCGAAGAAACCAGCCTTCCTGCGCCTTCCATCCAAGAATATACGCCACACTTGCCTGAAGTAGTGTCGAATGCCTCGCTGAAGAATGTAGAGAATATGAGGAAAAAGAATTTGGGTGGAGCGATTGGGTTGTTCATTGAAGAAATGAGTTTGGATTGTAACAAGATGAAGGGATAGGGGAGCAGTGTCCGTGACAGGGCGTTAAGGCATCGTGATGTCGTGTTATCAATAGTCCTTCTCCGATGCGGACGGACTGGACTCGCTCGGAGGTTCCTGTCCAGCGACGGAGGTAAGGCGGTGCGCTTGCTGTGAATCTTCGGGCGGAGGAGACAGCGGACGAGCGTCCATGTTGACCTGGCCCGGAGAGGGCGTGTTCGCAACACCGAGCGAAATCTTCTCGTTAAGAGCGCGCAATCGCTGCACCTCCTGCTCCACTTGAGCGAGGCGGGCCTGCAACTGCCTGTTCTGCTTTTCCAACGATACAATATGATTCGTCGCTAATCATATCGGACGTTATCAGCGATATATCTCCTGAGGAGAGGCAACACGACTGACCGCGTTCCAGAAGAGAAACCTTGGAACTTTTCTGGTTTGACACCGGCAAGACCTCCTTCAATCTCGCATATCCATCCCGGAGCTCGTCCCGACGTCTCTGCTCTGCCTCTATCCTCTGGCGGCGCGTCGCCTCCTTCCTCGTGTTCGCAAGTGACTCGGCCATGGCAACACCCATGATGTCGTCGTCGTCTGAAAATGATCGACCTCGGCTTCTACGTCCAGTAGATGAGCTCGTGGGAGACGGAGTCGGATTGTAGCGCAATGAATGGCGGTGAACAAGCGAATTGGCGCGCGACGACGACGGTGAGCCCGTAAGAGAGCTGTTGCGCGAGTGATGGTAGATCCCGTCCGCGGACGTGTCCGATCCGGAGACGGGAGGGGAGAGAGGGTCATACATATTGGGTGACGACGGGGGAGGTGAGCCCGAAAGAGGCATCACGCCATGAGGCGGGGAAGCGTTGTACACGGGGGCGGCGTAATGCGCCTGGGGAGGCATCATGTTGAGGGAACGCTGATAGTGCATCGCTTGCTGCAGGTCTGTCTCTGACAACTGGCCTGGAGTCATACAATGAAGTATGGTAACAATGCGACGGGCGGGTGTATCAGATCTCCATTGACCGCTGAGATGAAGACAAAACACGAGCACCCACGAGGAGGAGGGCCGGGATGCACGACCTGATGGTACGGCATCTGCTGCTGATACATGAGGTAGGTCGAGTCCTCTTCTTGGGCATACATTGGGTAGTTCTGGATGAAATTTTGCTGCTCGTCAACGGGGTGGGCGTGCGGGTCCATTTGGGGTCGTGTCGCTATCGTCTGTTTCGTTGCGTGAAGAGAGGCGGAATAAAAGGGAAAGGGAAACGGAAAGGAAAAGAAAAAAGACGGAGGGAGGGGACGAAACGAAGGAAACAATGAGAAGAAATCCCAAAACCCCCAGTGGCGGATTCTCAGTTACGTCCAGGACAGACCCGAGTCCGAGTGCCCGCCCGTGTTCACCTCGACGCATTTCTGGGGTTCGCACGCTCCTCGAGGCTCCGGCGTCTCCCGCACCCAATTCGGCCCCTTGTTGACTCGAGCTCACGACAAAGTCCCGTTGTCCTCGACGACCACGCAGGAACACACTCGTTGTGTACGCACCCACTGTGCTCACATGCATGCAGACAACATCCCCTGCTACGGACAGCACAGCACCGACCTGCGGTTGCACCCATCTGCTACTATCACAGCGATCACACCCATCGTCTGATCGCGTCGTACGGCCGCCTATTGGGGTTATCCGCCAAATCCGCCAAGCTCTGCACAGCGGCGGCGGCGGCGACGAGAGCTGACATAGCCATCGACAGCGAAGCATAGCAGTCGGTCATGCAGTGAGCTTGCGCAGAATCTCAGGCCAAGTTGAGCGGCGACACGCATTCTATTGTACATCTGTCGTATTCGGACTGGTGCCCGATAAGCAAACATGGAATGACAACTATAGCACATAACGTTACGGTGGTATAATGCCGTCAGCGTCAATTCCCGCCGGCCTTGCATTCTCGCTTCCGTGAGCGCCTTGAGGACGTACGTCTTCCTCGTCGTGCTCGTCCAGAAAGCCCGGCGGCCCGGCCATCATAGCCTCCTCTTCCTCCGCCAGCCCGGTATAGCCAGAACCACTGCCTCTCCTCCGTGTCCCGCCACCGTTGGAGTGCCAGGAAGGCTGGTGTCGCGTTCTGTCCATGCAACCGCCGAAGAATGCGATAATGTCGCTGAAGGCGAAAAACGATATGCGTGGGATCTGCTCGAAACCTCGGAGTTCGAGGACGTAACGATTGTAGAACGTTCCCACTAGGATGTACAGCATGAATAATGTTGTCAATCTATGCAGCATAAGTAATCAGTATCGAAGCGATGTATTTGACAATTGGCGTACATCGCGGCAAGGACTGTCACGAATCCTATTCTTCCAGTCTTCTCGTGGGTAGGACAAGCTACCTACCATGAGAATCAGCATCAAAGGCTAATGTGTGTGAAAGTCTGGATGCAGTTACTGACATGGCTTCTCCACTCGATGAAAAAGGAACATGCATCCACATCCGATGGAGGTAATTGTGCGACCAATTCGGGTTGGCCTAAGCTCATGTTTATATACCATGACTGAGCTAACAGTTATGACGCACCAGCGCCGAACACAGAAGTATCGCAAGTGAACCGAACGACGGTAGAGGCAGTCATAGTATCGGCGCCAGGGCAGCGAGAACCACCTGTCATCAAGAGCGTTGGATGACCGTTCTGAACCACTAGAGTGGAATTTGTATTCCTACCGGTGTATGCTCATCAATGAATGTACATAAGTTTTGTTGATCAACTCACCCGATGGAGAAGTCTCCGCGCTCGTGGCGAGAGAACCCACCGACAATCGCAGGGTCGTCTACTTTGATCGCCCACATATCTGAAACGACTGGCTTGCAGACGTTCAATACGAACTCATAGCCGCCTGGCGACTTGAATCTGTAATCAGTACTAGAGGACTGGCATAAATTAATTCAATTCTGGACGTGATACTACATTTTACTGTGAAACACGGCGAAGTGAACCATCCTTGTGCCTATAAGCGGACGTACCTTGACTTAAGAGAGCTCAGGTCATAGTAGTCATCGCCATCACGAGCGGTGCAAGGCTGGTCGTCGGCCGTTGCGGTACGGGTGGCGGCAAGCAGCGTAAGGACAGTACGTAGATAAAAGGTCTTCATGCCGCCCGATGCTAGAAAGTAACAAGCACTGAGCAGCGAGTGGGCAAGCAAAGAGCGGTTACGCGTCTGAGATTCAAACGCATCCAATGCGGCAAAAAGCGCGCCGTGCGCGGGAGAGTCACGGGACCGTGACTGCAAGCTACCAAATTTGGCGCTAGCCCCGCGTCAAATGGAAACGGTCCCGTTTGGCACCGACAACGTCGTCGACGACAGACTCGCATCTACGCACGGCGACGATGGCTTCCACGCTCTTCCGCCGCCAGCTCGCGCGAGCGTCGCGCCTGCCCCGCGCTGCATCCACCTCCGCATCGTTGCTGGGTCGCCGCCACCTCTCAAGCACCTCTTCCGCGTCCCAGCCTGAGACTACGGCCACCGATTCCCCCGCTGCCGCCTCCCAGAAGAGGTCGGTGAAAACTCTGTTCGATCTGCATACTGTGGAGGACCTCCATGGAATGCCCGCCTCTGAGATTCTGGCGGAGACGGGCACGAGAAGGGACACGCAAATGAGACATTTCACTGGTAAGTGGTTCGTTTGCTCCTATCGCCGCCTGGCCGTGCTGATGGGCATGTTGGGCCTCAGTAAACTTTGGGTGAGATGCCCTATACTTTCTCTCGTGCTTCTGGCGTGCGAAATTGATCGTGATATAGTCCTCAGCATCCTGCTGCCCACGGTGTGCTTCGGTTGATTCTTGAGCTGAACGGAGAGGAGGTTTTGCGTGCGGATCCGGTAAGCTCACAGTAGCCTTATCACTTCTGTAAATTATTCATTATAATCCTTCTTATACCAGCATGTCGGCCTCCTTCATCGTGGGACAGAAAAGCTCATTGAATACAAGACCTACACGCAAGCCCTTCCGTACTTCGATCGGCTCGACTATGTGTCTATGAGTACGTCGTTCCGCCTGACCAGGTCACGCGATCGTATTGAATTCGGCCCTGTCAGTGACAAATGAGCTGTGCTACACTCTTGCCGTCGAGAAGTTGTTGAACATTGAGGTGCCGGAACGTGCAAAGTGGATCCGAACATTATTCGGAGAGATCACTCGTATTCTCAACCGTGCGTATCACCGTCTGCCCTCTCCAATCATCGCTCTGATCGCTACGATGCAGACCTCATGGCGATCCTCACGCACACTATGGACGTTGGTGCACTGACACCCTTTCTGTGGGGCTTCGAGGAGCGAGAAAAGCTAATGGAGTTCTACGAGCGCGTTTCCGGTGCTCGTCTGCACGCAGCATACGTCCGTCCTGGCGGTGTCGCATTTGACCTTCCGCACGGGCTACTGGAGGATATCTTCCAGTGGGCGACTCAGTTTGGTTCGCGGGTGGATGAGATTGAGGAGGTCGTAACGGGTAACCGTATCTGGAAGGAGCGGACGATCGGCGTCGGCGTTGTCACGGCGAAGGAGGCGCTCGATTATAGCTTCAGCGGTGTTATGCTGCGAGGTAGCGGTGTCCCATGGGACGTCAGGAAGGTCGCTCCATACGACAAGTACGCCGAGGTAGAGTTTTTCGCTAGTTGTGAACCTCTTAAGTGCAACGTCCTGAACACTTTATGCTCTGTCAGGTCGAGTTCGACATACCTGTCGGCAAGAGTGGAGACTGCTATGACCGATACCTCTGTCGAGTGCAGGAGATGCGCGAATCGCTTCGGATCATTCATCAGTGTCTGAATAAGATGCCTACCGGAGCGTACAAGATCGACGATTACAAGCTTTCCCCTCCTCCTCGCGCGTCGATGAAGGAGAGCATGGAGTCGTTAATCCACCACTTCAAGGTCTCTGAACGCTCCCCCATCTCCTTTCGCATTTTCTGATGCAGTGTGCAACAGCTGTTCAGCGAGGGCTACTCTGTCCCTCCAGGCGAGACGTACAGTGCCATTGAGGCGCCCAAGGGCGAGATGGGCGTATACCTCGTCTCTGATGGTACAAACCGCCCGTACCGCTGCAAGATACGCGCGCCTGGCTTCGCCCACTTGGCAGGTGCAGATATGATGATGAGACGTGAGTTTGCTTCGCGCTCGACGAACAAGTACTGACTCTGGACGCTCTTTAGATGTGAGCGACGATCAATAGATACTGTATAACCGGGACTGACATCTGATTCCCTCAGCATTTCCTTGCAGATGTTGTTGCCATTATTGGAACTATGGTGCGTGAATCCTGCTGTCCTGTATACCTACTCTGGCTGACGATCTATGAAATAGGATCTTGTATTTGGGTGCGTACCCTCAATATTATGATCAGAACAGGATCAGTCTAATATTTACTCCCCCCCTTATCACATCACATGTATCGCAGCGAGGTCGACCGATGAACAAATGTATTCTAGAGTGTCGTCACTTTCATCGATTACCTTGCCACCTGCCACCTCCTTGAAGTGATGTGAGACAACGTCCCAGGCAGCTTCTGAGTATACGAACGTGATACAGCTCTCGGGAGTCCACGATGTCCGCCTCCATCAATTACGGGCTGATCTACACAATTCGCAGAGGATGACAGTCTTGGCTACTGATATGTACCTGTAAAGGCTCTGGTAGGCCTGTATGCGCCTCGAACGCCAATTCTTGAGTCAGTTTTTCCGCCAACACACGCAGATATCCTCGTTCGGTGTTGGTGTGGCCACCTACAAATGGTTTGTTCGCATGAGATCAGGCGACGTATCGGCAAAGCAGCTCACATAAAATAATATTTCGGCCGCTTGCTACTGCCGCAAGAACGTCGTGATGTTGCATTTCGCCTGTGAAATACACATCAGCATCGACGCCATCGATCATCGATCCTCCGCTGCCAGCGCAAACCGCAACGGATTCGACGTCAATTAGATCTCGCGTCGTTGTATATGCCACCTGAACTACAGCGAGGTTGTTGGTTCATGCATAAATAGTACGCATTCACAATGATCGCTTACCGTGGTCCAAGCCCAAGTGGCTCTTCACCCTCCTAATCAACTCCTGCATGTTAATCGGCTCTTCGAACTTCAGGATTCGCCCAGCGCCACCCATACCCTCGCTGTCCGCATCGCCGATATACTGAACGCATCCCTCCTTAGGAACGAGTTGGTTGTTCAGTCCCAGGCAGAGCCAGTCATTGATGCCTCCTGTGACGGAGTCCAGGGCAGTATGAGGGCAGTAGACCGAAATACCTGCTGTAGCACAGCGGAGAAGGGATGTCTGCAGAGGGTTGGCGAGGGTGAGGGATGAGAGTGGCTTGAAGATGATTGGGTGGTAGGAAATAATGCATAGCGTCGGCGAGCTGAGGGCCTCGAAGAGCACGTCGTGGGTAAGACTTCAGAAGCAAAAATTAGAGCGTTCTCATGACTTGCTGTTATTACCACGAGAACTCACTCAATCGTTAGGAGCACACGATTTGCATTGGTGCGCGGGACGGGGGGCTCTGTGCGTGTCACTCAGGATGATACGGCCAGCGAGCCGACTGATTTCTAGCTAACCAAGCAGCAAGCCCACCTACATAGGAGTGGCACATCAGAGCTTACACGGACATTTCTCCGGGGGTACATACATTGTCCCACTTTTCTGCGAGACGCAGCGGAGCGATGCGCTCCATGGCCCTGCAAACGTTGCGCATAATGGTCATGGCGGATAAAGATATGATTTGGGATTGTCCTCGGAAAGGCAGGCGGAAAGGCAGGGGTACAAGAAAGGAATACTCACGTGATGAATGAGGAATGATTAATGAAACGCCAAAGTCGTGTAATCGGCGGTTCAAAGCTGACAAGACGTCGATGCTTCCCCGACTATATAGAGCCTTCGCTTCGACCACCACTTCCCTGCTGTACTCTACTGCTTCTGACCCAGTAAGCCTCGCGAGATTTCTCCGTCGAGACGGCTACTCCATCTTCCTCCAACCCTTCTGCCTACCAGCGTAAAGTCATGGCTGCTAAGGATCTCGTTGAGGTGTGTGTCTTTGCTGCCGAGCTTCCATTGTGTGCTGATTCATACATCCCTCGCAGTCGACCATTTCTGGCAACCAGATTGCCATCTTCTCTAAGAGCTGGTGCCCATACTGCAAGCGTGCGAAGCAACTCCTCACCACGAAGTTCCCGGGCGTCCCTACGAAGATCCTTGAGTGAGTAGCAGTTGACAGTCCTCCATTGATCGTAGAATTCATGAGTGGGATGGCTAGGCTCGACGAGCTTGATGAAGGAAGCAGCATGCAGGCCTACCTCGCCCAGAAGACTGGCCAGAGGACTGTCCCCAACATCTTCATCAGTGAGCTAGGCATACTCTTTTTCTGACTGCAACGGTTGACATCCCTCATGCATAGACCAGAAGCATGTTGGCGGCTGTGATGACGTGGTGAGTCTCGACTCCAGTGGCAAGCTAGCGGGTCTCGTTGGGGCGTGAGCAGCTCTGTGTCTTTTCGTGGCCGGGAGAAACTTTTGACGTTCACTATCGCCGCTATATAGTACTTTTTCCCCATCACGGTTGTAGACTCTGGATTAGTTGTTGTGCAATACCCTTTTGACGGACAATATTTGATTGTGCGCGAGTACATAAGATTAAAGGCGCAGGCCCAAGGAAAAAGCGGTCGATGGGTGGACCTTGTCAGCGTGGGTCGGGGATGTGCAGCCCATGCCCGAAGAATGATTAACATGTAAGCACGTGATGGTCGGGCAAATGTGATCGAGATCCAGGGCTGCGTCTCGCCACCCTATTCGCAAGCTGTAGTCTGTCACTCCTGGAAGATGTCGGCGCAAGCACTTCAGGAGGACCAGCTCCTCGAACTTCTTCTGCAGTTGAAAGTAAGTGAGATTGATGTGCAGTGGAAACGTAGTGACGTATTCATGCTGCAAGAGTACAGAAAACAACGCCAGAACAAGCTAGAACAATACTCAACAGTCAACCGCAGATCGCATATGCCCTTATGGCAGTTATGGTTAACATAAACGCCGTCAACATGGACATCGTCCAGGTGAGCCGTCCATGCATCTGGCCATCGAGGTCTTGTGTAAACGTACGATCATACCATCACATGAGCAGAAGACGTTGGCAACGTATGGCGCATTTTCTGGAGCTGCATCAACATCTCAGACCGCACCACCTGCGCCACCATCGAATGTCCCGCCAGTGCCAGCAATTCTTCCGCATCTAGTGCCACAGCCTCCTCATCGTGGCGGCACACCGACATACCCTCCACACCCTCAGCCTTCTGCCTATCCTACGCAGGGATACCCAGCCCCACACCCCAGTCAACACATGAACACTTACAGCGCTCCGCCTCCTGGCCCTCAACCGCAAATTCCAGGCCTCGGGGCATATCCACAGCCGCTGCAGGCCCCGGCTGGTATGCCTTCGCTGCCGCCTGCATTGGCTAATATACCCGACGAGCAGAAGGTACGTTTCCTGCTAAGGTTCGAACGCTGTTTCTTGACAGGCAACGGTGATACGCGCATTTTAGGCCCTCATCATGCGCGTGGTGACAATGTCTCGAGACGAGATCTTCCAACTCCCGTACGCTGAACGAGAGAATATTATCAAGCTGGTGTGTTCATTCCTCTCGAAACTACGATGCATCATCTGACTCTAAACGTGGCAGAGGGCCACTCTTGGATTGCCGACATGACATTTCATGTCTACAATGAGGTATACATCCCGAGAATGGGAACCGTATGAGATGAGAAGGTGTTTACCTAGTTTTGGCACGCTTATGGACACCGTGCTCCGTTCCACTTGCCAGCTTTGTATGCGCGCCCATTGTCAGTGCTTCCTTGAGGCTTGTATTATTAGCCTCAAGGGCGTGTGTGTTACAGTTCTCATGGGCTCTAGAAACGATCGTTCATTCACCTGGGCAGAGCGCGGACGTGGCCACCGGTGCATTGGCGCCGGTAGAATATGATTACTACGTTTAGCAACTTGGATTGTTACTTCGTTTACGGTCTCAACCTGCTACCCATCGGTCTTGCCCATCACCATGACCCCCGCCGAAGTGTCATGTTATACCATCGTCTACGAGGACAGCACCGAGTCCCCGTCCACGCAGGAACTGCGCTCGGCGTTGCAGAAGGGCTCAGATGAGGTCAAACTGGACACGTTGCGCAAGATCATTGTCTCGACAATCAATGGGAACCCGCAAGTACGCGCCTGCCTCCTGTATCCTTAGTGTGTCGGTGTGCTGAGTAGAAATATGGATATAGCCGCAATTGCTCATGCCCATCATACAATATGTCATGCCGTCACGGAACAAGCAGCTCAAGAAGTTGTTGCACTTCTACTGGGAGGTCTGCCCGAAGTATGACGACAATGGAAAGCTGAAGCAGGAGATGATTCTTGTTGTGTACGTGGCTTCAGCTCCATCAATCAAGCAGTACTTAATTTCTCCCAGTAACGCGATTCGGAATGACCTGGTAAGTACAGATGCCTTGAGCAAATGAAGTCGATTGACGCGTCCTGCAGCAACATCCCAACGAATACATCCGCGGCGCGACACTCCGATTCCTGCAGAAGATCTCCAAGGATGTGGAGCTTCTCGAACCTCTCATGCCAACCTGCCGCTCCTGCCTCGAGCACCGACACTCCTACGTCCGCAAGAACGCCGTATTTGCCGTGTACACTATCTATCGCCAGTTCGAACACCTGGTACCCGATGCGCCTGAGCTCATCCAGACGTTCCTCGCTGCAGAGTCAGACGCGACATGCAAGCGGAACGCGTTCGTGTTCCTGGCGAACTGTGCAATGCCGAAGGCGGTGGAGTATATCATGCAGGTGTTCGATCAGATCCCTGCTATGGATGAGTTGCTACAAATGAGCATCATTGAGGTCATCAGGCAGGATTGCAAGAAGGATACTGCGCATAGGGTGAGTGTGTCTCCGTGAACTACTATCGCGGGGTGGATGGTGAACTCGCTCCACCGCACAGGCGCGGTACATCATTCTGATTTCTGAGCTTCTCAATGCATCGTCACATGCAGTCAAGTACGAAGCAGCGACGACCTTGACGTCTCTGACGCAGAACCCTGCTGCTGTTAAGGGTGCGTATGTTCCCTCACAAGTCCGCACCTCTGCTGAGACAATGTTCCTACAGCGGCGGCGTCATGTTATATCCAGCTCATCACAAAAGAGTCGGATAACAATGCGAAACTCATCGTTCTTGATCGTCTTGATAATTTGCGCTCGAAACATGGCCATGTCTTGGATGCGTTGGTCATGGACATCCTGCAGATTCTGTCGAGGTGCGTTGAGCAAGGACGTCCTCAGCTACAAAGTTGACGTCGCATGACCAGTGCCGACCTCGAAGTCCGCCGCAAAGCCATAGGCATCGTCTTAAGCATGACCACAAGCAGAAATGTGGAGGAGGTCGTCTTGTTCCTCAAGAAACAACTGCAAAGGACACAAGAGCAGGAATTCGAGAAGGTCGGTGGATTCGACTGCAGCACATATACTGTGTATTCTGACAATGTGCTCGTGTGAAGGCACCGGAGTACAGACAACTTCTCGTCCAATCCATTCACATCTGTGCTGTGAAATTCTCTGAAGTGGCTGCGAGTGTGGTCCACGCCTTGATGGACTTCCTCGGTGACTCGAACAATCCGTCAGCACTCGATGTCGTTGCGTTTGTCAGGTGCATATATGCGTGTTGTCTATATTGTTGCGTTCGCGGTTGAATGCAGACTCACCACAGGGAGGTTGTTGAGAAATTCCCGCCGTTGCGCAAGACCATCTGTGAGAAGCTGACACAGACTCTTAACGAGATCAAGTCTGGCAAGGTGTATCGCGGAGTGCTTTGGATTCTCGGCGAATACACCGAGGATGTTGCAGAGATCCAGGGCATTTTCCGTGAGCTCCGCAAGGTGCTCGGCGAGATTCCCATTCTGGCGTCCGAGCAGCGACTGCTGGAGGAAGCCAGCGAGGAGGACAGCGAGGAAAAGAAGGATGAAGTTGAACTGAAATCGGAAGGCGGAAAGCCGAAGGTTTTGGCGGATGGTACATATGCGACGGAGACGGCATTTACGAGTATGTCGAACGCGCGTCTGGAGGCTGTGAAGGCGGCAGCGAAGCCACCTCTGCGAAGTGGGTGATCAGTGTGTTCTCTCTGTCGAAGTCTCGCTGATTGTTGGTGCAAGCTCTGATCCTGGGCGGCGACTTCTTTACCGGCTCTGTTCTGGCATCTGCATTGACGAAGCTTGTTCTGCGCTACGATGAGGTTGGAAGCGATCGCAAGAAAGCCAATGCACTCAAGGCAGAGGTACCGTCATCTGTTGAATTCAATGGTATGCAACTGACTAACGGTTCATAGGCAATGCTCATCATGGCATCTGTCATCCGCGTTGGACAGTCAAAGTTCGTCACCGTGCCGATCGACGAGGATTCGAGCGAGCGCATCATGAACTGCATACAGACGCTGAGCGAGTTGAAGGAGAAGCCCGTTGTGCACCAAATGTTTCTCGAGAACACCAGGACGGCTTTTTCGAAAATGCTACAAGCTCAGGAAGTGCGTATAATTTATCTTTCTCACTAACGATCGTTGTTTGACATGTTCTATTACTGCAGAAAAAGGCCGCTGAGAAGAAGGAACAGGAGAGCGCAAAGGAGAAGATCGTTCAAGTCGATGACCTTCTGACTTTCCGCCAGTTCTCGAAGAAAACCGCAGATGACGTGATTGACGTATGCACCTCCATCAGACACTGTTACACAGATCAAACTAATCATCATATGAATATAGGACGTGGAAGATGTGGGTCGTGCAACTGGAGCTGGCGAAATTCATGAAGACTTCATCTCCAACCTGAGCCGGATCTCGCAACTTACTGGTACGGCTATCATTTCTCTTTCCCTGACTGCGCTTCATTTGTAATGTACCATCCATAGGCTTCTCAGACCCTATATATGCCGAGGCGTATGTCAAGGTACACGGCTTCGACATCCTGCTAGGTAAGTGACAGTGTCTGATCCGAAGCGAAATCAATCATGTAGATATGGAAATCATGCAGATGTACTGTTGGTCAACCAGACCGCAGATACGCTTCAAAACCTGTGCCTGGATTTTGCGACATTGGGCGATCTCAAGCTCGTGGAACGTCCGTCGACGTACACTATCGCACCGCACAGTTTTCAGAGCATCAAAGCGACCATCAAGGTATAGTACGCTATCTGATAACGGCACAGCCCTCTGATGACTGAAACACGTCTTTCTATCTAGGTATCGTCCACGGAGACTGGCGTCATATTCGGCAGTATTCTCTGGGAAGGCCCCGGAATGTCGGAGCAGTGCGTTATTCTAAACGATATTCACATCGACATTATGGACTATATCAAGCCGGCGTATTGCACCGAGGCACAGGTGCGTTTGCCTGTTACTCGGCTTACCTTGTGGATCTCGCTCAACCCGGAGTGTTCCAGTTCCGGAGCATGTGGACAGAGTTCGAGTGGGAAAATCGGGTGAACGTTACGACGTCAATATCGTACGTACCATCTCCATATACAAAGCGAGTCGATGAGCTTACTCAAGAAATTGTCGCAGCGATCCCCGAGAATACTTGCACCATGTCATGAAGGCGACGAACATGTCGTGTTTGACGCCCGAGGGCGCCGTCTCGGGGGATTGCGACTTCTTATCGGCGAACATGTTCGCCCGCAGTTTGTTCGGTAAGCATACTCCTCTCCGAGGCGGTCTAGCGCTAATGAAAATTTGTCAGGCGAGGATGCTCTGGCGAACCTTAGCGTGGAGCGGACAGAGGCTGGGACTATCACTGGGCACGTCCGGATACGAAGCAAGACGCAGGGCATCGCGCTGTCGCTGGGTGACAGGATTACCATGGGTAGGTGTTATCATGATTGAAAGTGCACCCGCGCTGACCACGGCATTATCATAGCTCAAAAAGAGAATAAGCCTCCTGCATAGGCTGCCGGATGATATGTCAGAGCTTGTTGTATTTATTGGCTGGTGTTTAGACAAGTGCGGACACAGTTTTCAACCCGGGCTGCAATGTGTGAGATGATGGAGCGCGAATGAGTGCTCCGGTGGCAGTACGTGCGAATGCATGGTTGCGCCCAAAAATCGAGCAGATCTGATCGCGCGTCCCTGGAACGCGCTAAGATATGGGCGGGACTTCCATCATGAGGCAGCACGTCCATGTGCACGCGATATAATATGCAGAGACAGCGGCAAGTATGCCCGTCCAAGTTCGGTCCCTCCCTCCACGATGTCTTCCCGCCATAGCGTCTCGCTGGAGGAGAAGGAGAAGGCGTCTGTCGGCGACTCGACAGATGCCGTTGAACTCACGGGGCGCCCGGACGACGCGGCCATCGTCAAGAGCTATGGTCGCTTTGGTCCTATCGTCGAGCGGCTTTTTGCCCATGGCGTCGAGATGAGAGGGGTCGAGCGCGTGCTCGAGCATGAGCGGTCAACGAAGAACCAATACAACAAGTGAGTTGATCGAGCGGGCTCGTGTGCACGCATGTACTGATGGCAACGTCGGAAGCTTCTTGATGTGGTGGTTAGTAGATTCATCTGTAATGTGCAGGATGGTGCTAAAGCAGCCTCTCCACGTGCAGTTCCGTCAATTGTGTACTAACGACGATTCCGATTGGTATCTTGGCTCAGGAATACTACACTTTGACCCTCCCGTGAGTGATAAATACCATTGGACCCGGCCAATCGCACTAAACACACGCATATAGTCACGCCATTGCTACCATTATGTGTTTCGGTGCTCTGGGTGCTCTTACAGTGGCATTCACCAGCACTCTCGGACCCAAGACTGGCCTCCGGACTATGATCATCACCCGATATAGCTCAGGCTATGCAGGTGGGATCATTTACTCCATTCTGAACATCCTCACGCAGTGAGTGTCGGTATATGCGCTATTCTGCCTCCGTTGAACGAACTGGTCACTCGATCAAATAGGCTTGGCTTCTCTGTGACTGCAGTCATCCTTGGCGGCGAGACGCTCGCATCCATCAATCCAGGGACACTCCCGCTCGTGGTCGGTATCATCATTGTTGCCGTGTGCAGTTTGGTACCCTGCTTCATCGGCTATGAGATGGTCCACATATACGAGCGGTATGCGTGGATTATCATGTCCATCGTAATGCTATTTCTGTGGGGCCTCGGAGGGCATGCTGGCTTTGATATAAAGACGCAGAAGGTTCATGAAGATACCGGTCGGGCCCTTTCCTCAAACATTCTGAGCTTTGGCGGCATCATATTCGGTTCGTTCTCTGGGGTATGTTATCATATGTTCTCTCCCGTCTTGATTTGACATGAGCGAATTAGTGGGCACCCGTTGCTGCAGATTACAATTGTAGGCTCCCCGCGGAGACATCCAGCGTCAAGGTGTTCCTTCTCACCTTCTTCGGGCTATTCATTCCAATATGCTTCGTCGAGATCCTTGGTGCAGCTCTTATGACGATTGGTGATCCTGCCTTCGCAGACGTCATCGAAGCGGGCGATACTGGTGGCATTCTCTCCCAAACGCTCTCGCCTTGGAAAGGGGGAGGAAAATTCATCCTCGTCCTCCTCGCCTTTTCTGTTGTGTATGTTCTTCTCGTCTATGTGCTCCTCGTGAAAGACTTACGAAGAGGCCACCAGTGCGAACAACATACCGAACACCTACTCTGCTGGAATCTCCGTCCAGGCACTCGGACGACCTTTTGCGGCAGTCCCACGATTCATCTGGGTGTTTCTCGCGTTCGTTACATACACCGTTGCAGGCGTTGCAGGCCGCGAGCATTTTTCTGCAATCCTGTCAAATTTCCTTAGCATACTAAGCTACTGGACGGCATTCTTCATCGTTATTGTTGCCGAGGAGCACTTTATCTTCAGGAGGAAGAATGGCCCGCTTGGTGGTTACAACCTAGATGATTACGATACGCCAAGCAAGTGCGTGGTGGTGCTCATGCTGGTGTACCATCTACTGACGTGCATCGGCCAGGCTCCCTCTCGGTGTTGCTGGCATCCTGGCGGGATGTTGCGGTGTCGCAGGGGCTGTCATTGGAATGTGCCAGGCAGGTGTACCGATCAGTAACCTTGTGACTTTTCCTCATGCCTGCCTCTAGGTGTGGTACACAGGGCCGCTTGGGAAGGCCGCCGGCACTCCTACCTACGGCGCCGACTTGGGCTTCGAGGTATGTTCCAAAGTTGACGTTCTGCTTATCGAACTATGAGTGCTTACAGACCCTCCCACAGCTTGCCGCTGGTTTTGCAGCAGTGACCTTCCCTCCATTACGATGGTTGGAAATACATTTCACAGGAAGGTAACACTCATTGATGATTCACGATTGATGACTAGATGGCAATCTTTGTACTGTCGTAATGGTGTAATGATTCATTTTGGCTCCAATTCATTCCTGTGCGCGCAGCGGAGACGATTGCCTTGAGGGCCGGTGCTCATTGAAAGCCAGCAATCAGTGTGCCGTTGACCTTTCTCAGAATCTGGATGGGTCATACGTGGACTAGTCTTGCGCCTCGAATTTGAGATACCACAACAGTTCAATTGACGGACGCTCCCAGCACGTGGAAACAATTGTATTATCGTACATCTTCTCAAGGAGTCCTTGAGAAGACGTTGAGCCGGTTCACTTCAAAAGGACGTATCGCTCGACCAAGCATTCCCAGCCAAAGGCCCTCCTTGAACGATGCCCGTTGCTCGCTGGTCCCTCCTCTCAAAGGCTCCTCAGATCGCTCGTTCCTCCCATTGTGCAACTGCATTCCCATCTGGATCTCTTATAATATATGGAGGGGAACTGAAAGCGCGCATCCCCGTTGATTCGGCAAATGTGCAAGGGGATGGGGTAATCAAAGGATCGGTGCATCTCTTCGATGCTTCGTTGACGGATGGAGAACCAAAGAGCCACCTTCCACAAGGCTGGCGCACCATCTGCCCGTCGGTCAACGACATCAAGTCATCGGCCGAGTCTATTCCCGATGCGAGAGTAGGCGCTACAATGGTCCATGAAGGTGGAAACCTCTACATATGGGGCGGACGCGGAGGTGTCGACATGGCCCCGCTTGATTCCCCGCAAGTGGGCATATGGCGAGGCAAATTGAAAACAAATACCGCAGGCGGAGATAACCGTATCGTTTGGGAACAGATTGGGGGACGTGGCATTCAGCCGGAGCCTAGGAGTTATCACACTGCCATTGCACATGAGGTACAGTGCAAGCCAATGCACAGCGGACCTGCAAGTAACCCTTGTCCACATATAGGGAAGGATATACATCCATGCAGGATGTCCCGTGTCCGGTCGGCTCAGTGGCCTTCACTCCTTTGACGTACACAGTGGAAAATGGCAGGAACTTGCGTCAGGTCCTGACCCTGCTCGTGGTGGGACCTCCCTCGTGGCAGTGAAGCTGGAACATGAGGGATCGGCTTTGCTCAGATACGGGGGTTAGCAGTTTCGTATCAAAGCGTTCATAGTCCGTGGCTCATCGTAATGAACAGGCTTTAGCGGATATGAACTACCCTCAGCTACGGGTGTTTTAGACGTCTACACTGTTCGTGAGAACAAGTGGTACACAGTCGAGCCCGCTGCGGATCCGATTCATGGCCATCCGGGTGCCCGCTCCGTGCATGGATTCCAACGATTCCAGTCGACATCACCATCGCTTGCTTCAGCTGTTGCTGTACTATTCCATGGCGAGCGCGATGCGAGCAAGCTAGGGCACGCCGGCGCGGGGACATTCTGGGACGACGTCTGGCTGCTTCTCAAGGATAAGTCCAACGACAACACTGAAGGTTGGACATGGAAGAAGGTAGACATACTCAAAGCTGTGGAAGGCAGCATTGCGATACCGGAAGGCAGAGGTTGGTTTGCATCTGCTGAATACGTAGAGCGCGGGAACAGCAGGATCTTCATGCATGGCGGGCTGTTGTCATCCAATGAAAGAAGTGACGAACTATGGCAACTAGAGATTGAGCAGTAGCATTCCGTACACAGTCCAGCAATGTATGTAGTAGTTAGCTTCCGTGAGTATCAACCCGCCTAAGCCTCTTCTATTGCAGGTCAGGTGGCGAGGAGGATGTATTGACCGCTTGTGCCCGCCGATCTAGCTCTGTATTGAAGCGTTCCTATATGCAACAATGTGCTCAGTGAAATGCATCGATCGTCACTCGTACCAGTGTCGAACGTACGATTCTCTCGAAACCAACAAGAGCGCCGAAGGCGTCCAGTCGTTCCTGAACCGTCATGCCTAGGAACTCGTCCAAAGACACTTGCGAGAGGATGATCGATGCAGCGAAGGAGTTCATCCCATCAACTTGAGCTAGATCTGGCTCACCCTGTAGACAGACACGTATGAGTTGATTCAGGTAGTTGCACAAGGTTATCACCGACGTCTTGCTCATCCAAGTCGAGCCATTCGCGGCTACCCCACAGCACGTTTCCGAGAGGAGTTCTGCTCTGGGCCTGATCACCGAAGCGCCTCACAAGCAGTGCAGCCTCCTCGACACTTGAGGCGAAGGCGCAGGAAATGACTGAGCCTGAGCATTTTGATTGATATGCATCGGCAATGTTCAGATATCTGCGCATCTTCTTCACAGCCTTAATGATAAAGGGAGGAAAGGGATAGAGCATCACTCCTGGAGTTCCTTTTATCTCCCTGTAGGCATGGCTCGATGGGAATCCTTCGAAGAGCACCAGAACTCGCATGAATCGCCAAGAGAGCTCAGATAGTGTCCTTGTAAGATCCTCCAGTTGCGAAGGTAGAGATGCCAAAGACGAGAACAGCACGGCAGTCTCGGCATCTAGGATGAGATGTACTCCACCGAGAGACTCGCGTTCGATCAGGTCAATGGCGCATTGTGCCGATGTCAGATAACGAACAAGAACCCGTTTGTGGATGAGATCGATAGACGCCAGGTACCGATGCACGCTGCCTGGCGAGGTGACGTCCGAGAGGCACAACGTACGAGCATCAAGCAACTCTTCAGGTATGCTATTACAATGCGACGGAGGATCCTGCGTATTGGCAGACCGGCATTCTGTGTCTGTTGTCGTCGGCTTCACAGAGGCAGGTTCCGACCGGGCAGGACTGCCGACTTTGAGCGTACTTTCAGTCGGACGTTTTCCTTTGAGGCCCAAGAAAATAGTCATTGACTGCTTTGCGAATGACATAGGTGATGGCTGGTTCGAAGTAGGTGGCGTAGCAGGTTTCCTCAAAGTCGTAGGGGAGCATCGAGGTGCTGCCAGAGGTAACTGAAACAGGTCAACAGAGGTCTCAGCAGACAGGTGGCCAAGATCAAGCGAGCTCAGAGACATATGATCCTGTTCCGTCGTGAATGAAGTTGACGGATTGAATGAATGCAACGGGCGCGGAGCGCAATTAGCCTGTTGATGGTCAATTGGCGAGTGGACAGCATCTGTGGGAGGGGAATCGTTTGCGATCAAGCCATCGGGCGCATTGGCATCTTCATGACGAGACAGCAAAGTATCGAGGGGGTCCAGGTGGCATTCAAGGCAACTCAAGCGAGGATCCTGAGCGTTGTGAGGTCCCTTCAGCCATTGAGGACGAGAAACAGGAGGACTGGGGTCGCAACAAAGCTGATGTATTGGGTCAACGTCCGCGAAGAGATCTCCGTCAATGTCTGGACCTTCGAATCCTTCAGCTTCAGACGCCAAGTTCGTGAACATCCTCTTCTCGTCATCAAGCGCATGTGACAAATCAATGAAGATGCCAGAGTCTTCTATCATCAAGCCGTCTACGGGGTCTGCTGAACTGTAAACATATTCGTTGTATGTGGCTTCAAGTCTTATGCGCTTCGGTGGATGAACAGCATGTTCGCTGATGTCGTCCACATGGTAGCCTTGATTATTCTCTGAATCGCTGGAATGTAGTTCTTCATTTTGGCGGCTGACATCAAGCACTATTATGCGCCTTTGGTTGATTATTGTATGGTCGTCGTCGAACCCAGTAGACAGCTTGCCAAATTTGTCCGTCAGACATTCGTCAGACCAACACTTACGCAGCGACGGACAAAAGCTTGGGTCCTTCTTGAAATCTGTCTCTGATATCGGTGCTTCGTCGGCTTTGTGCATTATCTCCGTCAAGGTCCTCTCATCGACGTGTAATCCTTTGACTAGAGCGCAGCTAATGTTTTCAGCAACCTCTGTTACCTCTTCGTCAGTCGGGATAGTCGGGCCATATTTGAATGGCCTTCCATGATCATGAACATCAGTACGCCTGGTGAGACCGAATCCAGGATGCACCTCCATGATAGCTCTATATTGAGCAACTGCAGCCCCTTCACTTTCCTCAGAAACCCTGACCCTGAGTTGGGCCGAGCATCCTCTACGTCAGCTTGCTCACCAGGCATGGCGGTAGGTGGCTTCGGCGGGGCAAGGAGCTCCTGTAATCTGCTCGGTAAGAAAACACCGTTCGAGGGTGGATGTTCATTCGGAGGCCGAAGAACGGGGACTGTCAACAAATTATGGCATTCAGTTTACACGCGTGCATAAAACGGCCCGCACCGTCCATCAGCATAGTCTCTTTTTCATCAAGCTTTTCTCGCAGGATTACACCATGAAGGTCATCCTCATCAAAGGGGATCCCGCATAACTTCTCCATTGTGGCTTCGAGATCACAACTCGGGTCGTCCGAGAAGACGTTGAATGTCCACCGTCTGTCGCCAGTAACTGCCGCATCGCCATCCTCTAGGGTAGAAGGCGGTTGCCCTAGCATAGATGAGCTTACGGTCCTATGCGCGGAGGAAGGCCGAGACTTCGGTGTGGTGACTACATTGGGTTCTGTCTTTCCGGCAGCGGATCTGGAAATCAGCGGGGAGAGGAATGTTGAGAGGCTGCATATCGTGACATTAACGATGAATCCATCTTGCGACGTTTGTGACTGTGAGAACAAATGCACCTTTGGCCTTCACCGAGCATCGGGGGCTTGCTCTGCGCGTTTCCGATCTTCTGTGATCGGGAAAGCTCATATTCCTCTGTGGCAATAGGTCAATATATGCGCATATAATGCGTGCCCTCCAGGAATGAGAACACTGATGACCCGCACTCACCCATTTTGGCGGACATCAGAGACTGGACGAACGGCTCGTCGCTCGTTGGCGAGGCCAAGAAAAGTTCATCAACATCGCTCGAGCTGTCTCCCAGCGATGGAGTGCCAGCTGTGAGCGGGGACGAGGGTATCCGAAATGCTTCTGATAGTCATCCTTGAGCTGTTAGATCTCATTTCGATCATCATCAAGGGCAGCATTTCTTACGCCATCCATCGACAACAACCATATGTTGTTTGTACGGCTCTTCGTCTTCTTCGTCTTTGAATTCCACCGGACGCAAAAGGGAATGTAATTCTTTGACTGAGCTGATGCCTGATGGACGCTTGAACGAGGTCTCAGAATCTTCAGATCCGTGCCCTGGCCATCGGCTTCTAGCAAAAAGTGGCGGAGAAGCTGGCTCTGGAAATGCGAGGGGCGGAGAGTCGGCTCGAAGAAATCCGTCCACGTGGGGAGAGACAGCCGATGAATCATTCGGTCTTGATGCAGGATGTACTGATTTAATGAGGCCAATCACTTCGCCGTGTATCTGAGCATTCATGGGGAGCTTGAAACAACTAAAAAAATTACTGATCGTGTCAGCGCACAATGTTTATAACGGAGGACTTACAGTACTTCCGCCAGATCTACCGGCTGCTCATCTTGAATGTCCCTGGACGCTACCGGTCGTATTCCACTAAATTTGAGAATATTCTGCTGTGAACGAGGAAGGGCCTTCACAGCCAGCTGAGAGCCTCTCTTTGGAGTCTCTCTAATGGAGCGCGTAGTGAGTATATGAGATATGGGACGTTCGAGACGCAGCCGTTCATAACTGTCTGCATCAAGTGTCATAAAGACATTATATTCGCATTTGAGGCTCGCATACCGTCTTCGTCATCGTTCCAGCACTTTTCTGTAGCGCACTTTCCAGAATAATGAAGACAAGATTTGATGTATTGCAGATTTTTTGCTCCCGCTGACCAATTTTCCTCGAACTGCACCGACGCTTGTGTGCCCCATCTTCTTAATAGTACATCGAGAGGCTCGACAGGCAAGAATGGATCGTTTGAAATAGTAGTGGAGACGGGTTGCAGAGTATCAGAAAGGAGCTGATGGACGGAACTGAGACACTGGAATCGTCTGACTCGTGTAAGGCGTACCTCCGAGACTGCATCATGAGTCCAAGCAACATAGTCAGTCGTCAGGTGAGTGAGCGCATAGTCGAACAGCAGCTTGCGGATGTGGTTTCGTAGCACCGATTCTCCAGCGGTAGCATCCATCGCTTCTGGAGATGTAGGTACTGACCCAGATGAACGTCGGAACGACCATGCACTGCAAAGTACTGTACAAGGGGATGCGTTTGGCGCCCGCAATCGAACGCGTGTGGGACGCGTTACGGGCGGATCACGTGGGTCGTGTTTTGCATTTGAGGCACGGAGGGCGTGCGAGACTGCGAGTGGGGGTCTGTGGACGCGGTCTCACAGCTGGAGTCACCTCGATACGACAACGAGACGACCTTCTTTGCCTGCACTCCACGGCCCGCACAATGTCAGACCATCGTCTCCGTGTAGTCACCCTCAATTGCTGGTGAGTCTAACCATTCGCCGACAGTAGTAGGACGAGACTCACAATACATGGCAGGGGTCTGAAATACGTCTCCAAGCATAGGAAAGAACGCATTGCTGCCATCGCAGATGTGCTAGCTTCATCTGACTACGATGTCGTAATCCTACAAGAAATATGGGTGTACAGCGACTACGAGTATGTCCGCTCGGCGGTCTCCAAGAATATACCATACTCGAAGTTCTTCTATAGGTGAGTGGTCCGGACCGCTCACGTACGTCCATGACCTCACTTTGTAACAGCGGAGCTTTGGGAGCAGGTCTCGCCATATTCTCCCGCTTCCCGATAATTGGTGCCACCATCCATCCGTACTCTCTGAATGGCTCTCCCATCGAAGTAATCCAGGGAGATTGGTTTGTCGGCAAAGCCGCCGCCAGTGTACTCCTCTCCCATCCCATCCTGGGTCAGGTTCAGATATTCAACACCCATGTACGCATTCTTATCCACCTGCTGACGCCCACGCTGACCCAGCACCTGCCAGCTCTTCGCTCCTGGCGGTGACTCCGGTCCCAGCCATCTCCAAGCTCACCGTCTAGTGAACGCTTGGGAATTCGCCAAACTCGTGCGGCAGGCCGCAGAGGCTGGTCGGTATGTCATCGCCGCGGGCGACTTCAACAGCACGCCGTCCTCGCTGCCCATGACTATCATCCGGGACCATGCCGCGGTCAAGGACGCCTGGGTCGCCTCCCATCCGAACACGCCGCCGACCATGCAGCCGTCCCCGCGCGATGCGGTGCACGACCACGGCATCACCGCGGATTCACCGCTGAACTCGTTCTCCGTGGGCAAGAGGCTCGAGCCCATCGCGCGCAAGTTCCATGGGAAGAGGCTGGACTATATCCTGTATCGCCAACCTAGTAATAACAATGGAAAGGCTCCCACGCTGAAGTGCATGGATACTCGCGTCGTCTTCACAGAACTGGTGCCGGGCAGAGACTTCTCGTTCTCGGACCACTTTGGAGTGGAGGCGACCTTCGAGATCACGCCCGTGAACGACGACTCACAAGACGACTCACCCGACCCGCCCAGTCCATATGCAAACCATTCTGCCGACTCCTCGGCACCCTCCGTCGTTCTCATTGCTACCGCCAACCCCTCATCCATCCCCGCCGACGCGCTCTCCACCGACTCTATCACGGAAGTCCTGCACTCGCTCATGGCGTGCTACCGCTTCTCGATCTATCGCGCGCGCTCGCAGCTCACCGTCTTCGGGGTGTGCATTATGCTCCTGCTCGTCATTCTCGTCGGTTCGCCGTGGCTCCCGCCCTCGTGGCTCAACACTTTCGTCATCTTCCTCACTATCTTCCTCGCATGGCTTGCGACGACGTTCCTCTATGTCGGTTTCGTGTACGGTCGCTGGGAGGTCAACGCGCTCACAAACGTGATCGAAGAGCTGGAGATCTATCGGAACAGTCTGCTGGACCAGCAGAGTCGCCTGCAGGCGAACGCAAGAGGATGAATCAATTGATTGGACTAGTCAATGACAGAGAGATCTACGGACTGCTAGGTAATGCTACTGTATCGTGGAGACATTGCGGAACTTACACCTACACCACATGGTACATTACTTTTGAATGCGCATGCGATACAACACAACAGACAGTGAAAGTATTACTAAGTACGTGCCAGTGTCAGATAATGGACATGAATAATGGTATGCAGAAGAAACGTTACCACCTTTCAGTAAACGTCTTTCTCGTGAGGAACGAGACCCCATCCTCAGCACTCTATGAATCCTTGTTAATTGACGACATCGTCTGCGAGCGCCGGCGCCGCCGGTACTCCTGCGACTTAAGCGTCGCTGTCTCCTGCACAGGCCCGGAGCTCGCATACTGCTGTATGAGCGAGTGGACGTCGGGGTGGCTGCGCTCGGACCGGCGGATCGACGGTGGCGGCACGGGCTTCAGCGAGGACATGCTCAGCGTTGACCTGCGCGACCTCGCTCTGGGAGATGGCGGCTCGTTTCCTTGCTCTTCATGTGGGGGGTCGCTGAAGTAGTCCGTCGCAGACAGATACGACGCGCCCGCAATGATCGAGAGTGTCGAGCGAAGCCTCTTCAGCGACGATCTCGGATTTACCTGCCCAGGCAAGAGCGTCTTGCTCTTCTCCCGGTCCGCCTTGCTCGCAGCTATCAAGACACTGTCGTCTCTGTTCTCGTCTTCACTTCCAGCTGGCGTCGGCAGCTGAGCACTCCAGCTCATCTCCTCCTCACTCGGCGACGGCGAGACGTCCTCTTCCTCTTCCCCACCGTCCGCCTTGGCAGCAGTGCGCCCTGTCGCACTAATGTGTCCACAGATGTCCTCGGGGCGCGATATGCTCTCCGTGCCGTCGCCGCGCACGACGCGCGCGGCGTTGTTGTCGATCTCCTGCTCGAGGTTCTCTTCCGTCGAGCCTTCGAGAGCGCGCGGCGAGCGCTGCTGCCACTGCGGCAGGAAGTTCTGCACAAAATCACGACAGGAGAGAAATGCCTGCTGAGACGCTTTGAAGAAAGGGAGACTTTGGAACACGTGGACCTGCACGAGGCACTACCTCAGATAATAGTCATAAATTGTAACATAGAAGAGACGCACCGCGTCCGCATACAGCTCGTGCCGCACCTCAACGCCCGACATTTTCGCCTTGTGCGCAAACAGTGTGATCTCATCCCGAAGCACCTCGCACTCACCTGCCTGCACGAGCATTGGCGGCAAGCCCTTCAGGTCGCCGAACAGCGGGCTCGCATATGGATGCGTGAGGTACTTCTCCATGTGTTCACCGAGGTAGCACGCGATCGGGTTCAGGTGGTCGCCGGGAATCGGGCGCGGCACGATGTCGTATTCGGCGTTGCTATCCCACGAGTCGCAGCTCATCGTTAGGTCTACGTACCGCACTTTAGTAGAAGTGCAGCTTTAGGGGGAATATTACGCACCGACCCACGGAGACATGAGGATGGCAGCAGATGGTAGGGGATAGTCATTGTCACGCAGGTACATCATCAGTGCGAGCGACAAAGCACCTCCTGCGCTGTCGCCTGCGACGATGATATTCTCCGGCGGTATATGCAGGTCGTCTACCAATCTCAGGTAGGCGGAAACTGCATCGTGTAGCGGACCAGGAAAGCGCGTTTCGGGGGCTAATCGGTAATCGAGAGCTGCGACGAGACGACTGCATCAGAAAGCATGGCTGAGGAAAGGAGGAACTGGTCATACCGAACACACGAGCATTCAAGTTCTTGGCGAGAGGGATTGTTACAAGTCTATGCGAGGCGGCGCTAGAAACGTAGTATGCACCTGCACAAAGTTCAGCGTACGGTTTACTTCTGAGTAGAAGTGCAAGCAACCTACCTCCATGCAGGTACAGCACTACTATCTCCTTCCTCCGCGGATGTTGCATCGACACAGGCGATGACCATCCGGCATCCTTGATCTTTTCCTTCTCTCTCGAGCTCGCCCTCACCGCCCTCCATTCCCTTTGCAGTCTCTGCCAAGTCCGTTTCCCGACTACCCATTCTCCCGACAACTCTCTAGTGCCGTCCTCCGCGGCATCAAAGTCGGCAAGGATACCCCGCAGGTTGCGTTTGCGTACACGGAAGGTTACTGGAGTGGCAAGTGCGTCGGATGGAAGAGGGATGTACCCGCCGATGCTCATGAGCATACGAATGAGCGCCTGTGGACAACATTGAGCTGATTCAGGACATGACCGGAAGCTCGGACTCACCATGTCACCGAGATGCGAGTGTGATCCGACATCTCGCATGATGCTCGTCAGTAACGTCATCTCAATTCCCCATGACTTTCGTCGAGGACCCCGAACATGGTACGATACGACATCCGATACCAACTCGGACGCTGGGAGAAGAAGTCGTCAGTATGGTTCAGCATCAGCGAGCAACGCGCTCAGGTCACGGCGCACAGCATATCCAGCGCACATCGGATGCATTCCAGATCACAATCTTCGCGTGCCTTGCACAATTCAATTCGCATCCGATGCACTTCCGCACCACATCCGGCAGCTCTTCTCGCCGCGAGGCTCCATGACTGTCGTCACCGAGTGATACTCACCTTTCATCGCTGCGAACGCGCCCAACCTTCCAACCTGCCATATGCTGAGTGGTTGTCTCTCGCGCTGCTTGAGTGTCGGGTCACCCACGCGCGCGGAGGGAGGCAAACCGGGATTGTCGAAGTGTTGGAGGAGCTCCACTGGCGCAGCAGTGATCTTCTTCACGACGGAGGACGCGGGTGAGTCCGTTTTACCGTCTGCATCTGCGTCGATGGACCAGATGAGCGACAATGGCCATGTCATGGTGTGAGGGAGAGAAGAGGAGGCGGGCCAGTGCTAGACTGCAGTAGATCTGGGCACGAGTGGCGTCGAGTTATAGTGCGCGTATGTATAACGAATTGGCTAGATAAGTAGGGTACTGGCTGTGGCAGAAGGACAGAGGCCGAATATCGCCTCTGACAGGGAGGAATGGCCCCCTCGTGCCAATCACATGCCTCTGCGCCATCATGGCCACCTGGAGCCTCCTTGCTCTTTCTCCTCCTCAGCTCCCTCGAAACGCGTGCACACCACCATGCAGCGTCGTTGCGAGGAACTGGCCGTGATGTGCACATAGGTGTCACCACTCAATATTCAATCCCAGCAGGCAGGTCAGATGAGAGTCGTCACACGATCGCGGGGCAGTGAGCAACCCCCGACGTTCCCTCCGTTGCCCGGAGCTTGTCAAGTCACGCGCGCTACTGATGGGGACCCAAACGGTGTCGAGCAATAACTCCATAGTCTCATGCGCACATGCCGAAAAAGCGCTCGGACGGGTCTTTACAGCATAGTATGCAGCACACGGGATGTCTTGGAAGCTTCACAGAAGTGCAATTGGCGCGCGCACGTCCCCAAAAGACGGCGGTTCCTCCACTGAAAATTTGTCGACGACATATGTTAACGCTCGAGCACTCACATGAGCTCGACATGATGGTCCATTATCAAACTAGAATCATGGACAGCGCGCAAACACGCTGCGTACGCAAGTAAAAAGAATAGACATACAGCAACATGACACGACAGCACCTGCTGCAGAGAAGCAACCCCTCAGTAATCCCCCCCTCTGCTCACGACTTCTTTCCGCGTGGGACGTAAAAGAATCGTGTGCTCCTGCGTGAACAGGTCAGATGACAGATCCCCAGCCACGAAAAAAGACGACATACGAATTGTGCAGTCATCGCGCCTCGTTGATCGCATAAGGGAGGGTAGTCCTGCACGATGCCCTGAGCTACTAGATGGTTCAGCTATCCGGAGCTGGTCAGATCACATGCGCATATAACGACAGCGCAGGCAGCTCACAGCAAGTAAGTACTTGGTCTCGCCAACACGGTCGAGATATCTCCGACAAAAAGGCAGCGTCCCGAAGCTCTTGTTGATTGTATTGAGCAGCGACTTCGCCGAGTTCAACCTATAGGCAACAATGTCAGAGTTGGGTGCATTCATGTAAAGGCATGTGGTGAACCGTAGAGGAACGTGCGGTGCGTCCAGAATGCGAGCATAGTGCGAACATTCGCCCTGAGCCCATAAACGTTACATGAGTCGCATGTTTTCACACAACGAACCATGGAGAGTAACGCACACTCTCGACAACTCGTCCACGACCCGTCGACCCGAAAGTTTCAATGGCGAAGTACTCGCCCTCCTCCATCTTTGTCGGATCGTCGTTCTCAACGAGCATGACCGACTTCCCTCCATGAATCTGATACCGGTTGATGGAGTGTCCGCTGAGGTTTTCGATGGGTTTCACTGGAGACATGAGATGCTTAGCGAGGCTGAGGGCGTCAAGGAACGGAACTAACCGGGATACACCTTTCCCTTGACCTCGACTTCGTACGACTCCATCGTCTCCTGGATGGCAGCACCAAGCTCACCTAGTCGCACGTCGATGCCGGCTTCCTAGATGGCGGTGAGCCACGCCCCCAAGAAGTATACAAATGACGCGCAACTTACTCGGATGCCAGTGTCCGTAGCAGCCTTAACAGCCTCCAAAAGTCTATCGTACGTATGATCGAAAGTCATCGTGAACGCTGAATCGATAATACGACCCTTGACATGCACGCCGAAGTCGACCTTCATGACGTCACCCTGCTGCAGCACTGGGAGCACGCTGCATCAAGATACATGCTTGCAGAGGCAGGTGGGAGCTCACGTACCAATCGTGTCCCCGGCGTTGGGGGTGTAGTGCGCCGCACAGTTGTTCAAGCTGAGGCCGGTGGGGAACCCGACGCCGGACTCGAGCCCATTCTCCTCGACGAGCGCACGCGTGCCGTCCTCAATCATTTCCGCGATCTCGGTCATCATCATGCCCGGCTTGATGTGCGCCCGCGCATACTTTCGCACCTGCCGGTGCACCTCCCCCGCGCGCCGAATGTTCGCATACGTCGTCTCCGGATCCTCCATCGCCATGCGCTCATTGTAGCGCATCTCTTCGGAGGTGGTGCGCCATGCGTTACTGCACTGCGGTTAGTCCAGTATTCGCAGCAAGGAAGAGGTAATACACACTCGTCCTTGTACTCTTGCAACTCGCCCTCGGGATAGTTCCCGTCGGGAAACAGTTTCGACAGGCCGACGCGGGGAGGCTCCGACTGCTGGGCCTTCTTCTTCTTCGACTTCTTCTTTTTCTTCTTCTTCTTGCCCTCGCCTGCGCCCGCATGAGCAACACAAGCACAATGACAACCACAAGCAAACTGGTACCCACCGCCCGCAGGATTAACCTCCTCCACGCCGTCCTCTTCGACGTCATCGTTCTCCTCTTCAGCGTCCACGGCCTCGGGAGGGACCTCCTCCTTCTCCTTAACGGCGATGATCATGGCTGGCGGAGGCTGGCGGTCGAATGGGGCGTTGAGCGTTAATGCAGTGGGAAGCAGCCTAAGAGCTGTGGACGGTGCAGGGACGGGTGCGTAGATTTCCGGCATGCCTGCAGCGGTCACATGCCAGATCAGCATCTTGGGCGCTTGCACTATGATCGGTCGGATACGTGTAAGCGCTAAAGGCGTCAAATCGCATTTGTTCCTGCGCCGACATGGCACAACATCTCACACCTCCAGAATTACCTCCATTTCTCCGTCAGGTCTACGACTACGGCCACTCTACTTGTCTCTATGACGAGACGCAGCAGGACGATGCGCCGACCCTGTCCTCAAGTAGCTCTGCTCGGACATACGTGACGCTGACATTTGCTCAGTCTCTTGACGCGAAGATTGCTGGACCTGACGGAAAGCAACTAGCGCTGAGTGGGAGGGAGAGCATGATTATGACACATTGGTGAGTGGTTTATGGTGATTCGTAGTTGTTAAGAGAAGTTCTATGCATGGTGATGTACATCCGAAATTTTCACGCATTGAGAGTGCTCTGTGATCTCTCCCCTCCTGTCCTCATTCTCTCTTGCAGATGTCCTTTCCGTAGATGCGCTTCTAGTAGCAGTCACTGCATAAATGCGCGCATATATGCGGTTATGTCGATCTATCTTCTTTATGACGGTTCTCAGCTCCGACGTTCATATCATGCCTTCTGACTCGTAGAAGACCAGGATGAGAACTCTGCATGACGGCATCCTCATCGGCATCGGGACCGCTTTGAACGATGACCCGCAGCTTAATAGTACGTGTCCATGTAATCGGATTGAACGAGGCGCATATACTGACAATTCTCGCTAGCCCGCCACCTTCCGCCGCTTCCTGCCGGCCTATACAGCCCGCAGGCTCGTTATAACGTACCAAGGCCAATCATTCTCGATGCACATTTGCGGCTATCTCATGAATGCAAGCTCATCAAGAATTATCGAGCAGGAGATGGTAGGAGGCCGTGGGTCGTCTGCATGGGTGGGGCACAGGCTGCTCAGAGCGGTTGTGTGGCGAGGAGGAAGACATTGGAGAGTGCTGGGGTGCTCGTGATCCAGACTATCGGGAAAGATGGTGCGTGATAATCCATCCGTAATGTGTTGAGATTGACATTTTTTGCAGGACTCGTATCAATAACCGATCTGCTCACACGTTTATACGAGATGGGCATTCATTCTTTGATGGTCGAAGGCGGGGCACGCGTAATCAAGTCATTCCTCGCAGACGCAGGCAAGCGGAGCGCGAACGGGAGCAAAACCAGTGTAGTTGACACCGTCGTCATCACAGTCGCGCCGACGTTGGTCGGGAAGGATGGAATAGGGTACGGATCCGATCTTGCCGCTTCGGAGGTAAGACTTACAAGCTCAGGAGCACGCAACGTTGATCTTGGGGCTGATAAATGGCTTTGTGCACAGTTGCCTGCACTGGAGCATGTCGAGACGCAGCTTTTCGGGCGAGATGCAGTGATTGCGCTGAGAGCAATTGACTGAGATGTACAGCGGCAATTTCGCTCAAGCGAAACAAGGTACTGACGCAATGCGCCTACCGTCATACATCTCTGTAACACCCGCGATTTATCTTTTTTCCGAACCTTTCGCAAAGGTGCAGCCGAAGCCCGATGAGCCTTGAATCAAGATCAGCCTCAGCACACATGCTTTCTTGCTGATGTCTTGCCCTATGAGGTAAGAGCAGAGAGTTGGACAATCTCGCATTGCGTCACTGGACGTACCCTGCCAAGCGCCGACTCCTCTCTCACCCCAGGCCACCGCGTCAGATTTGAAGGATTCGGTGAGCTTTCTGAAATGTGCTCGAAAAGGATGATCAATTTATGGCTTATAGGATTAAGGTAGCCACCATTACTGCGAGAACACCGGGGAACGTTCGTCGAAAAAAGTGATGGCAGCTGGGTTTCTCCTGGCCGCGGCTGATCTTCACGGGTGTGATGTGATCTCAGCTGATCTCACCCTGAAGCTGCAGCTGGATAGCAGATCTGTCGTATGAAGTGACTTTCGTTATGGCTTGGCTATCAGCCTCCTTTGCGTCAGAATGTGTTCCCAATTTTGCTGTTGGGCCACAAATTCAAGAGCCCATAACCACATATAGCTCTCGTCGCGGGCAGGCTGAAAGCTCAGACCGGCCGCGGTTTGGTCGATTGCGTCACCGCATCGTAACATACTGCTGCTGAGTAGTCGGCACGGGACCTCAAGTGCCCGGCCGACATTGAAGGCGGCTTGCGGGTTTGAATGTGCCGGGAGGTCGTAGAGGGGATGCATGGCAGCGTCGATATGTCTGTGAGCGCTGCTTCACTTTCCTGCACTGGAGGATATTGATAGAAGTGTATAGTTTGGCTATAGATGCTAATCTCTGATGCGGAGTGCAGATCCTGCTGATTGTTGCAAAGTTGCTCCACACCACATCACGTTTGCAAATAGGAGACTGGGTGGCCCGAAAAAGACCTTGGTGCTGTGCTTGCTGGTATGCCTGTTCAGGGGGATCGATCAATTTGGGGAGGAAAGACGCCGGAGTAGGTGGTCACTTGCACTAGACGTGCTTGTGACGGCGGGGGTCCCTCGAAGAAATAGGCACAGTGAGGTATGCTTAGAAATGGCACATCTCTCGGTGTTGCATCCCTATGTCTTGCCAATGTTGAGCCCTAGACTGCAAGGTATCGCACCATTCTCGGAATCCCGAGCATTGCAAAACGCGTCGGTTGCTCAGGATCACAGTTGGAACGCTCCCACACGATGGACGTTGGCTGCCGAGCAGGGCTTGCGTGGTAGAGTCAGGTAGGGCTGCTTACTGACCCGATGTTCGGGCCGGCATCTGAGCGTAGGCCATCAAGCAACGATATACTTTGGAACAGTAACCGCTTGGCGACAAGAGGAGCAGCGTTTGCAATTTCGGTGACGCCGGCGAACTGGAGTAGCGATAGACGCGGTAAAGCATTAGATGCATCGTTCCCCTGTCGAGCTGCGTCAACTCATAGAGATTCTTCATCTCCTGGGAGACTCCACTGCCGATTCGCTCGGAGAAAGAGAGGTAGCATGCGGAAGGGAGTCTGGGCTTGCTCGGGTCGTCAGTGGACTCTGGGAAGACCCCACGGGTGATTAGAGGCCTTTCGACTTGTTCTGGCATTGTTCGCCTCGACGTCGACACATTCAAGAATTGGCCGAGGCGAACCCACCACAGTTCGAGCATATTCCTATCGGAGACCATTATCTGGGCGGAGCGTAAATGATGCGTGCGCGAATTGGGCGTGATCTGAGCGGAGTGCGATTCTGAGTTCGGAACGATTCAAGGGCTGGGTGACGTCAGGTGCAATTCGCGGGGTTGTGTATAAACGATTGTAGAGCAAGGACATGCCGGCTCGCCCACGGCGCCAGTTTGCGTCGCATTTCTTGCATGGCCTCCGTCCTCACTCAGGCGCCCCTCCCTGGCCCCCTCCATGAAATCCGCCTCTGCCGCTCCCTTCAGAAGACGGTAGCTCCGTCCTCGACGACCCCGACAACGGCGATCACACTCCACGCCCAAGTTGAACAGAAGGCGCACATCGCCGGGACCACTCACCTCGGGTTTGCCGACGCGCCTGAACAGCGTGTTCCCGACCAGGTCTTCCCAGCGACCTCTGCAGCCTCTAGGTATGTATGTCTTTACTATGCAGTCACTGCGCATTCCGTCGCCGACGTCGGAGCTGTCTGGCTCATTGCATTCCAATCACAGCGCGCGTTTTCACCACGATCACTTTTGCGAGACCCTGCCATCCTCGTTCTCGGACATGGGGCACTATTCCCTTGACGCGCACACCGCATCACGTATGTTGTTTCAGACCCGATATGTTGCGCTTTCATAGACATCCACACCGTAGATTCATTCCGAAATGCCGACGATGCGTTTTCCAGTCAGGAACCACCGTCGAAGCAGACAAAGTATGATGACCTCGCAGACGCGATGATGCGCGAACCTCCTGCGGTACGCAGTGTGCCACCCCCTGTTCCGCCGAAGCTTGAGTTTCGTCATCACGGCAAGTCCAAGACGGTCTCGATTGTCGCACCGTCCGACCTCTCGCACGATCATCACCACGAGGACGGTTACCCAACCTTAAACTATGCTGTTTCTGAGCCCGGCCACTCTTCTATTTACTCCGCCAGCTACGGATACACATTTTCGGGCCGTGGTCCGCTTCTCCACACGTACACGACCCAGTCGTTGTCTGGATATCCTGATTCGCCGCATGGCTGCCACACTAGCATTCCCAGCCACCGCAACTCATATCCCCTGGATAGCATGCATCTGTTATCAACCCCAGCGTCCTTCTCATCGCCATCGCATGTCGGTAGGAGAAAGCTCAGGAAGCCTATTCAACATCGACCCATGGCTAGTGCCTCAGCACCAAGCCCTTCCAGCTCTAGCTTTCACCAAAGTGCCAGGTTATGGCGGACTTTAAGCTTTCGAACTCTCAGCGGGACAGACGGAAATCCTCGATCGCGTAAGAGCAGCGGCTTGTTCTCTCGCGCGCCTCACACCATCAGCGAGAGCGGGCACGGCTATCCCAAAAGAGAAAATGCTACACAATCAGCCCTTAAATCGCATGATAGTGGCGGTGGCGGCAGCAGGAGCTCTCAGTCGCAATCGAGCGCGACTTCTCACTCTTCAAGTCCATCATCATCGTTGTCGTCAAATCATTCGACACCGGCAACAACGCCGGACCATGCATCCCCTTCAATATCTCCTTTTGAGGACCCTCTGCCGGAACGTGTAGTCGAGGCAGCCGAAGAGAAGCAAGAGCCGCCCATTCTGCCTCCCCAGCTCAGTCGGCGCAGCGGCCAGTCGCCTGCGCGCAAGCTCAAGAAGCGACGTCCACCGCCGAGCACGTCATCAAGTCCACAAACGCATAGTCTCTGGCGATTGAGAACGCAGATTCAGGGGCACTCTAGCCGAACGGATGATTATGGATTTCTACTTCCGATCGACCCGGCAGTCCCGTTCGGTTTGGCGATTGTGCGTTCTTTGAAATGCTTTTAGTGCGGACGCGTTTGCTGACATTCTGATGTGATGCTCTCATGTCTATCTCCTATGCCATCCTCCACTCGTCTGACGTGGAGCAGCCCAAGGATCTAGCACGATCTTCCCGTCCCTCTCTCAGGCATGCGAAACGCAAGAGCTCGACAACCGCGCTTGCGCAATTGGCCTGGACGGGCTTGTCATCATCCGAGCTTGCCGCCCTCACCTCTCGACTCAACATCCGTCAACACTCCCCCGAGCGCTCTGCACGCCTTGCGCGGTATGAAATCGAGTTTCAGCCTGGCGTTTTTGACTCATTCGGCGAGTCATTGTACGCTAGTGGAGGGAACCCCAAGTCGACTCACATCAACGACTTGGGCGAGAGCAAGGTGGATACTGCGGACGAAGCACCGGGTGGGAACGGGAGCTCGCTAGGGAATGCCGTGAGCTACACGCTGTCGACAATGCGTAGGAAGGTCGGGAACTCGACGCGCGAGAATGCGCATGCACATACTGCTACAGCTTCGTCCCCACCTCCCAGCAACTCTCATGTCGACGTGAAGACTCACGTGACGCAATCGCACTATACGGGCCAGCATCGGTCGAGTCGGCACTATGCGAACCTCCTTGAAAGTGATCCCATGGCGATGCGTCGCTGGACGCTTGCGATGGCCGACGTACCCGACGAGATACTTGTGCAGGAACTGGACAAGCTTCGGAAGGAGACCGCTAACAGACGGTCACGTTCAGGCAAAATGCGGACCCCTACTGCTAGCTCGAACGGGCACAGTGACTATGCTCATGGAGAGCAGTCGTTCTTTACGGGCTCAGAAGAGTGGAAAGTGGGAGGACCGCACTTCCAAGTGGGCCCTGAGAGCGATTCGGAGGATGAGGAGGACGACACGATCGAGGAGATGGACATTGAGGACGATGAGGAGGAGTGGAGAGCAGCGAGGCGGGCGCTGCTGTGTTGTCGGGAACTGGTCCGGACGGAACGCAACTACCAGGCGCGTCTCAGGCAACTTCTCAACGAGCAGTCGTCACATCCTCTATTCTCGCTGCTGCTGTCCTACGTCCCCGCTCTCATCCAGGCCTCGGAAGCGCTTTTGGTTCGCTTGGCGGACGACCCGTCGGCATGGGGAGTGAGCACAGCCTTCATTGGTTGTGAGGAGGAGCTCGAAGCAGCACTCGTGGCTTGGTGCGGCATCGTTGGCGAGTTCTTTGCGGAGAGTGATGAGAAGGATAAGCGTGGCAGGAAGATAAGCAGGAAAGGTGGTGAGGAGGCGGCAAGCGCGGTCGGACACGGTGAGGCTAATCCCCGCCCAGGGCCGGGCGCTTTGCCTATGACAGCAGCAAGGAGCGCAAGCCAAAGTGGAGGGGCATTAAGCAAGCCAAAGATGGCGGAGCACCGGCGCATGTCGCTTATCGGCTACGGCGAGGCTCCTGGAAGCAGTGGCATGTTCACGGCCGCGCTGGGAACAGGTCTTGCGTATGGCCTCTCGCCGACGTCGCAAACAACTCAATTGGGGAAGCATGGAAGCACTACTAGCGTCAAGGAGACGAGCCATAGTGCGGCAGGTACACTCACGCGAACGCTCAGCATGTGGAAACGTAAGAGCGTGCCGTCGTCGCTGTCGAATCTACCCACCTCCGTTGGCCTTCCTTCCTCTCCCACTGGAATGTCACCGACCACTGAGGAGAAGAAGCTTACAGTACGGGACCTCGCGATTCAGCCCACGCAGCGGGTCATGAGATACGTCCTGCAGTATAAAGGTGCGTTTGTGTTTATCAATACATCAGCTTCCTTCGACACTGATGTCTTTTTAACTCAGACTTGCTCCAACACACGCCTGCAACTAGCCCTTCCAGGGGTCTGGTAGAACGTGCCCTCGAAAGTGCGCTTCGCATTGCAAGTAAGTGCGACCGCGCGCAGGGCAACTCCACCTTCCTTCGCCGACCATGATCTGGTTGATATACCCTTATTCGTTTTGTGTCTCTCCTCTTCTGTATCATGCTTTCAACATCCATGGAGTCCATGCAACGCATAAAAGCACGGGACCACGCTGTCATCATACATGTACGACCACCCATCCACGCATAACTTAACTAAGAACTATACGGCGCTGAACGGGTAGCTACACCGTGAATTCGTCCACATTGTCATCTTGTACGCATAGCTTGTACTGGTACCTACGACATCACGACGGGGTGTGAACATGTTCACCACCACAATGATTCTGATAGAAATAGCATGATGGCGAGTCGCGTGATGACCTCCCTGTGACACTGTGTGAACCGCTGTAAATTAGTCGACGGCGGCCGCGTTCGTGTAAACTCTGTGAAGAGGATTTAGCTGTACAACTACAGTGGAAGGTGAAGGGCACAGATGATGGTACATGATATGGTCACTACAGCACAACGTAAGGTGGATTCATAGATAAGTTAAATGAAGAACTTCATCCGTGTCTTACAACATATATGCCCTCATTCCACACCGGTGCGAACAAGGTTGAAGAAGGCCGGCAGGCTTCTCCACAGCTCCCTTCTTTTCCTCTCCGCCATTGTTGAGATGTCTTGTACACATTGCGCACACGGCACATCGTCTTCGAAGAGGGTGTCGAGCCTCGAACAGTCATACAAGATGTCCAGAGGGTCGTCCATCGAGACGGGGGCGTTCTCCTGGAAGTATCTCCAGCACTCCGCGCGCGCCTTCGTGCAGCTCTTAATCCCGCGCTGACACCGCCTGCCGAAGATGTCCGTTCCGATGCTGCGCGTGTACGCTGCGAGCTCCCGCTGGCCGTGCACGAGTCGTAGCAGGTCATGCGTATCAAGGAGCCGCCACCGCGCGGAGCGCGCCCCGAAGCGCAGGTTCTTGCCCGGGTTCGCGCGGTACGCGTCCCAGTCGGCGTCCGTGCTGAGAAGCGCGAGCTGGTAGAACGCGGCAGGGAGGATGCTCGGGATGTTATAGTCGGAGGCTATGCGGATGGCGGACGCAGGTTCCGGGAGGCGGTCGTCGAGGTAGAGCCCGTTCACCTTGCCGGTGAACTGCTGTGTGTGTTCGGACCGCGCGAGGATGAATTCTGCCCGGCGGGCATCCCACTGCGCGAGGGTCTGTGGCCAGTCTGCCTCGATGTTCTCGACGATCCGCGCCCGGAGCGCGTCGCACTCGTATTTTGTAGCGAGCTTGAGCGTGCCTTCTACGAGCACGGGTGTATTTGGATTGAAGCGCTTGTACGCGGCTCCTCTAAATGCTGCGGATGTCAGTGCCGCAATTATGAATTGGCTAGCAATGACGCACAGTGGATCGTACAGTACGCCTAGAAAGCTCGCTAGATCCTCCGCGCTGTCTGGCATCTGCACATGGACGACGCCATCGTACGTTTCTTCCAAAGCAGTTTGTGACGTCGTTGACTGCAGAGGAGGCATTGCAAATAAGTCGGCAAGCACTGGGGAGTGCCTGGACAGAATGGATTGATGCACGCGGAAATATTGGCGTCGTCCTTCCTGTGACAAAGCTGAGAGCACGACGTTCCCGTCATCGAAGTACAGTGCTACATGGTGCTGGCTGGTGCGGGCAGCGTCCGACATCGTGTTGGTGATCTAGTACAAGATAGCTACAAGGCCCTGGTCAGAGATATGCCCGACGCGATAGATGGGAACAGGATTCGAATCCGGTCCGTCAGTTACTTGAACAGATGTTACACGTTGGCTTCATGACCAAGATGATGTTTTTTTTAGCTCCGAGTCTGTCTCATATGACTGGCGGTAGTGATCTGGTCAGAATTGGACCGAATAGAGCTGAATCAGGTTCAGTCGCCCATGCCATATAAGCGTTTCCATCAGCGTGTAGAACAGCACGAATTCTCTCACATGTGTCTTTGCTCGGATGCAAGGGGAAAGCTCGGTCAAGCTTCAACGTTTCAATGTACATTAAGCCTTCAAGCGCTTCAATGTTCATGTTCGACGTTCAACGTCCAAGGATCGGAATACAATTCATGCGATTGGCCGAAAGGTGTCCGTTGAACTGGGCGGCCCATCTGGCTGCCTGGCACTTGGACACCAAGCCTCAGCGATGTTGCATAATTCACGCTGCAATCTCTTCTACTCAAGCGCATATATGGGCCTAAGACTTATGATTCCACTATATCACGTTTTAGGAGAGACGTCCCTGGGGCTATCTCTTTACGCGTAAGATTCTGAAATGATTGGATATGATCATAGCATCCGGCCATCATCCTTGGGCACCTGGTCATTTAACTCTTAGGTAAAAGCACTGCAAGCCGATTCAAATGCGTGACTGAGCTAATCCATATCCTGCAGACACGGGTCGTCGGAACCATTGGTTGTACAGAAAGACCCTGACGATTCATCCTTCCGTGAAGATATCAACGTGTTGCGGTTGCTCTAGCAGTCGGGTGATGACCTCAAGTCTCGTTGGTCATGATCAATCACTTGCAGAACCGTTTGGAACGACGTTGTGCTGTCATCGCTAGTGCAAATTCCGGTACCTCCCTCGATGGCGCTGAACACCCGCACCCTTCCGTACTTTAAGGTGCCTCCTTGGCATGCCAATACTTATGCCGGAAGAGTCGCACGACCTTTGCCAATCCGTGGATCAGTCTGATTTCAGCAATTGATTCACGGCCAGGAACGCCGTACGCCCGTTCCATTTACTCCCCGTCGTTGAATGTCTTTCAAAGGGATGAAAGAGTAAGGCAATTTGTAACTGCATTCTCCGACAGAAGGCGAAACACTCAAGGTTCGAGTACGACGTCGGCACCGGAGCCACCTAGAACTCATGATCCGCGTTCTGACCTGGAGTCTGAATAGTAGGAACGGCTCAAAGCGTTTGGGCGGAGTCGAAGTGAGTACTGCCGATTGCTTCGTCGTGGGTAGTTCGGGTTCTCATGATTCCAGGATGACAGCTCTGTCTCACGCCTGTATTGTACTATTCCTCAGCATCTCGCGAGGATGTCTATTCAGCCGACGCATGTAATGCAAGTCCTAAAACCATTGTGGTGGTGGTGAGTCATGGTATGGCGGCTCATGCTCATCCCTATCACATCTCACGACACTCTGCAGGCTGTCTTCACCATCTTGCTAGTTCGAGCACATCAATCAATGAACAATGTCCGAAATTCTCATTTCAGACATGCGATTCCATGCCACCGCTTACTTGATTCTCCCTTGTAGCATACGCCCGTGACCCGTCATCATTCCCTTCCCGAAGACAACATTCTCGTTCTCGATGCGCGTGCGCTGTATGATAGGCACGCGTGCGCGTTTATTTGTTTACGTTATGCTAGACGCAAGCTAGATCACGCCAGTATATGTAAGTCATACGCTCATCAAGTGCGGGTTTAAGCGCTTCTACAGTCTAGTGCGAGACCACTCCGACTCATTGTTCTATGGCTACCGCGTCTATGGGCTCTGTCCCATTCAGAAACTTCATCGAACAACGTTGCAAGATGGAGCCTTCGAATTATACTCCGATGCTCCCGTAGCGTGCGTCAACCCACCATCATGTAATGCATGTCAAGCCTAAATGGGATACTACTGGCTTTGTCCTCTTAGAGATGCGAGCGGCAGGTACCAAAGAGAACGCCCAAGCTGTTGCCATCTCGGATCATTTATCTCATAGCCCGTTTTGTCAATGACAGCATGATACTCATTCGTTGAGCAAGAGCGCTGGCCAATGGGCTGCGTGAGTACGGGCAGCTCAACGGCCGACAGCTCCAACAAAGAAGTATGATCAGACTGCACAGCACAAGGAGTCTTGTTCGCGACTTTGTCTCGATGGTCGAAGCCGCAGGTGACAAGTTCGCGCACATATACCCGAAGTCTAGAATTAAAGTTGAATGATGTGCGTATGCCTATCAGAAGCAATGACCTGATTCCAGTGATGGACAGCGCCAAGCAGTCCCATGACCCTTCCTACAATGGTCGGATGAAATCTTCGGACTCCTGAGCTTGACAGGTTGTCTAGGTGCACATGTGCAATATCCATCAAACGTGCGAAGATGCTGTAACGTATATTCTCTTCTTGCATTTCGCCGGCGTCTGGACAGCGAATGCGGGGTATTTAACCAGGTTGGAGAGATTCTGCACTGCAGTGTTCTACCCTCCTCAGAACCTCGTCTATCCTCTCTCCCTGCAACCAAGTCGCGATGTCCGACAGCTCCGTTATTGGTGTTGTCCTTATTGCCAGACATGGCGATAGGTTGGAGCACTTCGAGGATCCCTATACCTTCGCGGTGTCTGCCGCTACCATAACTCCTCTTGGGGAGGTGAGTCGATTCACACTATCCATAGTGTCTCCTTGGCCAACACATTATCGTCAGCAACAAGAGTGGCAGTTGGGCAACTTCTTGCGTTCAACTTACCTCGACCCTACCTCGCCATCGTACATACAGGGAATCGCGCCTTCGACTTCTATCTTCAATGGTAGTCAGGTCGCTGTGTATGCGGACAATGACTTTCCCGTCGATGATGTCGTCATGGACAGCGCTGCAGCACTCGTCCAAGGTCTTTGGCAGCCCACGCCGCTCCAGAACATCACCCTCGCCAATGGGACGACTATCACGAATCCGCTCGATGGCTATCAGTATGTTCCTAGTACGTGACGGGAGATTCTGCGTTGTGGCAGGTTGATGAGAGAGTGCGCGTCCACAGTCAACGGAATCAATCCTGACCTGGAATTTTATCTCGAAGGAAGTACTGATTGCACTGTAGGTTTTCGTGTCTTTCGCGAGTAGCAACCAATTGAATGGCACATACAGAATTTCCTCAGCCGGGCTAGCGAGCTCTATAATTCTACGCTCTTTGAAGAGGTGTCCGAGGAGGCTGCGCCCTTCTTTGACGAACTGCCACCTTATGTCGGCAACCGGTCCATTGAACTGCAGAACGCGGTACGCCCATATCATGTCTGTCAATGCTTCTGAGACTGATTGTGTGATGCTTCAAATAATGTGGACAGTGGAACGTCAGTTGTTTGCCAGCCATAAAATAAGCCCTGCTTAAAATCGCTTGTGCATCGCAGATCTATGATTACATGAACGTTCAATATGTCCACAACGCAACGTATGCCGCAAGCCTTCCTCCGACTTTCCTAGAGCAGGCACGTGGTCTTGCCAACTGGGAGCAATATCAAGTGTTCAGTGATCCTACATTCGGCGGCATTGGGGATAGTACGTTTTCGCTCCGAGACACCGGGAAACGTATGGCTTACTGAATAAAATGCAGTTGCATTCACGTCTATGATCCCGGCTGTCATCGATTCATTCAACGCCTTCACGAACACTTCCAACGGACTCTTGCTGAGTTACTATGCCGTCAACTACAGGCCCTTCCTCAGTTTGTTCAACATGACCGGAGTGGTCGCCGATGGCTCAGTTCCCGAGGCATTCGGTGCGATTTCGCTGACACCCCTCCGCAATCGTTTGACGCTCACATCGCACCCACAGTCAACCTCGCCGCAGCCGTGGTGCTCGAGCTCCGCAACTCGTCCTCGTCGTCCGAACCCGTCATCCGCTTCCAGTTCAAGAACGGCACGGACGACGCCGAGCTGCACACGCTGCCGCTGGTGTTTGGCGACTGGAACGGCACCGTGTCCGGAACGGACGTTCCGCTGTCGACCTTCGTCGCGGCCTTCCAGCCTGTCGGCATCAACAACACCCTCGAATGGTGCCAGGTCTGCGGACAGACAACTGAGCGTGGCTGCGACGTTGCGCTCGCCGCTGCGAGCGCCGGCGTCACTGACTCGGTGTACCTCGCTCTCAACTCGAGCTCGAGCCCGGCTGCCGTTACCATTGTAATGGCGCATGAGCGTATCACCCCGTTGGCGGCGGGCTTCCTCGGTGCAGGGCTGACTGCCGCTGTGTTCCTGCTCGTCTTGGCAGGTTTGCTATTCTCTTGGGGACGCGGGAAGAAGGATAGGAAGGTGCCCGCTGATGCAGTCATCCACTTCGACGATCACGTCAGGGAGTACGTTGACGAGAAGCAGCCTTCGTTCTGAGGTGAGCGAGACATAATGCCTTTCAGTTGTCCTCTAGCCAAACTCACTTGAGTGCATTGGCAAGATGAAAAGAATGGTGCTTGAGATCGGAACGCGAAAATCCATTTTGCTACGCGGATTGTGTAATAGTATTGCGTCTAGTATTATGTCGTCAAGAAATAAGATGAATGATGTACATGATGATCGTCTGATCCAAGTCCGCCCGTAGAGAACGAGCACATACAAGCAAGCAACCAAGAAATGTCCCATCCGTCCTCAAAAACAATGCAGACCTAAGCCTGCCTCGCAGAAACTCTCAGCATAATCTCAGAAATGACATCCGCCGCATGGGGCACGCTGCCGTTGGTCACCTCGACCATCTTCCGCTTGAAGGCCGCGGACGCCTTGAGCGCATCCCAGTACTGCACGACGAGCGCGAGCTCCATCTCCTTCACCTCCTCATACCGCGCGGTGAACTCGCTGAACACCTCCGTGAGCACCGTTTCTGGCGATAACTGCGAGATGAGGTATTGCAAAGCATGTTTGCGCAGGTCCTCCAGCCCGAGCTACGGTAGGAGCGTTGGTCATCACAGTTCGCGGGATGACGTGGCTTTTTGGCTGCTCACCTTGTAGGCTAGGCGGTAGATGGACCGACACGAGACGGGGCCGGGCTTTTGTGTGGTTCCATTTTGGAATGGTAAGGAAGAGGAAATTGCCCGGCGTGATGATTTTTGTGGCTGCAGCGGGGCAAAGTCGATGCTCCCTGTGTATAGATAGTACAGTAGAGCTTCCCACCTGCGCTGGAGGTCAGCAAGATCAGCGAAGGAGACAATGGACCGGACGCACGTCCGCGATGCGGTACCGAGCAGGACAAATGTCTGCCCATCGAAAGCTTCAAGAATATGTGAGTCAAAATTAAGATAATACGTTCCATCGAGCTCACTTGAGTATGAGTATAAGTGGCTGCCTTCCTCCCGCTTGTGGTGGACCAGGCGGAAAGAGCCGGTTGTGGATTGCACTGATTCTGGGTTGGATGGGCATTCAGATCGGTTTCCTTGAATGCTACGACGGACTGCATCTTACCATCTAGGTCGTTATGAACACTATTTTGGATGAGACTGTCCTGCATGACTAGAGAATCTGCAGGAGAATCATGAATCAATTGCGTTTCTCGATGCTTTTGCAGCGGGAGATCATCCGAGCAGTCGCGTTTGACCACGACAATGTCCGCGTCTTCGTCATCTTCCTCCTCATCTGGCTCAAAGTCGCTATCACTGTCATGTCCGTCATTCACGAGGCTGTAATCACCAAGGCTCGCGCCTCTGGGAAGCTCAAAGCCTTCTATGCGGTCAGTCACTTCGAGCACTATCAAAAAATAAGATTCAGCTCATGACCTCGGCGTCTGCAGACACATGCCAACTCACGACCATCGTGACCCATGAAGTATGACGCGAGTTCATTCATATCGGCATGGAATTCTCGGGGAGAGCTCAGGTGGCCTGTCGAGTCCCGCCTGCGGAACACGATGAACCTCATTTTGGACGCCGGCTGCGCGGTCAGCACGCGGTGTATCAGGTTGAGCGTCGGCTGTGAGCGGAGAGAGGGCGGAGAGCTGGCGGAGCGCATCGAAACATGCACGACCACCGCGTCCTCGGCCTGCATCGTCTCCGAGGATTCGAACATGCTCAGTGAGAGCAGAGTGCCAATGCTCGCGCGGCCATGCTCGATGGTGGCCTGCCTGCGGAGCGGTTTTGTCGGGTATGCACACCCCGAGAGAGACTGCAGTGTCGCGGTGACGTGCATCGTGAAGGGCGGCATGGTGTCTCCAGGAAGCATATACAATGAGAGACGGCATTTGCGCTGTTTTGAAGATCCTTCCGTCACCGGGGACATCCTGAACTTTAGCCCAGGCCAGAATATTGAACTCATGCGTGCTTCGGGCTCGGGCCCATCGTCAGGATAGAGCAGGAGCTCTCCGAGGTTGTCCAGCGTGAAACGGACGGAGAGGTCAAAGTCTGCTGTGACCTGTTGTGTGGGCATGTACGGCGGCATGGTGGTGCTATGAAACTCTCGGAAATTGGAGGCGTATTAAATAGGATTCTCGGAGGTGGTATCTGGGGAAGTGATATGTCCGAGCACAGGTTATGTAGAGTTCAAAGAATTGTGGCGGTGGGAACAAGGTCATAAAGTACGATATGGGAGAAGAAAGCGTGCGGGAATGGACCTAGGCGAAGCAAGAGGGTCGGATGAATTCCTCGCTATGGATGCTCGTGCGACCTCCGTGGCCATGCGCGCCTCTCCCAAGACGCGTCATCCTAATTAGACGCGGGCTGTCACGGTCACGAGACCCACAACGACGCCACGAGGACCGCATAGGCTTGGATGCTATCGTAAAGATCGATTTCAGGTACTTGCAGAGAGATCTAATAACCATTCAAGATCATCTGAGTTAGTCTACAGAGTATGTAGGTGTCCATACACCGAATGCTGTGTGTGGCACTTAGACTTCTGTCATCCTACTACTCCATCTGACGCGACTGAAGGCCAAGTCCTGAACGGAATTCTGGTACGGAATCCCTACCGGAATCTGCGCCATAATTCTCCATCGTGCGTCCTTCATGAATGCGACGACATACTTTCTTCACCAAGCACAGTATATTGCACAATTCTCCTGCTTTACACACACACACACTCAACATCACCCAAGATACTTAATGTACATCAAGAACGTCCATAACGACCCACTCGACCAAGCAATCCAGCAGCAGCGACGACGTACACTTACTTTCGTTCCTCCTCTCGTTCGGGTTCCTCCTCCGACTCGGAACTGTCATACAACATCACGTACTCTATCTCCTGCTGACGAGCAGCGGGCGCAATTTGAGACCTGCTAAGCTCATACGCGACTTCATCTTCTTCCGAAACAGACGAGGCGGGAGCATCCACGAGCGAGGCAGACGACTCGGATGAACCGTCCTCCGAAGGTGGCCCAGACGGAATCGTCAAGGACGTCGTCGGGACGGAGCTGACTGTACCTGCGCGTTCGCGAATAGCAGCGGCGTCGGGCATGACATCACGATCCTGCGCAGAGTGAGGCATAATCACGGAGGACGACGCGAGCGAACTGTCTTCGGTGGAGAGTGTGGACATCGCCATCGTGATCTCGGCAACAGCGATGCTATTGCATAACGTCAGCCCCGACGCTCTGGATAGAATAGAAGGAAATCACATACTCGACCCAGACACTGTGGCCAAATTGATTGCCTTCTCCGTCGCTCAGTCTCCAGTAGCTGACATACTTTCCCGGAGTCTCAGGTGCCTGAGCAACAGTCATGAGCGTAAGAAGTCACCAAACAAAAGGCAGGAACTCACCTTCATCTCCCCAGCAACGATCTCGACTTCTTCGCCTGCCTTCACCGCGCCGACCTTCACCTTCCTCGGGGAATTACCGTGCGGGGCCATGCGGTCGCCAGCGACGAACACAAGCTCAGTGGATTCGGGCCAGTCCCTAGAGCCCTGGTTCGCCATCCTCCACGACTTCACAAACTCAGCACCGGGCGGGAAGATCTGGCCGTCCGGAATGTTGCCATCGGAGACGAACGTCGCATGCAGAGGCTGCAGGCCAATCGATGCCTGCAGCGAAGGCTCTGCCGAGTGCCCTTCGCTATCGCCAGCAGACGATGCAGTGAAGTAGTCACTCACGCGCTGGACGTTCGAGCGGACGTTCTCCAGCCTGTCACTTGCACGGGGACCAAGCGGCCTGCACAAAAGTGGCTCGCCGCCCAATGTTGACCCTTCAACAGCGGCACTCGGGTACTCGTCCTCGGGCTTCGCCTGCACACTTTCGTCCGTCTTCGATTCCTCCACAACCATTCCTCCTGGCATACCCTCTTCGCGCGTCAGGTTCGGCACACCGTTCGGCGTCGGGGGCTGCAGCAAGTGCTTGAGCATAGTCGTCAACTCAGGCCAGAGCTCACGCCATTCATTGTTCACGGGACCGAGACGAGGCACGGACGCTGGTGTGGACGCACCCGCTTCCAGCGGAGTCATCACCCCACCCGGGACACTATTCCCAGCCTGTGCATTCTGCGTATTACTGGGCTCATCCAAGTCGATGAGTGATTCAGACGAGGAAGCGACCGATTGTCCAACGGATGTACTCTGATTCTCAGGATACTTAGCCTTGATAATCGAAGCCAGCGTTCTCACGGAAGAGCGATCCAGAGAAGCCATGGCCTCGTCGTTTGTCGGGCTGAGCAGACCGGAGCTCGGTATCTTGAAGTTGTGCAGAAGAGAGGTAGCGGGAGTTTCGTCCTTCGCAGACTCCGCCTCGTCAACGTTGATCTCGCTGAGATCACGCATGAGAGGCGACTGATCCGGCTTCGCAGTCTCCAACTCTTCCAAAGGCATCATGGCAGGCGCCGTTTGAGTGTTGAAGATCGCCAGCTGGTCAAGAGCATCGCGGATAGTCTGCAGACGCAGCCGGCGCGCTTCCTCCTCACCCTCGTCTACGGGGCTCTGCTGCGTACTAGCGTATGACAACGAACGGCCGACTTCATCGGTGACTTCCGTTGCCTTCGACACCATCTGGAGAGGCTTGTGAACAAGCGGAACCAACGTATCCGCCGTCTTCATCTTGAGCAATGGGTGCGCCAGCGGATGTGCTGGGAAGGGTAGAGCCTCACAGTCCTGGCAGAGGTCAAAGTCCAGGCAAGACGGGCTCATGCACTTTTACACATCATCACGTCAGCGTTGTACACATGTACAAGAGAACCGATGTATATACCTTGTAGCGAACGCCGGCTATGCGACTGCCACAGACATTGCAAACAGCATTGTAAAGCACATCTTTGCCAAGCGCGTTGCGGACCTACATCATCACGATATTAGAAACCCGGATATGACCAACCTCACGATTCGTCTACTCACGAAGAGGTCCTCCGGCTTGCGAATCAACACGAACCCGTGGTGCGGATGCTGCTCTTTGGTGATCCTACAGCAGCATAAGTCAAAAACCAACGACGGATCGTCAGCCATGCAACTCACTGGAAGCAGCTCGAACAAGTGTCAAAGTCCGGGCAGTTCAAGCATTTCTGTTGTCCTTTGTTAGACATCAATATTGACGCGTCCGCGAAATATACTCACGTATCGGTCACCGATGATCCTCGAGTCACACATATTGCATTCCGCTGAATGAGCAACAGGCTCGATGACCCCCTTGGGAGCCTCTGTCGCCGTGGGAATTGCCTGTTCTGTCGCTACGGTCCTCGTTGACGCCTCGTTGGACTCGCGTTCGCCTTGGCCATCGAAAACATAGTGCACGATAACCTCACCGGGCTTGTCAATCATGAAGAACTGGTGCGACGGGTGATGCTGCTCGCGAACACCAGGCTTCTCAATACACGAAGTGCACAAGTCAAAATCAGCGCAATCAAGACACTTGTGGCGCACTCCGACGACCTCGCCATTGCACGCATCGCAACGGACATTGCGATGCACTGGCAGGGCCATCCTGGGAGTCTCGGAGGCGGGAGTAGCCACCTCAGCTGAAGGCGCAATCTCTTCGCGCGCGTGGGAAAAGGCGCTGATGTCCGATGGCTTGTAAATGGGGAAGAATCTGTGCGAGAGGTCATGCCGCTTTCTCAACTCAGGCGAGGACATGCAAGCTGTGCAGAGGTCGTATTCTGTAGTTCAATGGTATATTAATTTAATGTTTCAGACAACTGGAGTTAACTTGCCATCGCAGTCCAGACATTTGTGCCTCGTTCCAATGAAGTTTCGCTTGAGACAGACGTCACACACAACTCCGTGATGCGTCAGATGTTTGATATCGTCAGGGGCACTGATCGGAAGGAACGTATGACGATCGTCATGCTGCCTTACTGCATCAGGCGACGACATGCATTTGCTACACAAGTCGAAATCTGGTATCGGAAACATCAGATCGTGACAATGTCGCACGGTACATCGCAACTTACCTTCGCAATTAAGGCACTTGTATCTCATGCCGCTGAAGTTACGCTCGTTGCACGAATCACAGGTTATACCACGATGAATAATTATTCGTTCTTGCACCTGCCTGTTTTCGACGGCCGGACTTGAGTAAGCACTACCAGTGCGGGATATCGCCCGCGGGAGCGAAGAAGCCGGCACAAACTGCGAACAAAACGTGCTCTTCATCGCATCCTGAGGATTCCCGAACATCGGCGGCGGCGGCAGAGGCGGAAGAGCGTTGATCGCAGGAGGAGGCGTTGGCAGATGACGATGCGGAGCGCCCTGGGGCTCAAGGACATGCGTCGTATAGTAGGGGAAAAAGCCAGGAGGGAATGAAGCGGGCGGTGGCGGAGGTGGGGGAAAATACTTGGGCTGATACGCATTGCTCGACGGGAATAATCCGCCAGCATTGCTCGACGGGAATAATCCTGGCGGAGGAGGTGGAGGCGGAGGCACCCAGGTCGCGCCACACCCTCCAGGTAACGTAGGACTGCCGCGAGCGCTGTGCGTCTCCAAGTGCTGCATGTTAACATTCCAGTCAGCACCAAAAGCAGTCTTCATCGAATGGTCGAGATCAATCATGAAGTTCTCCACAATCGCCTTGACATCGGCCTTGCCTTGCGAGACTGAGCAACAAGAAGTAGGATCGCGCGCTTGAGGTATCTCAGAAGATCCGCGTATGGGGCTAGGACTTCTGGCGAACAACCATGCAGGAGGCGGGCTCGGCACACACAAAGGAGTACGGATGCACGGCGACGGGTGCTCATTGACGGTAGCATTCGCGTCAAACAGAACTGGGGGCACCGGAATGATGGGAGGTGACCACTCCGCAGGCGCCACGAACGCCTGGCCAGCTGCGGGCCTGCGGTTCTCCTCGGGCGACGGCACCCGAACAGATGATGGCTGTTCCGGGAACGAGATGTCAGACAAGCTCCCCCGATACGAGCAAACAGGCTCCACGACCTCGAGATCTCGTACTCTCGGTGACTCTTGTTGCAACAAGTCAAACAAAGACGGTCTCGCTGACTCATCCATCGCAGGCTTGCGCTCCGGCGCTACATTCTCTTGAATCAGCAGATCGAACAGAGAAGGTCTTGCAGTGCGACTGCTCCCAGCGCCGCCTGATGACGGACGACGTGGAAGCGGCCTCGACGACTGCTGAGCAGGCGAGGTCCTGCGTGGCGATCTCGGTGGGGACCTCGGCGGCGACGGCGGGACAATCGTGCTGGCGCCGGAGCGATTCGTGGTGCCTTCGCGGAGGCGCTCGAGCAGCTGCCTGCGTTCCTCGCGCCTGCGAGTGCGGCTTCCCACCTGCGGGACGTCGACGAGGGTGGCCGTGGAACCCAGCGTAGCGCCCTGGGAGCTGGAGGCGCTCGTGTACTCGGATTCGACGGTGGACAACATGCTGAGGCGGTTGGCTGACGTAGTTGCGGGGGACTTGTGCGGGGTCTCGTCAAAGACGGAGAACTTGAGCAACGCGCCAGGCCAGGCGAGCCCTTGATAGGGGGCTATGTGCGAGTTGTACTGCTCGGCAGAGTGGGCTTCCACGCCGATAAGGATGCGCGAGGTAGTGTGATTATTCGGGTTGAAGAGCAACCTGGATAAGTAGAACGAATGGGAAATAGGGAAGACTCTGTACAACTATGAAGGGGTATCAGGACTTTGTTGTCACCAAGCATCGTCGTCGTCCCCGGGACCCACCTGATGGAATAACTGCTCATATGACGGGAAAGAGGACTCTGGGAAGGTAAACTTGCGGGTCTCGTTGCGATATGTCGCCTTGACGGTAAACATGGCTGCCCTGCACTGATGGTCGGTCGGAGAGGGGCAACGCACGGGCGCACGCGTCGCTACTGCTACTTATAGTCAGTAGACGCCCGTCACGCATAACCGTATTCGCGTCTGTCACGTGCGCACAACCATGTCTTCCGACTTCCAGCTGCTTTCCTCGATACGCTACGATTCCTCGCTCCGCGACCTCGCGTGGAACACCGCAGCCAACGACGGCGCGCCGTCCTCGTATCTTCTCCTGCGGTATCATTACGACAGGCTGCGTGATGCAGCACAGGAACACGGATGGGCCGCTGCACAGGATGTGACATATAACAATCTGGCACGCGCGTGCGACGAGGCAGTACGCATTGCGTTCCGCGATAACTCGCTAAACGATACGCCGCTGAAGGTGCGTGGTCGAGATCTGGATGTTCTGTGAAATGGAGTGGTCTGATGAATTTCTGCCGGCCGCTAGTGTAGTTACGCATTCTGCTGAACCATACAGGCATGTTCGCAGTATCTGCCTCTCCTGCAGCGTCCTTGAACGGCCCGGATCCAACGTCGATCTCTCTCATAACACTGAATGGTGATGGTGCAATCCTCGAAGATGCAGCATCGACTATCCTCGGATCGCTCCTGACGATCCATCTCGACACCTCCCCCACGCCGTCTTCTCTCTTCACTCGCACGAAGACGACTCATCGACCGCAGTACACTGCGGCCCGCACACGCATGGGTATCCCACCTCTTCCTACACCGACCAACGAGGATGTCCTTATGTACACACCCTCCGGCGAGCTCACAGAGACCTCCATACGTAATATCGCGTTTCTGCGCCATACGCCGCCTCAATGGGTCACTCCTCGCGCGAGCATCGGCTGTCTTTCCGGGGTTATGCGACGCTGGTTGCTTGAACAAGGAAGAATTGTCGAGGCTTCCGAAGGCGAGCTTACTAAGGACGAAGTCGTGGATGGGGAGTATGTCATGACTTTCAATGGTGTCGAGGGATGTAGATTAGGTCGTGTCACCCTTGCCTCGTGCTAACAATTCTTACCGTCAGATTGACACATAGGCACGTCTCCTGCTCGTAGCGGTGCTTCATTTTGATGTTGGCTGCTCCTTTCCTGTTCGGTTATTCCTGCTAGCTGTCCTAAAAATACAGACAGGCACGCGTTGGCCCCAGATGATGTCGCTGAAAACTTTACGTGTGCATTGTCCGCAATCCCACCGCTAATACATGTTTATCCAGGTAATGGATGAGCAAGTTTTCATCGTCTCATATGTCATGGGGAGCTGACTCCACACACATCGTGAAGTGCGGACTGTAAAATCTTTGGACGTACACATCGATGTCTCATGCGATAGATATGTACAAAGTGACGGATGCATTGGTGATAGCAGTACAACGAGCGCAATTACAGAAACATCGTGTATTTATGACTTGCGGGGTATACCATAAATCAGTCTGGATCAACGGCACGGTCATGCAATGGCGAGTCGGGGACGGGAGCTCAGCATGATGAGCTGCTTCCACGTCCCCAACTAGTTCTGTGCGTTCCTGTGCGACGCGTGCGTCCGCCGAAGCAGTTGCAGCAGATGATGTCGAAGATGATATCGAAGATAGTAATGATGACCTGTGGAGGAGAGATGAGTGTGATGCTCGAGACGAAGGCGTTGAATGCGAATGCGGGCTCACCGTTGCGATGGCGTTAATGATGATCATAATGATGCTGAAGATGGCAGAGATGACGGCCTCGATGGCGCCAACAATCGCAGAGACAATGGTACCCTATACGTTCTTAGTCTCCTGATGTTGACGATGCGTGCCCACAGGTGCTCACCATAATGATTGGTATGCGGCGAGAACGGTAGTCGTTTGGAGGATCGTCAAGAGGATGGATATATGGATATATGAGGTCGTGGACGCTTGTGAAGAGAATCCGAGATAGCGACGGCTGGTTATATACTAAAGACGGGCTCGTGGGGCCGCGATGACGTGGTGCGAGCACCAAGCGAGGCACTACATCCGTGCCTCTCCTCACCATCGCGATCAGACTGACGTCGGTCGGGGAATCTATTGCGCGGCTTGGCATGCCTCCTGTGGGCCCCGCCCCAGCATGTGCGGCGACAGATGGCGCACGCTCAGCCAGTGTTCAACGCGCGGGATACGCGTATCACCCAGACGAGACAAGCGCGAAGATAGGACTCGATAGCCCAACCAATTATGCGCAGCAGTGGAGTAGGCTAGAAGACATGCGATGAGCTCACAGTTTCCCCGTCGGCAACGCCCGAGATGCTCGATCGCTCGCACGTGATCCAAACCGACGCCTCCGCCACGTGAGTCGCACCGACGGCTGCGCTTGCCAAGTTGCCGCAGCACGACTCAAAACAATATGTCGACATACGACTCCCTCCACCGGCAATGCCGAACCCTCGAGTCTCTATTCGACACCAAGCTCACCTCCTATGCTCGCCTCGCATCGGCCGTAACACGAGGACAGGACGACCTCGAGGCGACCGGCTCTGCGGAGCGGTGGAAGGACCTCGAGGCAGAGGTGGACGAGTTGCTTGACAAGGTGAGCGTGGCTCCAATTTGCATACTGTAGCGGTCTGATATGCTAGAGCGGCCTGCGGTAGCTTCGAGAGCTGAACGACCAACTGTCTACGTTGTCGCATGACACGGACAATCCTCCGTCGCAGTCGATGCTCCGCGCCATTCAGCGGCACAGCGAAGTATACCAGGACTATGCGCGGGAACTGAGACGAACAAAGGTGCGCGTCTGCACATCTCAATTGCTTGTCGTTGTACTCAAATACAGTTGGTATTCGGTAGACGAATGTGCAGAGTGCACTGGATCAGGCGAACTTGCTGAGTGGTGTACGGAATGACATCGAGTACGTGGAATTATATCCCGCTCGCACCATGTTCACCTTGAACTCCCTACGCTGTATTCATAGCGCATACAAGTCCTCCGCAGCAGATGCGCTCCTCTCCGAGCGGGGCCACATCGACGACTCGCATCGCATGACAGACGACATCCTAGCGTGCGTCCAGTGCATCTGTCTTTTGCCTACGTTGAATATCTGACGTTGCTTCACCATCCAGGCAAGCATATGAGACGCGTTCCGAGTTCTCTCGCCAGCGATTGACACTGTCCGGGATACAAACACGCATGTCGGGTGTTCTGCGTAAGTGCCCGTCTTCATCATGAAATAGCACCTTCCCGTCTTTGTCCACCATCCTTCTCATCATCGGACATGACTGACACACTTTGATTGCCTCGCAGACACCATGCCCGGAATGAATAACCTCATTGCCATGGTCAAAACTCGTCGACGACGCGACGCCATCATCGTCGGCTGCATCGTGGGCGTGTGCTTCATTTTCCTGCTGATGTACATATTCTAGGCTCTCATCTCTCACTTGGTTCTTTTCTATAGCATAGCATACTGGATCGGTCGAATACTTATATGCATTCTCAAATCAATTGCATTCTCGCTATATGTACATTTGTTCACATATCATTATTCCTGCGTTGCCTCCTTTCGTTCCATCGCCCGAGTCCACACAATGTCTTCACTATCTTCGCGCAGGTACGTCTGCCTTCGTCTCGTTCTCATCTCTTGGCCCATCTTCCTCCTCTGACTCTTCCAGCAGCAACCCTTTCTTGTCCCTCTTCTTCTTCGCCCCAGGAACGACTCTATTTCCCCCTCTCACGAATGATTTCCAGTTCTCCTCCAGCCTCCTCACAACACCCCACTCTCCCTCCGATTCCTCCCCTGCTTTCCTCCCGCTCAATACCTCCTCCTCAGTGCTCTCAATCCACCATCCCTTCTCTTCCGCGATGCGGACGACCATGTCCCAAGTGTAGGGCGCACTGAAGCGGACATCATGGAAGTCGGATTCGCTGAGAATGCGATACGGGGAGCATCCTTGTATAAGGGATTTGTGCGCGACTGAGCGGGTGTTGATGGCGGTAGAAAGGGAGAGGAAGAGGTTTGGGTGTTGGTTCTGGAGAGATTATGGAGTTGGATTGAACAAGGAAGAAGAGGGAAGAAGAGACATACCCGCAACTGCAACCACGTCTGCGCGCTTAAGCCACAACTATGCATGTCAACGCTGATGTCGAGCCATTTGTCTCCATACCGTTCCTTCATGCGTGCGAACAGCTCGACAGTTGCTTGCTGTGCCTTCACGCTATGCACGCTGACATTTCTCCTGAGCTCAACCGCAAGCGCGAGCTGTGCCTCGAAGATGGCGACTTGGTGCTCCAGCGGTATCGTGAACGGCGACAGCTCCCTCTTCTCGTCGTCCGCACTCGCGTACGGCGGCTCCGCAGGGGGAGCATAAGGCACGCGGCACGCGCGGTCGATCCCGACCTCGCCGAGCATCGCGGAGGGGTGCGCGGCCAGGTCGGCGCGAAGAGAGGCGAGGACGGTAGCGATGGGTGTTGGTGGAGGGAGGAAGGGCAGGAGACGCGCGAAGGCGGCGGATTGCGCGGGTGTGTGCGGCGCGGAGGAGGGCGGGAGGAAGAGTAGGGCATAGTGTGCTTCCTTGGATGGAGGCTCGGGCTCGAGCGAGATCCAGTGGGCGAACCAGGGGTGGTAGCCTGCATGGGCACGCCGTCAACGAGCTGTTCGCGGACCGGAGCGATCGCAGCGCAGCACGCAGGCAATGGAATCGTGGCTCACGCGGAGCAGTGCTGGGTGCGATGGGGAAAGGGAGACGGACCGAAGCAGGGGAGGACCGCGTCGGGGTAGCGCGCGGCGAGGTCGCGCACGAGGGCTTGGTCGCTGGCGCGCGTGGCCATTGCGCAGATGCGGTGTGGGAGTGCGGACATCAGGGCGGCGTCGAGCGCGGCGTCGGTCGGGTGGCAGTGCGCGTCGACGACATGTGCGAGCACGCCGGGGGCAGGGAGCGAGGAGCTGTCGAGCATGACGGTGGTGAGAGATCAAAGACTAGCCGGCGTCAATCGGATCGGTGGACTTGGAGCCGCCACAGTTTCCTGGTGTAACATTTGACTCGGGTTGCACTTTGCAGTCAAAGTATATATGCTCGCTCGCCTCCGGGCAGCCTCGCTTTTTTCTTCCCTAACGCGCGGCATGTCGCGCTCCAGCCACGCCCTGGACGTCTCGCCGCCCGTTCATCGCGGTATGGCCGTGCTCGATAAGGCTGCGTTCCGCAAGTCTATCCCCATCCTCGCCGTGAAGGTCCCGCCCGAGGCGGTCAGCACGTTCCTGAGCTCGAAGGTCCTCAAGAACGCGCTTCTGAATGTGCGGAAGGTAAAAAGCGTTACGCCTGCGGAGGACGGGGGCAGGCTCGTGTTGCTCAGGGTGCAAAATCAGAGTACGTGCCGCCGAGTGTGTGAGTCGTGCGTGAAGGGGCTGATACCGAGGCAAGACAGCCGACTTGTCTCCCGAGGCGAGCGGGCTTATAGAGAAGCAGAATGCGGAGCTGGTCCCGTATACACTGGAGTTTGATTATGATTACTGGCTTGCAGGTGAGGTTGTGCAGTACAGCAGGGATTCCTTCATTAGTGCGTTGGCGTCTGACCGAGGCTTTAAACAGATGAGATTCTTCACTCCGTACTACCCGAGGACTTAGTCCAGGGTGCACCTTCGGGGTTTGCAGCGATGGGGCACATCGGTAAGCCGCCGTAGATTCTTCCCCCCATATTATAGCTCACGGAACTGCCTCATCGACACAGCGCACTTGAATCTGACCGACGAATACTTGCCATACAAGCACCTCATAGGTCAAGTCATCTTGGAAGTGTGTACTGCAGCGCTCAAATCGTGCAAGTGGCTGACGATCTATTGCAGAAAAATTCCAATGTCAAAACCGTCGTGAACAAGGTTAATACAATCAGCAACCAGTTCCGTGTTTTCCCCATGGAACTGCTCGCAGGAGAGCCCAACTACGTCGTCGAGCACGTGCGTAACTTCATTAGCCGTATGGAGCGTCTATCGACCTGATTAATACCACAGCACGAGTCAGATTGCACGTTCACCTTCGACTTCAGCCAGGTCTACTGGAATTCACGGCTTCAAACCGAGCACGCGCGCCTGGTCGAGCAGTTCTCGCCCGCAGACGTGGTTGCGGACGTGTTCGCCGGTGTCGGGCCCTTTTCCATTCCAGCGGCCAAGCGGGGATGCGCCGTGCTCGCGAATGATTTGAACCCCGTCAGTTACAAGTACCTAGTGCAGAATATTGCCAACAACAAGGTATGTGAGAGCTGATCTACTTCTTCCGCTGGCTTTCTGATGAATTCCCACTAGGTTTCGACGTTCGTCCGACCATCGTGCAAAGACGGCCGAGAATTCATTCGCGAGGTGTTCAACGCGGCATATGATGATCCCTTACCTCCCGCTCCCCGCCCCAAAATAAGCAGGTCAAAGACAAAAGAGCAGAACAAGCAGGCGCGCATAGCGGGCACGCAAAAGGCCTCGTTGCCTCCCTCACCGCCGGCGTCGCCGCGCAGACGCATCACGCAGTTCGCGATGAACCTGCCCGCGACGGCGATCGAGTTCCTTGACGCGTTCCGTGGCGTGCTCGCACCCGGCAACGCGGGGGAGCGGCCGATGCGCGAGCTGTACGATGCGCCGGAGAGGATGCCGAAGGTGCATTGCTATTGCTTCACGAAGGAACTGGAGCCCGAGCGGGCGGACGTGGATATTCGACGGGTGCGTCCTCCTTGCGATTGAGTTTAATCATGGTATGCTTATGCGGGATCATGCGCAGAGGGTGGAGGAAATGCTAGGTGCGCCGCTAGGCAAGGAGACGTCGACTTACTTGGTACGCTCGGTCGCGCCGAACAAGGAGATGTACTGTATCAGCTTCCGATTGCCGTACGAGGTTGCGTTTGCGGCTTGACGGTGTTGCGATGTATGCCAGGATACTGGGTTGCAGGAAGTTTCCTCCGAGACATTTGGGGTCTCAAAGCCACAATATTGCTGCGTGCATTGAATTGCATGTTAATGCCCTTGCAAGGCGCATCATGCTCATCATACTCAGCCTGCCTCAGTAATGGGAGCCTCAAGTTCAGCCTCCAGTCATGCGAAGGACAGTCGCTCCTTACCCTTAACGGCAGCCCAACTGCTGGACACGTTCCAAAGATTCGTCTGTTCCTTGTAGACGCGTGTAAGCGGTCTTTGAGCGGCATTGAGTTTCGATAAGCTACTAATGGTGGGCTGATGCCTGCACGAGGGAGCTCTAGCCCGAGGGAACGGAGGCCGACGCTCGGCAAACGTGTGGCAAAAAGGAAGGCGGGCCATTGCCTGCAGGCACTGAGGCATTAATTGGGTCCGTCCATGCGACTTGTGCTGCTTTTTGGTATTGGAAGTCGCTGTTTGACGGTACAGCCTGCGGCACAGCAGTTCGAGTCGGGTGCTCGCGCGCGATGTCGGAAGAGTCATTGACTCATTGTTAGCAAAAAGTCTAAATGTGCTTAGTCAGCCGAGTCTAACACCGCACAAGATGCAGGGCGTTACAGCAGTCGAGCTCCGCACGCTGCTGCCAGCGCATCGTATATCTCCGGGACGCGCACGGTCGCTCCCTCTGTTCTCTCTCTCCCCGGGCTGCGTGCCCGCCATAGACTACCCTACGCTGCTGTATTCGCTAGACTAGATCCTAGAGCTGTCCTCGCTGCTGCTTATTCCATCTATTGACGCGCAACGATCAATCGTGCTCTCTTGATACTCCCGGCGCCCACTCTCTGTCCTCGTTCCACCACGTAGCTAACTAATTTCCTGATCCATTGTCGACCGGACGGACAGCCATGTTCCCTCTCTCTCTGCCGCGCATCTTCCCCACGCTGCACTGTGACTCGGACGAACTCGCAGTGTCGGAACGCACCGTCACCGCCCTGCGACGTGTTCGGAACGTGATGGCTGTCCCAGAGACCGAGCTGAAGCGATGGAGACGCATATTCGACGCGAATGCGCAGACAGAGGTGGACGGACAGAAGTACGTCGCGTGATTCCTTTCGTGCGTGTGTGCGCGTTGCTGCTTCTCGAGGCTCACACGCTCTCCGGGCGCAGGTTTTTGACCAGCGAGCAGTTCGTCAACGCGATTGCGCCGGCGCGCGACTCCAAGATCGGACGCGCCCAGTTCTCCATTCTTTTCCGTGTCGCAGACACCAGCAAGCGTGGTCTGGTGTCGTGGGACGACTTCGTTGTGTTTGAGACACTGCTCAAGCGGCCTGATGCGGACTATTGGATAGCATTCCAGTATTTTGACGTGTATGTGCTTTTCCGCTCGCGACCTGCAAAATTTGACGGACGCATCCTGTTGTGACTCAGAGATGACTCGGGTACGATCACCCTCGACGAGTTCAAGAACGTGTTTCAGGCGAACGTCGGATCACATGTTATTCCGTTCGACTTTGACTGGTACGCTGCTCCGTGCTGTTCCGCCGTCCTGTGATTTTGGTTCAACATGTGAATTAGCGACTGGGTGAAGCTATACCTCGGAACAAAGAATGGACACCATGTTCTTGGATGTTCGTGTACCCGATTTCTGACGATTGGAGATCACCTGACATGCATGAATAGACAACGAATTCACACAGTTGATGAAGGGTCTTCAAGGCGAGCGGTTGCGACAGGCGTTCAAGTACTTTGATAAAGACCATGATGGCTTTATCTTGCCGGAGGAATTCAAGAGAATCCTCATGGTCGGTGTTTACGCGCATATAGTCGCAATTATATCTCACCTATCGCTGTAGGAAATCGCGGGACATAAACTGTCCGAGGCTGTTATCGAGCGACTGCCGACGTTGACAGTGCTCTCGCCTGGCGGACGGATATCCTACTCTGAAGTCATTGCCTTCCATAATGTCGTCCGAGGTGAGCTAATACTCTCCTGCTCCAAATTGCACAGTATGCAAACGTTTGGTACCAGAGATGGATATTCTAGAGCGGTTCGTATCCATCTTCGCATCCCCTGCTCGCACTCGGATAGCTGATCCACCGTAGTATCATTCGAGAAGCCATTGCCAAATCAAAAGACGGGCGCATCGACCAGTCAGACTTCCTGAACTACTGCGAGACCGCAACACGCTATTCGCTCTTTACGCCCATGGAGGCGTCCATCATTTTCCACTTTGCCGGACGCGGAAATGCCACACAGCGTTTGGCGTTCGTAGACTTTGCACAGCTGCTGGATCCACGGTGGCGAGCGCCGCTGGAACGCGATGAGCAGGAGGGCGAGACAACCACCACAGCAAAGTCGTTCCTGCACTCGGTCGCGCACTCGGTGTATAACTTTGTGCAGGGAGGTGAGAGGCTCATTTGCTATAGGCTTGGGCGCGTTTGATATTGAGTGTGAGTGGTGCAGGTATTGCGGGCGCATTTGGTGCGACGATTGTATACCCAATAGATCTCGGTAAGTGGAATGATCTTGGCATTTGATTTATTCTCACATCTTCGTAGTCAAGGTAGAGTGGTCCTTTCATCGCGCTAAACTGAGTTTCATCATTGTTTGATGCCTGTGTTGTAAAGACCCGGTAAGCTCTACAGGTTTACATGCTTGGTTTACGTACCATTGATGCATGCGGTACAGAATGCAAAACCAACGGAGCACGGTCGTCGGCCAGCTCCTTTACAAAAACAGTCTGGACTGCGTGAAGAAGGTCTTCCGTAATGAAGGTTTCATTGGGTTCTACCGTGGTCTAGGGCCGCAGCTCATCGTGAGATTGAATTGATCCGTTCCGAGGCGTCCGTGATGCTGACCGATATGGCAGGGCGTCGCACCGGAGAAAGCTATCAAGCTAACTGTCAATGACTTCATTCGTGCGCGTGCGATGGACCCCGAGACGGGCAGAATCAAGTTGTTCTGGGAACTTGTGGCTGGTGGTTCTGCGGGTGGTTGTCAAGTGGTACGTGGGCGCGCATTCTTCGCACCATGCCGTATTGTTTTATTGGGCACGTGTCTAGATCTTCACGAACCCTCTAGAGATTGTGTATGTCGTGTATGTCCATTCAACAGCGAAACGATGCTGATGCTGTGTGCTTGCAGCAAAATTCGGCTGCAGATACAGGGAGAGGCGGCTAAGCTGGAGGGCGCAATACCAAAAGGTGCTGTGCACATCATCCGGCAGCTGGGTCTGTTGGGTCTGTACAAGGGTGCCAGCGCCTGCCTACTCCGCGATATACCATTTTCTGCCATCTACTTCCCGGCATACTGGCACTTGAAGAGGGACGTGTTCGAAGAGGGGTACAACGGCAAACAGCTTTCATTCTTTGAAACACTGGCGTCGGCAGCCATCGCGTGCGTATCAGTATCCGTGGCGTCTGCTATGAAAGGCATAGCCATCTGATTTAGTGCTGATGAATCTGTTATTTTTTGATGCAGCGGCATGCCTGCGGCGTACTTCACTACTCCTGCAGGTGAGATCGCCTACGTGTTGGGCGTGGGAAGGCGCTGAGGATATATTTAGATGTGGTCAAGACACGCTTGCAAGTGGAGGCGCGCACTGGCCAGACGCATTATAAGGGCATGGGTGATGCGTTCGTCAAAATCTGTGAGTGAAATCAAGCATGAACGGCTTCGATGTTAAGCTGCTTTCATGCAGGGCAAGAGGAGGGCTTCAAGGCATTCTTTAAAGGAGGCCCGGCACGTATCGTCCGAAGCAGTCCGCAATTTGGGTTCACGCTTGTTGCATACGAGTATCTGCACAAGGTACGGTTCCCAGTTCTCATAGAGACGAGGCCGTGCTAATGCTTACGCAATCGCTTACTGCAGTTCTTCCCCGTAGGTTTCGTTGCTGTTCTTGGCGATATGTTTCCTGATTGGGCCGGCAGTATCCCTACGGCGGCCAGCAGAAGGTGGAGACGCCTCTCACCATCCAATCAGAAGACCTTACCAAGGTACGTGCGCGGAATGCGCTCAAGATTCTGCTCGACGTGCACGGCGACTTTGGTCGACGGCCTGTCGCGTAAGCGATTCTGGCTGGCCTCTTGTGTGCTTGTTTGGGGTGTCTTTGTTTTCTATCGTACTTGCTGTGTGGAATGCAATCATCTATCTATCGAGTCCTCGGTAACCGTCTGTCTACGAAGGATGCTGTTAAGCCAATGGGCGAGCGTGCTGAACAGCCAATGGCGATGCCAAGTCATGCCACTACCGATGTGCATCCGTCGTCTCTAGGGAGACACGATCAAATGATATCCCTCGACGTGAAGCCGTACATTCTCCCGCGGGATTTCAGCCAATCTTCATATAGACCTCGAAATGAGTGACCACTTCGCCCCCTTCTCCCTCTTTCGTTCGGTCTCGGTTTCTTCCTTCTGTCCTTTTGTCTGTCTTTGCGGTGAGTGCTTGATCCACTTTATCGTGTCATGTCGACCATTGACGGATATCCTCGCAGTGTGCTTTGCGTTTACCGCATCGCTTACCGCACCTTTTGCGCTGCTAGCCAGGCTTGCATAGCGTAGACCGCTTCCTCGTCATTCATTTGCTTCCCAGTGCCCGGCCATCGCAGGCGCCGATTTTTTCTGTTGGACTTATATTGTGACATCTATTCGTCATGCATTCGATTTTCTTTATCCTTTCCCTCGCAGGCGCGGCCGCCGCGCAGATTCAAGTCAATGGGTGGTCCAGCGTAGCGGCGGCGACGCCGGCTGCATCTGCCGGAAGCTCTTATCCCGATGTGTCGAGTGCGGCAAGCTACACCGCAGCTGCTGCCTCGTCGCAGATCACGGCGCCTGCGTCTGCTTCTTCGTATTCGATGATTCCTTATTCGTCCTTCGTTTCGGGTGGTTACAAGAGCATGGCCTGCGGATACGGTTATACAAAGGCCAGCGATGGCTCTTGTCAGTCAGAGTCTTGGGTAGGGTTTCATATACCACTAACTTTCCGAAAGTTAACGGTTCGGGATCAATGCAGTGGTCCACCTCTGGCTGCTACGAGACTATCATTATCAATAACTAGTACGTTGGCTGCCCACTCGTTGACTGGGCGTCCCTGATCCGCTTTTTTTTCCAGTGGCGGAAGTTCGTGCGATTCGGGATACACATACACAGCGACCACAACGGATTATTCCACTCTCACTGAGACAGCGACAGCGGTATGTGGTGCGGTCTTCACATTACGAAACGTGTCTGATCAAAATTGTTCACTACTATCAGACTATGACCGTGCCCACGACGGTCACTGTGTACGCAACTGTCACAAATGTGAAGACGGATACCGACTCTGTGACGCAGACCGACTTCGTCACCTCCACAAAACTGGTGCCCACGACTTATATATGGACCTCCACAGAGGTCGTTGACGAGACGCAGACGGTGGAGCATACCCTGACCGCAACGGCAACGAGCACTCTGGACGATGTCTACACGCAGACTGACTTCGAGACGGCGACAGCCACAGAAACGCAGAAAGAGACCTTGACCGACTTCGTGACCTCCACTTTGCTGAGCACAATCGTGCAACCGACCACTTACACGAGCGTGTTTGTGAGCACCCAGGTCATCGACAACGTATGTATTTCCGCGATCGTGTGTGTTAGTGGATTAAATTTGGTGATTACAGACGCAAACGTTGGAGATCACACAAACTGCAACCAAGACTGACAACGTCACTCTTGTGCAGACAGCTACCCAGACAGACACCTTAACTGCTACGGCAACTGTCACCTCGGTCAGCACGCTTGTAGAGCCCACGACGTACACTTCGTTTTTCGTCAGCACGTCGGTTGTCGACGAGGTGCGTTAGATTGTTGCTACAAGAGCGTGCAAGTCACAGACAACGCGATGATTTAGACGCAAACTGTGGAAAATACCATCTTTTCAACTATCGTGGAGAACAGGACATACTTCCAAACGCAGACGCTCCTCTCGACGGCCACGGACACTGCGACCGCCACGAAGACGGACACTGCGACAGCAACCGAGACGGATACCTTGACTGAGATGGTGACCCTGACCCAACTCAGTACTCTTGTTGAGCCGACAACCATTACCTCTATGTTTGTCAGTACAGAGGTCATCGACAACGTAGGTCCCGTTCCCATCTAACACCGCTTCTTGAATGACATCGAGATCTGCAGACGCAAACTGTGGAGAACACTGTATTCTCGACTCTCACGGACAACAGGACCTACACGCAAACCCAGACAATTTTGTCTACTGCGACCGCGACGAGTACTGACTTTGCGACTCAAACTGAGCTGGTAACTGTGACACAAATCAGCACCCTTGTTGAGCCCACGACGTACACGTCCGTTTTTGTTAGCACATCCGTCGTGGACGAGGTAAGATCTCTCCCATACGATAGTAAGTGAGAATGCTGAATTGAATGACATAGACAAGCACAGTGGAGAACACCATCTTCTCCACCGTCACAGAAAACAGGACCTATTTGCAGACGCAGACGTTGGTCTCTACCGCGACAGCTACGGCCACCGAGTTCTCGACAAGGACTGACACGGCTACTGCCACTGCTACTGAGACGGAAATCGAGACGCAGCTGGTGACGGTGACGCAAGTCAGTACGCTTGTACAGCCCACGACCTACACGTCCTTCTTCGTTAGCACTTCCGTCGTGGATGAGGTACGTTCATATCATAGCTAGTCGATCTCAGCTCTCATTTTGTGCCTTCAGACCAGCACAGTCGAGCAAACCATCTTCTCTACAGTTGTCGAGGACATGACGTCCTTCCAGACACAGACTTTTGTTTCGACCGCGACTGCGACAGCTACCGCCACCGCCACCGAGTTCGCTACCGAGACGGAGGTTGAGACTCAGATGGTCACGGTGACACAGTTGCGTACTGTGGTTGAGCCGACGACGTATACATCAACTTTCATGAGTACCTCCGTAGTCGACGAGGTAAGAATCAAGGGTCACAAGGTTGCGTCGGGTGATGCTGACGATATGAGCAGACAAGCACCGTGGAGCAGACGTTCTTCTCTACTATCGTCGAAAGCATGACCTATGTGCAGACCCAGACCATTCTGTCGACCGCCACAGCTACGGAATTCGCTACCGAGACAAAGACCGCAACTGCGACCGCGACCGAGACTGTCTCCGAGACAGCGCTTGCGTCTTGCTTGAATTCGGTGAGACGATGAATGCTCGGACCCGAGTGGTAGTCATCTGACCCGTGATCTGTTCAGTGTAAGAGCCAATGGGCACTAACTACCGGAAACAGCAACAGTTACACGTACGCATCGTGGCCGACTTCCAGCCATGTTACGTCTAGTGCGACAACGTGGTACTCGAAGCCGATAGCGTCGAGCTCACACGTCGACAGTTGGGGTGCATCAAGTAGCAAAGCTTCTGCGAGCTGGGTAGCGAGGAGCAGTAAGGCCTCCGCGAGCTGGGACGCATCGAGCAGCAAAGCAGCGGAAGCGACTAGCGTGCGCAGTGCCAGCCGGAGTGCATCAAGCGATCGAGCCTCGTCTGCTGACTGGTGGCAAGGCAGAAATGCGACTGTCACTGCATCCAGCAAGAGCCCCAGCTGGTCCGGCAGTCCCGCATCGGAATTGTCTTCGGGCTCGTCTGACATGTCCTCATGATGTTCTGCGCCCGACCTATATTAATGGACTCTTCATCGGACTCTCAACCTTGCTCTTAACATATCCGATTGCTTAGTATGTATTGACTACTTTCCCTCGCTGTGAAATCGGACGGACCTCTGTAGATATAAGTGGCAGAATAGCAGCCAAGGCAAATATTCTTCAGCGCACCTATGAGACCTCTTCTATCTGATTGTGATTCAATGGGGTTGATGCGCGACCTCCGATGGTTGGCGCGCAAGCATGTGTACCAGCAGTTATTCCGAAACCTCTGTCGTGCTACCTTTGCACTTGAAGGTGTTCCTGTGCATCGAGGCAATTGAACGGAGTTCCCCGCAAGTAATACGCGCGCGACGTGCTTAAGCGTATCGGCGGATGATTACGGACGCGTCTCTTCGTCACTGACCACATCGAATATTTGAAACCGCATATCAGCAAGGCCTTGTGTTGTGCAGCGCCCAACGCCGGAATAACGAACCACCGTACAGTCTCGACTCATGCCGCTGCACACTACGGAAGATCCAGCGGAACCGCACACGCTGCGGCCGCTGGATGCCATTCGGGAGGATTTCTTGATCTTTTGGGCATCTCGTGATGAAACCGGGAAACCCTGGTGTCCGGTGAGAGCTCATAAATCAAACTCGAGGCGTTTCATGATGCGATTGGAACTGATAACATCGCCCGCGCACTGCAGGATTGTATCGCTGTCGATAATATCATCCAGAACACCTTCCAGCCACCTACAGGCCCTTCAGCGCTCCTGGTTTATGTCGGACAAAGACCAGAGTGCGTTACGTCCGCTTTGACAGCTATGCCATAACGAACTTCATGAGATTGTACGTATCAGGTGGAAGAGTCCATCCAATCCATTTCGCGGAGAACCATGGCAGGTGGAGTCAATTCCTACGATTATCAGACTTCGAGATGTGAGTGCCGCACCTGAATCTGGCGTGCTTTCAGCGCTCTCCGTAATTGACGAACGCGATTGCCATCCTCCGAGCAGGGCGCTAGACTCGTGGAGAAGGAAATAGAACACAGCCTCGCCTCGTTTCTCAAGGATAAATCCTATTAACGTTCTGTAGTGGGAAAGTACCGAATGCTCGGGTGTATGTGATTTCGCTCTAAACCTCTGCCGAGAACTCGTTCAAGAGCGCCGACTCTCGCTGTGGTTGAATACGTGGTGATTTAGCGCCTACTGTGGGCTCAGTATCTCATTAAACACCACGATCCCAAATTAATGACCGGACGGGTCTTTCGGCAGTCATTCGCTCCCGCAAATGTTCTTCAGCATGGTTCCTTCAAATGTAATGCCAATCCACGGCTCACTGGATGGGCTTCTGGGCCAGCGTACGCAGTTTGTATGCCGATAACCATGCTTCAAGAGGCGCTCGAGAGCTCTTGCGTGTAATTCGCATCTTGATAGAGCATCGAGCAATATTGAGAGCCGAATTCCATCTCCGTTCACTCTCACCCGCTTAACTTAAGCACGGGCTGCAGGGTCACTGCTCAGATGTGTTTCGCACCCTTTCGCCTACCTGTCCTCCTTCGAGCATGTCCCCAAACGGCGACTTCTGCGTCTTTAGGCCGGGTCCCAAGCGCATCATGAACGGAACGTCGTCGGATTGGCGAGATATCGCTCGACGAAAGACCGCGGATAGGCAGGCTCGCCTAAGACAGTGGCCACATTGGCAACTGAAGGAGGCAGTCCCCAATTCGATAACGGATGTGTCGAATGTACCCACGTCCCAGCTAACAGCTCGAGAACACGAGATCGTGCATCAAGATGCCACTTCGCTCGTCGAACGCCTTCGTGATCGCCGTTATACCGCAGTCGAGGTTCTCGAGGCTTTCTGCCACGTTGCGACAATCGCCCAGGATCTGACTAATTGCCTCACGGAGATTATGTTCGAGGAGGGTTTGGCAAGAGCTCGGGAGCTTGATCAGTATTTGCGGCGCACAGGACAGGTTGTCGGACCTTTACACGGCCTGCCAGTTTCTATCAAGGATCACATACGTGTCAAGGGCTGCGACGGTGCCACTGGCTATGTTACTTGGGCCTACCACAAGGTTGCGCCACAGGATGCTGTGGCGGTCGACATCCTCCGGAAAGCCGGAGCAATCATCTATGTGAAGACTGCCAACCCGCAGACTCTATTGGTACGTTGGCATCGCCTCATCGTTGTATTGACTCTTGGCTGACGGGCCGACTCTAGTCATTGGAAACGAATAACAACATCTATGGTCGAACAAGTAACCCATTTAACCGAGGTGACTACAATTGCCGTATTTGTGTGGCATCATGCAGGCTAAGACATTCACACCACTCAGCGCTCACTCCGGGTGGCAGTTCCGGAGGAGAAAGCGCTTTGATCGCCCTTCATGGAAGCCCAATGGGTATTGGCACGGATATTGGCGGCTCTATCGTAAGCATTCAAGTCTCTCATTCATCGTGGTACTGCGCTGACCGTACGTCGGTTGATGTTGCAGCGCATACCTGCTGCCCACATGGGTCTGTACGGACTGAAAGGCTCAGTGGGTCGGCTACCTCATGCCGGCTTGGAAGGTTCACACGATGGCATGGATGCAATCGTAGGCGCACTGGGCCCTCTTGCAACCTCTGCGCGAGATCTAGCCCTCTTCTGTCGTGTGATGCTTGAGTACGAGCCATGGCTCATCGAGCCGCCTCTTCTGGAGATTCCGTGGAAGCAAAGCTTAACGGAGGGGAAGGGACTTCCCGAGAAGCTCTCGATCGCCATTCTGTGGGATGACGGGGTGGTAGCCCCGCATCCTCCAATCTTGGATGCGCTCAAGCGCACGAAGGACACGTTAATCGCCGCAGGACATGACGTTATTTCGTGGATACCTATTGATCACAAGGAGGCATGGGATCTAATGGTGAGTCTACGAGCCGTCTAGCCCGACCCTTACTGACATCAGCACATTACTAGTTAAAGTTATACTTTCTCGATGGCGGAGAAGAATACCGGGAGACGATGAAACATGAGCCAATGGTCCCGCAAACGGAATGGATCATGTCGCAAGTGCCTAACGAGGGAAAACCATACGCAGCGGAAGAGATTTTCAGGCTGAACGTCTCTCGCGAAGCTTTCCGCACCAGGATTGCTGCGCATTGGAATGATACGAGATGGAGGACAGCCACTGGCAGACCCGTCGACGCTGTTCTCAGTCCGGTCGCTCCCACGTTAGCTCCGCCACATGACACGACGCGCTGGTGGGGATACACATCCTACTGGAACTTGTTGGATTTCCCCGCGGCAGTATTCCCAATTGGCAGATTCAGGGCTGGAAGCTACGTCCCTCTAGACGTCACTGATGAGTTCGTTGCTAGCCCGAACGCGCGGAGTGCGGAGGAGCAGTACGTCAGGAGACAGTGGGTCTCGCAAACCTACGATAATGCATCTGTCAGTTTGCAGTTGATTGGCAGACGATTGAATGAAGAGAGATTGCTGGGTGTGCTTTCTGTAGTGGAGGGGGCGATGCGGAAGTCACAAGGGAATGGGGCATAGGCAGGCTTGTACGTAGTTTAAACAGACGAAATGCATGTGGCATGGGCACCAGCCTGCGGAGACAACATTTTGGGATACCTAGAATCTGCGTGCGATGCCGCAAGTCTATGAGGAAGCATACTGCAAAAGCAGACTGCGGTATTCCACGGCTGCACATCAATCAGCGCAATTGGCGTGCGTGCAAGAGCTGAAAATCGCGCCTATTTCCGACACTCCCAACGACTCGGGCAGCAAGGGGGTTACCAGACTGATTCAGGGGTACCTCGTCTAACACCGCCTGCATGCACATACCTTAATATCCGCCAATGGGCTGATCGCACAGTATGACCGCACGGGAAACACCGCTCGGGACCAAGAGAGATGCGAGGAATCTAGTGGAGCGCAACTGACGTCTCGGCAAGATAGGTGGGACTCAATCATCAGATGCCGTTGCCTGATACAGCCAGTGTGAATGCCGTCGTCAACAGGATGTGCACTTGTGACCGTTGTGGCGTTTTACGCGAAGAGTCATAGACGGTGCATATGGATGAGAACGTCTGGGCTGACGAAAGCTGGATGGTAAGACCCGAGTAGTAGGTGTATTCGGCTGTAAGCACACCTCTCATCGGACAGAACCTACGGTGGTTCAGGCAGATCTTGTAGTTTCCTTTCTCAACCGCCAAGGTATGATAATTGCTTTGACAGCCGATTGACACGGGACCGAACGCGTGAAAATCAACGGCAGGATCATGAAGACAAGTCACTGCGGTCCTCGAGTCGCGCCACAAAACATTATAGGGGGTCATACACCAGTGACTCGAGGCATACGCAGCTCTGATGCGTGACGCCCTAAGCGGTTGAGTCATCGCGGAGGGACGCTCTGTAACAGTATCTGCCACGTTGATGGAGCACAGCCAGATTGTACGCGGTGGTGATCCGTATGACAGCGTTCGACCGCCGCTGAGCTCAGACGCAATGGATGTCCGCTGATGGCAGCCGAGCCTGCAGGCAGTTGGAGTGTTTTACAGGGAAGCCAGCGGTGCAGAGATAGTTGGGCGCGGAATGATCTGAGATCATGGATCAGGATTGTTGTGTTTTAGAAGTGATGGCAGTCCATCGCAATGCAAAAGCGTCTTTTTTCACGAAAGCAGGAGAGATTATTGCCATCCGGAGGAGGTCTGAGACAGTGATGGTCGTTTGTCACTCCCGCTGTGGCGTGGCTGAGGGTGAGCACACCGTGTGAGACCGTCGCGTGCTGATGGGAGATCTCACGAGGTTTGTCTGCATACCACCTTTCAGATGCAATGCCCACCATCCCCCGTGTTCCAGCCGTTCGACGTCCAATTCATGGAAGCTCAAATCCAAAGTGGTTAGATCCCGACCAGTCCAGTCTCTCGTTCCCGCTATTGTCGTCAACGTTAACGGCTTGCTCGACAGGTCCATGCGCATTGAAGGGCGGCCTGTGACTTGGCGTGGCACCTAATGCAGATAATTGATGTCATTTCGCAAGGCTGTACCTCATCGGCGTATCTAGATACATTTCATCTGCACGAAAACTAGTTTCTAGACGCATATTATCCAGAAACGATGCGTGCAGCGCTGGGTCCGAGCGCCCAAACCGGAGATGGATGAGGGACTGTGCCTGTACCTCCGCTCCGGACGATTGACAACCGGGAAGCTTGGGAATAGTGCGTTCAATTGAAACGTTGCTGATGTCGACGACTAACGGTCACTCATGTCTTGACTTCTCCGGTGCTAAACGCATTCCCTTCAGGCGCGCCGAATACTCTATTTGTCAGTAGGGCTGTTGCAAGTACCCAGCCACCCGTCCATGTATAAAAGGGATGTTCGCGGTCATGCAGCAAGACCACTCAGCAGTCTTGCATACCCGCCCCTCCACCCTCCCGTACCCTTCTCGCTTCCAGTACGTGTGCCTTCTTTCAACCATCTGTACAACGCCACTGAGCATACAACTAGACCTCAGCATGCCCGGATTGAACGCAGCACAAACTGTGTCTCGAGTAATTGTCCAGCATGACACGGCCGACGACTACCTGACCGCAACGTATCCTACTCTACGCCGCCACGAGGCCTCAGCCAATATCGTCCTTGCACACGCCCTCAAGCGTGTCACTGCAGAAGCCGCCTTGAGCAGGTTCCCGTTCTTATGCGATGAGGATGTGGATGCATACTTCCAGAATTTGGAACCCACTCACTTCCAACCTCGTCGCAATGCCGACTCATTCTGGTTGACGATGTGGAGTCCCTCTGCTTCCGGTCGTCCCATCCTTGACCTTGTGCTGACTTGCGTCAATTGGACGCTCGGCGAATATCCCATCTTCATTTGGGCTCCTCATCACCGCAGATCATTCTCATCGGAGTGGTTGAAGCATCAAATAGTCGAACTCACAGAGTTCTTGCGCTCCTGCGTGCCTCCAGAGCGGGTGTTCTCAGTCTTTGGCATGACTCACCTCGTCAAGGCGTTCGCCCGCCAGTGGACAGCCTTGACGGGCTTCCAAGTGGAGCCAGAGCCATTCTACGCAGCACACTTCTCGTATTGCACGCCGCAGACGTTCCGCGATTCGGACGGGATCCTCCCGCCCGGCCACGCCCTTAGAAGAGCAAATTTGCATGATCTAGACGCTGTTGCCCAACTCTGCAAGGAATTCGCAGACGATACGGTGAGTGTTCCCTGCGCTCGATGTCTCTCCGATCGCTCGCTTAGATGAATTCTCTCCGCATCCAGGTCTTCTTCCCGCTTTCTATAGACAAGGCTCGCGTAGAAGCGCGTGAACTGATTATGAAGGGCCAGATCTGGGTCTACGATGCAGACGGATCGATCACGACTATCTGCGCGGTCACGCGAAACTCCCAACGCGTTTCCGCCATCACGAAGGTGTATACGACACCCATATGGCGGCGGAGAAGATGCGCGGAACTCCTCGTACGCGATGTCACTGCCAGGTGGGTAGTGCTCGGCATATACTATGCGCCCGACGCTAATCAGACATTAGGCTCCTCTTTGATTGCGGCAAAGACTCCGTCGTCCTCTATGTCGGACATGACAACAGCGCGCAGCGCGTCTACGACCGGGTGGGTTTCGCCGGTCTATGTGGCAGGGACAAACCCGAAGGCGTCGAAGACTCATTGGAGCTCGGGTTCATCGGGACGAAGAGAGGCCACTGGTGAAATAAGTTCAAGAATAATTGCACATTGAACTCAATGAAAATCTGCGCTGACGACATCCCTCACCCTTGCAATAGTGTATCCATAGCAAGTTCGCATCTTCGTATATTTATAGCGCGCCTCCTCTCTCCGTCGCAATCAATTATTCGCGATCCATCCCGTTGTTCTACCATTGTAGGTTAGTTTCTTGTAGAGCTAGTGCCTACTATAATCCTGCCATACTCGCACGTCACAGGTACATAGTCCCCATAATCGCAATCGCACTTTGCCTCACGGTCCGGAAATAAACAACTTGTCAAATGTCATTGCATTGTCATAGTGCAGTGGGAACATACCGACTCCCCAGAACCTGGCGCGGAACGGTACTTAGAATGTACACCTTTGTCACGGATTGCTGCGCCCTCTGGACCCTTCATGTCCCGAAACGACTGCTGAGGGACTTTGCCGGCTCGGAGTGAACACGTATACGGCCGGCCAGTCCGATAACATTGTCAAGCCTTCATTGTACGCTGATGTTGCGCTCGGAGGGCCATCGTCAAAATTAAAGCTCGAACAAAACCTCCGTCTGTGTCCCTTACCTTTTGCAACACCGTGACGTCGCATATTACCCTCTCATCTCCAGTAACAGCCTTCAACATATCCCAGACAGTAAAAAATTTAATGAGCACAGCCGTCAACGCCTCTATCTCTACGCCGGTCTTCCCTTTGCATGTCACCTCTGCGCGACACACTATGCTGTACAACTCCGGCTCTGGAGCGCACCCTTGGGAAGCTGTTCCGACATCGGGGATTTGCGATAGCCTTCGATCTAACCCCACCTCCTTCGCGCCCTGAGGATCCAGAAGGTGATCGATGAAATTCTGGCTCGAAGCGTAATGTGTACATGCGCAACCTGCAGAGGTTGGCATGGTGGGATTAGATCGGAGGTCCTTTCGCAGGCTGTGATCGCAGCCAGCTGTGCAACGGTCAAAGCGACCCTCCTTGATCCTTGCATCGCGATCCAGCCATCGAATTCTCAAGCGGAGTGGATGCCGCCTTCTCTGCGACGTTCGTGCGGCGATACAGCTCGGTGACGCGATGCACGCGACTTTGGCAATGCGGTCCCTTACGTACCATGGACCCTTGTCGGAGACATCCACCATCGATGCCCGGCTTGACGTGTCGAGATGGGTAAGTCGGGGAGTATTTGGAGCTTCCTCCAGGCTTCGAGACGAATTACTAAAACAGCAGTTGATGGACCATTACGGTACGACGGACGAGGGGGATTACATGGAACGTGTGCGCGTTGAACACACGCAACCGTCTCGCATCAAGACGGAGACCTGCAAAGGGACGGATCAGGACGGGATCAAACGCACCCAGTGGTTGGCGACGAACGTGAGTTCGAGGAAGGACTTAACACCGCAGACATGAAGCGATTTGCACACGTGGCAAATGCTTAGCAAATGTCAACAGGTTTTTTGCCTTTGTGATCTCAATTTGCTATGGTTCCTTCCCACATTCCATATTAAGTATTTGCACATAATATGTTGGAGGCAGAAATTTAAATCATATATTTTAAGAAATGACACCATTTTCAAACTCGCCAAATACATTTAGAATTTGAGTGCTGTTGAATGTAATCATACATTTTTGAATTCCAAACCATCACATGTATAAATATCCAGTAGCAGATGAAGGTGTAATTACGAATGACTTTCATTCTAGTAATCTTGGTTAGAATGACTTCAGTAGGGAAGTAGAATGTAGGCATAATTACACCTTTGTCTGCTACTGGGTATTTTATATGTGTGATGGTTTGGAATTCAAAAATGTATGATTACATTCAACAGCACTCAAATTCTAAATGTATTTGGTGAGTTTGAAAATGGTGTTATTTCTTAAAATATATGATTTAAATTTCTGCCTCCAACATATTATATGCAAATACTTAATATGGAATGTGGGAAGGAACCATAGCAAATTGAGATCACAAAGGCAAAAAACCTGTCGACATTTGCTAAGCATTTGCCACGTGTGCAAAACGCTTCATGTCTGCGGTGTAACCTCCGATCAGTATCATGGTCACGGGCCGATTCGTTGCAATATCAATGTCTTCCATACCAGCTTTGCTTGCTTGTCCCTGACCGCACTGCCCATGGTCCACAGGAGCGTGTCATCGGTCATGCCGCATCGCATCTCGTAAGATAGTGAAATCTCTTTGGCACCGAACATGCAAGCCTAACGGAGCGTACAGCGTGAGATTGGCGTGGAAAAATCTCGGTCGCGACTAGCTATCGGGAGCACAAGTCTTACCTTTATTTGGCTGTCTGCGGTGAGCCTGAGTCGGTTGCACGACCCGCAGAAATGGTGGGACTGATGAGGGCGAGACTTTCTCTGTGGCCTGGGACGATGTATGATCGGGTGGCGTCGTTGAGTCCGTCAGGTGCTTTGATGGAATCCGGGCGTTTCGCCCTAATGCGATCCAGCAGTTCTGAGGAGGTGTCCAATTTCGCCCTTATCCCATTTGTGGCATGCGTAGTGCATGTGAGAAGAGCGCGCAGCGTTGCTATCATCAGATACGTCACCTGTCAATGACAGGAACTCGATAAACCGTATGGAAAATTCCTTGTCCTTTGTCAGGTGGATAAGGTGCAGCACCTCGACGTCGTTCCAACGACGACCTGTAGTTCACCGATCATAGGCCACACGCCAGTGTCGTGCTAAGCGAGTGAACACTGCGTCATGGCCGATCCGACGGGCCATAATCTCAAACTCGAACGGGCCGAGAGTACCTTAGCTGCAATTTGATTAAGACGCAGACCAATAATCTCGGGCGTACCTCAAATTGAAGTGTGTGAGACCATTCTCGACCAGCACCGGTAAGCGACCCTCTAACGCAATGCCGTTACTTTTCATGCCGAGAAAAGGCCGTGCTGCCGCAATCCGTTCAAGGGTGCTGTACGAGGGTCATGCGATGAGGTTCAGGTACTCCGCAAGCGACGCACATACCGACAACCTGGATGAGACCCTTTCTCACCGTGGGTTCCCGTCGGAAAGCCTGATCTTGGCTACCTGCTCTCGACAAACAATGTCGCGAGCCGGATGTGTGCTGGAGGGGACAGCTAATCGCCCTCACTTGGCGTGCAATAGAAGCCTATGCATTGACAGTCATTATTGTCAAGTCAGCAAGGGACACCCAAGATGCATCTGAACAAACATACTTTCGTCAGCGATATCCGGAAATAGCTGTCTGGATCAGAAAGGGCGAGACACGCTTCTTTGAGCCAATCTTGTGCAATTCGCCTGATCCCGTCGGTTCAGCATCTGGATCTTACCGAAGACGTTCTTACGACATGCCTTAATTTGATTCCTCACAACCTGTCCCGCCCACATCCACCTGCTCCACACTCGCTTAGCTTGATACCGCGGCAGACGGCGAACTGCTGCAGACGTAGCCTCAGCCATGGCACTGGATGGCGGAACATGTCAAGAGGATGAGAGCCGGTTCTCGATTCTTTCCGTCGGCTTCATACCACTGTCAGGCAAGCTGCGTCAGTACGTCTGCCCGAGTTGTGTTAAGTCATCCCGCTCGCCTAACTGTTGTGAACGCTCCTCGGTTATCTCCAAGTTTCAAGTACCGGTCAGCTGCAGTGGTGCAGATGCTCGCTGCGTTGCAGGGAGCGAGAATGTGACAGGTTGTACCGAATCAGTGTCCCAACAATTCCGCAGTTCGGCGTGGTGCTAATTAATTATAGGAGCGATTACGCTGTACGATCATCGCGAGACAGTTGCACGAACCATGAGCATATGAGTCACAGAAAATGCAGCAGAGTAGGATCTGCGGTGCCTGCAATTCGGAGTCGGCTGAAGCGGACGTCAGATATCAAGGAGCAATGCGAGGATTTTCGGCATTATTTGTCTGCAATTCATTATGCAAAGTTCATCATGACAAAGTCACCAATCACTGCAAGCGACGACGAGTCTAACGTTATGCTAGTCGAGCAGGAGTCAAACATGAAGTTGTGGCAAACTTGGAGGTTGATTACAAGCGATGCCAACGTCGTAGTCATAGCGATGGTCAACGCTAATTCGCGCCGCTCATAAAATTACAGACATTGTATTATTTCAAGACGGCCTCGGGTGCGCTTGCGCTCCTATATTCGTCAGACAAGGATATCCGGAGCCCGCGGAGGCTGAAGGAAACGTCTCGTCTGCCCACGGGAGACTACTATATTCACATCACAGCCCCCGCATCCAGATTTCATACACTGTCCAGTGCTCAGTCATGTCCTCCAATAGCCGCACTCTGAAGAGCCGCCCAGTCGCACGCAGACTCAGTGCATTCGACGCGATGACCATTTGCACGCTGCATTCGTGCAAGTATATCTTCGTCTCACTGCTCGCCATGGGGTCTTCCATGTTTGTGCTCTCGCATACCGGCCGCTGCGACGCGCCCCGCTAGCAAGCAAGGCTGTGAGCCCAACATAGGAGGAGCAATCTCGCGAGGAAGGCTCACCCAGTGCTCGGTGTCAATAGAGGACTCAAACACACTAGCCTGCAAGATCTTCTCAGTATCCGCATTGACGAGCCAGACCATCTCCACGGCCTGCCACTCATGCGCCTCACTGATGTCGGCGAGAATGTCAAGGCTCATTACATCGCCTTTCTGTGCATCTGGGACAGACACCGTGAATGAGCAGCACATCGGAATAGGCGATCAGCTGATAACTCACTGCCAAAGCTTTGAAAAGCTGTTTTGACGTGCGTATCCACGGCATGAGAAAGTGGGTAGTCTTGATAGTGCTGCCTGCCCGCTTCACCCAATACTTCGAGGTTTTCAGCTTCTAGAGACAGCATGTTCGTAATACTATCACTCGTGTGCTTCATCGTATCCGGAAGTAGTTTGATGTTGGTCTCCAACACACATGTAGCACCGCTACATGGTGCACGGGTCCAGGACGCTGGCGGTGGATGCGCACCAAGCAACGTATACGGCACCTTCGTGCGCTTCGTCTTCTTCACGTCGTCCACCGTAAAGTCGCACGACGCAGCCCCACAACGCGCAACAGAGTCCAAGTACTGCGTAGCCCTGTACTACGAGCGACCACTTTGTGATGAGCTTCGGAATAGGCGCGCATACAGGGAAGGGCAGACCGACGATGTGTTTCGCGTTCCTCTCGTTACCCTCTTCACCCACCGTAAACGCGCTGCCGCCTCCGAGCCCGAAATCCTGGTCGAACCATACCTCGGGCACGCGATTGCTCAGGATCGTGAAGTAGTTGTCCGCCATCTTCATCTCATCACTCGATAAGCGCAGCAAGCGCAGGAGAGTGAGAAACTCCTCTGCTTTGGTGCGATGCATGATCGTGCCGTGACCGAGCCACGCGAAGGACGTATGTATATCGGAGAGGTAGGAGTCATCCGGTTTGGGGACATGAATCTCGCGAAGAGTGCTGGATAGGTGTTCATGAGGAGGCAGGAGGTGTATGGCGTGGGGCTCTTTTGTGCGCGCGATTCGTGCACGAAGCGTTTGGATGATCTCGGGACGTATCAGATAGTCATCATCCTGGCCGGTGCGAGATGAACGTTGGGGAATGCGTCAAAGAAAGGAAGGCACGCACCTGTATGAAGCAATACGGAGTACTCGCTCCTGCACAGGCAAAGAATCGACCCTGAAAGTACATGTTCCCCGGCGCATTGTGTATCTTCAGCTTATCTTTCGTGCAACCAGTGTATTCAAAGTCCTGCGGGCATGCTCAGCAGTGCACCAATGCGCGTACGATAGCTCAGAAGCTCGCCTTGAACGTCAAGTGCGTCGGATTGTTGTTCCATATCACGACCTGAGCGATGGTGTCATCCAGCCACGGGCCACACAGAAGCGAGGTGATAAGTAAGACATTCGGGAAGCGAGCCCAGTTCAGCAGCACTGCGGTAGTGTCGGGCGTGCCAGTCGTGACGTTCTTCACGCGCTCATAGTCTTCAAATTCCGGAGCATCCGCGCGGTAGGTCACAGGGAACGTCCGCGGAACGAAACCGATCTCATTGAGGATAGGAAGGTACAACGACGGCGGAGGCGGTTTGTCCTTCGACTTTCCCACAAAGTAATTCAGCGCGAGAGACAGCAAAATGGGCACCGCGACCGTCTGCACACCTCGCCAGATCTGCTGCCAGGTCAACATGGCAGAACAAGATGAGATACCGCCGTCGGAGCGTCGCGCCCTCCAACATCGACGACAGCGTGGTCGGCAGCTCGTACTATCAGCCCAGGAACACGTGGCATCTTGATGGAAGGCACGTGTCGTTACCCCGCGCTGTCACCACCACGTCACTTAGCGCCCGTGGGCGATTTCGTTAACGCCGCTTCAACTTGCATGCTCCGCCACCTGACTGCCACCGGCACACGGACTTGACGCTGTCCGCCCTCGAGATTGTCTGTCGCACTTATAAACGCCGCTCGCTCGACCGACTCAACATGCTTTATTTGCGCAGTGCTCGAGCGTTCAAGCCTGGACGCGTGGCGACGGAGGCGAGGAGAGCGATCTCGGTGCAGGTACGCGAGTCCGACGCGCGTCGATTGATGCGCTCTTTGAACTCCTGGTTCTGATCCCGCAATGGCGCGGTGCGATAGTCAATATTGCACGGCTCTCCGCAGGCGAAGGAGGAGGGCGATGTGCAGATTCAGCAGCACTCTGGTGTGGTTGGTCGGGGGAAGTATGTGCATGGATTTGAAGGTTGGTACCCTCACGTTTTAGGGTGGGAACATGCCGTCCTGATAATCGGATCCGCGTTTGTGGTCTAGTCCACCGAGTGAAGCCGGACGCCGTTGAGGATTACAAGAAGGCTGCGTAGGTTTGCCAAGCACTATGCCAGTTGCTGTATAGCTAAATGTCCGCATATGCAGCGAAAAGTACTATGCGGCCATCAAAGACGACCCCGAGCTACACGTCAAGTTGACAGGGTCATGGGAAACTATCATCGGCGAGCAGGATACATTCTGTGAGGTTGCTTTGCAAGCCAGTCACGACACTGCAGGGACGCTGACCAAATTCGCTTCTTCTTTGAAGTCCATATCCTGGAGTATGAGAATTATGGCGGCTTTGACAAGACAACCAAGAAAATCCGAGAGTCCGACGTGCGTACTGCCCACGCAGGCTTCTAGCACGATCCTGCTAACGTCAAGTGTTGCAGCATATTAAAGCATTCCGAAAGATGCTGCCGCACGTCAAAAGCCGCTCTTCTCAGCTGTGCCAAGAATTTGCCGTCCTACCCACCGCGCCGCCCCATTCTGAGGGTGGCATCTTCGAGCTTCGGACATATCAGCTTAGCCCAGGCACCTTGCTACAATGGGAGCAAAACTGGTGCGTCTATTACTATCTCCTGCTATGAATAGAGCCATCCTTGCTCATCGCATCTCCCGTGATGCACTAAACTGTAATAGGAGGAGGGGATTGGAGGCTCGTCGAAAGTTTGTGGAGCCGGTCGGGGCGTGGTTCTCACAGGTTGGGCGATTGCATCAGGTCCACCACATGTGGCAGTATCGGTACGTGTTCTGAGTAACGTCCTTTCTCATACCCTCATGGTCAGCTGTCTTCTCTAGTGACCTCCAAGCCCGAAAGGAGACGCGCGAGAAGGCATGGAAGCTGGATGGATGGGCGGAGACGGTGTCAAAGGCGAGTAATATCCTTAGTACGGTGACTGAACCTAATGTCGCCGGAACCATTCAGACGGCAGAATATTCGAGGTTGATGGACGCCATAATTCTTGAACCGCTGCCGTACAGTCCCCTGAAGTGAAGGAGAATTCTGTTCGCTAGGAGTCGTCGGAAGCGAACGCGCCTGGTGGCCCGCTTAGTTGCACCGCGTGGAGGCGGGCCGCTTGCGGGCGGGTTGTCGACAGGGACACACTGATCAGGTTTCGTGTATTTTAGTGATGTTTTGGTTAATGGCAATTTGAGTTCACGCACGGCCGGTCGGCTGGCACGGTACGATAAGAACCCTTAAGCGTGGGTGACAGTAGGTCCCAAGTAGGTCCAGGCCAAACTTCCCTGCCCGCGGCGGTTGGCACCATCCGAGTCGAGTTACGTAGAGGGAGCCGCGATAGCGTACATATGATAGCAGAGCTGCCATCCGTGGGCGGTGGTGGGAATGGGAGGAACGGGGAGGTGGGCCGCAATAGAAATGGGAGCACGCAGACGTCGTGGGTCAAAATAAAATTGGGCTTTCCCAAAACGGGGTCCCCGGCCACGCGCTGTTGTCAATGTTTTGAATCTGAAACTGCGGATCTGATAAGTGGGACAATGGCCAGACGATGTAAAGGTCCTGGACCCACAAACGCATCCTGTCCACAAACTTTTGCCTTTTCCTCCCCTCCAGCCACTGCTTGCTCCTTCGGCGAGAGTTGTATGAACCGCTCAATGACGAGCCTCAACAACCTCCTCAACCCGGAGAGCGGCTACGAGAACAACCTCAGGTAAGCCGCCCCCAGCGACGTCGACCTTTGTCTCGGAGCGTTGTCGTCCGCTCGTCCCCGCTCATGGTTTACTCATAGGGCCCCACAGTCCCGATCGCCAAGCAGCAGCGTCTCCTCTCCTCCCGAAAATGCAAACGAACGGTCCAACGAGGGAGACTACTACGGGCAGACGAACATTACTATCACACCCCACGAGCCGCATCCAAACTGTCCCGACACTCTGACATGCCTGCCCGACACAGATGGCCGGCCACAGCACACGCTCCCCGTCATCCTGCGTTGCGCCATCCTGGGCAGCCCCAAAAAGCGGCTCACGATACGCGAAATATACGCTGCGATGGAGAAGAAGTACCCGTACTACAAGACCGCTGGGCCTGCATGGAAGGTGAATATTCGTATTCACACACTCTGTTCCTGGCGTGTGCTGCAGACTGGGGGTGGCTGAACAAGGCACGCAGCAATCTGTCAGACACCACCTCTCGCTGAATCGCCTGTTCGAGCGCCAGCCGCGGCCGGCTACTGACCCCGGGTTCGGCTCGTACTGGACAGTCAACCTTGATGCCCCTCCGGGGACAAAGAGGCCACGGAAGAGGGGGCGTGCAAACAAGGAGGCATCTGCGAACGGCCAGTCTGTCCATCCTGACCATCTAACTCATCCTCTTCACGTTCTTCACCCTGGTCATCCTGTCCATCCTGTTGTCCATCTTCTACAACCTGGTCATCCACTCCATCTCTCTCAACCCATACATCTTACACACCCGATTCGTGCGATACCACCTCCTCCAGTACATGGCATTCCGATAACGAACAAGGCGCATACATCAGCGATACCCTATCTCAAGACCCAGGAGAAGACTCCGGAGCCGGAGTACCGCCCACCACCGATCGCTACATTGAGGCCGGTCGATAGCCGGTCGTTCAGCAAGATCTCTTCATTGCGGAGGAACGAGTACTACGACGACGACGACGACGATGACATGGACTGGGACGACGACGGTGCCCGTGCGTCGGAATACGACAGCACGGAAGATATGCCTTACCAATACAAACCCCGGGCGTCCAGCTCAAGTTCGCATACGCTGTCAAGTCAGCCGAGCCGGCCTGCGCTGTATGGCGCCTTCTCTGGGCATTCCAACTCCGGCTATCGGACTCCTGATACCCAGGATCCCATCATCGAGCGGCTGAAGATGGAGATGGCCGGCCTGCGTAGGCAGTCGACGGACGCAGTTAACGCGTCATTGCGCATGTCCAGCCAGCTGTCTGATGCCCAGGCGGAGGCATCGCGGGCACGGGCCTCCCTCAAGGTCGCGGAGAGCAGAATGGATGAGGAGATTAGGAGACGGCGGGAAGCCGAGCACGTTGCGGAGGAAGAAGCACGGCTGCGACTCGCTGCGGAAGATGCACTCCGAGCATACCAGTTGCAGCGAAGGCCTCCTGGGTACTCGTCATCGCGTTCTTGAAGGGAAGGAAGAAGAGCAAGCCATGTATACCGCGCATTCTTACGTTAATTTCTTCACTTACGGAACTGGTCTCTCCAGGTATCGGGCAGGATTGTTTTCGGAATAACAATTTCCTCGCGAGGGCCGACTGTCGCAGTGTATAAGTAGTTCTTGATGATACCATTATGTACGTGAGGTTATTCTGTTGCAGTCTGGAACTGCGGGTGCAGAAGGGGATAGAACTAAGAAGCCAAGATGCATCCCATTCTACACACGCAATGCAGCGAAGCTCCAGAGAGAACAAGTCAGTAATTAATTGACTGCAGCATCATGCGCGATAATGTCAATGGCAAGCTATGTCGGCATGGGAACTTGCATTCGGTTCGCCGGCGGATGTCTGCATCTTCCATGTCTCGACATTGCAAGTACGAACGCTCAGCGGACTGTGAGTGATCACATGAGCGAGGCGCACAAGCCTTCATGCACATGCATGCATGACAGAGAGCACGCAATGCATCGCAGATATCTTTACCTGCCGGAAAGTTGTCGTAAATTACATCTGCAGGAACGTAAGCCCGTCAGCAGGCCATCTTAGCCCAATATGCTCCCGAGTCCGACTCGTCGGGCCTCACTTATGTATTGCTACCGTTGAACTGCAGCCGAAACGGGTTTACGTGAGCCAGGGGCATACAATTCAACAGACTTCTGTAATATGCCACACAAAAGCCGCACAAGGCACGACCAGCCACTAGCACTGGCCAGAGAGAGTTCATCGCAAATGGTTCCATTTGGCCCCGCATGTAGCGCCCATATGGGCGTCTGGCTGAAGAGGCTGTTGTACAACAAGCGCAAACAAGCAAACAACCGCTAATTCTGAAAAAGTTTAGCAGCGCTGCGATCATTGGCTCGTCTCTTCATGGCCACCGCCGTACGTCCGAAGCTGAAGACAGCGTATGTTTGCCCACTATTATGTCTCAAATATCTGAGGATGCTGATGGATATGTCGTCTAGCTACAAAAAGGCTCGCGTTATTGCGCCGCTGCACACAGAGGGACCGGTAGCCGTCACGCAAGATGGGACCAGATTGTTTACATGCGTGGGGGAGGAGGCTCTCATGACGGACCTGAAGGAGGGGAAAGAGATTTGTCGTTTTGCTGGGGTACGCTCCAATATTTGTTTTAGGCCTTGCGATGCCTGTTACTGATGATTCGATCCATGGACTAGGATACCGCATCTATCACTGCGTTTTGCGTGACGCCGTCGGGGACTTATCTACTTCTTTTTACCTCTTCGCTTGCTCTTCGTATCTATGAAATCCCATCCTCGTCGACGCCACTCACCAAGCCCGTCCACCCCATCCGGGTCATTGCCCGTGCACACGATGCCCCCGTGCACGTCTGCAAAGCCGACCCTACGTCCACTTACCTTGCCTCCGGCTCCGCAGACGGTATGGTCAAGGTGTTGAACATCCTCCGCGGGTATGTGACACACGTGTTCAAGGGACATGGAGGCGTTGTCAGCGCGCTCGCATTCAACTACCCGTTTGACCCTTCCTCCATCAACCGAGAAACAAAAATGCAACTCATTACTGGATCGGTCGATACTCGGATACGTATCTTTGACCTGTCTGCCTCAGCAGCCAAGACAGGGATGCCTTCCAAGCCGGAGGCCGTACTTGAAGGACATGTCTCGGTGCCTCGTGGTCTGGACGTTTCTCCGGATGGTAAATGGCTCGTCAGTGGTGGACGCGATTCTGTCGTTCTAGTCTGGGATATCTCCTCTACGGTATCTGCCAAGAAAACCAAGAGCAGCAAGGGTAAAGGCAAAGAGACGGCATCCTCCCCCGCACTGGTGAAGACCATCCCTGTCCTAGAACGCGTGGAGGCGGTCGGCCTGCTCCGCCCCGATGAAGAGCTGCCCGGCATCCCATCCGGCGCCGGCAAGCTGCGCTTCTTCACAGGCGGAGAGAAGGGCATCGTCCGAGTGTGGGACGCCCAGGACGGCACAGTGCTCTTCACGCTCGGTCATGAGCAGGATTCTGTATCAGAGGAGCAGGAGGAGCAGCGCCAGATAGTCGATGCCATGTACGTAACAATTCAGATGCCTCGCAGTTCTGGACCACTGACGTGTTGACCGTTTCCAGCTACCTTCCTGGGGTGTCCACTATCGTCTCAATTCACGCGGACCAAAATATCCTTTTCCACTCTCTATCCACCCAATCACTGACTCGCCAGCTGATCGGTTTCAACGATGAGATAATCGACGCTGTCTTCCTATCGCCCAATCTCCCACCGCAGGCCGGGCCATCCTCGTCCAAACTGACAGATACCCATATAGCCCTGGCTACAAACTCATCGTTAATTCGAATGTATTCAACAACATCGCTAAATGCTCGCCTACTCTCAGGCCACTCAGAGATCGTTCTGTGCCTCGATCGCGGTGCTGGTGGGCGTGTCCTCGCTAGTGGTAGCAAGGATCGTTCCGTGCGGATATGGGCGCCTGTCAGAAGGCAAGGCTCGCACGGTGGTACGTCACTGCCTTCGTTGACTGTGCCCGAGTGGGGATGCGTTGCATTGTGTCAGGGCCATGCAGAGAGCGTCGGCGCGCTCGCCATGTCGCGGAAGGTGGCCGACCCGAGCGCGCAGGCGGAGCTGAGCTTCATGTTTACCGGCAGCCAGGATCGGACGATCAAGATGTGGGACCTGTCTGCTGTGCCGCTGACGTGCAGTGGGAGCGAAGAGGAGCATGTGGTCAAGTGCAAGAGCTTGACCACGCAGAAGGCGCACGACAAGGATATCAACTCGCTCGACGTCGCGCCGAATGACAGGGTGTTGGCGTCGGGATCGCAAGACCGGACAGCCAAAGTCTGGGAGATTGTGTATATCATCTCGGGCAGCGGCGCATCGCGCTCGGCGCGGGGCGAACTGAGACTGCTCGGTACTTGCAAGGGCCACAAACGCGGCGTCTGGTGTGTCCGCTTTGGGCGCACTGAGCGCGTCCTGGCCACCGGCAGTGGCGATAAGACCGTGAGGCTGTGGAGCCTCGACGACTTTGCGTGCCTCAAGACGTTCGAGGGTCACACGAACTCGGTGCTCCGCGTGGACTTTATCAATGCGGGGATGCAGATGGTGAGCTCGGCGAGCGATGGGCTCGTCAAGCTGTGGAACGTGAAGGACGAAGAGTGCGTCGCGACGATGGATAACCACGAGGATAAGGTCAGTGAATGGGAAATTTTCGAAATTGACACGCGACTGATTTTGTCCATCGCAGGTATGGGCGCTTGCTGTGAGCACGGACGAGTCCATGATCGTCTCCGGCGCAGCAGACTCGGTCGTCACGTTCTGGCAGGATTGCACCGAAGAGCAGGAGCTCGAGAAGGAGTCCAAGCGCAAAGAGGTGGTCGAGAAGTACGTACTTGCCCTAACCTCTCACCATTACTGCATTTGACGCTTCACATCACCCAGAGAACAAGATTTCATGAACTACCTTTCCCTGCACGACTATCGCAATGCCATCCAGCTCGCACTCGCCATGGAGCAGCCAGGGCGGCTCTACTCCCTCTTCAAAAACCTCCAATCCGAATCCACCTCAGATGCCACCTCCTCGCCCTCACCCTCACACACCGGCCACCCCGCCGTCGACACCGTCCTCCGCACGCTCGCGCTCCCCGACCTCGCGCGCCTACTCAAGTACGTCCGCCTCTGGAACGCGACTGCCAAGACGAGCAACGTCGCCCAGCGCGTGCTGCACGCTGTCGTCAAGCTGCGCCCCGCGGACGACATATCGCGCGCATTCGGCGAGGGCGAAAACGCCCCTCTTGGCGTCGTCGAAGGTGAGGGCACCTTTGCAGTCGCACGTGTCGGCGAGCGTCGCGGGGCTACCGCACTTAAGGACTGGGTCGAAGCGGTCATTCCGTACACGGAACGACACCTTGCGCGCATGGAACGGTTACTGCAGGACAGTTACGTTGTCGACTACCTGCTTGGAGAGATGGACGATGGAATGTTTGGCGACTCGGATGATGAGGGAGATTACAGCGCCAGCGCCGCTATGGATGTCGACAGGACAGTAGAGGTGTCAGCATGACCCGTTCATTGGCCTTCAAGTCTTCCAAAGCACTTAGCCTACTCGACACCATCATACAGGTTGGAAAGTAAGAGACTAAACGTGTCTGGTGGATGAATTTACTGTACATGCTATACACAGATGCTCGTGATTAACACGAAACTGAAGGAACTGATGAGGGAGAATCATGTACACGATACAGTAGAGTGGAGTGGGATCACGAACACAGGACATGGGAGGCAGCGAAGAACGAAGGAAATCCGGGATAATACAATACGGCCGACAACGAATGGGATGACACGGAAAACTAAGTCGAAGGTTCTATGAATAAGACATGCGGCGCCTGACATTTCTCTTTTCTCGTGTTGTTTCTGCAGTAGTGGCATACACACAAGGTCAGGGGCTAACGCGACGCACTCATGCGAAGCGAACTTTCTCGCCAGGACGGCCCTCGGAGAGCAGGACGACCGCCTGCCGCATCACATCAGAATCTGGCCATTCGTCGATGAGCACGACGTCACTCACGTATTTGCCGCTGATCTTCCACCCAGGCTCCTCCTTGTCGAGCTTGTCGGCAAGCTCATCACCATTCGGACCAAGACCAACAACAACATCACTCTTGATCGTACGCAGACTGCAAATGCGCGGAGCGCCCGCAGCAGACGCCATGGGTCCGATGGCTATCTCAAAGTCGGTCGACGGCGGCGCAGCGCAGTCATACGTCAGCTGCATGAGAAAAGCGATGAATCAGTAGATGGACTTCCTAAACTTGCTTTGCATATATACCTTACGGTGGTTCAGGTCGCCCTTGAAGATGACTAAGTCCGAGCGGCTGAGATGCAAAAACAAATCCGGTGCCTCATTGTGCAGGTCCCAGTATGTATACCCAGTGCACCAAAATGGGTGCTGTTCATATACCCACTTGCCCTCCTTCTCATATTGCTTCCAGCGCAGCCCGAGCTGACGCAAGCTCTCCACTTCCTCATCGGTCACCTTCGGGAAGAGGTGTCCGTACACCATCATGTTGAGCAGCCAGTTCCAGTCCTTCTTGGTAACGTCCGAGACGAACCAAGGGTAACGCTTTCCGTGGAAGCGGACTTCCTTCGCCAGGCCGCTCTGGATCAGGAAGTCGGCTGTATGCGTGCAAACGGATCAGCACCATACTCTGAATGAACGACGATGATAATGTCTGCACTCACCGTACACGCAATCGCAGTACAACTCGAAACCGGCATTATCCAACACGAAGTCGATTCGTCCACCCGTGTCCTTCAAATCGCGCACTACCTCCCAAAGACGCGCCATATCATTTCCTAGGATGTTCTTTTCGGTCGCGGCAAGATTCTCGCCACCGGTTGATTGCAGCGACTTGATCTGCTCCTCGGTCATGTTGATGAGGAGCGATAAGTCCGTTGAATTGCCCCACAGGCAAACTATAAAAATTGATGAGCTCCTGAAGCCGTCCCCAGGTAGATTTGCCTCAAACATACTCTGCGTGAGCTCTAAAAACATCAAACGTTCGGCATCGAGTTTTTCCTGGGCAGACAAGCCCTCTTTGTGCTTAAAAGGCTCCACGAAACGAGTCGAGAGCTCGAATACGGCATCTCCAGATCGGGAGAATGTATCACACTGCGTACACACCGATGAGTACGACAGCAGCCAACTTGCTATCGCTGTATGCGCACCTTTTGCCTGAAGAACACGTCATATTGTTGCCAAAGTTTGCTCACGCTGAAGCATTCCCGCAGACGACGGTACTTGTACGCCTCTGCAAACAGCCATGGGGCGTTCATAAAGTCTTTACCTGTCAAGTTCAGGCAGTATTAGTCAGCGTCCTCGATAAACATCACAGGCGTCTAAGGCATGCACGGGCGCCTACCCAAACAGGCAAGTTACCTGCCCGATATGGCGCCATCTGCCTTTACCCAAGAGCAGACTCGTGTTTGCAATCGCACGTGCGCCATGCATCCAAAGACCTTGTGAAATAATGCACACGATACTCACCTTGAAAATACTTTGCAATTTCCTTATTCCACAGTGCGACGTCCGCCTCACCGTCGTCAATGATTGGGCGAAGCTTGGCGTGGGCCTGCAAATCCTCCTTCAGTTCATCCATGCGCTTGATGCAGTCTACAAGGTCGACAACGCGGTCTTCCTCCGACTCTTGGTTGAGGGTCTCAACAACGTCGTCGATAGCCTTGCCGAGGATCGTTGGTAGGCGGTGACCCATTGTCGCGTACGCGAAGGAATAACTGCGGAGGAGCATTGGCGCAGGTGCGTGGAGGGAGAAACAACGACGTACGTATGGTAACCACGAAAGGCCGGCCATGGCGGGTTGTTGGGATCAATCTGTGTTGGGATAGGCCGTTAGCTACTGATCTTCATGAAGGGAGCCGGCACATTGCCGAGAGCAATGAGCACAGTGAGCACCAAAGGGGCGCATATATGCGCGTCATTAGGTTAATAATACACTGATGCCGGCCACGACGTGTCCGATGCAATTCCACCTGTGACAAAGCCTATGACGTAAAGCAATGCAAACAGCGCTAAGACGTTTGAGGGTATCAGGGGGGACGAAGCTCAGGAATAAGTTGAGGTGGGACCGACGTCACAAAGAGCCGCACAGAATGCAGAAATGACGGAGAGCATACTCACGGATGAGGGCGTTCTGGGATATACGAGCTTGATGTCCTGCTTGCTGGGCAAGTGAGAAAGCGTCAAGTGCATCTTGCCAGGCGCGCCCTTGGTTTTAGTAGGCTGGTTAGGTGGAGGGGCAGCCCCATTGGGAACGATCTCCTGCTTGTCGGTCATGTCGTGTTCTACGTCTGCAGGGGGAGTGGGAGGAAAGTAGTCAACCATCGTCTTCCCATAAGACATGAAAGCTGATCAATGAGCTGGGTGTGCGGGTGTAGCGCGGTATATGGACGGCGACGCGAGCGTACAGAGTGCAAATGAGAGAACAGAGGGGATCGACGGCGAGAGGGGGAGGGAGCACTCACTTAAATCAATATATATGCGTGGTGAAACGGGGGGTCGTTTGGATGTGGTCAGGAGGAGATGGTGGAAGTTTGAGACCAAACGTCCGAGAAGCGGCACACTGTTTCGTTCCCTACACACCTTCCCTTTTGAGCTGAAAGTGCTCAACTTTTGCGCATGACGTCACGCGTCGCTTGTCCGGCCGGCGCGCGCGGTGCCCCCGCCGGTGCCCTAAAAGGCAACACATGCGCCCGGCTGGCAACGCGCCCATCGATAGTCGGTCGATGCCGGCCCTGTGAGCAGCCTTCTTCGCGGCAGGAGCTTGAGCAACAGCCGCTCCAGCTAATCACACGCATGCGATATCGCTCAACATCATTCCCCCACTTTCTGCTTGCTATCTTCGTCCGCTCTGCCTAATTTTCCAGCAGTGCATGGTCGACATGTCTGGCAACGGCGACACATGCGGAAGCGCCTTGGCCGTGGACACCAAATGCGCTTGGATACCAGCACCCGCTCGACCGTTCTGCTTGATCTCAGCCGGAGGGTAATGCACGTGGGTCATAGAGGGGCTGTTGTGAGTGACTTTCTGCTGAAAGTTGACATGGACATGTCACACACGCACTGTGATGTAGTTGGCGCACGAGGCGATGGTGCAGAAGATTCGCGTAGTGTGCTCCACTTAGGTGGATGGCGGGCTGTGCTCGGGCAGAAGCAGAGATGCATATGTTCCCACGCACGGTTTGATGACATCTGATTTGGACACTGCAATCCCGCGTCGACAAAGTTTAGACGAACAATCGCATACGTCCTCGCCGGCAGAAAAATCGTCAAGACGCACCGTCTGAGGGCACGCAGCCCGGGGTACAGTACGCTGAACTTCCGATGTGGTTGTACTGTTCTCAAGCTATAGTGCCTTCATTGCGCCAAAATAAACGCGGCCTCCGCGACTGACGCAACAATCCATGATAGTCTTCGAAACTATATTCCGCTCCACGACACCGGTGGCTCCACTACATCTTGATGACCGGCAGTTCTTGAGCACATGCAATGCACCGTTCAGGGTTTCCATTTACGTTAATGCAGCCTGGTGACCCAGGTCGTCTGTGATGCTTACACGTTGCACAAGGCTTGCTGTAATACTTCGATAAGAATTTGCGTCGCCCTCGCGCATTGTCGGTATGGGATGATCAGGCCCACCACCAAGTCTCCCGATCTATCAGAGGAAATCTCCTCTAGGCTGCGGTCCTGTTCATGTCTGGGATGTCTTACACAAGGCGACTTCTCGTACTATGGAAAGGTCTCGTCCCCAGCCTTTACGAGAATCTGAATAGCAGCCTTGCGGCCACAGATGTGTAATAGACTGGTCAGAAGACTGACTGTTCTCAAGTTCCGTTGATGGTTTGTCTCTACATCAAATCGTCAGACGTCCATTCGCTGTGGTTTCGGTGGCGCCTAAACCGCATCCACCGTCCATCATCGCCCATTTTGCCTTGATGGCATGAAAGTGTAGATCGCGATAGGCCCATCTTACTGTAATAAGGTGTCCACCACCAGTGGTTCAGGCTCTGAGCTATATATACACTCAGCAATTGTGCCTTGCAGACGTAAAGCCACTCATTGACTTGCAGCTTGCACTCCTCGTGATCCATGCTACGCAAAGACAATCTCCGAAAAGCCCGTTATTGAAGTACCTGATCCACCGCACATGAAAGGAGCGCACAGGGTACTTCCGAGCCGATCGGGGGAGCTCAGGTTAGCAGCGGTGAGCGGCCGGCGATAGCGTTTGCGATAGGTATGGTGCGTGCAATGACAGTTGAATGCACTTCTGGCCGTGTGAAATGCTGCGCTGTGCGTCCTCCATTACTAATATGAGACAAGGGAATGGCTATCCGGCTATCGGTTACATTGTACGTACGGAGAGCTATCGAATACTTACCTCATGCACCGCAAAACCTAATGTGCCTGACAGAAGTAGAAGCGAACTCGTGGTTCTGAACTATAGAGACGTGAAGTGCACGGAAGAGTGAGTAAAAGGAAGCGGCCTGGGCACTCCTCGAAGATCGTCGACCAGTGTTTCTGGCCACGTACTACCACGCGCCAATCGATGAGGCTATGGAGCAAGGTTAGTGGTCCTGAACAGGCGAGTCGTATCCTCGTATGAAGCGAACGTCAAACCAGGCTCTACCCCTTACATCAGTTCTTTCGCGACTTGTGAAAGCCCAATTCGCAATGCTAGATGGTCTACGGAGACAGAGCCGTTGTTGAATTTTGACTGCTGCAAAATTTACTCGGGTACTGGTGAGACCATCATCACAGGCGCGAAGAAGTAACTGGAATTCACTATACAGTACACGCGCCGTGACGCGCCCACATCAGGAAATCTCAAATCGTCTCGTGCCAGCCCGAGAACAATTGACTTGTTCTCTCTGGTTTTGGCTTGTACAAGCCAACTGAGAAGCTACCAACCCAGAGAAAATTCAAAACAAAGAGGTCCTGGGACTTTCTTGAACTTACTGTAATGTCTATTTTTGTTTGGTGTTTGAGTTTTCCTGATGGGGCAGAGATTCAGCCTAGAGCGCGGAACGGCTCTACGCTAGTCTCCCGTGGGCAGACGAGATAATTCCTTCAACCTCTGCGGGAACGCTCCGGATATCCTTGTCTGACCCGTATCTCTCATAAATTCCGTCATGTCGTGCGCACTGCTTACCACACAGCTCTCCCTGAGCACGGTCATCCTTGTTGCTATTTCGCGTAAACGCTGAGAGGCGAGACCCACTGCCTCGTATCTTATGGCCTTGCTCCGATGCTGGTTCTAATGCGATGCGACCCATCGGAACTGCTTCTGCCAGTGACTCCAGGTGACTTCTTGGCCTGAGATTCGATATCAGTAAAATCTTTTGATCTCCAGGCCGAAACAAGATCGAAGAACGCCTGGGGAAGGAAAGGCTGGCTCCCGCCAGTCATTGAGCACAATGTGTGATACTCATAGCCATGCCATCGACTTCTGGTCGCTAACTATAAGTTTCATCGGCACATATCAAGTGTCGGCGCTGCCTCTCCACCTTTGCAATTCAAGGGCATGGGCTCTTATCAGGACGGACCGCCTTCCTATGACGTTCTTGATGGAGTATCATAACAAGGCGGCTACTGCATTACACATAACCGTGGCGCAGACACAGAGCCTTGTTCTCCGCAGAGTACTTTTAACGGAGCATTCACGTCATGTCCTTCGATAACCCTGCGTCCCGATCTGTGTTGCCATGACAGGTGTGAACTTGCATCTGAACGACTCTCTAGGGTCCCTCTTCATTGGAGTGCTCTTTGCTGTACTGTGGGCTGCCAGCCTTGGTCAGGTTCGTGGACAGCGCTGACACGTGCTGATCTGCAGTCTATATGGTGCTGAATGTGCACAAGTACTGTACTACTTGCGAGCCTATCCAGATGACTCCTTGTCGATAAAAGCTCTGGTATTGAGGCTGCATTGTTGCACTAGATAACGTACGCTTACAAGTGGATATTTCCCTACAGGTCATGTTCTTGTGGTGCGCCCTTACAACAGGAATTCTTTTGTCACACAAGTCTGATAGATCATTATGTGAACAGGACCCTCGAGACAGCGAGAACAATCCTTGATCTCATTGTACGTCCATATTTGTATTTGGGGGCACTGACGGGCCCTCATATGAGGCAACTAGGCGGAATGGTACTACCTCATTCAGAATCATGCGAATGTGGCGGCGCTGGAGCTCTTACCTATGTTAGTATCTGAAGTCACTGTGAATGTGCACAACGTAGCTAACATCATACTCTCATTGCGTACAGCGCGTTTCTTGTACGTTTGCTGTGCAACGTGTCTTGTTGAAGCAACTAACCTCCTGTAGCAAGCCGAGTTCTTCCTTAACGTCCGTGCGCACATTGAGAATTGTAGTCTTGAACTGACTCCATTCTAGTCCCTGATGGTTCTCATTGCGCAAAGGTATAGACAATAGACTCGCACATGCTGTGACAAGCTAAAGGAGGATGTCACAGTTTCTTTATACACTCCATATGGAGGCGTAAGCGTAATATGTCCGTGCGTTTCACATGAACTAATGGAAATGCAGTCTTAGGCATCGAGAATCGCTGGTACCGCTGGCCAATAGTAGTGACCGTGGTAAGTGCGAATGCGACGATCCCAAGTTCGTGCTCATAAAGAACTACAGAGCTCGTTGGCTCTCTTGTCCTTCAGTATGTCATGTATCACCTCATATAGCTGTGAGGCCCTGCTGATATTCGTCTGCTCAGCGGGTGGTTGTGGTTCGTACAGATATTCCTGTCACTAATCACGCCGCTGATATTACCACGCACTCAGGGGCAGTGTGGAAGGCGTGAGTGACCTTCATCCGGGTCCCATGCTCTCCGGGAATATAAGACTCATTTCGCTGCAGACACCAACACCATGGTGTCATGAACGAAGTGTTGCGTTCCGTGGAGGTGAGAATTCGCGGATCGTTCTAGGATCTCGATTCTGAATGGAGAACAGTTTCCAGTTTCTGTTGCGCTTGTCACCGCTGTAGTCACCGATATCTACATTACCGTTTCTCTTTGTCTCACATTACGTGCGCACAGGACCGGCTTTGTGCGGTACGCAGCTTTGGCCAATCCCACTCTCATCCACTGCTGAACCTGTCGCGCGCGCGTAGGTCTGACACGCTCATCTCGATGATTCTGCTGTTTGCCATTCAGAGAGGAATTTTCACCGCGTCAGCAAGTCCTCACTTGTCCCTTACAACAATTGAACTGAATTTTCCGTTGCATTACACAGCCTCATACAAACATTGTTTTTCTTGACGGTGAGCCATTCCCGTCGCATTTATGGAAGTCGACAACTGACATTGTTGGTGAATGCAGTATGTCTGCACCTTGAAACAAGAGCTGCTCGTGTGGATGGTATTCCATTTTCCCGCAGGCAAGGGTAAGTAGCTCTCTCCTCTCCATTGACGAAGAAAGTTTAACGACGAGCCCATAACGTCATCAGTATACGTCAACTCGCTTCTCGTCATGTAAGCAGCTGCTCCTTCCATTGGCTCGCCTTCTCACCGACGATCAAACAGGCTTAATGCCCGACGATATATCGGTCAAGGCGGGAGTGACGGCGCTCTCGGCTTTCGTCTCACAGACCTCCCTCTCGACAGGTCACCACATAACGGACTATCCCAATAATGCGTTCACTGGTGCTGTCGAGACTGTTCTCTCGCTTAAGGGCTATTTTCAGAGAATTTAACCAACAGGAGAAGTCGCGCACACTAGGACGGGCGATGTGCTCGACAGAAGTGGTGCATCACTACAGTGATGCGATCGAGATTGAATCGGCAAATGGAAGGAGAAAACATGTAGAAGGTGCGACGTGATACAAAAAAGAAAGAAATCTGTCCTTCCGATGAGTGGACGTTGACTTTTATTAGCGATAGGCCCATGTTACTGTAATAAAATGTCCACCACCAGTGGTTCAGGATCTCAGCTATATGATATACATTCATCAATTGTGCCTTCAGGCATCAACCCCTCATACCGTTCACTGACTTGCAGCTTGCACTCTTCATGATACATGCTACGCAAAGATAGTCTCCGAAGAGCTCGTTATCGAAATACCTGATCCACTGCACATGAGGGGAGCATGCAGGTTCCTTCCGAGCCGATCGGGGGAGCTCAGGTCAGTAGCGATGAGCGGCCGGCGATAGCGTTTGCGATAGGTATGGCGCGTGCAATGACAGTTGAATGCACTTCTGATGTGGAATGCTGCGCTGTGCGGGATGCACCGTGATCGACGTCGCAATATGAGTCGTCCTCCACGTGAATGGCTAGAGTCCGGCTATCGGTTACATTGTACGTACGGAAAGCTGTCGGAACACCTCATGCACCGCAAAATCTAATGTGCCTGACAGAAGTAGAAGCGAGCTCGTGGTTCTGAACTATAGAGACGTGAAGTTCACGGAAGAAAGGGAAATGAAGCGGCCTGGGCACTCTCCGAAGATCGTCGACCAATGTTTCTGGCCACATACCATGCGCCAATTGCGCAAGGTTCGTGCACGTAGTGATCAAACGTCAAACCTTAGTGGCTGGCAGTTCTTTCGCATTTTGTGAAAGCCCAGATTCATAATGCTAGATTGCCTGAATGTATTGCAACTCATAGAGACTGAAGAGATAGAGCCATTGCTGAGCGCTGAATTCTTACTGCTGCAAACTTTATACAGTTGCTGGTGTCTGCAGAGGAAAAAAGGACGCGCCCACGTGCCACGGGGTGGAGAGCCTCCGCGCGATTGCGCCACAGCCACTCCGTCACGGTAAATGCCATCCCGTCGCGCGCGCTGCGATCACCGCACATCTTTACCTGAACACGGTCATTTTTGTCGCTCTTTCGCGTAACGCTGAGAGGCGAGGACAGCCACTTCGTCCCTTGTTGCCTTGTTCCGACGCCGATTCTGAAGCGACACGCCCCATCCGAACCGCTTCTAATTTCTTGGCCTGCCAGTGAGATTCGATATAGCAAAACCTTCTTATTTTCAGGCCGAAAGAAGATCGGAAAACGCCTGAAGAATGGAATGGATGGCTCCTACCCGTCATTAGATCATGAGAAAAAATTGTATGATACTCATAACCATACCGTCGACATCTGCTCGCTAAATATAAGCTGTCTCAGCGATCTTCACCTATGAAGTGCCGGCACTGCTTCTGCACCTTTGCAGTTTGAATCCCTGGGTGTGGCCTCTTATCAGGGTGGACCGCCTTCACGAGAGATTCTTGATGCGAGAACCATAACAAGGCCGATGCCACATTGCACATGACTGTGGCGCATGAACAGAGCCTCGTTCTCCGAAGAATACTTCTAACGGAGCAACCTCATCGTGTCCCTTGGTAGCCCTGCATCCTGTCTGTGTCACCATGACTGGCGCGAACATGCATCTTAACAACTCTCTAGGGTCCCTCTTCATTGGAGTGCTCTTTGCTATACTGTGGGCTGCCGGACTTCTTACGGTTCGTGGACAGTGCTGATATGCGTTACCTTGCAGTTTATACGGCATTGAATGTGCACAAATACTGTACTACGCGCGAGCCTATCCAGATGACTCCTTGTCGATAAAAGCTCTGGTATTGCGGATGCATCGCTGCACTGGATACCGTACACTCACAGGCGGATTATGATTTTTGTCCACAGGTCACATTCTTATGGTGCGTGCTCACAGCAGGAACGCTTTTGTCACACAAGTCTGATAGATCAATCTGCGAACAGGACCGTCGAGACAGCAAGAACAATCCTTGATCTCATTGTAGGTCCATACTTTTTGTATCTGGGGTGCTGGTGGATCCTCATGTGAGGCAACTAGGTGGTATGGCACTACCTCATTCAGAATCATGCGACTGTGAAGGCGCTGGAGCTCTTGCCTACGTTGGTATCTACAGTCACTGAATGTGCACAACAGAGCTAATCTCATACTTCTGCTGCGTACAGCGCGTTCTCTGTACGTTTGCTTTGCAACGTGCCTTGTTTATGCAGCTAATCTCTCGTGACAGGCCGAGTTTTTCCTTAACGTACGTGCACAAAATTGAGAGTTATAGTCTCGAACTGACCCCATTCTAGTCTCTGACAGTTCTCATTGCGCAAAGGTATGTACAATAGACTTGCACACGCTATGATGAGCTAAACGAAGATGTCACAGTTTCTTCATACACGCAATATGGAGGCGTGAGTGTGATATGTCCATCCGTCTTACATACACTAATGAATGCGCAGTCTTGGGCATCAGGAACCGCTGGTACCGTTGGCCATTGGCAGTCACCGTGGTAAGTTCGAATCCGACGATCCCAAGTCCGTACTCATAAAGGACTACAGAGCTCGTTGGCTCTGCTGTCCTTCGGTATGTCATGTATCACCTCATATAGCTGTAAGGCTCTGCTGATGTTCATCTGCTCAGCGGGTGGTTGTGGTTCGTACAGATGTTCATATCACTAATCACGCGGCTGACATTACCACGCCCTCAGTTACAGTATGGAAGGTGTGAGTGACCTTCATCCGGGTCTCATGCCCTCTGGGAATATGAGCCTCACTTCGCTGCAGATACCAACGCCATTACATCATGGCCGAGGTGTTGCGGGACGCGGAGGTGCGAATTCGCGGATCGTTCTAGGATCTTGATACTGAATGGAGAACAGTTTCCAGCTTCCATCGCGACTGTCACCGCTGTAGTCACCGACATCTGTATTACCGTTTCTCTTTGTCTCACATTGCGTGCGCAGAGGACCGGCTTTGTGCGGTACGCAGCTTTCACCAACCCCACTCTCATCCATTATTGAACCCATCGCGCGCGCGTAGGTCTGACACGCTCATCTCGATGATTTTGCTGTTCGCCATCCAAAGAGGAATATGTACCTCGTCAGCAGGTCCCCACTTGCCCCTTTCAGCAACGCAACTAATTTTTCACTGCGTTACACAGCCTCGTACAAGCGCTGCATTTCTTGACGGTGAGCCATTTCCATCACTCCTGTGGAAGTTCATCAACTGAAATTGTTGTTGAATGCAGTATGTCTGCACCTTCAGACAACAGCTGCTCGTGTGGATGGTATTCCATTTCCCCGCAAGCAAGGGTCCGTAGCTCTCTCCTCTCGATTGGTGAAGAAATTTTAACGACGAGCCCATAACATCATCAGTATATGTCAACTCCCTTCTCGCCGTGTAAGCAGCTGCTCCTTTCATTGGCTCGCCTTCTCACCGACGATCAAATAGGCTCAATGTCCGACGATATATCAGTCAAGGCGGGAGCGACGGCGCTCTCGGCTATCATCTCACAGACCTCGCTCTTGGCACGTTGCCGCAAAACGGACTATCCCAGTAATGCGTTCGTTGGTGCTGTCGAGTTGCTTCCCGACTCGAGGGCTGTTTTCAGAGAATTTAACCGACAGCAGAGGTCTCACACACGAGGACGGTTGATGTGCTCGACAAAAGTGGTGCATCACTACGATTATGCGATCGAGATTGAACTGGCAGATGGAAGGAGGAAACATGTAGAAGGTGCGATGTGATACAAAAAGACAGACTTTATTTATCGTTATCACGAGTATACGTTCACTTTTATTAAGCAAGTCGAGCCTGGTCATTTGCGAGTTACACACACCAGAAGTTCTCTAATTTTCGAGCAGGCGCTAGGAGTCATAGGCCGAGATGGACATTCTGCGACTACGAGAAGCCTCAGAATGTGCAGGCTGTCTGCTTAAACAGAGCGCATTTGAGTCATGCAAACTCGCGCTTCAAGGGCTGACATATTATGTATTGGCCGCAGAATGCCTATATACTAAGAGGAGGTGGCTCCTCCAGAGCATGGTCTAATTGAGCGAGCTCATTGTCATAAAACCGGAGTAACGCCTCCTTATTCGAACAAAATTGTTCAAGCCTCATGCGTATCGCCTCGGCAGCCGCTGCTGGCCTCTGATGTTTCAGAGCCGAGCCGATTCTGCCAGGAGCCATGAGTCGATTGGTCAAGAACAGGAACCCCTGGCCGTTCCCTAGGACTTGCACGAACGCTACGCCAGATCGATGCACCCATTGTGAGTACTTGAAAGGTGCGCGGCGATAGGAATACACAACGTCCACTTGCTCTGGATACAGAGCGGCAGCCTCGATGTCGAGGACGAAGCCATGCTTGCGGAGCATTGCATATTCGAAATAAAACTTGGCCTGAACTCCATCTGCAACTCGCTTATCTAGATCAGGCACGATTGGCGGCGGTAGGGCGATTGAGATGGGGAAGCATGATTGGAATGGATTTCGATCCCTGATGTCGCAGATCTGCGTGACATAGGCTTCGACGAGCTTTAGGCCGTACCGCTCTATCGTCCGGCTCCACTGTCGCAGAAGGTCGTCGATACAACGAGCAGTAGTACCGAGCCATTGCAGCTCGAAGTGGAAACAAGTCGCAGGATTGTGGATGATGTCGTGGTGAAGGATGACAGACTCGGCCTGGTCGCTCCGCTGTGGAAGGACAGTGAGTGAGATCCATTGTATGGTAGCGAGATATGCACCTTGTTTGGGTCAATGTCAATGACCATGCTCTGGCTCATGATGAGACGCTTCTTGGTTTTCTTGATGGAGGAGCCACCACTTCCTGGGTAGAAGCCCGTTCGTGGACCAGAATCATCACCTGGCGCTTGACGAGAAGAGCGGAACCATCCGCCTCGAGGAGTCATAGGGACGAGGTATTCGCCTTTCAATGCGTAAAAGTAATGACTGTTGAACGGTTAGGACAGCCCATATCAGCAAAACAGGCGACGCACCCGTCCAGGAACCCATGAGCTCCTCTGCAATGTTCAAAGAGGCCACGCTCCTGCAACTTGTTCCCCACATCCACGCCTTGCTCTCTGGAGGAGATATCGCGAAACTCGCGTACAAGCCACGAAACAAAGTCGGATCCTAGGAAGGAGTTTGGATACTTTCTGCCATGCCACCTATGCTCCTTGATGGGGACACCCTCTTCCTCACGCATTGCCTTCGCGATAGCAGCCAACGACATATCCGCGATATCTCTCTCGCTCTTCGTCTTTTTTCGCAGAGGTCCTTTTGCATGGATCTCGTCCAGCTGTGCGATTAGTGACTCATCGAGGATGCATGCCACCGGTTCCATATCTGTGGTAATGAAGCGAACTGGAGGAGTCGGTCTTCCCTTTTCTTCCGGCGGACACCATCGCGCCTTGGAGAATAGTTCAGCTAGTTTGTCCATCCCCAACAAGCGCACCTCCTCGTCATTCAGCTTTTCCCCTGCTGGGCCTACATTTGTGGAGGGTGGCTCGTCAGTTGGGATTACCACAAACCGAGTTCGCCAGTAGCGAATCGATTCGTTGAATTGCGTTTCGTAGCCTGCCACTAACATGTCAAGTCTGGAAGTATATGCACTGATTAGCACAATTCTATGACTGAGCAAATGCATGAGCCTACCGGTTCCATCCGTAACCCTCCAATCCATGCGAGATGAAAGAGGTCGAAAGCTCGGTGTAACCAACGCCGAGTTTGGGCCATATCAAGCATTGATATTGAAAGGGCTGTACCTGTGGCATCCGCCGCACGTACCGCCGAACCTGGATAGAATCCCCGCGATATGCAATGCGATGGATCTCGTTGCTCATGCTCAGATATATGGGATCGTGTGGGGACTTCAGCACATCCGAAACACCAGTCGGCTTGGGAGTCGCATCATCTTCAGCAACGTAGGACCTGGTACGTCGAAGCACCTCTGGAACATCCATCTCGTGAGGTGCCGGCCTGCTTGGCCGCGAGACGAATTGGAACCCTTGGGCGAGACGCGATGCAACCATCCCCCGCATCACAGCAAGCGCCCATGCGCCGCGCACCTCGTCCGCAGTACCGCTCACAGACGGCGGACGGACGAGGAAGGAACGCATCTCCGGCGGGTCCACGACGAAATCGTAAAATGTCATGTCGTATGCCGCCTCCAGCTCGGACATAGGTGGGAAGTACTCTATCGTAAGCGGGAGACAGCCCGGTGTCTTCATCGCCTTCCATTTGATCTCATGCTTGGAGAACGGTTCTGGGAACATGTGCTGCCACCTGCGCGCCAGCGACCACTGCATATAGGAGACGCGCGAGGAAGGCTTGCAAGGATTCGTCTGGACCGCGTGATATGACGGTCCGACGGACATTGCGCTCGACGTGGTCTTGTCAATCATTCTGCGCCTCGGCATAACCAAACTGTCGCGCGGAGAGGTACTGATCGGCGACCGTATTTGAGAGACCGCCGGATGTGATACCACTGTTTCTTCATCAGCATCTCGGCGGGACGATATGGTCCTGATCGTCACTTGTGGGGAGCGCACCTGCGGAGTGCGCACGGCCGTCGGAGTACTCGCAGCCATGACCGAACGTGGTGGCTGTGCTTCCGATCTCGGAGAGATAGAGGCACCGCGTGTTGAGGTACCAGACACTGGAGTCGTCTGAGGCTGGCTTGGCCCGCTCTTGAACGGATTAAACAGCCAAGACGGCATGAAGGGAGATCTGGTTGAGGAAGTTGCCGCCGAAGGCTTCTGCTTGGATCGGCGCTTACTAGACGATGCGGTAGAACGCACACTCTTCAACGAATGCCCTGAACGATTCGACAGGATCGACGCCTGTGATGGCGAGCTGCTGAGCCCGGCCGAGGCCGCCAGTAGTACCTTTTGCTCTGCATCAGACGCAGATAAATCTGCAGGCATCTGAACCGGCTGGGCAGCCTCCTCCTGCAGATCGTGCAACGACCAAATCGAGGCCTCCGAGTTGCGACCTGATGACGTACGCTTCAGGCTGCTGTCGTGTCGCAGCAACGCAGCAATGCCCGAGCCGCTCCCTGACGAAGCGATGGAGCCACGATTTGGAGGAATGTGCTGGGTTTCCGGTATCGGTGCGAATATCTCGGAGTCGAAGGCATCTGCATCCTCCTTAGAGATACATGCGCTCCCTGATGCATCTGAATATGTGGAAGATGACATCGGCGGAGGGAGGAATGGGATTTCGATGTTCGATAGCACGTCATTATCCAGCAATCCTAGCATCTCGATTTCATGCATTTTCGCTCGAGCGACGAACCTGGTAATCTAGTGATCAGCATCGATATGCCACTACAGGAGGAGCTGACTGATATACCTATCTGTCCTGAACGGATGATCCATCTGCTTGTCCCAGAAAGACGTAGCCATCCAGAAAGGCTCCCACCAGAACAGAGTCTTCTGCCTCCCAGCTGCCTGCAGCTCCTCATCGCCACCCCAGAGTGGGTCGAGCGCACGAGAGCCGATCAACCCTGCAGCGCCCATACGTACGTCAGGCTCTACACCCTGAAAGGAGAATATCGGGCTCTGGTGCAGGGGCGGCTTCGTGAGACAGACGAGCTCAACACCGAAGCCCTGGTCCAGCAAGCGGGTCGTCGTGAGTCGCAGAAGCCGCTTCGAGATGCGGTAGTAGCCCGTGCCAGGTGTGATCACAACGGTCAAGGACCCGGTGAGCGAGAGCGACCGGTCAATGTAATGCGTCTCGGTGGGATTGAGCCCCAGGTTGAGCGCTTCCAACAGCGGACCGTCGTGCGCATACGAGAGCTGCCCGACAAGGCGCGCGTGGCCCGGCTCACGCGAGTTGACGGTGGGCCGATGGTAGTGGTGCGTGAGCAGGATGTCCTGCTGAAATGCCCAGAACGAGTTCTTCAACCCGACGAGGGTCGGCTTCCAGTCGTACAGTACCTCGAGGTCAGTGACGACCTTGTAGAAATCTTTGTACCAGCGCCCGTCCTCGTCCTGCCGCAGCGGGCCCGCGGCGTAATCGACCTCGGATGGATCGTAGAACACGCGCGAGATGAGCACGATGGTCACGATATGATTCGTGCCCGCTTCGCGCCACTTGTTGAACAGCGTCGGGAGGAAGGAGTGCACGATCTTCTCATTGTACCGCTCGCCGTCGCCGGCGAACTCCCAGAGCTCGCGGCAGACTTGGATGAAGATTGTCACTTTTGCGGAGAGTGAGCGATAGATGGCTTTCGTGGAGGAGGTGATGTATGCTGATGGTACCTATTTGCGCTCCATCATCTTAGCGGAATATGTCCTTTTTGGCATGCATACCTTTTTGCCACCAATGTAGATTGCTTGTATCTTGGCGGCGATCACTCCGATGAAGGAGATCTCCTGTTCTACATATGTGCACTGGCCGACCAGATGGGAGCTTAATCTCCACATTTCATTGCGTCCCAAGTATTGGTCTTGGAACGTGAGCTCGATGTACTCGGCGGAGTACTTCGACTTGTCGATCTGACGAGCCGCCTTTCTATAGCTGCATGGTAGCGACAGGAAACAGAGAGCGGTACCTTCGTCAAGGTGACCTCTCCATTGTTTCGCAGACCGAACTGGTCAGCAACTGGCCTAGGGACGGACACCTTACAATGTTACAGTTGTAACTTCGCACTGGATCCCAAAGGTCATATGAATCAACATACTTGCAACTGAGGCTTCATGTTCCCTTCATCCTTCTGCACACTGAACAGAAACCCGGACGAGCTCCCGATCGCAGATGTTGAGACTCGGATCACATCGCCCTCTGCAACCCCTGGCCACCACGAGTGATTCAGCTGCACATTTGGCGAGTCTTTTGGATCGTGCACCCAGGTTGTGAGCGTCTTGGAGTCGCCAAGCCTGAGCGGCGTTGCGGACACGGACGGAGGCTTGTACTGCGAAGTGACGGTGTTGGATCGTCTCCGGCCGAACTGAGAAGCTTGAGATTCTGCTCGGGAGCTAGACATACTGTGAGGCGAGTTGAATGACCAGCTGTACTGTTGAGCAGAACAGTGCTGCACGCGCTGCAAAAGGGGAGGAATACAACATGATCATTAGCCATCTAGTCAACACGACACTGAAGCATCGACTTACAAAGCTTTGGGGCCTCAGGCCTCAGTACTCAGTCCTCGCACGTTTCAAACAATCAAGATACGTGCAGTGCCAAGACGAAGCCAAAGAACATGCAACTTCCCCAGATACTTCGTCGCGGAGGCAGCCAAATCTTCGACTAGTAGTATATGATGATATTGGATGTCTTCCTGCTTCCTAAGGTTGATAGATCCTCGTTCCAGAGAGGATAATCGAAAATAGATTCAAACGTATAGTATGCAAGCGTCTGCAACGTGCAGACAAGCGATCGGGTATGTGCTGTGCTGGATCTTGCTGAGCTTCAAATAGTATACAGTACTTGGTCCCCCTGGCAGCCCGTTTACGGTTTGTGTGACACACACCTCACTTAATGAGACAAAACCTTCCAGCTCCTACGTTTTGTTTTCTCACTTTTGGGCTGGGACGTACACTATTATAATGTGTAATGCTACTCTATATGAGTTTCCTAGAGAATCAGTTTACGGATAGGCATGCATTTGTTAATACCAGGTGACGCGATTGTGGCTGGAGTAAGCGCCGTCCACGTGATGATCTAAACACGTCAGTGGCGATGATCAAGTCGGCCTCACTGGCTTTGTTCCATCCATCATCAGAGTGCTCACTGGACAAGGTACGGAAAGCTGTGTGTTCGTGTTCATATTACTATCATAGGTTGTATCCTGATTATCCATTGTGACAGGGCCCCGATATACGCTCTCCTTCGATCTTCAGCGGGGAACTAGCCTTCTCGAATACTCAGCGTGTCCGGTTATCCACGATATTTAAGGCGTTCTGAAACCTAGTCCGTTCATTAGTCTCACTCGCAGGCTTTCCAACATTGCAAGTCATGTCCTCCCAAACCACCAGAACATCTGTATGTACCATTCGTTACATTCTCCTGCCACATTCAAGCCCACACCGTTCGCAAATTCGTTTTTCAGAATGCGGCCCGCGCTGTAGACTCTATTCCACAGCCATGGGCTGTCCTCATTGGCGTAGATAAGTACCGCTACGCGCCTTGGTTGAGCCGCGCCGTCACGGACGCACGCAACATCGAGACCTACCTCCTCCGTGACTTGCATGTCCCTTCAGAGCAAATCGTCCTACTTCTTGACGAGGACGCCACCCGCGCCCGCATCCTCGATGCGCTCTACACGCACCTCCGTGACAATGACAACATCAAACCAGGCGATCCCATTTATCTCTTCTTCGCAGGCCGTGGCGTGCGCTACCCCGTCACCGACGGTAAACCGGTCAACGCCATCCTTCCCGTCGACCGCGGCGAGGAGGTGACCTTGGAAGACGGGAGCACTGGAAGCGTCCTGGACATCAGCGAGCGAGAGCTGGAGCACTTCTTCGACGAGTTGAACGCATCCAAGGGCCCGAACAACACGGTCATGTTCGACTGCTCGTTCTTCATAGACGACAATCCCCCGCCCAGGACGCGCTCCGCGCGCCCGCTGCAGGGCGTCGCGGCGCAGGATCTGATCAAGGCTGCCGAGCAGGAACCGCGGAGGAGGCCCGTAGCTGGGAGTTCTGCGCTCTCATCAGGGTCGTTCTACGACCAGTCGGGCTCGCGCGTATTCATGATAGGATGTCAGCCCGACCAATATGCCTATGAAACTTAAAAAGAAAAGCACATGGTTCGCAATCTTGCTTCACCTGGTTCATCGTTAGGGCTCATCTGAGCTCCAGAATTGCGATAGCGCCAGCATCCATGCACGATTGATGATGAAAAGCCTGATTCGGGAGCATTGATTCCATCATCTGCATCTTCATGATTGCATCATCGCCCTCCTTCATTCCACAACAGAATAGAGATTTGTAGCTATGTCCTTTGTACTTGTCCTCCTTCCGTGTCCTCGCTCTGATTTCCTTCTTGTAAAGTGTTATGTAAATCATACTGTGCCTGCTCTATGTACATCAATCTGCCATGCCCGTAGTTGAGCCTCACGCCATCGACCTGTGATGAAACTGCTTCCAAAACAAGAGGCCAGCTTTCCATTTCGGTGATCGCGAACGCGCCAACAATGACCTCTTCACACCTATGAAGTCTCCTCTGCCGATGTCCTGATTGCATGACCTCATTCATTGATGTTGTATGACAGCTGCAGATCTTTGAGCTGTAGATCAACGAGGTATTAGTTCGTCGTGGATGTCATGTCATCTACCTTTCTTTCAACCCAAGCTCATCGTCCTCCTCGCTGCGCATTTGACTTCCACCAAACTTCTGTATTCTGAAGAATGGCAGACAATCTTGTCCACCCGAGCAACGTGCGTGCCCATTGCTCTTACCAGGCGCTACTATACTACTACTAATGGCATACCACGCTCAGCCGCACAAGGACATATCCCGCTCCGAGGGGCTGCAATCGCAATCTCAGCCCGGAAACGGTGCAGGCACTGAAAGCGACCAGAATAGCCGCAGTTCGGGCGATGGCATGATGCAGTCCTTCAAGGAGAAGATTGCTAGTGCTGTCAGCAAGATGAAGCAGAATGCTGCTGACGAGGTACTATGTCTCTGCTTTATGCACAGCTATCAGATGCTCACCCATTTGCAGTGAGTACATCTACACATCGTGGGACAGATCGTTCCTCATCTGGTGCATGTAGGCGGATGCTCGATGATATTACCATTCAGGTAGGCGCAGGTCACACTTCCACGGTCCAATGAGACTGACCATCTGATGCAGTAAGTGCTCCCAAGGCTTACAAACACATAAGGTAGCTATTCCTCATGAAACTACTGGACAGGCGGCAATATGGGAGTGACGATATTCCGGACGAGTTCGGTGGCCCAGTCGTGTGATATGACCATTCGCGCGTACGTTGAATCTGTACCGTCTGTACATAAAGCGGCATGTGTGGCACCAACTTTCCCTTTAGACCCATCCATGCATGTTACAATAATTCCTATTACTTTGGAACGACCGCCGATCTTTCTACATCTGCAACATCACCTTAAGTACAGCATGCAATAACGAGAGCGCCGAGTGTCCGTATTCTCGCACGGATACCGTCCTATAGTTCAGAGCGGGAAACACTGAACATGTCAGCCACCCGTCCCGGTTTTCGCAACCGAAACAAGCCCTCCGCTGCTTACCGGCCATTGGTCGAGTAGCTTCCGTCGTCATCGTCATCGTCATCGTCCCCATCGTCATCATTATTCGACTTTTCCAAGTATTGGATGCCGCTCCTCTTGCATGAGCCCGCTTCGTACGCGTCTACGAAAGATCACGTCAGTGTCCCGTGACGCTGCACGAGATGCTGCAGGACTAACCGATAGGAATGAATTCTCCATCAATCAACGAGCCCTGCAGGTTGAACCAGTACTCTATCTGGTATAGCTCGCCGTCATCGCAGTCGAAAGACGCCGTGTACTGGATGACACCGTCGTTAGTTAAGCGACCTATACATATAAGCAGGGCGCACGCACTCCATAAGCACTCTGGATGGCGCTCTGCAGATCATCGAGGCTGTAGGTCGTGGAATCGGACGGCGTGACGCCACCTTCCTCGAGCCACGTGTATGTCGTTAGATTCTAAGCGAAATCGAGCAACGCCGTTGAGTATCGTGTGCGCGCCAAAAGGCAAAGTAATCGAAAGCACCTGGAACAAGCTAACAACCCTCTCGAAGAACGTCACAGCCTATCGCGCCTGCATTTCAGCCCACCTTCGCCACAGATCGGTGTGAGGAGACTACGTACATCAATGCCAGTGGGACTTCCGCTTGGGAAGCAAGATGTCTGTAGCGTAGTATAGCACGTTCCATGCGTGTCCCATTCGTGCTGTAGATAAGTGCCATCAGATTCTGGCGAGAAAAAGACGACCACGTCAAGGATTCTCGCTCACCTGCCAAAAGTCCTCGTTCGACTCATCGTCGCTCAGCCAGTACTGGCTTGGCACCAAGCCATGATCAAAAGAAACGGCCATTGTTATGGTATAATATTCAACAATGAGGATTTTCGCAGTTGCAGCAGGCGACAGTGAGAGTATCAGTGCAAGGTATGCAGAGCACGACACTGCGTCAGGAAAGAAGCGGATCGAGACAACGTGGAGAACGCACGGTGTTCATATAATCCAACGTGGAGGTCGCGCCCTGATCCTCGAGAAGCTGTGGACGAACATAACATCATGTTTAGCGGCATTGTTTGTGAATGGTGGATGTGGCAGGCGTCAGCGCCATGCGGACACCACCACACTCGACGACCACCAAGGATCACGAGAAGAAAGGTGTCGCGGCCGAGCACGCACCGTCGAGATATCGTCGTAGTCGCGCGAGGAGTCACAGTCCTCGGGGTAGGAGCCATCACAGCTGCATCATGCCCCGTCAGTACGTCATTGCACCCGCGATTAGTGAGGGAAGTTGAAGCGCACTAGTTCGGCCAGAGACCTGCACATGCATCCGCTCAGCAAGCTTTCGAAAACACTCAGGCCACAAAGCGCATACCGTGGATCGTCCAACTATTCTCCGGGCCAGTCGAAGGATCGGTATCCCACAGCTTCACTTATCGCTCAGTATGACATCATACTCGCAGATCTTTCCCGCGGCCCACCTGCACCATCTGGATCAGACCCTACAACGTCGGACATGAGCCGAAGCTCGCGCGCAAGTCAGAGGCGGCAGTGGACACGTACGTTCGCCTCGAAGCAGCAGTAATCCGATTGTACAGTCGTGTTCTGGCACGACACAGGCAAGTCGATCCCGCACTCGGAGCTGACCTCGGGGTCAAGCACGTTGAGCGTAAGTGGCTGCATTTTCCTGCGCGCGGCAGCCGCGCCTGAGAGCGCGAGCAATAGCATTACCAGCATCTTGTTCTTCAAGTCCGTCTCTCAGTCGTATGGGACCTCAAGTACGCGAGAGAAGGAAAAAGGGGGGGGGGGTAGACGCAGATTCACAGCCGTTGGGGCCTTAAATACGTCGCCCACCAGCTTCTTCTTCTTCTGATATGCGGGGACGAGCAGACATGCTATAACCGCAGCCGGCTGCTGGCGAACAGCTGCATATGGAGAAGATTCCGTCAGTCCTGTGCAGACTTCGGTGCAAAGATAAGCACTGGATACGCGCGAGTAATCGCCGAAGCGCGACACGCGTGGGCGTGCGAGCTCGTGCAGTGTATGGCAACGAGGGCCGAGAAGGGGCAAGGGCTGCGCATGGATGAGAAGTGCCCCATGCTCTCTTGCCCAAGTCTTCCATGCGATGTCGACTGATATAGATAAAGCAAGCCAGCGATCGTTCTGACGCGTGTCTGGGAAAAGGTTCGCGGAGATCTAGTTGTTCGAGGGTGTTTCGAGACCGAGAACAGATCGAATGTATGCAGCGCGTGTGCTGTCGGGAGCAACGTTTCCTATGGACTCGATAGCACGAGGCTGAACTGTACGCACATAATAAAGACGCCGCCAGCCATGTGCGATGCCTCCGCGAACGTTCGACTACTGCTGCGCAGTAACACAACGTCAGCTTCATGCGCGGCACGATACGTGACACCACGACGGCCCCATTAGTCGCCACTCCGAGGGCGGTAAAATCCCTGTGACGCTTCTGTACGCAACGTGACAGATTCAATGCAATGGAACGCACCGGGGCTCGTGAACAGCGATGCGTCGTCCGAAAACAAAAGCAGTCGTATTAGATTGACGGATATATACAGCACGTTCGTACCGTGTACCGGCGCCGGTGCTCCGGCGCCCAACGAAAGTGGCAGAGACGGACATGGGCACTACCTGCGCACTGCCTGTATGAGCCTTTTCAAGGAATCTATCCGCAACCTCCACCCATCGCCGTATACAAAGCCAACCAATCCGCTGATGAAATCCCTACAAGGGTCGCTCAGCGCGCCTGCAGTCATAGGCGTCAAACAGGAAAGCGGCACGCACCAGCTCGCCCTGACGCTTGGTATCGGATAGTCCACTACCCTGGGTATACTCGTCTGCACGAGCCATGCAAACCGATCCACCACTATCGCCTTCGGGTTTGTGAGCGCCCGCAGCCCCTCCGGTCCACCTGACAATGTCAACGCCATGAGGTCAGTTCGCACGTTCGTCCGTCAGTGGCAGCTCATCAATCAGGCACCACACGCACCAAACCTCCCGTAACCGCTCGCTTTGAATCCGCCGAACGGCAGGTCTTGACTGCCACACTCTGAAATGAATTCTTTATTGCACCTACCAATAGAAGAAGTACGTACTTTAGCTGCAGGAGCGAGTAAAATTAGTACGCGAGTGTATAGAGGCACAGAATACGGCGTTCTGATGATACGCACATAGAACACTCCGAAGTCATTGATAGCAACCATGCCGCACTCGAGTTCTTTCGCGACCTTAAGGCATTTCTCTTGGTCAGGTCCGAATACACTTGCTCCGAGGCCGTACCGCGTGCCGTTCGCGATAGCGATTGCTTCCTCGATTGTCTCGTACTTTATCAGGAGCGCCACCGGTGCGAATACTTTCGTAACATCCAGTGCAACAATCAGCGATTCGGCATACAGAAGTACTGAAAATCCCTTACGCTCCCGTTGTGCAAGCTCAGACTCCGGATCCGCGTTCGCAATCACAGTAGGCAAGAAGTAGGACCCATTCTCCCAAAGCGGATGCAAGTGCTGTTCCCCGCCCTTCACGTCTAATCCTGCATCAAATGCAAGCTGCACTACGCCCGCCGTGTCCTCTGCGCGCTGCCCAGAAATCATCGCGCCCATGTCCACCTCCGGCGAGAATCCATCGTTCGGATTTGCCAGTGCGGTGCCCAGCCGGAGTTTATCCACACGCTCCCACATCATTTCATGCAGCCGGTCGTGCTGCGAGCTATGCACGATCAGCCGCTCGATGCCAATGCAGTTCTGACCGGCGTTCTGGCTGTGAATGGATATGAGGAGGTCAGTGCGTAAGAGAAGCCCAAGAGAAGCGCACTATACTCCGCGCATCCAGAGACTGATGTATTGCTCAAGGTTGGTATGGGGTAGAATGACTGCTGGATCTTTTCCTCCGAGCTCCAATGTGACCGGCGTAAGATGCACCGTAGCGGCCATAGCGACCTATCACATGGCTATCATAGTAATCGTGAAGGAAGCAACGCATAAATACCTTGCGTCCAACAGTCTCTGAGCCGATAAAGGTGATGTGCTTGATGAGCTCGGATTTGATCAGCGCTTCTGCTTCTTCAGGATAGCAGCATACGAGCTAACAGAATATTTGAGTCACTATCTCAATTGTACGTAATACATTGCATAGCTCACTTGGACAAGCCCTGGATCGTGTCCGCACGCACGCAGGCACTCCTGAATGGTACCAACGAACCACCGGGATGACCAAATTACCTGTTCGGAGCACTTCAGTACAACAGCATTTCCGGCAAACAATGCAGCAATGATGGGTGACCAAGCATTGTGCAGCGCTGTATCACAATGAGCACACATCGAATGCAACGGAAGGACACATATGTCGACTGACGATAGTTCCAGGACACGATGGCGGCCACTACGCCGAGCGGCTCATAGAAGACGTATGAACTCTTGTAAAACATGAGGAAGTTGTTGTGCCTTGAATCCGGACGCAAGTACCGTTCACCATGGTTGATCAGCCAGTCCAGCTTGGAGCATGTCGTGAGCACCTCTCCGAGAGCAGCGTCAAGCACTAATTGGGCGTCAGCAGAGAATGATATATAATGAGAGTATTATCACGTACTTGTCTTCCCAGTATCCCTACACGCGACTTTTGCACAGACTTCCTGGTTGTCCACGAGCCATTTCTTCAGGCTCTTCATGACACGTCTACGGTCTCGAAAGTCGGTCCTCTTCCAAACCCTTTGAGCTTCCACGGCGCGGCCAATTTTCTGCGATATCTCCTCATGGCTATCCGCAAGTATTGTGGCTAGATGGTACGAGGTAGCCGGGTCGTAGCTCGTGATGTACTTCCGTCCAGGGAGCGTGAAAGCAGGCCGCAGGTCTTCGTGAACCAAATGCGATTCGAGACTAGGGTTTGGTATCCTGTGTGCCTCGAAGCGAGGCCCTATCTCCTGCAGCGGTCGAGGTCATGCGAGGGAGTCTATTAGAATGGAGGCGAAGCGTACAGGCGGTGCAGGTTGGTGGAACGGTACTGCTCGGTTGAGGATAGACCGGTAGCGGTGAATAACAAGCCAGACGCCAACGGTCACAAAGCCCAGGATCATGTAGAAGACGTCCACGCCTTCCTCATCGTCGTAATCGTAGTCGGCCATGCTGGACTCGTGGCAAAATTGCGATACACGTCGTCGGGCGTGTTCCGCATTCAATTGCTGTGGCACGACTGGAGGCGCGTTGTTGTGGGCTATTTGTGCTCGGTGGCGGAGGGTTATCATCGCGAGGTAAGCGTCATTCTGATCACAACTTGTTCATCCGCCACCACCAACTTCGTCCTCGACCGCAGCGCCCAGCGCACACTGTACGTCCAGTAACAATGTCAGGAAGAGAGCCAATGTGGTTTTGTCACGAGGTATGCTCGTTGCTCCTCCTTCGGCTTACATACCGCTGAGCAGTGCACAGTGTCATGCGGAGATGCGCCCGCTCATGGTTAGTACGCTCAGCCGAGTCAAAGCGAGCTCGAGTGACCATCGCGCAGGTCCCAGATCCTCATTGCGCATCATGTAATGGGACATTCGTTGAGAAGGTGCGTACGCCATCTTGAATCGGATCGTGCTGGCGCTCACGTGGACGCAATGCGGTTGCAGCTAGACAATCCAGCAGACGACCCTCGAGAGTTTGACCACGTTCACGATGGATTCGAGGACGATGCCTTGCCCCAGAATATAAATGGTATGCTCGGTACGTCGCGTCTACTGCAGAGCTCAATCAGAGGGCCTGATCCCTCGGGCTCCGCATAGCCGGTCTACGAACGATACTGCAAGGTGGTATGTCCAACGCCCAGACGGGCGACGGTTCTGGTCCAGCTTCACAGAGATCGCAGTCGGAAGGTCCACGTGCGAGCTCAAATGGCTCGAGCACGGTTCGTTGTGCTCCTCTGCGCGCCACCGCCATACCTCATGTCATGTGCAGGGTGGCGGCCCTTTCACAATCAGGATAGATAGGAGGCCAGGATACCAAACAACAACTATTATTGGAGGACGTCCTGGGGCAGGAGGACCCTCCTATGCAGAGTAAGCCGAATCGTCTCCATATGGCAATCTATGCGTGATTCTAGCGAATTATGAAGATTCGTCTCTGGCGGGCCGAGTCGACAAGGCGGCGGCGACGCAATCAATGGAGCGCTCATGGCACAGTACCTCCTTGCGATGCTGGCCAATCGGCCCGGTCAACGGAATCCTGGTTCAGTTAATGACTTGTTTGGAGGCCTGTTCGGTACGCCAGAAGGCGCAGAGAATGGCAGATGGGGCGACTATGTGTTCAACCAGGAGGGTAAGCGCATAACATGTTATAGCATAGCGTCGACGTGGCTGAACTCCAGATGACAGCATTGGATCAGATCATCACGCAAATTATGGAGAATTCGAACGCTAACGCACCAGTCCCTGCTACTGAGGAGATCATGAAGAATTTACCAAGAGAGATACTAGAGGAAGGATGTGGGTTGAATGCTGGCAGATGCTGCTGCATTATCTGGTTGTTGTCGTAGCTGAGATGTCACTTGCAGCGCCCCTGTTGGAGAAAGATTGCGCCGTTTGCAAAGAGCAGTTTCAACTTGGCACTGAGGACCCCGATGAGCAAATCATTGTAACCCTGCCTTGCAAGCATCCTTTCCACGAACCTTGTATAATGCCTTGGCTCAAATCCAGCGGGACATGTCCCGTTTGCCGGTACGTCCCGCTCTGATGAAATACCCACACCACGAGTTAATAGACTACCAGGTACCAACTTATTCCCCAACCGGAGCACCAGGCTCCAGGCTCCAGACCTCCAGGGGGACCTTCTTCCAATAATGGCTCTGGTTCAGGCAACGGCTTCAATAGTTCCAGAAGTCGAAGTCCCGGTGCCTCGCAATCAAACCCTTCATCACCGAATCATAGCGGCCCGCATCACCACGGAGGGTTCCTGAGTCACTTATTCTCACTTGCTAGTGGCAGCCACAGTCATCATCATGAGAGCAACGATGGGGACCACAGTCAAGCTGGCTCTAGCAGCAATCGAACTCATGATGGTCATCGCCGATCGAGCTCGAGCGACGGCGACCATGGAGGTAATATTCCAGGTGGATGGGCCGATCAGCTTGACTGATTGCTCACTTGGTTATTCCTGGTGCAGAGCGATTTGGCTTGGGAATCTAGGCTAGTACTTTCGTGCGGATATGGACTGTGTTGTGATCTCTCCTGTTCTTGCGTCAGCATAACGACAACCGGCGGATGTATCATCAGATTGTAGCTCAGTGATTAGACTTTCTGTCTCAGGTGTCCTGCGTTAGTTAGGATGCGGCTGTTCTGGGCACTGTAAGCGCGCACTTTCCATCGACCAAGCCACGATATGACGACCGTCCGTAAACTTGTGGTCCATTCAACCTGATGAGAAGACAAATCGCATGGATCGCATCCGTCATCTGGTGGATATAAGACATTTATGATTACAGAGGTGGGCCATCTAGTACAATAGAGCAGTCGATGTAGCGAGTTGATGCCAAGGAAGGACATTGAAAGGGCAGCAAGAGGTACCGGAACCACTGTGATCAACGAGTGAACTAAGATATAAAATCACCACATCCAGAAGAAATCCATCAATATCGGCCAGAAAAGGATCCAGGTTAGTTGGTGGTTGCATTCGTGTAAGATGTGCTGGCAAAGCCCACGCGGGAGTTGCCCGTATCAAAGACGGAGTAAAACCGCTCAAGGAAAGTGAGCCCATTGATGAAGTCCATGCCTGAGCCCGTATCCGAGCCGATGTCGGTGACAACCAGATAGATGTTATCGCTGCTGCCGCCGATAGCGCTGTTCAACGATCTCTACATGAGACAAGAGAATTACTGTCAGCGGGCCGAGCTGGCAGCGTTGATGAGTGACAACACTTACGGGCCAGATCTGAGCGTTCGCAGTAAACTCATAGATTTGCTATACGGATTGGCAGGACAAGTCAGATCATTGATGATGCTTGTATTGCGAGGATGCTTACTCCGCCAATGTTGAAGTAGAGGCTCTCGAGCTGATCGTATTGATCAGCGGTGATGCGCAGCAGGCCGGTGTTTTCGTCCTGTACTGCACCGGTAGCTTGCTGATAGCGACTGAATGCATCTATAGATGGAGACGTGAGCTATTGAACGGCTGCAAGATTGAAGCTTGGGCAATATACCGGAAGCGATGAGGGTGAGCGTCGTGCCAGAATCGACAACTCCTGCAGTGGATGTCAGAATTTCGGTGTTGGAAGATCCATAGGTGATCGACTGATCGATGCCCCAGAACGTAGATGACGGTGAGGTGGTTGTGAGAGGGCTTGTAGAAAAACGTTCAGCACCGAATAGGCTTCGGGATATTAAATGTGCACGCGTACACGTAATTAATGCTTCCAGTGTATTTGGATGAATCAGTACCGCCGAATGTCAGCTCGCCATTGCTGTCAGAGTCGGACGTTGCGGGTTCAAAGGAGAGGGCCATAAGGTACTCGGATATGAGGCCTTGGGAATACAAGTTGTCCGTCACTGACAGAACATCCCCTATCAGCAGGCGTTGTGCAGATTGTCAAAAGGAGATGTTACCCGTAGGCACCGTGTTCATGTTTGTAACGGTGTCCTCCGTCAAGTCGGTCGGCCCAACACTGATTCGCACAACCGTTCAGTGCTTTGTCAAATACAGGAGGTGACCGTCACCTTACCCCAGTATGCCATCCATGTCAGTGAATCCCTCTGCATAAGAGGGGACGGCGATTGATTGCTGTGAGATGACCAGGTTGCCCAATGTGACAGTGTCATTGTATTCCTCCCCGATGAAAGCTCCAGAACCGTATTGGACCTCCTGTAGCAATGATCAGTGAGATCTATTCAAGCACACACCAGGAAAGTCTCAATTACCACTTGATCGCCTGTATCGACACTGGTAGAAGTCGCGACGTAGGCTTTGTTGACACCGACCACGGCGTTTGAAGACCCAGTATCGATCAACAGCGAGTCTGGGATGACAGAAAGTGCCATTAGACATAATCGTACGGTGATGGCTTAGCATCCTCCTCACAGTATGTCGCAGGCGAGCCGACGCCGACCTGATCGCAAGATGGTCAACATGATGTGAGTGATACATGTTCACGTGAGGCAGGTACAACGCACGTTTACGACATAACGGAGGCTATCGCTAGTCGCCGAGACGCTGCTAGAGCTTGCGCGACTATGGACCTGGTATTTTCCTGAGCCTTTCAGGTATTTTGCGCGCGCCTGGTCTCGCTCGACGGTCTTGACAATCCCGGTCGTATTCATCTGCTTCACCATCGGAATCGATATCGCCCCATTGCGCACTTGGATAAGATTCCCAGCCACAGTGAGGGTAAGGAAAACGAGCGAAAGGAAAGTGGAGCTGAGTGCCATGGCAGGAATGTGAGCGAGGAAATGCGGGATGGAATGGTGAGCAATGAGGTCCATTTCGCACTCCTTTTATCATGATATCATTGCACTCGAAGGCACACAATGATGTGTAGCTGACATGACAGACGGTATTGTCTCTGTTCCTGTTCAACTTCAACCCGTCTGATGCGAGGAGGTGAGCTGAATAGCAGAACTGGCCGCAACATGGCAGGCGCTCGGGACGCAACACAGCCTCAGGCTGTTGTCAAAGAGACCCTGAACACGAAGACTGTACAGGTACCAGCAAAGTGCGCTATCCTCGCTCATCGGGAATATTGCGCTGAGTTGCGATGAACTTTTATGTGGTGTAGATTAGCCTTCAATGCCTAGAAAATGATCGCTTCGCGGCTCACCTGCGCGCTTTTCGGGGACTCCATGTTCCACAGAGCGAGATGTCTGTGAACAGCAGGACTTTAGATGCACCTAGAAGTGAAGAAGCATGCAGAACATTAGTATCAACATTTGAGCCGTTTCGAATAGTTCACTTGACAGGCTCTGTAGGACAATTTCGAGATTTAGTAAGCAAGACGAACAGAGACAAGGCATTAGAGGAACGATCCGAAGCGAGATGAGACGGGACGGGACGGTGTCATGACATCCGTCAGTTATGCTGTCCTGCTGTTCGATAGTATCAAGCCCGAGAGAGTCAAGCGCCCACCCGCCGTGGTCGAGGTTGGTGCTCAACCATTTCCGTACCAATGATGACGCCGCAGAACTGTTTTAAAATGCAAGGGAGGGAATGTGCGCCTCTACGCTGTCGCACTGTAGCGGTTGCGCATGGTGGTTCTAGTATCGGGCCTTTGGCACCGGAACTAAGCTTCAAGCCACAGGATGAACTTATTAGTTCAAATGAGTCGTGCACCGTGATGATCATGTACAGTACCGCAGTTTGACCCGGTCCACGTCTATTCTGCACACGACCACACTATTGCGCCCACCACTGTGGCAACCATTACTGGCGGCCATCTGTCTTAGGTACAAGACACAGGATATGAATCGTATTCAAACCCCCCAACGCTCCACGTGACCGCGACTGAGGCGAACGACGAATCACGATACGACAGCAAGACCACTTTTTGTCGTTTCATGCAAAGATGTGCGTAACTGAGGGGTATACGCCAACTGTAAACTCCACAAGCATCGACTATGTTACAATTGGAGCGGAGACTTCTTTCAAGACGACACAGAGCACAGCCACGCTGTCCTTCACACCAATCCATCCCGAGACGCGACATCCTCAGTTGGTGGTCGCATCCGTGTAGGACGTGGTCGCGAAACCAACTTGCGAATTGCCCGTGTCGAACACGGAGTAGTAGCGCTCCAGGAAGGCGTACCCGTTGATGAAGTCGAGGCCCTCGCCCGATGGCGTGCCGATCGAGTTGACGATGAGGTAGACGTAGTCGCTACTGCCGCCAATGGCGGAGTTGAGCGACCGCTGTGCTCGTCATTAGGAATCTCAAGACTTCGCCCAGATGTAAAAGAGGGAACGTACCGGCCAGATCTGCGCGTTCGGGGTCAGCGTGTAGGAGTTCTGGAACAACGGCATCAGATGAGTAAGAAGAAAGGGAGACGAGGGAATCAGCGCACGTCGCCGATGTTGAAGTACAGGTTCTCGAGGTTGTTGTACTCCGAGGTTGTCAGCCGCAAGAGGCCTGTATCCTCATCCTCTGTCGCGCTGGTCGCCTTCTGGTACTTGCTGTACGCATCTAACCAAATCGCGAATCAGCACGAGTATGCGCCGTCGACGGCATAGAAGTACGCACTGCTGGCAATCAGGATGAGGGTCGTGCCGGTGTCGACAATGCCGGCGGTCTCAGACAAGATCGTCGTGCCGGAACCGTACGTGATCGACTCGTCAATGCCCCAGTAGTAGGACGCTGGGCTCGTAGTGGTCAGAGGACTGGATGGAACGTAGGCAAATCAGCGACATCAACGGGCGACGCATACACGATACTCACACGTAGCTGATAGAGCCGGTGTACTTCGAGGAGTCGGTTCCGCCGAAGGTGAGCTCGCCGTTCGTATCGGACTCGGAGGTGGTAGGCTCGAAAGACACGGAAACAAGATACTCGGAGATGGTGCCTTGCGCGTACAGGTTGTCGGTGACTGGTTAGGTCTCACTCAGTACTTGTCCAAATAACATGCGAGGATCAACAATTACCGGTCGGCACTTCGTCGGTGTTGCTGACGGTGTCCTCGGTCAGAACAGTAGGGCCGATACTGGGGGGAGCGGGGGAGTGACTTGTTCAGCGCGACCTTCTGTGCTTCGCGCCCAATAGACTCACCCAAGAATGCCGTCCACGCCGTCAAAACCTTGCGAGCTGCTCGCAACGCCGATGGACTGACCCGTGATCGTCAAGTCATCTCCAAGGGTGAGGGTGTCCACATACTCCTCGCCGGAGAACGAGCCAGAGCCATAGCTGACCGACTGCGAATCGAGATGAGACTCCCTGCGTCCGCGTGGAGACGCCAAGTGATGCGTACCACGCTGTCACCGGTGTTCTCACTGGTTGATGTCTTGACATACGCCTTATCAGCGCCGACCCACGTGTTTGAGGACCCCGTGTCGACAATCAGTGAGTCTGCCGCATATGATGGTTAGAGACCACAATCAATCAACGGCGGTGAATGTGGCGCTCACAGTATGTGGCAGGTGAGCCCACACCAACCTGTACGATCATGATCGACGTCAACATATGTCCGGACGCCCGCATGATGAACACCTACGCTGACGACGTAGTCCTCGGCCTCATTGGTCGCAGTCACGCTGCCCGCACGGCCCTGCACGTTCGCCTGTCCGCGATTCTTGAGGAACTGCGCCCGCGCCTGGTCGCGCTGGAGCACATTCGCGATGCCGGTCGTGTTCGTGCGCCTGACGATCGGCAACGACACCTTGCCGTCGCGCGCTTGGAGCGGGTTCGCCGCCACCGCGAGGGCGAGCACGAGCGTAGCGAGGAGAGACGGGCCGAATGCCATGGTGGGAGTGGTCGGCTGCGCAGAGGTGTCCTGGAGGATGAGTGCAGACCTCTGCTCACTCGCTTTTTATACCGCGTCGAAGCACAGATGAGCAAATAGCGAGGATTGATGATGCTGCCAGGGCTGTCGTGCGTAGGATTCTCCGAGAACCACCAGCAGGGAGGATACACATGGTGCCGTTTCCTGGCACGCTGGCAGGGCAGCATGCGGCGTTGCCGGGAGGGGCGGATGTACCAGGACGGTGTGGGACTAGCCAGAGGGGCGGCATGAGGTGCACGAACTGTGATAGGTCCTTCAGGCCCATCCACCCTGCGATTGATGCTTCTCCAGACCGGTTGCCTCGATGGGCGATCCGGAACGCCATGCGAACGTTCATGCGGTCGTGTGCTCGAGAGGCAGCCGATACTGCAACGGCCAAGAGACGTGCCATTCCGAGCGAGAGGACGCAGATCCAGAACAGCAGTTCCAGTCGTATGGTGTGCCGCAAGAATGCAGCAATATCACCTAATAAGTTCATCACCCTGGTGCACATCGCATTCGAAGCCATTATGCCGACATGTCGGAAGCAGACCCGGACAAAGTAGCTGAGAATGGCCGTGATGGTGGACGGCAAGCGAGGTGAATACCGAGACTTCAGATGCGAAAGCGTATGATAGGTCGGCTGCAGCAGCAGCAAGCGAGCCAGCATTACCTTCCTGTTGGTTACGATGAATGAATGTCATGGATCCCTAGAAAGCAATTGCAGAGTCAATTGAGAGAAGCTTTTAGAGCGGCCCGAGGATTTGGGCGCGTCGTGGGCGGATTCTCACTCCCGTGTGCGCAACGAAGGGATTCTTTCACGTCAGCGGATACCACGCGCCACTGCTGTATTCTACAATGGATGAGGGTAATGACGAGTGGACCATCAGGTGGCCATCACTGTCAGTTCGAGGCTATGGGTCGTGGTCGCGCGATAAATTATCCATGTGCAGAACATCGAAGGTGTCCTCCTGTGACAGCTGCGAAAGAGATAACGCGTATGTCCGAATTGCAGCTGCTACACGCTAGCGCTCCTAGCCGATGCAAGAAAGAGGAAGCAGGAGGAACGCGGGAGCGGCGGGGCTGCATCCGAGAAAATAGCTCGATCGATCGACGTCTCAGTTTGGTCCACGCCACCTCGTCTACCTCTAACTCTGCATCTGTGATTGATTCGACAGCTAAATGACCGCGATGAGTTCTACATGTCTCTTCACTCAAAATCGTAGGCTCGGTGACAAGAAAAACGGACGTCGATCTCGCGGCGCGTGCTGCAAATATGAGAAATCCGCTATTCCGCATGATGCATGATTCTCCGGTGCAAAGGCGGTCGACGGTGCGCCCATCAATTGGCTTGAACTGCCCCAGACGAAAAGGAGACGACCACGCGGAGAGACAAGAAGCGAAGCACTCGGCGCTGTTTGCCATGTGCAGCATTGTTATTGCAGGTCAGTCGGTCGTTGTCATGTCGGACTTCGGACATTGGGACGCGCGTCGGCGTCGCGTGGCCTGTGGTGCTTTCTTGACAATCCTTGTTCTAATTCCAGAGAGCGCTCACTGCATTGTTCGCGTGTAGCTAGCGATGCTACGCTGCGCCTCGATGTGACTCGCGTGTACCGCTTGACGGCTCCTCCGACCCGAAGCCACGTATATACATAGTCAAGACACACTATCTGTGCGGTACGCCCTCGACATCACTGTTAAGCGATGTCCGCTGTTCCGAAGCACCAGCTCTTGTCTTGGCCCACCCAAGGGGCACATCGCGCTCGCGGGTGTCGTTCTTCTCGGCGTCATCAACGGAGGCGTTATCTATGCGAACCGCGTGGGCAGCAGCCGGGGCGCTCGACAACATAATGGGTGCTCTTCCCACATCGGTCACGAAGCCCACAACGACACATGTGTATCGTCGAGCAGTTCCAGAGCATTTGCTCAGCTACTATTGACATTCTCGAAGAACCTTCGCAGCTGATTGTGCAGAGCGGTATGGCGATGGTGTGCTTCGAACACACGTAGGCCTGTGGGCGAACGATGCATACAATGGCGTTCTGACAGCAATAAATATTGCACAGAAAACAGAAGAACTACGTCTTTGCAGTCAAGCTTGACGTGACTTTAATTTACTGTAGCGGCTGCGCTCACTGCACAAGCAACGCGACCACGTGATCGCGTCGGGCCGTGACATCATTGCTGTGGACGCGATGCGCACCGACCTCGTCTGCAAGGGTGCGTCGATCGTATCCCGTCATGTCGTCACTACAGCGGACGATCGCCCCGCCCCGCCACCGATCTCAACAGGAAGCTCCCCGACGCGCATATAAGAGCAATGTCTCCTCCATTCGCCCGAGATGCTTCTTCGACTTGCCCCCCATCGTTCCACCTTGCGTCCGCTCCTGCTATCCGCCACCAGAAACTTCGCCGGCATGCCTTCAAATGATATGGAAGCAAAGAACGCGTCGGGCCTCACGCCTAATGAGACCAATTCGCTCAAGGAGAGGAGCGCCCAGCCTCACGAGGAGAAGATCGTCCAAGGCATCAAAGAGGTGATGGCACCATGCGTCATGGTCGTGCAATATGTCACTGATATCACCATCATAGCTCTATTCTTGCAAACCATCTGAGGTGCGTTGCCGTCACTATGCTTCATGATGTACCATCGAGCGTCTTCGGGCCGTCAGGAAACATACAAGATTTACTCGAACGATGCCGTGTTCCACGACCCCATCGGCATTGCAGAAGGCATAAAGGCCATACGCGCGCAATTCAATGGGCTGGTCAAGGTCTGGTCTCGGCTTACCTCGAGGTATCGTCCACATGCCTAACACACGCATATACGCATGTGTCTCTCTCTTTCCATATGGCCGTCACAGATATTCCCTCGGGCTGACGTTACCAAGTTCCGCATCCTGGAAAATCCCTCGTCGGTTCCGAAGAGCACCATCCTGATTGACCAGGATGTCGCTTACTACCGCGACCCCTCCGGCTCTCCTACGAAGGTGCACCACTCCAGTTTTCCATGCATCACGCGCATATACTGATCTAGACGTCGTCACTACGCTGTGTTCGCTGCAGACCGTGAATTCCTTGCTCACCCTGCAGACAAATGACGCTCATCAGATCACGCGGCACACGGAAGAGTGGGACCACAAGCGCGAGACCACACGGGACGATGGCTTCTTAGGATTGCTGAACGAGCAGAGAAAGAAGATCACCGCCAGCGTAACGGGCATGTTCATCAGCCAAGACCCGCCCGAGGGCAAGAATTCCACGTAGAAGATAATACAGTCCGAAGGCCGCAAGAACTGTACGATACAGAGCAGTGAACACAGTACTTGTACACTACATGTTGCCAATAAATATTGTCACAAAGGTTCATGAAGAGCGTGGTCGTCACAGAGTCCTTCTCTTGAAGTGCAGTCCCTCTGGCCAGCAGGCGTGCTACTAGAATTCGAACCACCGTTTCGCGGTTTGCTGTGCCGCAAGTCTCTTGGCCTGCACATTGACTAGATGTCAGAAACTGGACTGATGGGCGGGTGAAGAGCGAACGTACCTGAGCCAGCATACCCTTACTTCCTTGCTCAAGCGAGTTGAAAGACTCCTCTAGATCGCCTAGCCTTTGCCTGAAGCAGATGATGCATGAATGAACATGGAGCCTTATCCAGCGCCGACGGGCGAGACTCACCCTCGCTCAGCGAGCGCATTGCCCAGCCGGGTGTACAGATCTCCAACGCCGCTCGACATGGTGGCCGATGCGCTCTGTAACGTGGACGGACCTTGATTCTCCTTCCATTCGCGGGAAGCCGGCGCCAGTTTGCCTTGGGCGTCGTAACTGGACGGCGGCACGGCAGGCCTGTCTGGACCGGCCACTATAAATGACACAGAACACAGAACGCCATGCATGTCAGCAGCAGCTGAGAAGATTCCAGCAAAGACATACACAACGCGTCGATCTCCGCCCCAGTCGTCACGCCCCGTCCTAGGTACCCTAGCACGGACCCGATCACGGTCTGCGGCTCGAGCGAGACCGGTGCAGGCTGAGGAGGCGCAGTTCCACGGTCATATGCAAGGTCGACCAGCGGTGAGGCGTATGGAGCCATGCGCCGCGTCGCGAAGAGCGTGCAGTAATCCGTCTGGCGCGCGAGCCCGGAGGCAGGGTCGATCGTGTGCGTGACGTAGTCGCCAGAAGGCTCGGTGCTGAGAACGCTGTGGACGACATTATATGTGAGAGTGCGAAAGGAGTCAAAGGGACAGTGCCGTACGATAGAGATGACTGCGGAAGCTGGAGGGAGTGAAGGTGTTCGAGATAGGGTAAGGAGTAGACTAGTGCCTCTGCGCGCTCTGTGAACGCAACCAACACGCATCCACCTGTACTTCCTCCCCATCAATCATGCATATACGGACCGAAATCTCAGCACTCACCGCTCTTCTCAACCACCTCCACGCTCAACACAGCTGCCCGACTCGCCCAGTCCGTCCTCGCTATCCTTTCCCCATCTACGTCCGCCACGCACCGCGCGCCCTTCGCGCCGGCACTCACCCATACGCACCTCTGCTTCGGCTCTTCGCCAGCAGCCGAGTCCTCGTGTGCGAGAACGGTGGTCAAACCTTGCCTATCGGCACGGCACTGGGCACCAGTCTTCGCGTCGAGCACGACGGAGCCACCTGGGACAGCGTGCCCGGCGCCTTCGCCGTTTGTTGGGGCACCGGAGACGGCCCATGTGCCGGACGGCGTGTGAGAGAGGGTGTGGATGAAGGCGGTACCAGAGGACACGACAGCAATTAGGCGAACGCGGGAAACAGGATCTATCAGTGGCGATGCATCAACTGTCGTGTACACGCCACCGGAACCGTACAACCTTACCAGAGGATGTTGGACAGATAGACCACGTTAGCGATACAACGGAATCTCGGTCGGAAAATGGGTTGCGACCGTGGAATGAATGTCTGTGCTCCTGCTTAGAGGATGGCAGACTCCGATAGATCACTCGGGGCCCCCGGAGGTCGACCACGAGCAGAGCCCCAGAAGAATATGTCACTGCGAGGAAGCCTACATGGTGTTCATCAAAATGATGCCTAACGCGGCAAGCAATCAACACTCACCGACGTTGGATATCGCACATGCAGTGATCTGTCCCCGACCAGCCTTGATTCCGAGGAAGGGATGATACCGCAATCCGCTATGCACGGGTGTATGCACCAAAGACACGAGCTCGTCATCGGAGGACTCGATCGAACACTCTGCATTCTCGTTATCGAGCCTGAAGAGAACCAGTGCCCCGTTTTTCGTGGTGGTGACACATTCGAGTGACTCGGGCGCGAGGTAGATATTATCGATAGCGGGGCGCGTGGGATTTGATATACTCTGTTTCTCTAGTCCGGATTGTGAAGATGATATGGAAGCCGCAGACGAGGTATAGGTGAACAGGCGAAGGGAGGGATCGTGAAGCAGAGGCGCGATATCAATGGTCAGTGCAGGGAGATAGCCCGGGAATGACGTTTTGAAGGGGTTGTCCAGAGAACTAACAAGAAGCTGAGCACTGAGATCTTGGAAACGGAGGACAAGGTCAGGATCGTGAGTGATGAGGATGCGGCGTGGCTGGAACTGAGGACAGGGCGACAAGTTATGGATGAGTACAGCATTCCAAGGTGCACGCAAGACTGACCTTCATAAGCTTCATCTCGCCCTCTGTGTCCTCAACCCACGCTCTACCTCCTCTTAGAGGTAATAAATCAGTATAATCATTTTCGCGGACAATCTGTTCGTAAGCGCCGCGATCAATTCCGCATATAACACTGCCAGTGACGGCCCAGAATGGCCAAGGAAGGCATAACAAACGAGGATCGGCGGATAGGGATATGGATTGCAGGGTGGAAGCAAGTTCCTGTGACAGTGCGTCCATGCGATCATCATCTTCAATCGACTTCACATCAGCATTGGATGCAGATGAACCAGTTAGTTCTTCAACAAAAGATGGAGGAGGGAAGTCGAAAGCTTGAACTATCCGGGTAGCACCTGCACTATCCAAATCGGAATCCGAGACGACTAGTATCGCATGAGGATCCCACGTGCCAGCAAAGTGCGGACTTGATCGAGGGACGAGAATAAAATCCTGAACAGCGCCAGCAGTCGAGTATGTGTGCGAGTCCAGGGCAGACAGTGATGCAACTATAGCTGCACGCACGTCAGGGTGCATTGCAGGCGGTGCTGGCGCTTTAGCCGCAGCAGGCGATAGCGCTGGCGATGCCGGAGGATTAAGGGGAGGTAGTAGGAAGGCAGTCACCCCCGGATCTGCATCCTGGGCTAGACCACCGAGGACGGTCAAGACGGTGTCACCTCCTCGAGGATCAGAAGAGTTAGGAAAACCACTCCACGTGAGCTTGAAGATAGCTTCTCGGATTTCCGAAGGATGCTCAGGATATCCAGTTGCGGGATTATGCGATGGAAGCGCCGCCTCGAGCTTGGGTACGTCAACGATGCCGACGTCTTCTTCATTGTCAACAGTGCGAACAAGGAGCGGCCGATCTTCATCCTCAAGTGCCCAAAAGGCTAAGCTGCCATCTGCATACCCTATTGCAAGGATATGCCCGGAAGGATGCACGGCGAGAGTAGTGACAGACGGCCTCCGGGGCAGTAGGATATCCTATCACGCTCACATAAAGGTCACAGTGAATAACTCCTTCCGAGACAGCTTACCGGCGCGTTGTATCCTGACCCTCCCGGAGCGCCTGGTGGAAGGATCAACTCATATGCACGAACGGTATTCCGTTGCGTCTGCGAAAAATCACCACATGAATAAAATAGTATGGAAGAAACCTCGGAAATTTGCCAACCAGATCAGACAAGATCACGCCTCCTGCAACACTTGGTCAACATTGACGTTATCAGACTAAGGCGACTAGTTGCGTCTTACCTCCAAAAGCGATGAAGAGAAGATTGAGGTTCCTCGGATGTACTGCAATGTCGACTATCATGTCACTGTGACGCAAAAGATCAGAGCCCTGGATGGTTCGAGTCACAGATGTTATCGACATACGATGCTGGAGCCGGTATCGCGGGCATCCCGCTCGCATGAACCGTGTCTTCATATTGTTGCCATAAATTAGATGGAATTGTATAAGGGGACATGCGCAGACAAAGCAAGTCATAGGTTTTGATCTGCCCATTCGCAAGAGCTACCAGGATCTGCGTCATTGATTAGTGGGGCAGATTATACAGCGTGCAACGATCTTACATGCGCATGGGATGGAGACGCAGCGATGCAACTGATGGACAGATCCAAGGATAAGCATATAATTTAGAGGAGGTGAGAACAGCGTACTTGACGGGGTGAGAGAAGTTGACGATCCTTTGGAGTTTGGGCCGTCCGAGAGCGGACAGATCCCAGATGTGAAGTCGATCTCGGTTATCTAGCATACAAATCAGGCCTGTGTCGTGAATGTGAGACATCGTAGCACAAACCGACACACAGAAGCTTGAACAGAGAACTAGCAAAGCTGAGGATCTTGGCTCGAGTACCGGGTGGATCAGAAACCGACAATGTACATTCCACCCCTGGAGAGCCATAGATCACCACATTGCCCCCGGGCATACCTAGCTGAGTCTTTATGACGATTTAACACGATATAACTGACGCATACCGACTGCGAGCATCCCAGAAACTGGCTCCACGGCGAGCGCGGCCACATCAAGATGATGCAGCACTGTCCTCATCGTTCCCCCTTGCCAGTCAGCTGCGTCGGAAAGATCGAGGGAAAGGTCATCAAGCTCTTTGTCATGTTTGAAACGCATGAGCCAAGTTCTCAACACAGATGGAGGAAGAGGCTAGCTTGGACGCAAAGACAGCGATGGTGGAGGGTGCTGTGCGTCGCCACACCGGACGAATGATTACCACGTGCCTCCATGCTGCAGAACGCGGTCACATGTAGACGCGTTGAACGTTGTTCGTGTGAGGTTAGGCGTCTATCAACCACGCCGCTCGCGAGACCATCAACCCCCACCGTCGTTGTTGCCGTCGTTCCCACCAGCGTCTCCACGATGGCGACCTGGGGAATTGGAGATAATCATGACTCGGACGAAGTCAAGTCACTCAAAGACCAACTGCGCCACAAAGGTTCGTGTCCATTTACAGTGATTACCAGCAGTGCTGACACGTTGGAAACAGATGCACAAATCGCGACACTTGGAGGTCAGCTTTTGAAGCGAGAAGAAGATTTTAAGGGTCTTAGTGTGACATGCAATGAGAATACTGACAAGGTGCGCTTCTCGCTCATTACGATCGATATCGAGTCGGTTAAGGCTGCTTATGCACTAGCTTCGCAAAGAAGCTGACCGCGCGTTGGAACTGGAAGAAGCACTCACAAAACGAACCGATGAGCTTCAGAATGAACGCATGACGCGTCAGAATACCGAAGTTGCGCTGGCCGCTGCTCAGAATAAGCTGAAAGAAGCGGAACAGGCCACGCAAGAATTGTACGGCACTATACATTCGATATCAACGAATGCAGGCGCGTCGTCAGAAGACAAGGCGAGATTAGAGAAAGAGAACACCACGCTTCACGCACGTGTTCGCGCTCTTCAGTCGGAGATAGCTGCAAGAGAGCAGGCAGAACAGCCTCTTTTGCGACGCAGCCAGCCGCAACCTAGCAATTCGCGACGGTCTTCAGGTTCAACAACCTTGCGCCTGGCGGCTCTTGAGCGCGAAAATTCCGAACTGCAAGCTTGCGTGTCCCAACAGGCCTCAGAGCTTCTTGACGCCCGAAATCGCTTGTCTCGCGCACAAGATTCCCTCGTCGGGAAGGAGAATGAGAAGCATGCGATGGAGAAGCGACTACAACAGCAGCTGGATGAAGTCCAAGCTGAGCTTAAAGAGCAACAGGACGAGCTCAAGGCACTGCAGGGGAGAGGAGGGGAGGATGCCGCACAGAGAGAAACCGATCTTTTGGAACGGCTAGAGGAGGAGGAGACGAGGATTGCTGCATTAGAGAAGGAGCTGACGCGGTCGATGGAGAGCCGGAAGAAAGAGCTGTCGCTCTTACAGAAGGAGTTGGATAGGTCAACAGTCCTTCTCAAGAATGGGACCAAGAAGCTAGAGAAAGCTGAGGCTCAGATCATTCAGCTCATGGACGAGAAGGAAGAGGGATTGGCTCAGCGGAAGGAGGCGTACAAAGAGGTGGAGGAGCTCAAGCGTCAAGTCCAGGACGCAAATTTCAGAATCAGGTACTGTCGTTGGATCAGATAGCGGTTTAATCCCTGACATCTCCTCAATGTAGAGAACTGGAGGCGGGTCTCAGAGCACCTCGACTATTGACGGCGTCTCTTCCATCCAGCTCTCCGCGCACGGATGCAGTAACCGAAGCCTCAGTACAGCGCCTTCTGAGTGCAATCGACCGACTCCGCGGCGAGCGCGACCAGCTGCGTAGGGATCTCGAATTCCTCAGCGCCGAGAATAAGTTTGCGGTTGAAGACCTGCAAGCGAAATTGGCTGAAGCGATGGCAGCCCCATCACCTCCACTGACGAAGGCAGGATGCGCGATGGAAGTCGACGGCGACGAGCTAGCTATCTCCATGACAAAGCTGATTCAAACCGAACGAACCGCTCTAGTATTTGCACTTGTCGCACAGCACGCACAGACGGAGCGAGAGGCGGGGTTGTCACAAATTGAGCATCTCCTGCAACAGCTGGACAATGCTCGATGGGAATGCGAGGAGACGCGCAATAATCTTGCAGAGAAGGAGGCTCGTGCTCAGGGCCCCCAGACGACTCTTCAGGCAGGCGATGACCGAGTCAGCGTTCTGGAAATGAGTTTGGAGACTACCATGCAGAGCCTGCGGACGGCCGAAACTCAGGTCTCCGCGCTACGTGCCTCAACCGAGCGCTTGCAAAGCGAAAGCTCCCGTGAACACGAAGCATATGAAGAGACTCGTTCTTCACTCGCTGAAGCCCAGGCGTGCCTTGTCAAGCTCACGCAAGCGCTCGCCGATGCTGAAGCGCAGCGTGATTCGCTTGCTCTTGAATTGCAGTACAGTCAGCAGGAGCTCAAGAACGTACGGGAAGAGTTGGATGAAGCTAACAAGCGATACGGGCAACATTTGCGCTCCATGTCCCACACCCAACAAACTCGTGCTTTGCAGGAACAGATCGAGGCGTTGGAGCAGCGCGTATTGAGAAGAACAGAGCAGATTGGTGTACATCAGCATGACATCAAGAGGCTCGAGACGAACTTGAAACTCCAGGAGGAGCGAGTGGCGGAGATGACAACCGACTTGGAGGTCATGTTGAAGGAGAAGGAGGCGATGGTGGAAGACTGCAAGACCACTAGGGAACAACGCAACGAAGCGTTGAACAAGTGCGAGCAGCTGGAAGAGAAGACGGAGCGTTTGGAAGACGAGAAGGAGAAATTGGCTCTCAGCATGTCCGATGCGGCGAAGGAAGCGAAACGCATCATTGAAGAGCAAGAAAGCCAAATGGTACAGCTGAAAGCCAGTCTTAGCGAGGCCGATGCGGAGGGTGTCAAGAATGCCAGCTCTGTCCTCAAGTTGAACGCAGAACACGCACAAATGACTCAGCTCCTTGACGACAAGATAGAACTTATACATTGTCTTCTCAAGGAAAACGAGATTTCCTCAAGTGAGACAGTCCAAGCGATCATTGCTCTCGCTACCGTCCGTGCTGACCTACGAGTCGCAACCTCCGCGTGCAAATGCGCAACAGCTGGAAAAGTTGAGGCAGAGGAGCGACTGGTCGTATTGCAGCAGGAGCTCGATGTCAAGGTCTCTGAATTCGCCATTCATAAGGCAGAACTGGAGACCAAGCTGGAAGAGCTGCATCGCGAGCATTTGCAGTTGGAATCCATGTCCGAGCAGGAGATGAAGGCTCTTCGTCAATCTATCGTTGAACTTCACGACCAGCTTTCAAGCAGTGCCGACCATTCACAAGCAGAAGACGACTTGAGAAGCCAGCTCGAACAAGCTCGATCACGGCATAGCGAGGAAATCGAGGGGCTGCAGAGCCTTATTGAACGACTCACCGCTGACCTTCACGAGGCACAACGAGTCTACGAAGAGTCGAATGCATCGCGCAAGCAAATAGAAGATGACTTTGACGGTAGAAAGCGGGCGCTCGAGCAGGAATTGGAAGATGCCCTTGCAAAACTGCAGGCAGCCACTCTCGCCCATGAGCAACTTGCAGAGCTACACGGCAAACACCAGGTTGAACAAGACGGTCTTCGCGAAGAACTTAGCGCTGTCAAGGGCATTCTGGAAGAGATCACGAAACTCCACGATGAGCTGAAGAGCCGTCACGAGGAGATCCTGCACCATGGACCTCTCCAGCAGAGGGAGCAAGACAGCCTTCGTGAGGAGCTCAGCAGCACGAAGGATCAACTCGCAGAGTCTGCGAAGCTCTATCAAGAGCTCAAAGACAGGTTTGACCAGCTCCTTCAAACCGAGTCTCAGCACCAGGGTGCAGAGGATCGTCTACGGGCAGAGCTCGACGAAGTGATTCGCAAGCTCGAGGAGAGTGAGAAAGGCTGGGAGGAGCTCAAGGCTCAGCATGAAACCGCTGCACAACAGCTATCCCAGCAATCTGCAGAACTGGACCGCGCACGCGAGGAACTCATTCGTTCTACAGAGAAGCTTGAGGAGGCAAGTAAAGCCCATACAGACTTGACCAGCGAAAATGCGACGGTCAGCCAAGAGTTGGAAGCTCTCAGAACGGAAAGTTCCGGGAAGGCTCAGCAATGCGAAGAACTCGAAGGGAACCTGACCGACTTGAAAGCTGCTCATGTCAAGGAGCTGGAAGCTTTGCAGGAACATCTCAGCGTTACTAGTACTCAACTTCGCGAAGCGGAGGATGCCCGATCCGACCTCAACGCTCGATATCGGCAGTTGATGGAGGAGTCCTCAAGAACCGAGAAGCAGTTGCAGGACCAGCTGAGCTCTGTCGCAGAAGAGATACGTCTCCTCAAGAGTAGGCTCGAGGAGGAGACAGAGCTCCAATCTCAATTGCAGAAAGAACGGGAAAGGCTTCGAGAAGCGGACGCAAGGCGGGCGGTCGCTGAAGAGGAAAGAATCAAGTTGTCCGACGAACTGACTGTCCTTCGTGCCGAAGTTGACGACGTCAAATCTACTCTGCAAGCTACGTGGCAAGAAAGAGACGGTCTGCAATGTGAGATCACGAAGCTTGAAGCTGATATCCAGCGCTTCAAGTCATTGCAGCGGTTCACGGAAAGTCAGGCGAAGGAGAGGTAAGCACGATACAGACTGTGACGCCGATATATGTGCTCACGCTGCAACGGTAGCGCAACGCAGATGAAGTCCCTCAAGAGCGACTTGGATGAGGCTCGTGAGCTTGCTAAACGGGCCGAGAATTCGTGCAAGGCCGCAGAAGCCACGCTCTCGATGCGAGAGATTCAACACGAGCAGACTGTGACAGCTCTGCGTCGTGATCTGAATGTGCTGCGATCTTCCAATCTAGACGAAAAGGTTGCTGAATTGGAAGAGAGCAATGTGGAGATGGAGGAGCTGCTCAAGAAGAAGTGCCAGGAGATTGAGGATAACGATGACCGCTATCTCGAGTACGTGCTTGATTTATGGTCGCAGACTTCGCTTGCTGAGCTGCACGCATACAGACTGCTCAAAGAGAAGAAGAAGCTCACTGGCAAGATTGAGTCCTTGACCAGAAAGTTGAATGCCCTTCAGAGCAAGGCAACAGCATCAGCGGAGATGAAGCCTCCGACGGTGGAAACCGCGACAGAGTCTTCCCGTGCCACAGTGCCTAGCATATCGCCGGTTGGCCCCAGAGCTTCAGCTTCCAAATATGAAGCCCGTGGAACACCGTCCGCGCGATCAATGTCTGCTCGCACATCCGCCTCTTCGCACTCCCGCACCGCATCCGGCTCGTCAGTCGTATCGACGGCACAGATGCCTGATTCTTCTGCAGTCCCGCCAACAGTGTTCAGGTCTCGCACTGCAGACACGAAGCGCGCCAGCTCTCAGGCAGAAACTACACCCACCCCTCTTCCCTCTTCGTCTTCTTCAAGTTCATTAGGAAAGAGACGTGTTCCGGATGATTTCGACAGCCACGACAATCTGCCACCCCAAGGGTTCACTAGCGAAAGCCTCCCCAGCAGAGATATCGAAGCGACACCGCGCGCCCGCAAAGCGCTGCAAACGGGACCTGGGTTCACTCCTGTTCGTGGACGTATCGCGTCTGTCGCTCCAGCAGAAGCATCGCCTTCCAGAAGAGCGACCCCTGGGGCCGCTCTGCCAGACGTGACGAATAGTTTGAAAGGGCGGCCTCGAGACGAGACCAAACCACACAAGGGTTGGTTAGCAAAGGCCAGAAATGACCTTGCGCAATCGAAGGAGAGATTTTCAAGGCCACAGCGATGAGATCCAGCGCCGATTCCTGGACACTTATACTGTAAGTCCGCATATAGACACCTGTCGATGTAGTATTTCTTTTATTCGTATTCTCTGCTGCCGTGTAATCGATTGCATTTCTCTTGGTACACGTTGGCCACAGAAGACGAATGCGGCAATGTGCTTCCTGGTCCACACGCAGCCATTGCATCACGAACCATTGGAAGTGGACACTATAATGTGGTCCCTTATGAGACCAACGTCTCATTCCTCAGCCACTTGATAAGTATCTCTCTGAACGCTTCTTCACGGTCCCATTCCACGACTAGAAAGGTGGTTCAAAAAGTCTGTACGTGAGCAAGTCAATATCAATCGCACTCACAATGACCTGCATCATCGACGCTAACAAAAGTGAACACCCCGGCGCCTGCACCGACTTGCCGTATCCATCCGATACCTGGCCAGACGACCTGGGGAGCGGAACGGAAAGCCTCTCGATGCTTCGTTTGTAGCAAGGTCATCTGCTGTCGAATTAGAGTACGGTAGGGATTCTCGAGAGCAGCGACTGACCCAAGAGAGATTGCTTCGCCATGAACAAACACCATCCGTGTTCCCGTTATACACTGCCATCACATGAGTGTATATCAGTCTCTTTTCCCGATAGCGATGTCTCCTTACCCATCACACGCAACCCTGCGTCAATGGCAGGCGCGAGGAGACGATACGCTGACTTGACCCTAGTAGAGTGTGAGTTAATGACGGATAACAGACAGACATATACGAACATTTCGCCATTCGCTTCAAATGGTTTGTAAATCCTCTCCCAAGAGACATGTTCAAATTTGACATCTTCAGGGACACCTACCTGTTAGCGTCGTCGCGATCAATATGAGACGCAATTGGACTTTTGAGAGGAACATACTGCGCTCCGTGTTCTATCATCTCTCATTATATCGTCTAACCATTGCATCTGGGGAAAGCAGTCGTCAACGTCGTCGATGTCGCACTGTAAATGAATATATCAGGCGCCTCGAGTATAACATCCAGAGCACCTACAAACTGCGTGGCATGATACGGGTTTCTGCCATTGAATCCGGCATGCTGAATTTTGTCATCTCCTCCATGACACAGGATTGTAGCTGAATACCGATTATCGATGGTAGGCTGTTCATAAGCATACTGTACGGCATCGAGACAAGCCGGCATGGTGGAGATTGCGAGATCACATCCCGTGCTATTGACGATCGGATTATCATGACAGTTTGCCTGAATCCACCACCTGAACATTAAAATGAGTGCTGGCCAAATTGCATCGTCATCATGATGGTGAGTAGCAGGAACTACCTGTAATTGAGCAATGTGGCGCTCCATCCATTACCAATCATGACCTATGGAGCGCATACACCGATGTTCCAAGGTTAGTGAATGCGGATAATGCTCGTCGATGACATATGACATACAGCGTCGGGCATTTTGGGTAAACGGCTACTCAAAGGATCTGCGCGCGCGACCATGTTCCTAGTGTGGATCACATCGACAATATGGGGTATACTGCTCGAAATCAAACACTGGTCAAGCAATCCAGACGATGGTGGACGAACTAGTTGCCTCCGAAGGATGCGGATTGAATCATGAATTGGTTTCTGCGACAAGCGTTCAAATTGGCGGTGAGACATGTGAGAAGGAGGATTCTGACCCGGAGAGCTGCGGAAATTCACTGTACCGTTGTGCAATTCATCTATGTTTGTTAGTGTATTCATATCAACCAAGAGCTAACGATGTGCACACCCAAAATGCTTGCAGAAAGTCATCGACATCCCACGCCGCCCGCTCACTGCTGTTGTGTAAGGAGCTCTGCACTCCATAGGAGAATCCGACACCAACAGGCTGCGCGATATGCAGATGTTCACTAGGCCTGTACTTATAACGGTACAATACAGTGTTACTTACATGATCAATGGCCAACACGTTCACTTCATCTGTCCACGGGCACTGTGACGCAATAGCCGTTCCATTACCATCACGTCCACGGGCGAGACGACAGGGCCTGCGTAATCCAGTGAAGTTGAAACACTTCGGGGTCATATATGCGCATGTGCTCACCCCGCTCCGCTGAAGGGCATGAACATCCCAGAGCTTCCGGGGCCTCCAGCAAAGACGAGCACAACTGGAGCATTCGACGGGTCTTGCCGTGCCTCAAACAGCCTGTCATAGCGTTTGACAAGAGCTTATTCACTCCAAGTTATTGGCGATCGTGTGTTACGAAAAACGCACCACCAGAACATGTGTTTATCCTCTACTCCATCCGAGTTCGTGAAGTGCGCGTACCCAGACGTGAAGTGATCCCCATCGAGTGCGCAGTACAGCGTCGAGTTCGGCTTTGAAGTCACCTGAATGCGGGTCCCCAGGTTGCGCTTGCCCGCTGGGTCGGATTCAGGACGCGCGATATAGAGGGTTTCCTGTCCGATAGAGAGCACACGTTGCTGGTAGCCCGGTTCAAGCCAAATCGCAGAAATAAGTGTAGGGAGAACTAGCGCAGCCGAGAGTGCCCTGGGAGCGAACATCATGCCTTCCTCGTATGTCTGAAGGCTACTCCTGCTGTTTGCTAAATATACCCTGGCGAGCCGATCCCCCTGACTGTGTGATCTGCTGATGTCTTGACGCACTGTGCTACTCCGGATTTGACGGTCTGCGTCCAGTCAGACGGACCTCATGGACGCGTATGATCCCGACTTCGGGGATGCAACGTTGATTAGATTAGACGCTGCGGGAACGGGTATCGTGAGAGAGAGCTTTCATCGAATCTCAAGCGACGCTGAGAGATATTCGGTGCATGGTGGACCGAGCGCATTGAGATTTGGGTCAAAGGTGGCCATTGGCAGAAGCGAGGTCGCGGTGGATTGACGCTCAGTTGACTAACAGCTTTGAAGGCCACCAGCATGTAGCATATATCGCTCATGTGCATGCCTTGTTCTTTCTAAAATATCGCACGCTATTGATGGCTATCGGTCACTATTTCTGCTCTTAGATGCATACAAGCATGTGCTCATTAGATTCTACATTTGATTGGAGATTTCAGTTCTGCGAGTTGCCCTTGATCAATTCGACGACATCCTCGGCAGCACCCCAAGAGTTCTGATATCCCGCAGGTCTGTCATACATTGTTAGGTCCCGCGTACATTCAAGGCCGATTCACACGTACCCAAAGCCATACGCGTGCACGACCAACACCCGGCCCTTTGGGCCTTTCGTATCCGCAGGAAACAGTTCGCTCTTGACCGGAAGGTCCAGATACTCGGCCTCGACGCGTGCTCCGCCCTTGCGCGCAGGGCGGAGTCCGACATTGTGACTCAGAATGCGCGTCTCCGGGCTTGCGAGCTGCGGCGCGAGCGCGGTGCAGCGCGCGAGAATACCTTTCGCAGCAGGTACGCTCACTGACGTATCCCAATCGTCAAGCTGGTATGTTCCACCAAGGAGGACGTGACCGGCCGGGAACGGGCGGGGAATGATATAGGTCGCCGCGCCATCATCGGATGCGCCTAAGCGCAGGAAGGAGGTGTTGTCAGTTTTTAGCAAAGGATTGAATCAGCAGAACATGCCTAGCGGGAAGGAGATAAACTCCTTTATTTCCGGTGCGTACACAATGATGGTCTGTCCACGGATGGGGTACACGTTCGTATCCTCTACGCCGATCAAGGATCGGGCGCCTGTCTCTCCAAGTCAGCTCTTCCATGCATAACTAGTGCGCCCAACCGTGCTGACCTAGTCCGGTAGCGTTGACAAGAACACCTTTCGGTCCCGCCAGCGCAGCAGCCTCACCCAGACTCTGCACCTTCCTGCGCACAAACTCAACCCCACGCGCGAGAAGCTCCGATTTGAGCCAAGGAAGGTAGACCTCTGGGTTGATCGACAGAGTCTTGAAGCTCACTCCGCCAGTAACCCCTTCCGGAAGCTCGCTTTTGTCCATGACACGGAACTACGGAATGAACCTCGTTCATTAGCACGAGTCGGCGGCCCTTGCACGCCCAACTCACATCTCTGACGAGATCCTTGTACCAAAGCTGGCTTAGGTCCTCACTTGTGTCGTAATAGACGCGAGAAGGCAGAGCCTGTTGCCAGGTTAGTTCGCGCTGCTAAGGGCCACGCTGTAGCCATTATCTCACCATAGATCGCCCGGTGGGAATCATGTCCCACAGCTTGTTGCTTGATCCACAAAATTCATCAGTGATCAATCACTGGACGCTCTCGACAAAGAGACACACACAAGGTCTTAAGCTCCCGTCTCTTCGTGTTCTCGTCGAATCCTCTCATAGGCGACCAGTTGGCTCCCTATTGCCCCCGTAAGTACCCCATCATGAGCATCTCCATCAGCCTTGTGGCCGTCAAAACTGTGCTCACCGCCCATGGGCTCGAGAATGCCTGAGAGTCCAAATCCTCAGGCATGTCTCGCGCGACGATCTTGATCTTGTATGCATCCCCGGAGTTCGAGGACAAGGTATACGCGACGGAAAGTCCGATCACTCCAGCGCCGAGGATCACAACCTCCGTGGGGGTTTTCGTGTTACCAGACATGGTTCTGAGGACAGACAATGGGAAGTCAAGCAGAGCTGCGTGGGTGGGCGTGTCGCCCATTGAGACTGATAATGTTCCTGCATAGAGTCCAGGTCGACGGTGACTCGACCGAGCCAAGCTATTGAGCAGTCTCCTAACCATGTATTGGGGTTTCTTATCTCATCTAGCCCGGGCTTTCGGCTGCTTCACAATGCGTACTTCCCTGTACTTAGTGCACCAAGTTATTTGGTATCATGCTCACCATAAAGCACCCGAAGAACTTATGATGAGATGGCTGCTTACCATCTGAAGAGCCCCTTCAAAAAAACTATAAATGCAAAGAATGCATAACTGTAGAAATCGAGAGCAGTCTACTGTCGTGGCTGGCAGCAAGGCAATCGCAATCATCAGCCACCATGTGGAAGCACCTTCGATTGGCGGTCCGCGCCGGCACCGCGCGTCTAGCCGTTCTCCCATGCAACTCCGCCTCTCTCAGCTCGAATACTCCTTCCAAACGTGTGCGCCCCTTCTCACGGTCCTCATCCGTCAATGCCGCCACTCAACTCTTTACCGTCAGAGCGCAGCTCTCGCGCAATATTCCTCGGCAACAGTCAGTATGTAGTTTTTGTATGTACTTGGCTTCATGCAAACTCTTGTGCTGCAGCTCTTAGCTGGGAGAACAAGTGGGCCTGAGCAAGTCCTTGAAACGGGACTGTTTGCTGTAAGTAGTTGCACATTATGCTCACTAAACACAACACATAAAATCTGAGGAGGCAATTACATTCACCACAAGTTCGTGTATTATTGTTCATTCTTTTATCCCCTTTTTTGAGCGAGAACAGCGACAGCAGGAGCGCGAATTGCATTACTGTCGCGGTTGTGCAGGGCCAACGTGACAGTGATAGTACACCAAGCTGCATGGCAGTCGACCTCGCCTTGGCCGCATTCCGCTACTCCCACAAGGCACCGGCACAGCCGTGACGGGGTGCAAAGTCACCTGCTTCGTACTGATGGCAGCATCTCGTCATGATCCTGCTTGTTATTTGCCGCATGTTCTCCTACCACGTCGCGTCGCGAGCTGCGTGGTGGCAATCAGCTGGCACCTTGCACCCCGTCAAAAGAATTAAAGCCTTCGCGACGTTCCAGGTCTTTCTGATTGGACTTGCTGTCAAGTTAGCGCGGCCTGGCTGGACTTGCTCGGCATGCCTCATGTTCACTCAGTCTGAGGAGGGCGGACCGTCAAAGACGTTAGCGCGTTATCGCTATCACATCGACTGGACTCTTCCTGTGCTATTACATCACGGCAGGTCTGGGTCTGGGTATCTTGGACTACTCATTGGGACTTCTGTGAGCAATTCCTATCTTCGGGTTCTGGTCGGGTTGGTACGTGCTACGAACTCTTTAGCGAAGATCATCCGAAGTCTGGATAATCCTTCGTTGCTTCGCTACATGAGGAGACCTCGCAACGTGTTGTACGCGAGGTAATTAGCTGTAGTCAGTGTTATCGTGGTCAGCGTTCATGGGTCCCTTTCACCGTACGTATCACCCACATCTTTGCATCTCAATATTGCCCCGTTTCATCAACTAATTCAATCGTAATCACAGATCGGAGTCTTTTGTAGCATGTTTAGGAAATGCCGGCCTTGATTGGTTTTTTGTACTCTGGGAAGAGATGAGCATGCGATATGCATGTGCAAGGCTACGTGCCTGTCGGAAAGATATGAAGGTCTCTGTCACTGTTCTAACTTGCATCCTCCTGCCTCGTCACCTCTCCTTTCTCCCTCGCACCAGTCTGGCACTGGGTGATTTCTGAGAGGATATACCCGCATAGACAGCCACTCCTTTTGCTTGCCATGGCTACAGAAATCCGATTCAACTCCTACGGCATCCCACACATCGTCGAGTTCGGGAACGTCAAGTTCCGCGCGCGCTCTTCGTCACGTTCACGCTCTTGCACGTCCACGCTCGACGATGACCACCCCACGAGCACATATGAGAGATCTGTCTCAAGTCTAGGAACTGTTGCGACCGCCTCATCGGAGACATTGGCGCAACCGGACGATGATGGTGCAGGTACCGCAGGCCTGTTTATTCAGTTCGCAGCATCAACCCGCCCATATCGCAAGATGTCTGAAGGTCGCGTTCGGCGACTAAAACGGAGAATCGCGAAGGCTGTCATGGCGGCTGGGATGGATAGCTCTCCGACATCGGAGAAGGCAAACCCGATCGAAGTCGCTAGGCTGTCTCGCCTTTCCTGCGGTAGCATCGAATCAACGGACTCGGTGCCGGAAGATGATGGCGCCGCCTTGTTCAGGGGGACATATGGGCAGGTCACGACGGCGCTACAGGCCGCTGGGCTGATCACGATACCTTGCAGAGACGTTGGCGTGGACTCAGGTGACGATTTTGACGTCCATCCGTTCTGAGCAGTCTGCCTGACAAGGTCGTTCTCAAGCGACTCGCCTCGGCGCTCTCTTCGTTGCCAACTACACTGATTATGGAACCGTGGAGTTCTCCAAGCTCACGCTGTGGGCTTGATGAGTCTCGTCGTGAGTGTTGTCGTCTTTATTAACATGGACGCTGGCTGAAGTCCGCATCTTCGCTCGGCCGGTAAAGCAGCGTAGCATCCGTCACTGTTGTGAGGACAGGACAAGAAACCATGACAGGCACATCTTTCTTCCCCTCGTTTAGCTGCAACGGAATAATGTTGCCGAAGTGGTGGCGGTGCTTCGTAACGTCGTCGCTAATGCTTCGATCGGTCTCTCACGTCCGAGCGTAAAAGGCCAGGTCCTTCATCCCGGCCATGCTGTCCCTGCCGAAGCATGCTGCGCACGCATCGGCTTCTTCGTATCAGAATATTCGTTCCGCAGTGAAAGAGGAGTGTTGCCAAGGTGTTGAGATTGCTTGCAGCCCAGGTGGCCGCATAAAGTGTACATAACGTAGTGCGACTGGTCGCTGCATCACATGTACTATAGCAAACAGCTGAGCACTTTCTCCCGTTCAAAAGATGTTACATATGATGACAAGGGAGTAGTGGAGTTAAACTTCGTCTTCGTATCCTGCAGTAGCGCTCGTAGCCGTCCGGCCCGTAGATCTGGATATACGGAACCAAAGTTTGAGCACGGTGTTTGCACTCCTTACAGCCATGTCCAGACGATCCTGAGCGCAATGCAGAACTACGGACATTTTGCCATATGCGGCCGTGGCTTAAAGACAACCCTTGAAAACGCCACAAGTGACAATATCATACTACGAGTGTTCTCGCGATTGGCCAACCAAAGCGAGAACACGTTCGTCCTCCCTGCAAATCATTCGTCGAGGCGAGCCTCTCGTGCCTGAAAATAGTTCACCCGACCCGATGTGCATGTGCTCCAGAGTGGCGGCTGCGCGTCGAGGAGCCGAGTTCTGACTGATCCGTACCAGCGGAGCCATTGCCAAAGTTACGCAGCAACGCCGATGCTGGAGACACTTGTAATAACTGACCGTGGGGCAACAATGAACTTTCTTTTTTCGCGCATCCAGCTCATGTGCGTAAACGATGTACGTAGGTGCGCACATTGGTCCAAGATACGGCTATGGGATATTCGCCGATAGATCTCCCTTTCGGGTCTCGCAGGTGTGGACGATGGCAACGCCAATTGGACCTGGTGAGGGAAATCAGATTAACCCTTGTCCACACGTAATGCGCCGGCACATCCTTGAAGAAAATGGGGTTTCCCACAATTTTCGCCTATCCATTCGGCGGGCCCTCAGTGCCAGTGGGTCTAAAGGAAGGACTATATGTGCGCGCTTCATAGGTTAACACTTAGCAGTGAGGCTGCAGTGACTAGCAAGAACTTCTCGAGCGCGTGGAGCCTCCATGGCTACCCAACTCAACGAAACGATGGGTCCCGCCTTCATAGGGGTGGTATTCGCGCTTGCGTACGTCGTCAGATCAAGGAAAGATCCTTCCCGTCACCATGCTAAGATCTCTCCTTGGGCAGGTTGTATGGGTGTTCATGTGCCCAAACGTTGCATTATTACCGAGAGTACCCGAACGACAAATTGTTCCTAAAGCTTCTAGTACGTCCTTCTCATGCAGCTCGTTGCCTGTTCCAAGTTTGACGCTCTTGCATTCAGGTTGGTGCCCTAGGGTTCGTTCACTTTACTTTGAGATGCGGCTAACGCGAGTTCATGTCTCGCCCTCAGGATGCTTGATACTGCAAGAACGATCATGGACATCGCTGTGCGTCTTGCCAGCCGAGGGGCGACGTTTGCTCTCTTATGAACATATGGATAGTTTCTCTGGTACTGGCTGGTCACAAATCACGCGAAGCTTGATGGTTTGGGTAGCTTGCCTGGGTGAGCCTGCATACTTGCCTGTGGCCAAAAGATCATCTTCTAATCCTTTTGATCGTCAATGCAGCACGTTTACGGTACGTTGAGAGGTTTGGAATAAATGCATACTATTCCTCATTCGTGCCGCTGGTAGGCTGAATTTTTTCTAGCTGTGAGTCGTACTAAACGCGATCGCTGTCCCGAGCGCAATCTCTGATAATCCTAGTCATTGACCGTCTTCGTCGTACAATGGTGAGCCACATTGTATCCTATCTGGCCCAACGCTCACGTTCTTCGAGCCATTTCATCATGACAATCTGGAAATGTGAGGCTTATCCTTAGCGATGTTCCCAGCAGACCTCTCAGACATCGTCTAACAACAGTGTTAACTGATCGATGGTTCCAAATGCCGTTGACATCGGTCATGGTAATGTCAATCGTTAATATTGAATTTCGGTATCTGATCTATCCCTCGTTTCAGGTGTTGCTGGCTGCGGTGTCCTTTGGTGATGCACAATGTTACCGCAAGTAGAGAGCTTTAGACTGACCCGGTTCCTCCAAGGCGGCGGCATTGTCACCGTATACCGCGTGTAAGCCGTCGTCAGCTTGACGACAGCATTACGTGTTGATCGTCATATTATAGCACTATCGACACGACGACGACAGCGGCGGTCATCCATGCCACGGTGGGTGCATGTGCTGTTGCCTGCTCTGCCAGTCCTGAGTCAATCATTCTCATCAGATCCCAGCTTCGATGCAGACCGTGACTGCATTTGTCACTGACATTTACATCACCGCTTCCCTCTGCTGGATTTTACGGGGCCGAAAGACTGGTTATAAGCGGTCCGTATTCCGAGGAGATGACAGAATGAGCGGATGCTTACCGCGTCTTATTTCAGCACTGAAACCTTAATAACGACACTTACAATATACGCCATCCATCGAGGAGTATTTACCGGGTGAGTGGCGTAGCGCGACTGCCTGTGCATCGCAACAAAGTTTCGATAAAAGCTCTGCGTAGAATAATACAGCTTGCACATTTTGCGACGGTGAGCGGAAAGCGTTCTACGATATATACTCCGTATGACACCTTTTTTGCACAGTATATAAGCACGATCCACTCGAGAACCTTGTATTGGATGCTATGGCATATTCCGGGAAGCAAGAGCGAGTATCATTGATCTTGCTAAAGTAGCCGCGTACTCACCCCATTTCCTAGTATACGTCAATTCGTTGCTTGCTGTGTGAGTCCGTTCAGGACACATAGAGTTTACGTGCTGATTTGCTCCAAGGCTAAACGTCCGGCATTCACTACTACGTGATGCTGTCGAGGAAGAAACCCACAACTCAGTGGAGGCTTTCCCGCTGGGCACGGTAACAACTCTAGGACGGCCATTTCATTCTCGTGCGGCAGCACGACCGAACACTTCTCAAACGCAGATTATGCTGACGAAGGAGGTTGTCCGGGACGATGGGGTAACCATCACGCACGACCGTCCACGAGGGAATGAAGATTTCGGTCAAAAACATTCTCCTTGGTAGCATATTGCGCTTTCTTTCCACAAACACTCCTTCGTTGCTTTGCAACCTGACATGTTAGACTCTATTGGCATTGATTGCGTAATGTGTAGCAGACAGTCGGCCAGAGTGCCGACCGCCACAATTCGATGAAGGTCTGACCTGCACGGTGGTCCGGCGGACTCCTTCAGCGACGGTTAACGCCAACCACTTCAGCTTCATGCCGTCTATCACGTGATTCTCAATAGATTGTCGATCGATCATGATCATCTTTTCCTCCTCCTGCTCCCTTTCCGTGCTTTCTGCGTTGTTCCTATATGTAACGGGCAAAACAGTGAGCCCGACCCGGGTCGAACGGATGACCTTGAGGATCTCCAAATAAGACTGGAATCTCACGCGCTACCACTACGCCACGGGCCCTTGGCCAGATCTCAATTTTGTTATAAACAGATCATGAATATGATTAGTCCATTAGCATTGCTACTGTTGTCCGAAGACGAAACCCAGCTCGGTCTGAAGGAAGTCACACTGCGCTACTCGGTACGGTTGGATAGATTCTGTCGCGGTAGCATTGATGATGACCTCGTTGTCTCCAGTGTAGGGGGGCCACTCCACAACGGCACCCTCGTAGTTCGGATTGCCTGTCCAGGCAAGAGATGTCCAACGCTTGATGACCTCCTGCGTTGTCGCGACTTCGCTGGGAGTCAAGGGTTGGTACAAATTATCCGTCTCGGCTGTCGCAAAGACCCAATACAGCTCGTCCGCATGGCAGACTTGGCCAGGACAGGTCAGGGGATTCGCAGTGATGGTCGAACCCAATCCTACTGCGAACATGACTTTATAGTTGTTTCCGGGGTTTGTTGTATTCGTCTCAAGAGAAGAAAGGTACAGCATTGGACAATGCAAGTACCAATCCGTCATGAGCCGCGCGAGGGTGAGCACTGTGCCCGAGATACCATCTTCAGAGGGAGCCGTCTCATAAGGGAATAGAGTGTTGGCGACGTCCATGATCTCTTCTGCCTGAGTGTCATTGAACCAGATGGATAGACTCTCTGGAAAGACAGATGCGGAGGAATTTGGTGGAATGGAAGTCGGGATGAAGAAACAATACTCGCACTCATTGGTGGCCCAGATCGTAGGAACACGGGCGTAGACTCCGTCCTTGATACTGGTTGCAATGTCTGCAAGGACATAGTCACCGTCGACAACGATCTCCCAGGAAATACCGAGGTTGTAGGAGGTCGCCACAATCTCTTCTGTCGAAAGATTGCGCACGCATAGAGCCATGGGCTCGTCGAACTGCGTTGATGAGCTCGATGCACAATTGAGTGCCTTTGCGAGAGTGAGCGATACTTCCAGTGATCGCTCTCGGGAGTAGAACCGGTTACTAGTAGGCCAGTCTGACTCAAGGATAGCCGCACCTGCGCCAGGAGTCAACGCAGAGTCCACATACATCATGTCGGCACTTACTGAAGAGCCCATCCGTGTATGCAGGATTTGTTCCAAGTAGGTACCTTGTCATCCCCCCTCCAGCAGACTCGCCGAATATGAGGACCTTCGTGGGCTAGCAAATATAATGAGGGGCTGTTCTCAATCATTCGCACAAAAAGCGAACTACTCACATCTCCGCCGAAGGATTCGATGTTATCCTGCACCCAGTGCAATGCGAGTAGAGTATCCTTCAAGGCGGCGTTTGACGCATTGAACCATCCAAAGGCCGTCAGCCTGTAGTTAACGGTAACAAGGACGACACCGCCGTATGAGACCATATTGGTGCCGTCGAAAATATTCGAGATCGAGGGTCCAACATATCCACTTGTGGTCATGTTAAACGGAATAGGGCCACTGTCACCGGTGTTGAGGCCCCCTCCGTGTACTGCGGAAAGAATGATAAGCCCCTGTGCTGCTTACATAGAGACCGCAACGACGCACTGAAGAACATAACGGGAAGCTTGGGGGCGCTTTCATCTGGAACAGACGCCGAATTGACGACAGGCGAGAAGACGTTCAGCTGGAGGCAATCCTCTGCGTCGTACCACTCGCGGCCATTGTCAGGATCAGGAGGCTATACCGACGGATGAGTCGATAAATACCGTGAAGTGCAATGCATGACGTTAGTCTCACCTGAGCACATACGGGACCATATTCCAGTGCAGATCGTACAGTGCCGGGCGGAACCTGCAGCGCGGTCGGGGGCTGGAATCTCGCCTCACCAATAGGAGGCTCAGCATACTTGATACCCAAGAAGCGCCAGCTGAACTTGTCGCGGTACCCCGTCAGGACACCCGCGGATGGAGTGGAGAGCTCGATCTGGCGAAAAGTGTCCGAGGTGATGTTTGAGCGGGTCAGTGGCGCAGAGTTCGTGCAGAGCACGGGGAGCCGCTCGCTGAGATCAACATTTGCGGTAGATGCGGATCCAATATAATCATCTGTGTAGAGGTAATCCGGTGTGAAGACAGAGCAGCTGCTCGCATCTATTTCGGACGTTAGTCGGGTAATTATGAGCTCACTCGAACGTCGTGAATGTACCTTCGCTCGCGATCCAAATCTCCTGCGACGAGTCCAGCGCCGCACCGTGACGCTCGGAGGTCAGCGCCATGGAGAGATTCATTGCTGTCAGGCCGGTGCTGTTAGGAGGAGGCAGGATTGTCTCCTGAAGTTGCGCGCATGCTTCATATGCCTCTGAGCAAGTGAAAGTGCTCTTCAGATAGAGCGCACTGGCGCGATTGGGGTTCGATGGATTCAGGTCATTGTTGGAGACGATGACCACATCTGTGTCTGGGTAGGCTGCGAGCTGCCGTACAGATGCAATGCAAGCAAGAAGAGCAAAGGCTCGTACCCAAAGCAGTCCCTGAGCCATGGCTCGAGTGCGTCTTCATTCACCACGGACTTACATATATGCGCTTGCAGGCAGTTTGGAGAAGCATCCCATTTGGCACCTGACAACGTTCTCGGTCTTGCGGAGCACCGAGACTTGATTCTTCGCAAGCTCAACAAAATTGTCGACGTTTCTCGGAGGTCACCTGTCTTGGACATCCGGTGAGACGTACTAAGCGGTCCGTACATCCTTACCTTTGCAATACAAATTCGCCTATGGCCTCTCAATCGCGACGTGATCACGGCTCGATTAGTTGATCTCGAGCTTCACGACATCAATGATGCTTCTACTCGGTCTCGTAACATCCGCCTCAAGGACAATGTCATGATCCGGAGTATCTCCTTGTGCATTCAGATGCACCGATAGCAGCCTAAAAACATCAGCTTGACGTCGTGCTCTGAAGTGGCGAACACCAATCAGCCCTGAGCCGCATTAGTTGAACGGCCGCCGCATTGCATAAAGGGTACATCTTGCACGAATAAGCTTTCTATGAGTATGGTAGTCTCTAGAATCTATCATTAATACGTCCAGGAGAGGTACATATTAGTGCAAAGTAATAATCGCCCCTGACATTACCCGAAGAGGCCTGGGTCCGACAAGCCTGTTGCATTTATGACTCTTCGTGTCGCAGTCTCTTGTAGAGGCCGACGATGATATCGTTGGCGGTGAGCGTGACAATCCTGCGAATCACATCTCATTTTAGTTCACGGAAGCGCGTCGATACGGAAGACTCACGTATGCGGTGCTATACGGAAGAAATGCGCGGTGGATCCTAGGCACGCACGTTAGTACTGAACAATGGCATTCATACAGCTAACACAAGTACCTTTGTACCATCCCAAAGGCCCCTCCGTCTTCAGTGTCTTCCACAAACAATCTATTGGGTTTTTGTACAGCACACCAACATGCCTGCCGTCGGGCAGCTGGCGTGTCGGTTGATTGTATACACGCGTCAGAGCCTGCTGAGTATGAGACATCTGTTTGTTTTCCTTTTATAACAACGACATACGGTATCGGCGGGTTGCATTGCCGCAAGCTACCGCAATAGTGTCAGCGACATCGCACCGAATGCTGTAGACGTCACTTACAACACACATGCCAGACACCGAACTACTCGCTAGGAAGGTCCAGACACTATCTGCCGGGAGGATCCCGCGCTTGACGAGCTGATTCTTGGTCCAATTGTATGTCGGCAGTTGTACCTAAAGCAAGATGTCGAGTAGTTATTCCACCCGCATATAATCTGTTATAAATAGACCTACAGAAGAACCCATTGCCGTTCGGAGTATAGCAGCGTCCATGCCGCGGATCAGCCCACGGGATCCCTCAGCGCGATAGATAGTAGCGAGTGCATCCCAACCACTCTTGTAGAAGTGCTGATGGCCCACCGGAAGGGCAGGAGAGTATGCCTAACGATATCGTGAAAAAGATGTACTGATATCGATAATCACGGGACACGGACTTGCATTCTTGCCTTGATAAGGAACAGCGGATTTCCAAGGCACGCTGATGCGGATGATTGAACAAGGGGATATGTGCTTCGACAGAACGCCCCACATACCTCCGATGATACCACTGGAGGCACCTGCAACCACCGAGGTAAGAGGCCTTTGCTCGGTCGGTGAGATGTTGAAGATGCTATTACACCATCGTCTGATTGGCTCGTAGAATCCTATCGCCGTGGTCAGTGATTACCACAGGGCCCGCTAGAGTGGCAGCTCACCAAGACGAGAGCCGTTCAGGAGAATCTATAGGTTGTTCCAGCGACTCATTCCTCACCAACAAACGGCCTACTCACTTGATAGACATACTCTCCTTAGAGTTAGCTCGCAATCGTTTACACTGATGAAGAGAACTTACGGCAGGGCCAAGGCCGCGCTGTATGCCACGGATTCCTTCATTCCTAAATGTTTTTGTGACGACATCCAGTGTGTTCTTGTAGACCCGGACTCCACCATCCTTTGCCAGTTCTCCCTGCAGTTGAAGACGTGTCTTTGCGACCTCCGCAGGATTAGAAATAGTGACCTATACACCTTTCAATGCTCAGCAAAGCCTGCACAAGTGTGCCCTCGCTGCATAACGCACAGCGACACATGCCGCCAGTCCACCACACACGAAGCCCTCTGCAGTGCTGAGTGGTCTGCCTTTTGCCGCTCCAGAGTTCATCGTAGTGCAAGAACCGGTGATCCTAATCCAGAAACCGACCGAGATTGAGCGGTTAGGGCCCCGTCGTTGCGGTTATCGTCGGGGAGATGCTGCGAGCTGTAAGCACGGGTATAAGCCGGGCGCTGAGAAGCCAAGCAATGAGTCGCCCGACCTACCCGTCGACCCGAGCGTCCGCCAATTGCGGGGTAGACGGGATGAGTCACGCACGTGTGACTGGACGCGATCGTTACATAAGGTCTCGGGCGTCCGCGTTGTTTCAGACGCGCGTGCAACTCGTGCTCGAACCGAAGTAGACCGAAGTGAACAACAGAGCACTGGCCATCACGTTCAATGAATCCTACGAAAGAGAGAACGCATGTCTCAAGCAACGCACAAAAATCCTCTCGTAAGAAAATGGAGTGCGAAAACGAGATTTCTTGAATGGACACAGCCATCGGGAAGATTATTCGAAATCGGAACTCGCTGTCCTCCGGCTGAGAAAATAGTGATCATTCGAACAAGTCCAGCTGTAGATATATCCAAGTTTTCTGGCGGCGGCGCGAACAAACATGCGAATGACTCGCGGAAGCAGACTGGCCCGTGGGAGGGCCGGATAGCTGATGTCACGTCAGCATACAATCCACATAGCAAATCCAAACCGGAACGCACCTGCTACGCGAAGCAACGTTTCAGGATGAGGAGGCCATGAAAGTATCATTCTGCCGGATCAGATCAGCGCATCTCTCCGCCATGGCATAGACGAGCGCCTGCGGATGCGCGGCCGGCACATCAGGGAAGACACTCGCATCAGCGATACGCAGGTTTCTGATCCCATGCACGCGAAGTTCATCATCCACAACTCCAGGCTGCGCATCATCCTCCGGGGCCATGCGGCACGTGCTTGCGTAGTGGAACATCGTGTTGACATTCCCTTCGATGAACTCGTCTAGCGCGGTGTTGCTGGTGACATCGGGAACCTGGACTGCATCGAGCGGATACCCAGAGGCACGCATCTCACGAGTAATTGCGAGAGACACGCGCAGGGCTGCACGAAGAGCTGCGTAGTCCTCAGGAGCACTCAAGTATCGCATGTCGCAGTGCGGCAAAGCTTTCGGATCAAGTGAGTGGAGTGTTAGTCTCCCGCTGGATCTTGGGAGTAGCAAAGCCGCATGAAGTCCCCAAATGCCCTTGGACTTATCCACCGGATGCTTCGTGTAATCTGCAATCGGAGACTGGAGACTATATGAACCAATCTGACATCCTCAACAGTAGAAAGACGTACAGGCAGGACAGCAAAATCAGGTAGGTTCTCCGGATCGAAGGAGTCCAGATGCTCTTTGGCGAGCGGACTCGACAACCCATCATTGGACACCAACGAGGACATACCGAACACTTCCATCTCGGCAAACCTGCATAGAAACCAGCCCGTACCATATATGTAATAATTGATCAGCTCTCTCAGCAATGTCGTTGGTCGTCTGACCATCGCCCAAAGCGAGTCGGGCAACGGACAGTTGTACATGGTCTGGATGATGAGATGGTCTTGCTAGCGGTGCTTGTTCAGCCCTCACCCAAAGAACATAATGTAGTAACGCACTAAGTGTTGTCCCACGCCCGGAGAACTTTTGACGATGTGTATTCCCATTTCCCGGAGATGATCCTCAGGACCCACTCCGCTGCTTCGCATGAGGACTTGCCATGAACAACACAGAGGAGGAGGAGGGTCATACCTAAGCAATAGAAGTTGAGGGGTGCCCAGCGCACCACAAGAGAGTACTATCTCTTTGCGAGCGGTGATCGCTCGCTTTGGGCCTCCTCTTACGGCCTGCAAATCAACGCCAACCGCGCGTACGACGCCATCATCGGCTTCCGAAAACACGATCTTGCAAGCAATCGTATTCGTGCATATATGGAGGTTCGGTCGATGATCGACTACTTCTTGGGGTAGATAAGCACGAAAAGCCGAGTGACGCCTGCCCGTAGAATCAATGGTGAACTGCATTTTGTTGCACCCAACGCTGGGCTCCAATGGCGAGTGCATGTCGAGAATATCAAGGAAACCTATTTTCTGTGCGGCCTCCGCCGCTCTAGCGCTCGCTAAGTCACAATACCAGATTGATAGAGGAAATGACATGCCAACCTCCTCGAGCTCCCAAATTGAAACTCTTCGAAGGACGTGACCTCGAGCGGCCCTAGGGAGACAAACACGATTGTAAGCAATGAATGGATTGCTAACAATCCGTGCGCACCATCCAAGCCGTGATATTCACGGGGAACTGGGCCATTCCATCGCTCCGATTTGTCAAAGTACGGCTTGATATCTTTGTAGGACCACCCCTTCCGTCCTTGCTGGCTCCATAGATTATATTGCGCTGGTACACCACATGTATACTGATTTCCATTGATGCGCGTCGCCCCACCAAGGCCAGTGCCGACAACCAGCGGGAAGGACCGACCAAAGCGAGGGTCAACCGCAGATTCAATTACGACACTGTGCTTCTGGTCCGAGGAGTGGTGAATGGATAAGAGGGGATTGACGTCCAAGCATCTGCGAATTGAAGTCGGGCTATGAGCATTGCGATGGATGGAATGAGTACTCACGAATCCCTCGCATCGCCTCTTTCGACTAATAACACGGTACGTTTTGCATCCTCGCTCAGACGGCGAGCGAGGACGCAGCCCGCATTCCCACCTGTAGCAATGTGAACATATATTCTGAACACACATCGTTGAGCAGTCGTACCTCCGACCACAATGTAGTCATATACTGTCCATACAGACTGCAGAGACCACTCGGGATAGCTAGAAGTGAAAGGCCACATTATCCTTCAGGATCCCAGTTGACTATCGGAACCCAAGGTAAACCGAGGCACTTTCACAGGGAGTGTCGGAAGCAGTCTCCAAGACTACTCATCAACTTGAGCGCCCACTGTAATTAAAAGCCTGAGACTGGTCCGAGTCAAACTCGACGCTCTGACAAATCGACATGGGAGACGACAGTAATCGCTGTTGCCGGTTCGACATACTCAACATGTACGCTGATGGTCGTCGTTGGTGGCGTTTGTTGCAGAGATCGTCCCAGACATCGTTCATAGCGGTTTGCAGATCGCTTCCATAGGAGGCAATATAAAGTTACTGTTGAATTAATCAGGCGCTTATGGATGTCTGTGGACTGACCGGCACGTAGCGATTCACTTCATGCTCCTCACCGATGTCGTATCCTCGCGATCATAAGCACAAGAGGCACTAGCATCTGCCGATAATGCTGGGAAAGAGGACAGCACTGTTCGTGGCGATTCTGGCAATCGTACTGCCTGTTATTGCCCGTGTCGCATCATCACCGCTCGCGCTCGCTCTCTTGCTTCCTGCCCTCCTCATTCTCAGCATCGTCGGATTCTTTGTGCTCAATGTTCTACTGGGGTATGCATTAGATGCATCAAGGCCAGCGACTCCCAGCATTATCCCGCATGCAGCGAGACCGTTGGCTTTTTCCACACCTGCTGCATGGCAGGCCGTCTTGACACGCTCTCAATGGTCATACAAGACTCCGCAGTCCCTCCCTCCGCTATGCCCCGAGTACCCAATTCTATCCTCTGCATTGAACGACATCTTGATCATGATTGTGCGGGACTTCGTGCTGGTGTGGTACAGGGAGATCTCCTCATCTCCGTCATTCCCGACCGCAGTGTCGTCGATCATGCATGATTCTGTGGAGCAGCTCCTGGCCAGAGTCATGACGTTGGACATCTCCGCCCTTATTGTGAAGCGAATTGTGCCCAAGGTCACCGCACATATCGAGCAGTTTCGGCTGTCGGAGATGGCTTTACGGGGAGCAGGTTTGGAACGCAGGCTGACTCAATCGGAAGAACTCGATCTCTTACTGGCGAGTCGGTATGCGGGAAGAGGAGGTGGGAAGCTACACCGCGCAGTAGACAATCTGTCTTCGACGTTCACGCGGCAAACGGAAGAGAAGCATCTAAAAGAGCTCATAGACAATGCATTGCCTTCCATTCTACCCCCGAGGGAGTCCAATAGTCAAGCTGTACGAATAGTGGTCAGAGAAATCGTAGCTTGTTCAGTCTTGTACCCCATCATGGACATGCTCTCTGATCCCGACTTTTGGAACCGGTTGATCGATTCGGTGGTAAGTGCACCTCATTATTAACCATTGACCCGTCTCATATCTGCCAGGCGGGAGCAGCTATACGTCAACAGTATGTCGGACGATTGGTGTGAGATGGCATCCTGTTCATTGTTATCGCATTGCTCCGCAGGAAACTGGTATCCAAAGTGCGGAACGTCTTGGAAGCGCAACTGCCTCGCCCTCGCCATGTCCGAGTTGCTGAGCCAAGTTCAGTGGCAGAAACCATCACCATCCAAACTGATGCTCGTCAATTTGAGTCCTTCCTAAGAAGTATCAATCGATGTTCATCGCTTTTGGACGCGAGACGGCTCAAGAATGATATCATGAGCGAAATCAGACGAAACCGGACATTGCTCGGTGAGTTGGGCTGTTTGTGGCCAGCCAGCTTCTGACGAAGGCAACATATAGCGAACCATGAGAAGGATGATTGGATTGACGGAAAGAAGACCGAAGATATTGTCGCCTTCCTGGATCGACTTTACACTGCTAAGCGCAGAGTTGAGAGGCGCATTGTCATCCTGGGCGGAGAAGCCGAGCCGGTAAGTGACGTTGGAATAGACTTCAATTGAGCTTTACTCAATGACCTTCGCATGTAGCGACAGCCTACGTCACAGGATACGGAGACAGCATCCAAGCTATCTCTACGTGACATCTTGACGAACCCCAGTTCATTATCATACTTCATGGAGTTCATGGACCGTCGTCAACGTAGCCTGCTCGTGCAATTCTGGCTCACAGTTGAGAGTTTCAAGAACCCTCTCGAGTCCGTGGATTCAGGCAGTTCTGACGAAGAGGATGAGCCTGTGCTGGATCCTACTCATTCTGCCACATTGAAAGAGGACATCTCAATGATGAAAGACTTGTATTTCTCTGGCTCTGCTGCAGATCCAGTCCTGGAATGCATCTCGGCGAAGCATGTGAATACAATTCGATCCTTCGGTCTGGACGAGGATGTCCCTGAACCCGTAATGGAGAGGAAGGTTCGAAGAAGTGTCATGCTGGCACAAAGACAGGTTGAACGGGAGATGGAGCAGGATTTCGAGGAGTTTCAAGAATCCAAGCTCTGGTTCCGCGTAATAGAAGACATTGATATTCAGCAAAATGCAGGTGATGAATCAACGTCGCAGCGAACGAGAGTCGATGCTCGAAAGACAGATTCACGATCCTCAACAGAGGTCACGCGAGCATTAGCTCCTTCAGGGAACGGCCCCATTCCTGCTATGCGCTCGAATTCATCCCCGTTGCTGAGCGTTGTCTCTTCACCGAAGCAACCACGAGCTGATAACAACACGCCTAGTACGCCCGGCCCCTTGATCTCCAGTCCTGTTCCTCGAGCTTCGACATCCAATCTGGAGCTTTTTATGTCTCCGGATATAGATTCTACATCGCCGTCCTCTTCTCGAGCTCCTCTCTTCGATGACCCTAACGGCGAGAACATACAAAATCTCAGAGAGCAGTCCAGGAGGATGGAGGCAATCCAGGCAGCTTTGACGGACATCATAGCGCTGGACAGACGGGAAATCGACGGCTCATCTGCGAGCAGAAACAGCGCCATGACAGCTAGCCCGAGCGAAAGTCGAAAACGTACCGGACTGTTCGAAGATGAACCTGAGGAAGACGATAGGTTGGAAGATGACGTGGACTCTACACAAGCGTCATTCCAACTGGCTGGTCCGGGTGATCTGCAACTGTCACATGAGATCAATCGCCTAGCGGGCAAGATTGATACGCTGCAATCTCAAAGTTCGATGCTGGACACACTGATCAACAAGGCAGAGCTGACTGGTGATGCGCAGGAGCTGCGATTGCTGCGCAAGTCACAATCGTCGCTCAGCAGGGAGCTGCGCGAGCTCAACTTTCAGAAGACACAGTACGAGCAACAGGAGTCAGCTAACCGCCTCCTCTCGGATCGGACCAAGGTATCGATCGTGAACTCTACAGTTGGAGAAGAAGAGGGCAAGTCAGTCGTGCGGTACCTGGTTGAAGTCCAGCAGCTCGCACCCGACGGTTCATATACCTCAGGATGGGTAGTTGCCAGGAGATACAGCGAATTCTTTGCAATGCATAACAAGCTGCGAGAACGCTACGCTCTTGTACGCAATCTCGACTTCCCCGGCAAGCGTCTCGTTACTTCGCTTTCTGGGAGCTTTGTCGACTCTAGACGGGTCGCACTCGAGAAATTTCTTCAGGTGAGACGCTTGACTCTCCGTACCCAAACAGTTCCGACGGTCATTTCACATTTCACAGAGCTTGATTGCTATTCCGGCTGTGTGCGAGAGCGACGAGCTCCGGAGCTTCTTGTCCCGCGACTCTCCTTTCATCGTCAGCGAATCGGTGGAAAATACAAGTGCCAAAGCTACCAGTACGAGCCCGAGTAAAGGCCTCGTTCGTTCGGTCTACCAATCCGTTGCCGACAGCATAGACGATATGTTCTTCGGCCCTTCCATGCTGGACGTCATAGTGCAGCGTCTCACAAGTCAAGCTGCTGAATCTGCTGGCATTGTTGGGAATGGAGTCCATGACGAAGAATTGGTCACTCAGGCTCTGAAGGCTTCAGGCAAGGCACCTTCTGAGGATACGCTGTTGCAATTACCAGGTGGTCTGAAGCCTCTACCTGGAGAGACGAGCAGCTCGACATTCTCATCTCCCATTTGCGACTTGGTGCTGTCCATCTTCGAGCTCAACAAGAAGAACAATTGGTTACGAAGGCAGGCTATTGTAATCATATTGCAGCAAGTGTTCGGCGATACCATTGAGCGGTTAGTGGATCAACTTGCATTCGACCATGCTGAATGCTGATCCTATAGTCTAGGAAATTGAGAGAGACGTTCAATTCCTACGTTGATGAGCCTCATCTGATGTCATACATCAACATGTTCAGAGAGGGTTTGTGGCCTGGTGGCAAGCTCAAGGCTCCAGAGCCACCGCGTACGACTGAGGAGAAATTGCGTACACGAGACGAAGCAAACCGCAAATTGTCTGCGTTGATGCCGGGTCAGTTGAACCGTTATGTATCCGCCTGCGACAGCTGACAACCCCGCCCCACAGACTTGGTTGCCAACATGATAGGGCGCTCAAATGCGCGGCGCGGTGCACGAAGAATCTTTGCAGTACTTCAGAATCGACGCTTAAACCAACACCTCCTGTATACTATTGTCGATGAGGTAGGTGATACATGCATGCTGCGGCTATTATTTACTGACTCGACAATTCTGTGGCAGATTTTCGCTGCTCTATTTCAAGACCAGCCACCACCATAATATGTAAATGCCCGCATCTTCTCCGCATTCTGCGTGTATTTCCGTGTAGTTATACTAATGTACTATCTTCTTGGACGATATCCAATATTATACCACCTGTGCTGTCCGACCGTCATCTGTCTGTCCTGTTCTCTCCTTGATCCTCGACAACCGGAGCTGGGGTTGATGCTGCCGTTGTATTAGCAGTGGACGATGCAGTTTCGGTAGTATCGCCGTCTAACTTGGCCCTCTTCGGTTTATGTCTATGTGCCACGATGGACGATGCAGCAGGGTCATCATAGCTGTTGCGTATGATAAGCAAGTTACATCAACACAAATATGGGATCACTCGCATTTTTGTTGTGTGCAGTATAAAACCCCCAGATCCGGACATGTTCATCAAGGGATGGGTGCGGCCAGGCAGCACCTGCGAGGGGCATAGTTAGCGTTGGTCGAATAATAACGTCCTTCAGCTTTACCTGGTAACGCCGCATCCAGGGTTCGGTAACTGTAGGCCCTAGATACTGAGGGCGATCACGCAACTTGCTCTGTAGGTCCGCGACGATCTGCGATGTGGTCAGAGGGTGCTGCGACGATTCGATAGATTGTACCGAACTTGTATGTGTGGGCTATGCACAACAATGGACGCTGAACCTGCTAGATATGGAGAGAGCCTCTCAAGCATTGAAAACGGGTCGTATTCGCTTGCAACTACTAGCCTGTAAACAATACAGATGATATCAGAATGAGCGGCTTGCGATCAAACAGATAGAGAGCGCACGCTTCGAACTCTCCGGCAAAAAGATCTTCTCTGGCCTGCATAAGAGAGTCAGAGACGACCTTGCGTTTGTTCAGTCTCGATTTCTGTGCATCGGACTTGAACTTTCCTGTAGGCGGCTCAGAAGGTGCCAGGACTGCACTGTGTAAGCGCTGACGTAGGCTCGGATTCAACGCAGATACTGACTTGGAGTATAGTCTTCGTCAGCTGTCGCCCAATTCAACGAGGACATGACCTGAACAACCTCTTTCTTGAAGTTCATGTGCACCATCACAGGGTAGGCAGGTGGTGAGTCGACGTCACATATCGTGATGAGTCGGCCAATTCCTACAATGGATGAAGGTGAAATCGCTTAGGAATTTCCATGCTGGGTGTTCGCAACACTCACCGCCCATGCGTTCTAGGACTCCCGCAACTATCACACCGGATGCATCATCCACGGCCAAGTACCTCCCTCCCGGACGTATATTCGCCATATTGAGCATCTGGGACAGTGCATCTGAACGGACATCGCGCAGCCTATTCTGGTCCTTATTGAACCAATATTCGCAGACGTTGAATATCGTAGGATCCAAAACGGTAAATGATTTTGAATATCTAGATGAAGAACGCCCAATGAGCTCACGGACAAATGAACAATCGCAAATTGCATGCTCACTTTGCTTCCTTCCGCTTTTTATATTTCTCCTTACTGTATTCTGTCTTAAGTTCGTAATTTGCATGCTGCTCAATCTGCTTCTTGATAATTTCCTATTATGTCTGCTGTCAGACAGAGAGAGATAAAGGCAATCAGGGAGTCACCTACTGAGGCATGCAGACCAGCCTTTTTCAGGGCCTCGATCTCTTCGGAGGTTAGAGGTTGGACAAACTGGCCGTCATTTATAAGCTCATTTGTCGCATCCGTATCCTCTGTACAATCCCTTTGTCGATGAACCATAAACAGATAGAGGATTCCTACCTACTTCCTGCAAAGTGCTAGGAGGTACGGCTTTGAGTCTCTTGTCGATTATATCGTATGTCAATCCAAACGGTTGCCCAATCAACTCGTTAGCATAGAAAGACCCAAACTTTCCTAAGTTCGCGGTGCTGTGGTAAAGTCAGTGGATGGTTTCATCCGTGATCTGAAGTATGGCGCACGAGTCTTTCTCTAATTTCCACGTTTTCACATCTCCGCTCGGCAATCTAAGCAACAATGTGCAGCCGGCTTGAATGGTGTCTTCCCTTGTGGTGTCAACGGCAGTTGTGCGAGAAGACCCTTCGCCGAGGTGCATCATGAACAACGGACTCGGACAAGATCGAAATTGATATGAATTTGCACGCTCGATCGACGTGTGACGCTCAGGGCTCGGCGCTCAGCATACCTCGGAGTTGCTTGCATCGTCGCTAGACTCGTGCCTATCAACATCGCAGCTGTCTGAATGCACATCGTTATCCTCTGTGACGATGTCGGAGTCCCTCGGAGAACGGTTGGACGCCATGTTGAAGAGTTCACAAACTGACGCACCAACGACACTCCTCCCAGACGAGCTATCTTGTCTGGTCAGCTCTTTCTTACCATCTAGCGCACTATCTCTGCGGTCGAAAGCCTATGTTACACTTTCTGCTATCTGTCAAACGTTTCGACTTCCGTCGAAGGCGTCCTCCACGAAGCAGCAAGATGCTGCAACGGATGCCATGCAGAGGATATTCGGCCCTCCAATAGTGTCGCAACTCTCGGACACCGTGGAGACGGAAGTCCTTGCAGGCCTATCATTCCTTGCTGCTCTCTTCGAGGTTGACTGGCAAGTAGCAGCAGCCGTATTTCAGGAGGATGGGGTGCTTGATTCTGTCATGGATGCATTGGACCTATTCTCCAAATCGCCCCAGATCTCTCGCGCTGTTGCTCAATTGCTCGCGCAAGCCAGTGGCCACAAGTCGTGCCGAGTCATCATCTCATCGCAGCATCTACAGTGGCTGTCTGCGAAATCGCGTCAGACTGCCGACGGCGTCCTTCGTGCAGCTGCGGCCGTTGCCCTTGTCAAACTTTCGCGGGGAGCTGGTGCCGATGCTACAGAGATTGCAGGCGACCGAAGCGAGACACCCGCAGCGGACGAGGAGGAGCTTGTGAAGTTGATGAGGGGACTTGTGGTTGAGGGTACGGAAACTTCCTCTCTTGCAGATGCCGTAGAAGGTCTCGCATATATGAGCCCCGACACCGCCGTCAAGGAACAGTTAGCAGACGATCCCTCCTTCCTGAAACGGCTTTTCTCGGTAGTGCCTCGTCGGAAAGGCCTCGTCATGCATGGTTCTCCTGCTGAGGACACCACGAGATCTCCTCTGTACGGCGTGATTATAATTATCTCAAACCTCTGCTGCTACAGACCGCGTCTCACGGAAGAGGAGAACCAGATGGCAAGATTGCGACGGATGGCGAACACCCCAGGCTCTTCCTCCAAACCTTCTGAGGAAGTCGATCCTCTGGACGATGATGACCATGTACGAATGCGAGGACGCAAGCTCGTACAAGCGGGCGTTCTTGATACTCTCACTGCAGCTGTACGTGCTACAGAGAGCCGTGCTGTCAGGCTTGCAGTGGGAAAGAGCCTCCTTAGTCTGGTTGAGGACCACGATAACCGCGGCAAGGTATTGCAGGCAGGCGGGGCGAAAGCATTGGTGCTTATAATCCAAGAAGTCCTGTCAGTCCCATCCTCGAAGTCGACAACGTCGCAGATGTCGCAGCTGGACGTGTCAGACATTGAGCCAATACAAGCTCTCGCAAAGCTGGCAATCACTTCTTCTCCTGTTCAAGTTTTCGGTCCAAACGAGGGAGCTCTTTATGATGCCATTCGTCCGTTCTCAATCATGCTCATACATCCCAACTCTACCCTACTCCAGCGTTTCGAGGCTCTCATGGCCTTGACAAACTTGGCTTCACAAAGCGGAGAAGTTGCCACCCGGATTGCCCGTATGGAGGGCGTTTTGAACAAAGTGGAGCTGCTCATGTTAGAGGAACATACTCTGGTTCGTCGAGCAGCTACGGAACTCATATGCAACCTGATAGGCGGCTGCGAGGAAGTTTACAATAAGTACGGTGGCGAGAAGTCGTCGGCTTCAAAGTCGAAGTTGCAGGTGCTTGTTGCATTGTGCGACGTTGATGACCTGCAGACACGGCTCGCGGCGTCCGGCGCCATCGCTATTCTAACCTCCTCTCCTGATGCATGCCAGATCCTTATTGAATTGCAGCACGAACGACACCGAGTGCTCCCAATCTTAGGCCAGCTCATTGATCCCTCCATTGTCACCGTAGCGGACCAGGGTGACGAAGATGATATCGAGACATCCCCCTTAGAACCCGATCCCGGGCTTGTGCACCGAGGCGTGATCTGCATACGGAACCTTTTTGACGCCGTGCAAGGCGCCGCTGCGCGGAAAGAAATAGCTATAGAGGCTGATAAAGCGGGAGTAGTCCAGGCACTGGTCGGTGTCATCAAGAAGTCCCCTGCAAATAGCAACTCGCCTGTACTGCAGCCTACAGCAGGAGTTATTAAGTGGTTATTGGAGAACGGAATAGAGATCACCATATGACCAGGTAAGTGAGGAAGTCCTCTTACGAGTGTAGTGTGCTTACACCGAATCGTGTATTTCAAAATAGTTCATGTTCAATAAACGTCGCATATTGCATATAGCATAATCTCTGGCTTTGTGTCCTGCTCGTGTTCATCTGTCCTGCAATGCATTGATCGTCCACCTCTTTACGGTTCCGCTCGCAGGACTAACGAATCTCATGCAGTATCCTATAGCACAATTTCGCCGCTGTTGTACGCTCACAGCGGATGCTTTGACTCTGGAATTTCTGATCGTACATCGTACGGAATCGCTGCCGGCCCGAATGACCCGTACGTTCCTCCTTCACAGCGCATGTCGCAATACCCCTATCATCGGGTGCTCATTCGTCCGTTGAGCCTATCTTCACGCCAGGTTGTCAGTTGCCTCCAGCGCAGGCGAATCGGCGGGCAAAGGAGAGCGACATCATGACACTATAGACAACTGGGATGAGAACGTGAGGCGGAGTGAAGTTCCGTTGGGTCCCATGATCGATCGAGTGACCTTCTCGTGACCGAGAACGCAATACAATTGTCCGAGCCGAGTCCCCGTCCTATCTAGGATCTATGCATTGTAAGCATCATCTACACTTATATTACCTGTATCGACTCTGCGCTACTAGGGATCTCAACATCATGCCTGCTTTTACGTTTGTCACGACGTCCCTCACCGAACTCGTAGCTATCCGAGCTCGTACGTGTCATCCAGGTCCATGTAGCTCACCACGCTAATAAGCGTTTAAGGTGATCAGCCTAATGATGTCGCCATCTACACTGGAATAGACGAGCCAGGACCCCTTCTGAGACCATTGACGTGAGCGGAGACTTCCATACCTTTGCACGTGAGGCTACAACTGATGCGCAAATTGCAGCTACTTGCAGGTCCAACGTGCAGTGGATCGACTGTGCGCTCACTACGCTACTGTCGGGCTGCTACCACCTCTCGGAGAGAATGGATTGCCTCCACCGCGAACGATTGCAGTTCTGACGTCTACCGCGATTGATGAAACGCTCCTGGAGATTGCCCTTGCGAAGCTGGGGCTCAGCCCGCTGCTGCTCTCCGTCAATAATTCGGTTCCAGCAGTCGCTCACCTATGCAAGATTACACAATCAACGCACCTCATATACGGGTCGAAGTTTGTAAATGAAGCACGTGAGGCGCAGAAGGTATTGGTTGAGAAGGGTTATAACGTGAAAATCGTACCGGATAAACGATTCCCTCTGTGGGGACCAGATGGCGTGGTGAAGGCCAGCATCAAGCCGTTTCCCGCGGTGCTGCAACCAAGAGACGAGACGGATCGAGTTGCAGTAATTCTGCATTCATCTGGATCAGTGCGTTGTTGTGCGTTGTACTAGTTGTTACGGTTGACAGCTGACGGTAGAGCATGCGTCCTTACTTAGACTGGTTTTCCCAAGCCCGTCTATGTCACGCATCTAGCGATGATAGCAAATGTCGCTGGCTTCGTGGGGAAGACCGGGTTCAGTGCTCTTCCCGTCTTCCACGGCTTTGGTCATTACAGCGTGTGCGTATGCACTCCTTCCAGACCATCGTTTCCAAATTCACCTTTGTTACCTCAGATTCCGTTGCTATTATTCCGGTGTTCCATTCGTTCTCATGCCGCCTTATTTGCCATTGACATCCACGAATATATGCAAGGTCATAAAGGCAATCCCAGTTCCATGTCCGCTTTTCTTTGCTGTTCCCTACGTCATTAAGGTATAGAACACTATGCTGTGAGCGCGATTGATGCTCAACTCTTTGCAGCTTCTTGGAGAGACAGAAGAAGGAGTGAATGCTCTTGCGGCCTTCGAAAGCATCACCTTTTCCGGCGCTCCCGTGCCCGTAAGCTCCCTATGTAATTATCTGTGAAATCCAAGCGTAATTCCATGCTGTTAGGACGACTTGGGCGATCGACTGACCGCAGCTGGAGCCAATCTCAACGCTATATATGGCACGACTGAGGTAAGGCGTCGTGTTCCGTACGTTGGGTTACATCTCAAGAGCATCCAGACAGGCTCTCTAATCAGATCGACACGCGATTTCAAGAATGACAAAGCATGGAACTGGTTGAGGCTTCAGGGGCCTCTGGCGGATTACTTGGTGATGGAGGACCGCGGTTCAAACACGTTCGAGTCCGTTGTCAAAGATGGCTGGCCTGCGAAGATCCAATCGAACCGCCCTGACGGGTCGTACGCAACGAAGGATCTCTTCTTGCGGCATCCTGTGCACTCTAACTGGTACAAGTACATTGGGCGGCTGGACGACACGCTGGTACAGGTGCTGGGCGAAAAGACGAATCCAGGTAAGTATTTTGAACGCTAATGTCAGATAAACATTGATGGAATGCCAACCCAAAGTACCAATCGAGCTCGCCATCCGTGGCAACAGTCGTTATGTGGGGGAGGCGATCGTCTTTGGGGAAGGCAGGCCGCAGGTTGGGTGTCTGATACTTCCCTCAGAGCTCGGTAAAGACTTGGCGAAGGATCACGAGGCATTCATGGAGAAGGTTTGGTCCGTCATCGAGGACGCAAATGCGCAGGCTCCGACACATTCAAGGATCCTACCAGAGATGGTATATATCTTGGAGTACGTCGATCAAGTATTTGTTTACTTGTGCTATATCTAAAGCGGGACGGGACATTACGCTTTGCACAGCTACGGAACGACAGTAAGTTGTGGACAACAAATTTTGTGAGAAGCGTCGATGAACTTGGCAATTCAGATTCCCCAAGCCACGAAAATGTCTATTCTCCGGCCAGCGTGCTACGCGAAGTTTAAAGACATTATAGGTGTGCCGCCAAATCATCTGCAGCATGCTTCTAAACCAAAGTTGGACCTGCAATGCAGACTCAGTATATGACCGCTTTGAGAACGACTCCCGTGCGACCAAGCTTGATCTCAGCGACTCTGAGCTGGAGGACTTCATCTTAAATGCTATCGCTCAAACGCTCGGAGCGTTGAGGGCGGCCAATCTAACGAAGACAACTGATCTCTTCGCGTTCGGCGTTGACTCCCTCCAAGCCACACGGATCCGTAACATTTGCCAGAAAGAGTTGGAGCTAAATGGTCGGACGCTTGGACAGAACGGTGAGATCATCGTGATAGCACTAAGAGGGCATATCCTGACCTCACATAGTGGTATACGAGAACCCATCAGTTGAGAAGTAAGTTGCGATCGTTTACCATTTCACTCTCGGACTCACGTCCTTCGCTTCAGGCTTGCTCAGCACATAATCGCCGTACGGTTTGACGGAGATACAGCCAAGTCCGATGAGGATCAACATTCAACAATGCTCGCTATGATCGAGAGATGGAGCGCGAGATTTGAGCTATCGCAGAAAGCATCTCAGAGTGGCCAAGAGACAGTATCCAGCCAGCAGACCATCGTACATGCACAAATCTATATGTCTCTGGATGATGAGCTAAAGTGATACTGTTTAGGTGTTGACAGGAGCAACAGGTTCCCTCGGCGCGCATATACTCCAGCAGCTCGTCTCACTGCCATCGATATCGCGTGTCATCTGCTTCTCTCGAGCAAAGTCACATGCCGATTCTCTCGCTCGCCTGCAGGAATCTCTCGCTATTCGTCGGTTGACTCTGTCGCCGGAGGAATGGACGAAAGTCGAATCATTTGCCGCGAATGTGAATGAGGACAGACTTGGGCTTTCGTCTGACGTATATTTGAACCTGCTATCCGAGGTTACGACTGTGATACACGTGAGTGACCTTGATGTAAATGAGAAACGGGAATTCATTGCAATACGCTCATTTAGAATGCCTGGCCGGTGAACTTCAATATGAGCGTCGACTCGTATGATGAGCACATCGGAGGCGCGCTCAACTTGATCAATCTGTGTCTACGGTCGACGAGGCCCCGGAGACCATCTTTCCTTTTCAGCTCGTCCATCGCTGCTCGGTCGGGGTCCACAGACCCCGTTTGCAACGAAGATTTTCCGTCATCGCCTGTCACAGCGCTCGGTACCGGATACGGGAGGAGCAAATGGGTTGTAGAGAAGCTATGCGAGCGCGCGGCGCAGGATACATCGATCAGCATAGGCGTACTCAGAATTGGTCAACTGGTCGGCGATACTGAGAAGTGAGTGCGTTGATACTGTAGTATAACTCGGTACGTTAACTTCTCGGGACAGTGGTGTCTGGAATGAGACCGAAGCATGGCCGCTCATGTTCAAATCGGCGAAGGCAACAGGAGTGTTGCCTCGGCTAGACGATGTACGTAGCATCAGCATTGTACGCTATTCTTCGCCACTAACAGTTTGGCATACAGAAGCCGCAATGGCTGCCTGTGGACACTGCAGGTCGTGCAATCGCGGAAATCGTGACGCAGGTTGAACGGCCCAAGGCGGCTGTATACCATATCGTCAATCCTAACACGACAGCCAGCTGGGATACGGTCTTGACAGGTTTGAAGCAAGCCGGCGTAGAGTTTGAAGCAGTGAATGGCACTGAGTGGCTCGACCGACTGGAGCAGTCAGATGCAGACGGCGAGCGTAACCCAGCCATCAAGCTTTTGGTAAGAGATTATGTCCACACTTCCCAGAGGACGACTCATACTGACCATGATATACGCAGCCATATTACCGCAACCGCTTCGGTAGTGCGAGCAAACGGGAGCCTATAAAGTTCAGCGTGGACAAGACGAGCAAAGTCGCACCGAGTATAGCTAATGCTCCTCTCCTCTCAGAGGAACTCGTCGGCAAGTGGGTGAAGCATTGGCGCGCTGTAGGGTTTTTAGATTGAGAAATAGTTGATTGGAATGGCTGGGCAGTATACACCGGTAGATATGCCCTAATAGCGAGGCGATATGAGTACATACACGTCGGTGACTATGCTTCCTGAAAACAATTTCTCCCTCCTCTTGCATCCTATACATTCCTCTGCAGGTGAAGAACTGGCTGAGATCGCGAATAACGACATTGCTCATCGAATAAGCGACAGAATCTGCATCCTGAAACGAGATGTAAAGACGGGCAGGCAGAAGAAAGTCTTCGTAGGCTCAGCCATCTTCTTGATTTGCCGGCCTTCTTCACTGGCGAGAGCATTGTGTGGATGAAAGTGCACCAAGAATGAGAGCTGAAAATCGAAGGTTGAGTCAGGTGTTGTAGCAGGCTGTCCGCTCTCAGTCCGGTGGCGACCGCGCGTGTCCGATCGTGCGTAGCTCATCGTCACCTCTGTTGCCTACTATCACCCTGCTTTCTCCTTCTGCGTCTCCCAGCTATCCGGTGATCTATTCTATACCGTTTGGACGGTTGTTTGTCACCAACAACCCGCGTGGATACCGCACACTAGCAGCCAGGGTGGGACTTGCTGAACGCCCAGTGTCCGTTCTCTAGCTGCATTGCACATCTGCACTTGTATCTGAACCCTTGCAGTAATACCGGTCTTCTTGCAACATGGTTAGTGAATTGGAATGTTATGTGTTGCTGTACCTTCATCCGGCTGTCGAACAGGCGATTTCCAAGAAAGCGGGGAAGAAGGTTGCTGCCACGCCAAAGAAGGCAGGCGGGTCTAGCAAAGTTGCGAAGGCGAGTTACTTGCTGCGACTGAGCTGTCAATGAAGGATTGAGATCTGGTGGTGTTAGGCGGATTGGAAGGAGGGCTTTAAGAAGAAGCAAGTCGGCGTGTCTGATATGACCTTGTTAACCACGATTACGAACGAAGCAATCAATGAGAACTTGGAGAAGAGATGGCTTGCTGGAGAGATATACACCTATATTGGATCTGTGCTCATATCCGTCAACCCGTTCAAAGGTGTGCTTTGTGCGATGAATGACAGTACTCGTCTGACTTGCCATTCGCAGATCTCGGAATTTACACAGATGAGGTGCTGCAGAGATACAAGGGCAAGAACAGGCTCGAGGTTCCACCGCATGTCTTCAGCATTGCTGAATCTGCATACTACAACATGAACGCCTACCATGAGAACCAGTGCGTCATCATCTCAGGCGAGTCTGGTGCTGGAAAGACGGAGGCGGCCAAGCGTATCATGCAATACATTGCCGCTGTATCTGGCGGTAGAGACAGCAGCATCCAGGAAATTAAAGATATGGTGCTGGCCACCAATCCGCTACTGGAGAGTTTCGGTTGCGCGAAGACGCTGCGAAACAACAACTCCAGTCGACATGTGGGTATGTTGCCTTTGTGCTGGATTGTGTCTGAATTCTGTCTAGGGTAAATACCTCGAGATCATGTTCAACGACCACGGAGAGCCCGTTGGCGCTCAGATCACAAACTACCTGCTAGAGAAGGGGCGTGTTGTCGGCCAAGTGGAGAACGAACGTAACTTTCACATTTTCTATCAGTTCACCAAGGGCGCTTCCGACGCACAACGAGGTCAGCTGTGATGCATCGATTGATTGAGGTCATTTCTGACTTCTACACAGAGGCGTATGGGTTACAGGGTCCGGAGGCATATGCTTACACGAATCTCAGTAATTGCTTGGACGTACAAGGCATCGATGATGTGCACGACTTTACTGAAACGATCGTTAGTGTTCCGCCCTGTCATAGAGCTCAACGCTGACGTGCACGCAGCGTGCCATGCAAATCATTGGTCTGAACGATTACGAGCAGGGCGAGATCTTCCGTATGCTTGCGGCCGTCCTCTGGCTGGGCAACGTTCAGTACGAGGAGATGGACGATGGTAATGCGAAAGTCTCTGATACTGCTGTCACGGATTTCGTCGCGTATCTGCTGGAAGTTGATTCAGCCTTGGTGCAAAAGGTCATGATAACGAGGGTGATGGAAACGCAACGAGGCGGACGGAGAGGTTCTGTATACAATGTCCCGCTCAATCCCGCACAAGCGACTGCTGGACGGGATGCACTCTCGAAGGCCATCTATAATAACCTCTTCGAGTGGATTGTCTCCAAGGTCAATCAGTCAATGACGCCGCGGTCAGCCACTGCTCAGCTCATTGGTATCCTGGTATGGTTGTTCCCTCGTCGCGTTTGACATGGGGCTGAGTAGGAGAACACAGGATATCTTCGGTTTCGAGATCTTCGAAGTTTGTACAATGGTTGCTACTACAAACCGTCATTACTAACAATTGTGCCAATGCAGGACAACTCATTCGAGCAGCTATGTATCAACTATGTTAACGAGAAGCTCCAACAAATCTTCATCGAGCTTACACTAAAGACAGAGCAGGAGGAGTATGTCAGAGAGCAGATCAAGTGGACGCCCATCAAGTACTTCAATAACAAGATCGTCTGCGACCTCATCGAGGAAAAGCGTCCTCCGGGTATCTTTGCTGCTCTCAACGACGCGTGCGCGACTGCACATGCAGATCCTAGCGCGGCAGACAACAGCTTTATACAGCGCATGGCATCATTGTCGTCGAATCCTCACTTCGAGTCGCGCGGCGCCCAGTTCTTGGTCAAGCATTATGCTGGCGACGTCATGTACAACGTTGCTGGCATGACGGACAAGAACAAGGATGTACTGGTGAAGGATCTGCTGGATCTCGTTGCGAGCAGCAACAACCAGTTTGTACAGTCTGTCTTCCCAGACCGGCCAGATCCCAACAGCAAGAAGAGACCGCCTACAGCTGGAGATAGGATCAAGGCAAGTGCTGTATAAAAGGCCGTATAGGGTGTCTCGCTGAAGGAAAGCACCCAGCAATCTGCAAATGCTCTCGTAGAGAACTTGATGCGCGCTCAGCCTTCATACATTCGAACGATCAAGCCGAACCAGAACCGAAGTGCCACTGAGTACGATTCCAAGGCGGTCCTGCACCAGGTCAAGTATCTTGGTTTGCAGGAGAACATTCGCGTGCGTCGGGCTGGGTTTGCGTACAGGAACACGTTCGAAAAGATGGTAGAGCGATTCTACTTGCTCTCGCCTGCGGCATCATACGCCGGAGAATATACCTGGCAAGGGGACGCGAAGTCGGGTTGCGAGCGAATCCTTATTGACACTGGCATTGCGCGGGAAGAGTGGCAGATGGGTGTGACGAAGGCATTCATCAAGAACCCTGAGACGGTAAGTAGCTCGTGAATCAACGGCACACGTCGTCTCACTCCTCTGCAGCTCTTCGCTCTGGAAACGATGCGTGATAGATACTGGCACAATATGGCAGGTCGGATACAACGGGCATGGCGCAACTATATGCGCTACAAGCACGAGTGTGCTAGACGCATCCAGCGCTTCTGGAAGAACAACAAAGAGTCAATCGAGTATGCTAAGATCCGAGATTATGGTCACCAGATACTAGCCGGCAGAAAGGAGCGGCGGCGATTCAGTCTGCTCGGCTATCGCCGCTTCATGGGTGATTACCTTGACCTCAACGGCAAGAGCTCACTTGGAGAGGAACTTGCGGCTGCTTGCGGCGTTGGAGGTACGGCATACAGTTCACTGCTACTTGATATCATGTATGGATATGATCTTCGTACAGCCGAGCAAATCACTTACAGCTCAAGAGCGCAAATACTGGTCTCTAAAACGGGACGGTCTAGTAAGCCAAGTCCTCGCTTCCTGGTTGTGGTATGGATGGACAATATCACACGATGTGACACTTTCACTCATTTTGAACCCGTGCTCAGACTCAGAAAGCACTTCACATCATTGTTGCACACGCGAGGGAAGGCCAGCTCTTCTACACGTTAGAGCGGAAGATTCCTTTGGTAACGATCAAGAATATTGCTATGTCAAATTTGAGAGATGACTGGATGGTAACGCAGTCGTTCAGAACATGACTCACTTCGCTGATGGTTTGTGCAGGCGTTCAACCTTGGAGCCACTGAGGAAGGCGATCCTCTAATTAGTTGTATATTCAAGACGGAACTCATTACCCATCTATTGCGGCTAACACAAGGCAGCATCAATGTCACGATCGCACCTATGTTAGTGGGCGTGATAATATCGAACATAATATAGTAGGCTGATACAGGCGCAGGATCGAGTACAACAAGAAGAGGGAGAAGAAGGCGCATGTCAAGTTTATCAAGGACGAGACCGTTCCCCGTGGCGACATGTACAAGAGCCACACAGTGCATGTACCTTCCGGTGAACCACCAAGTAGCCTCTCGCGTCCTCCTCCGAAACGTAAGGAAGGTGTCGCTCGGCCTATCACTCAAGGAAAACTCCTTCGAAAGGGAGGGCCTTCAGATGTCCGTACCGCTTCACTTATGTCGCATGGTCAAGATAGCTCACGAGTACGATCCCCAGAAACCAGCAGCATCTCGACCGAAGCCTGCTGCTCAGCCCTTGCCAGGCAAGTCCACGCCTGCGTCTGCAGTCAAGCCTAGCATACCTACGTCATCCTCGAGTGTACCTCACGCTCCACCACCTCCTCCCAGTCGAGCAGTTGCTGCCCCTCCTCCGCCTCCGCCAGAGCCCGACGTCGAGATGTACCGAGCGAAGTTCGCCTTTGAGGGCCAGGAAGGAGAGATGAGCCTCAAGAAGGATGATCTTTTTGAGCTCATTGAGAAGGAGGACAACGGCTGGTGGCTGGTAAAGAAGAACGGTGTCGAAGGCTGGGCTCCTAGCAACTATCTTGAATTAGTTCCTACGAAACCTAAAGCTGCACCCGCGCCGCCGCCGCCGCCGCCACCAGCATCTCGTCGGCCACCTTCTATGCAGCCAGCAGCGTCTGTTCCGGTTGCGGCTGCTGCGAAGGTGACCCTCAAGTCAGTAGTTGCAGACGCATCTGCAAAGCCTGTCGCAGTGTTCCCTGGGATGATGCCTGCCAACGGGTCAGCCGCCCCATGGAAAAAAGCTCACGCTGTGACTGCTTCCATGGACGGTGCTTCCGCCGAACACAGTCCTGCCAGTTCTCATCCTGCAAGTTCTACGGTACCGAAGCCTCCCCCTCCTGCACCAAAGCCGAAGCCTGGTCCTCCGCCTCTGGCTAGCAAGCCGACACATGTGGGTCCCCCAAAGGTAGGAGCAAAGCCGTCTGTACCTGTCGCATCGAAGCCTGGCGCCGCCGCTCCTAAGCCTAAGCCAGGAGGCTTGGCAAAGCCGGCTGCTCCAAGCGGACAGATGGATTTGGCTGCTGCTGTAAGTTACACTGCATTTACTATTGCTGTGTACGTCGGGACTAACCTGCCGACGATAGCTGGCTAAGCGTGCGCAGAGGTTAGCTGAGGAGGACTAGACAGACTGCGCGGACATCACCATATTCTAGGTCTCAGGGAAATGTACAAGATCATGTTGACGATATCTGATATAGAACACCGCCGAACTAGTCCACGTTGATGTTTTACATTGCTCGGCGTTGGCCCCTATTGCCGGAAATTCGTGATGCCGGAGAGCTCTGCGGTATTCATTGTTGGCATCATTCTTGAATCCTTTTGTGGCGTCACCGGTGATTCGTTTGATTGTGAATTGTTGCTTCTGATCAGCGCTTTGAAGATCATCCGCCTACCGAGCTTCATCGGATCCATGATGAGCGCCTCAGACAAAACTTATTGAAACTCCTGCTCGTGTATAAAGCATGAGCAGTTGATGTCACAGCAAATCTTCCGATGACAGGTCAGCACCTCCCTCTATGTCAAACAATTGGAAGCGTCTTCATTGGCATGTCCTTTTCCCTCCTGTGCGCTCTCTTTATATTTCAATGCGACTTTGGCCGCATATTAATTGTCGGGAAGATTGTACGGTTTCGCTTGTGCACAAGTTCTCTATTATAGCAGAGCTTACCCTCAAGACAAGCGTATGACGAAGATTGTGGTACGTAGACAATCTCCAGCTATGTTCCGCGATTAGTGAGTTCATTTGCGCAGGTGGCCCTTCTCTGGTTGGTCCACGGTCCTCTGATTCCTGTCGCTACATATCAATCAGTACGTTACAGGCTATTAGATACGTCCGTGACGGCAATTACCATCAAAGTAAGCTGTTTATGGTATTATTTATGTCTCAGAGCGAAGGTGACAGTATCGATGTAGTTTTCATGGTTTTATCTCGTTGAGAACCATTCGAATCAAACTGCTTTGACAACTATTCCACTGTGAGTCTGTTTCATTCTGTAAAGTATTAATCGTGACGTCTGGGCTGATCATAAACCGTGGCTAGCTTGCTGAGCGTATGGCTGCGTTGGCTTTTTGGCAAATTGTGTTGACTGACCACTCCGTAAAGGCAGAATGGGCAACATCCGTAAGCGGTGTTCATCTCGTTTTAGTTCTCCGATAATGAAGAGATTGACAGGCAGTGGTGGTCCTGCTCGTTCAAAGGTGAGGATCACTTCTTCGGGAATGGCGATTGAACGTGATGAACTTGCATAGCTTCTATGTCTACAATATCTGGACCCGTGAGCTGGTCTTTCTCAGCTAAAAACCGTCTATCTGACATTGGACACGCTGGATTTCAAGTCTTGATGAACACCCGATGCCGAGCGCCATTCACATTCACCGCCGTGTGTATCTCTCGCCACGTCGATTCATTTGCTTACCTCTGATATGCGTGATGCAATTTCTAGGCGCTTCTCTGCTTGATATCGTTCGGTGCGTTCAATCTGCCTGACCAAGATCTGATGCTAAACAATACGACAGCATCTGGTACCGGTTGGTGACATACACATTAATTTGTGATACGACATGTGGCTAACCTATGCTCCACTGCACAGCATTGGCCGTGGTTGCGTACGTATCGACTGGCTAGCTCTTCACTAGATATTGCTACTTACAGGCGTACACAGATTGCTGCATGACCAACTGCCCGCGTTGTTCAGCGTCATTGCTGTAAGTCGTCAAAATCATCTGCATTCGCCTCTTATATACTCCCGGAGCCTAGGTCCCAGCATCGATGCAAGATATTACAGCGGCTATTGCCGACATTTACATTTCAGTGTCGTTGATATGGATATTGCATGCCAGCAAGACTGGACACGGACGGTACGTTCATCAGGCGGACGCAACAGGGAGCAGATTCTCATTGATCGATAGTATGGATGGAATTCTCCAACGAATCATCCTGTATACAGTGAACCGAGGATTACTCACCATGTGAGTATTCGCACATATATGATGGTTTCATCTTGCACCTGCTCATGCTGCCGCCAGCATCATGCAAGTAGTTCTTTGGGGCACGGTAAGCCGCTAATTGTGCATATATCGCAACGTAAGAGGCTGAACTGAGGGATTTTACGCGCCTAGTATTGGGGCATAATTGGCAGGGTGGACTTCGTCTGGATCATACCACATTTTATGGAGAGCAAAGGTGAGTTCCGTGCCATTTCGTCATCGGAGCTGACTCTTGGACGTTCTGGCAGTATATGTGAACTCAATGCTTGCGGTGTATGCGTGCGGTTTGTGCGTCCGACACCCTTACTGATTGAGCCTGCGTAGGCTGAACGTTCGGAATCACTTGAGAGGAGCCAATAGCTTGAAAGTCTTCTCGGAATTCATGGCTGAGGATCTGCTCCCGGACTCCCCGATAACCTGAGGGCGACGGTAAGGGTGTAAGTTATCGCACCGAAGAGTATTTCTGACGGACCAGTAGATTTTGAGAGGCGCGGTGATACGCGGTATGCCTGGATCGATCATTGGAACAGCCCTCTCTCTCGCAGCCGAGTCAACCGGCGATGAAGTCTGCTTTATTGTAGCAGTAGGCATAATCCATCTGGTGCACAGTGTAACGTTTGCGAATGCATGACGGGGTATAGAGAACAGACTACTGAATGCTTTACCGCACATCCACCACACTTCCTACGCATGGCCACACACATGGAATTTATGAATCGTCACAGACCCATCCTGGAGGGCATCGAGCTGCACTACGGGTATCTATAGAAAGTCCACGAACGGTACGGAAGAGCTACGGTGGGTATATGCATAACGACTGTCTTCCTTTACGATGACTACTTTTACGAGTTCAACATGAAAGGGGCCCTTTGCTTCCAATTATGCCAGGAAAAACGGGGTCAACGGTTTCCCAGTGACTGAGAGCAATGTTGCAGGTCAGGAGCTCATGGCAGGTCCACATTAAAGGCACTTGCCTAGGACAAAAACACAGAACTAATTTCGGCTATAAGAGGTCGAGCGGCCGCTTTGGCGAGAGAATCAGCAAGACTGTTGTGTTCGCGCGGGACGTAGAGGAACATGATGCGCAAGAAGTGTCGTTGCTCGTGAGCAAGTACTTCTTCGTGGAGTCGCATAAACAAATCGAGATTTGCCGGCCGCTGCCCTTGGCGATTACGCCAGCCGTTCTGCTGTTGCGGTGTGTCACAATAGGAAGCACGAGAGAACGAGCATGCTACGAACCTTCCAATTGTCGAACCACTCGGTCATGCCCTTCACGACATACTGGGAATCAGTCGCGATGATCCAGTACAAGTATTTCGAGCCGCGCTCAGCCGGGCAGAGCGTGTCACGATCATGACTACCAACGAGACGAAGCCCATAAATCGCAGCTAGGAGCTCTGCACGTTGGCTAGTCCGCCTCCCATTTGCGTCGACGACATCGTCAACTGGGATGGACCACTGGTCCTGTTCTGAGCCCTTCGAACCTATAGCGATTCCTAATCCAGCAGTGGCTCCCTGTTTGCCGTTGGACGAGCAGGCTCCGTCGGTGAATATAACTCGATGGTGATGGCAGCACTGATCCTTCTTTTGATTGCCGCAGGGGACGAGAAATCGTTTGCACTTGGAGCAAGAGACGAATATGCTGTCGACGTGTGGTCCGCATCCTTTGCAGACGTGGAATAAGCGTTCAGACGACATTATATTATCGGAGGACATTTCCGCTTTGACTTATTTTACTTTCTTATGCATTAGAACAATGAAAAACAGAATGATCCTTGTACCCACCGACTGAAGACACGGGGAGGACGGGGGAGGACGAGGAGATGTAGGCGAGACGAGGGCCGGCCGAGATAAAGCTCCTTGCTGCCAAACGCCTGGACGTACCGGAAACCACGTCGCGGCCACATAACCCTTTTTTAGAGTACTTCTTTTTTCCTCCTCTGTCCGCACTTTTACCAATTTAGACGCTGTAGCCTCGCTATATGATCGCGCTGGTTACAACCAGATAAATCCCGGCAGTCCTGTTATGCCACGACACTGGTTTCAATCCTATCTGCACGCCACATGACACGCTTGCAAGCCAGTGACTGCTGTACCACGGCTATCACTGACGTCCTGGCTGGTCACTGTTGACCTTACACAGGCTTGATTTTCCTTCGCGGTAGCGTCGGTATGTGAACGAACGAGAATTGCGGTCGACAAGTGAGAAATCAACGTGGGACATCTTTGACGCGATCGGCGCAGTACGCGGTCACATCCTCACGTGACCGTGTTTTGCATATCAAAGTTGTCGGTTGCAACGTCGAACTCTCGTGGCTAGTTGATAGATCTCAGGTTTGCTCTACTCTCTGCGTTCGGGTTCACGCGTCAATCCACCCACCCTATACTGTGTCGCTCCTCGCCCGCCAGCAACTGATGGCTCTGAATAGTCAACCTGACAGCTCTATATTATCCACTGGTGACTCTAAAGTTGTAATGGGTCCTCTACCATTGGAGTCGCTTTCCACCGTTGTCGACGACGAGTCACCCACTCAGTGCTATCATTTTATCCCACTGGACATGAAGGAACAGATCCATTATGTGCGTCTATGTCTCGTGGTGGTCTTGTCACCACCGACGTGATCGTCACTAGATGCATGCCTATGAGTGGCACTGGGGTTTGGCGAAGGATACTCTCGATCTAGAAGCACCATCAAATATCATAACCTGTGAGGATTTTTTTTTCTTTCTCATTGTGTCCTTGCTCACATTGGCGCCACAGTATGCCCAGACATGCATGCCCACCTTCAAGCAAGGTGCTGGGTTCTGATCCCGACGCGTAGTGCCATCGACTCCATCATCGACATGTCCAAGCACAATTATTCCTGGCCTGATTGGCATGGTGATGATTGTCGTCGGAGCAGCTATCCAGTACGTTGACGATGTCTTTGATTGATGCATTGTGGCTTAATATGAGCTTTGCTAGCTTAACGAAGATAAATTATATGAGTACGAGCTGGTTCCTACCGGACTCGACGTCCCGCTGCACAGTCAGATGTTCGGCTCTTCCCACCGCTACGATGCCTCATATGACCAACTTCCTCATGTCGTCTCTCGTGTGCATCCCTACTTTGTCATTCTCCACTTCAACAAAATGGTTTCCGACTGGACCTTTCCATTGTCACGGCTTCCTCCCCGAATGACAAATAAACTTACAAATAGTTTGGTTGCCATAGTCTCCAGATGGCAGACTGGCATTCCTGCGTCATTCCTGGCTCCCTGCTCTTCACGGCGTTCCCGCTCTGAAGCCAGCTTGGACGATGACACTGACAAAACTTCCCCGTCGAAGCGGCAGAAGCGTTCGGATGGCTCCTCCCCATCGAAGCAGCAGAAGCGCTCGGATGGCTCCTCCAAAGTACCAGAATTGACAAATGGTGCTGCATGTCCTGAAAAAAGCAACGATGCCAAGTTACGTACGACATCGCGCATCAAAACTATGCTGTTTTCCGATGCACCCCTCCCTCTCCTGGATGTGGCCCATCTACCCATTGAGCCAGTCGACATTCCTACCTGGCTGACTGCGGTGCAGTCCGCCAAGAGTGCTCCTTCAGAAGACAAGGGCAAGAATGTGTTCAATGGTGAGGCTCGGGGTCCAACAGTCAATGGCGAGCCTCGAGATCCAACATTCGACGCATACAGAGCTGAGCCCTGCCGGGATGGCCAGAAGCTCATCGCAGATGGAGTCAAGTTCTCCCGCATTTCGTTGCTTAGTCGGGAGCTCGATACTGCGTATTTTAGCAGCCACGATTGGGCATGGAAGAAGCGTTGCAGCCAGTTATGGAGGTAACAGCTTAGTAGATTGTCTGTTATGTTGACAGTTCGCACCAGACTGGGCTAGCTGTAGGGTAAAGCACGTATACCGAGGGGCAAACCGATGCCCCCCCTGTATAATATCTGCCTACATATACATAAGACACTATGCGCACGGACCACCCGGCACCTCCCATTTAGCCCAACCCGCAGGCTAATATCCCAGCGGTGTGGCGTAGCTCGCCAGAATCCAACACTCCCCCTCGAGCCAGCCACCCCTGCACCCCTCTTGCCTTACCAGGCAAATCCCTCGTCGCTAGCGACCCCGGCGTTATAGGACTTCGTGCGGGCCGGACATCCGAGTGCCAGATGATCCGTGCTCCCGCAGAGGAAGCATGCGCGCGCCTTTCTCTTCTTCTTCCCACCGGCTACGGCTAGCGCCGTTTCGGACATGGTCTTCCCCCGGCCTACTCGGGCTTCCTCGTTGAGCGCCAGCGCCGCTACCTGCTCCACCGTCCATAGCTTCCGGTCGACCGCGTCGAGCTTCGTCTCGACCATATTGAGCTCCTCGCGGAGTCCAACGACCGCTATGATGGCCTGCAGCTTCTTCGGCACCTCTTCGCCTATCGCCTCTAAGCCCCGCGCTAACCCTCGGACCCGACCAATCCACCCTTCCACCGACTCTTCGGCGGTCATACCTGCATTTAGGAGCGCCCTCCATCTCGTGACCTCGGTGGCGAGCCCCCGGCTCATGTGCACAGCCTTGAGCTGATCCCACATGTTCTCCGGGTCTCGCTCCCCCTGAACGTGGACAAGTTGATCAGCTTCCAAATGAAGCACGATCTCACCCCATGCCCTTTTCACCAGTTTCGTGTCCCGTGCTGCCCTCGCCGCCTCTATGGCCTTCTGCATTTCAGCCTCAGTTGCACCAACCTTGTACTCGAACTCCACGACCTCCCATAGCCCCTTCCTAGTCAGCTCTGCCTCCATGTACATCACCCACTGTGCATAGTTGCTCCCGTTGAGCGGCATGAACTTGGCGTCCTTGTTGGTGGCTGCTGATTCAGTAGACATCGTCGAGAGAGAGAGATTAAAGGTGAGTGATCGGTTTGTGTTGACAGTTCGCACCAGACTGGGCTAGCTGTAGGGTAAAGCACGTATACCGAGGGGCAAACCGATGCCCCCCCTGTATAATATCTGCCTACATATACATAAGACACTATGCGCATGGACCACCCGGCGCCTCCCATTTAGCCCAACCCGCGGGCTAATATCCCAGCGGTGTGGCGTAGCTCGCCAGAATCCAACATGTTAGCGTATTTCAGCAGCCACGATTGGGCATGGAAACAGCATTTCAGTTTATTGTGGAGACCATCGACCGAGGTAACAGGTTATATATCTAGGTAGATCATCTGTCAGTGCGTGCAGTTATCAACATTATAGCCAGCATCGAGCACTGCATGGCATGTGGATATTTTCAGTATTCGTTTGCTTGCGAAAAGGGACACGATTGCAACGAGCTCAACATACATAGATATCTAGAACGTTGTACCGTGGAGCATGATAGTAGTCACCGAGGAGGGCGTAGAATCGCGTGGCGATATATCATAGTAGCGTGTTCTGCCAGGCCGAAATTGTTGTCGGAGCTTACGAACGTTACAAACACGGCGGTGAGGAAAGCAACCAACATCGACTGCGGCCAAGACGTTGATGACGAGGTATTGTCGCGTTCACGTCGCATTGCACGGAGCTGGCGACCATCGTCTTCACCTTTACAAGCGGTATATCACACACCAAGAGAACGTTCTTAGCAATGAAAATTGTTCTCAGACATCGTTGACGTGTAACGGCCAGATCAGACGAGGATATCGGGGCGTCGCATGCTCAAAAGTCACTTTCCGTCAAGAACCTCGACAGGTGATCTATTAAGTAAGATGCGATTATTGTCCCCCAAACTCTTCGGTCCAGTGGAGCTTAGATGAGAATGCTCGTTGAGTGACCAGGACCATCAATCTAACTAGCACCTCGTGGAATGATTTCAAATCAGAGTCACTGCCCGCTGGAGCACCGATCCGAACTCAAAAACCGTTGCCCGAGACTACGCCAAAGGTCTTGTCAGAAATAGCAGCTCATGATAAAGTGTGTCCTTGCCGAAACCCATTGAGTATTGGCGGTATGTAGGATCTTTGCATGCGACGTGATTGAACGCGCGGCTTGAGCAGCACGAGTGTCCGCATGGTGCTGTACTCACGAGGGATATGTCACAAAAACGAGATTTTCACGTTAAAGTTCCTGAAATCGATCCAAATTAGCGGGATGCTGTCCATGCCCGTGCTCTGGAGCAAGACACCAACGGGTCAAAATGCCAAGAGCACAAAAGGAGCGAGGGAAATGTACTCTCCAGGTGAGGAACTGTTCGATGATGCCCTTCACGACATGCTTTTGCTCACCGTGGATAGCAGCCAGGAGTTCTAGGCGTTGGCAATTCCGCTTCATGACCAGGATCCATATCGTGGTCCTCCCAGTCCCTGCGCTCCCATGGTGATCGTGAGACATTGGATCAGCATGTCCGGATCCCCGACCAGGCAATGATGATGTCATGACAGGTTGTTTTCCTGTCCATGCAGTAGAGAAAAACCAATTGCATTACGCGCATTTGTCAACGAAATCCTCGACATGATTGACAAAGCAGTTTTCTATTAAAGAAATCCACACCAGGCGAATCGTCGGTCAAGAATGCCTTGGACACACTCTATGTCTTCCGAATGGGTAGAAAGCTCGTAACTGTAAGCAGCCGGCACTACCAGCAGAGCCTTCTTCATGACTGAGTTTCGAGCTTCGGAGGCATGTGAGCTTATTTCAAGCTCCGCTGTGGCTGAGATGCAATGTGACTATGTGTGCATGTGACTGTGACAAGGCGCGTCAATGCTGGGCGACGTGACGGTCAGGCGCGTGCTGGCTTGCTTCCGCCATCCTCTCCATCCATCCTTCATTCTCCAAGGCGCCTCCTCAGCAAGAACATGTGGGAAATGGAGACTACGGGGTCAGCCACCCCGTTCAAATCCCGACCGCGCCATCAGTTTGAACTTAAATTGTGATCGTCCACGTGATCAACGCCGCGCGTCGCGTCGCGTCGCATAACGCTGGCCACAATCGAGATTTGCTGTCTCTCGCCGATTGTACCGAGTCAGTACTGCTTAATATATATCCTGTTCCTGAAAGCTGTGCCTGGATCCTGTCTCTGAAATGCATCTAGTGACCCCATTCAACCAGCTGCAGGTTCACAATGGCATCCAGGTCTCCAATGATGTATAATTACACTGGTGTATCTACACCCAGGATAATACTCTGTGCTGAAGAGAACCAAGCTGAGGGTGGCGACGCACGTCGGCGGTGGCGGTGGCGGAGCAGTACTTATGTTGGAGCGGCCAGCCATCGCCTGCCGATGCCGTGATGCCGAACTGAACTCAGCCGATCTTGATCGCTGACCGTGGCCGTATACCACCCCGTGGTTTTCAATACTCACATGTTCTGTCCTCAGCGGCTCGCAGCTTGTCGCCCAACATGATGACGCCCATGCGATACGTGGTTCTGGTGCTGGCCATCATTGTGAGCCCACCGTGATGCTGCTTGATCTGAGGTCCACGTTGATTGCGGCGGAACAGATCAGTCTGCATTTCATCCTCAGCTTCTCACACGAAGAATACGGCCGTACGACATCCATCTCTCACATAGCCGGGCAGTTAAAGGGCTCCACGGATGACGTTGAGCATCCTTACCCTGGACACGGTAGCGCAACATATGACGGGCGGCGCGCGAACGCTACGTTCGTGCTGTTGGCCCGGAATAGTGACCTGAATGGTATGGTGACCAGCATGAAGCAAATGGGTGCGTGCTACATGCCGTCCAGATGTCGAGTCAGCCTCAGACCCGCGCATACATAGAGGACCGCTTCAACAAACAGTACCAGTATCCATATGTATTCCTCAACGAGGAGCCATTCAGCGACGAGTTCAAGAGGTGGAGCAATTATGTTAATTAGGATATTAAGTGCTCAATGAGCTGTCTGGCGTAGTCGTATACTTGCCCTCACGGACGCCAAAGTCGAGTTCGGGCTCATCCCGCGCGACGACTGGTACCAGCCCGATTGGATTGACGAGACGAAGGCCGAGGCGGCGCGAAAGGAAATGATTAATAACAAGGTGATCTATGGAGGTAGGTTGCCCTGCTCGTTCGTCCGAAGTCACTTGCCTCAATGTCCTGCTTAAAGGTAGCGTACCGTGCGTATATTGTGTGGTCATTCTCATTCTCATTCATAACTGCTCATCTCATGTTAGTTACCGCAACATGTGCCGCTTCAATTCTGGAGTGAGTATACACCGTCCGGAGGCGCACGTCCCATGAACCCGTGCTCATTCATCATGTTCCCAGTTCTTCTACCGTCATGAGCTGCTTCAAAAGTATCGCTACTACTGGCGGTTAGAGTGCGTCGCCTGCTTATGTGAACTAGATGTTCCCTGACAGTCTTATGTTGCCGGCCATAGCCCAGATGTCACTTTTTTCTGTGATCTTGACTACGATGTGCGTCCATATCTGGAATTGACGCACGGCTAGGGTGTTGATTGACATGCGCTCGTCTCTGTAGCCATTCCTGTTGATGGAAGAGGAGAAAAAAGTCTACGGTGAGTTAAAAACTTTGTCAGCATGAACGGATGAGTGAATTATTTGAAACAGGTTTCACACTCTCGTTGTATGAATACCACGCCACCATTCCCACACTCTGGGACGCGGTGAAAGGTGCGTGCATTGTACCGCCTGCGCTCTTGTCTGCGCTTTGACACTGCATCCCGCATCCGCAGAGTTCACCCAACAACACCCGGAGTACCTTCCTGAGGGCAACGCGATGGCCTTCATTTCCGACGATGGCGGTGAGAGCTACAACAATTGCCATTGTATGCCACATCCCTCGTGTCATTATCAAGCTACCACGACTGACTATTATTGCCGATGTGCGCGCAGTCTGGAGCAACTTCGAGATCGCAGATATGGACTTCTGGCGAAGTCAGGCGTACTCCAAGTTCTTCGAGTTCCTCGACTCGAAGGGCGGGTTCTACTACGAGGTGCGCAGTCCACATGTAATTCAAAGGAGCGAGATTCTCATGATAACAATTTTTAAGCGATGGGGCGACGCACCCGTGCACAGTATTGGCGCAGCACTTTTTGCGAAGAAGGAACAGATCCACTTTTTCAACGAGATCGGTCAGTATCAATTGCACTCAGCCATCCCGCTACTCATTTGTCGCTGAACGGATTCTTCTGGCAGGATATCGTCACAACCCCTTCCAACACTGCCCACAGGGCGAACTGCACCAGCGGGGTCACTGCTGGTGCGACCCAAAGGACAATTTTGGTTAGTGCTGCTCCCCCCACGCTCTGTCCAGTCCCGCTCACATGCCCCCCTGTTCAGATTACGAGGGGTACAGTTGCACCAAGCGCTACGACGACATGTTCTGACCCACTGTTCGTTGTATATCCGTAATCTATTTGCTACATTCGCTGTCAGCTGGACAATCTGTCATTCACTTGATTTGGATCAACATAGTTGAGAGCTTGTATCATCCTCGATAGGTAAAGGAAATTGTGCAGTGACTAGGGGTGGCCAGCAAGCATATGCATGATAATCTGGTGTTCATTTGAATGCGGCGCGCCGCGCTGGCGGGCATGCACTCACGAGCGCGGCTCAGCAAAGCACGCTGTTGGCAAATTGCACCACTTCCTACCCGAATGACCCGTCTCGGTTCTGACCTATTGAGCAAAGCAGCAGTGGCGATAGGCGATGATGCGCTCGAAGTGGATAGCATCGCTTGATAAGCGATAATCCTCACTGACACACCGGTATAGCCTTACGGTAGCTCCGTTTATATAGCGCCTCGCTCATGTCTTGTCTCATCAATTTAAGATGTTGATACAAACTGATCTACACGGAGCCTCGAGTGTGTAAGATGTCCGTGATGCGCGAATTGTATCTACCCAAGACTGGGGTACTTGCACTGCAATGTATGAGTTGCGTATCGACACAGAGCATATCAGCAGAAGCACATGTACGCGGGCAGGAGAAACACAAGTCTATGAGGCCATGAAGTCGTGAGGGACGTGTTAGTTGTCTCGTGAGCGCTGACCCGTTCAGAATACCGCCCAGCACCGGATGTCGGAATTATTGCGCCTTCGCTCTATGGACACGTCTGATGCAGGGAAGGCCCATCGCAGGTTCAATCCCGAAGTTTTGGTAGTCATCCTTGATGCAGAGCGTGCTGACAGACCCGAGTAGAAGCGAGTCATGAGGATAGTACGCATGTCTGTGACTTACAAATCTGTGAAGAAATGTGAGCATCCCAACTGAGCTATATATGAATTTACTCACAAGTGTTTCCAACCAGCATCAGATAGGTTCCGGTTGCCTGTTGAAGGAGAATTGTCAGCTCCGGAGGACGATAAGTCCGGTGCAGGGTACGAACAGTGAGTATGTGCCACCAAGAATGGCCTTCAAACGTAGGATCATGAGTGACATGCACAATCACGCTGGACATAGGAGTTACCTTCAAGGATGAAGGCCGCGGGCCAGCCAAGAGCGTGCTTCCACCGCGTTATAGTGCCACAGAAGATGTTATCCAGGTTCCAGACGAAGAACCCGAATGCGAATGTCGCCGCACCGAATGAGAACAGCCGAGCGACAGTGGATTTGACCTCTTCCGGAACCCTCTTCGCAATCTCTTGATCACGTAGCAGGTAGATAGTACGGACGCCCGTGATACCCAGGAGAGCTGCAAAGACAACTTGATGATATATCGGGTTCCGGGAGATGTAACTGCCAAAGCCTCGGCCTCAGCGCGCCCAAAGGAGAGACGGAAAGGGGTTACTTACTATGACCAAGTGAACAGCACGTTGAATGAAATTACCGCTGCAGCTAAGGAAAGAGCTCGACGAGAGTCCTTGAGGCCAAATCCACGCGTGGTGTCGAAGAGAATGGCACAGCAGTAGCTGGCGACGTAGACCATTGGTAACTCATCGGCAAGCTGTGCCTCGAACAGCAAGGTAGCATGGAAGATAAAGCTTCCCACCCCGACCAACGCGAACCCCTTGCAAAGGCAACGTATATGAGTTTAACGACTCCCAAACTCAGCCTACCGAAGAGCACCCACGGAATAGCCAGCAAGGTACCGCGGCGGCAACGACTGTGCGCGGGCCTGATAGGCACCAAAAAGAGCCAACCCGACCGTGAAAAGGTTTGAAAAGGTGTTCGCAGTTTCGGCAATATAACTTGAGAACTGATAATTTGCCTAGCGAGACCGTCGATGAGGCTCGCGACAATGCGGACCAGATATCATCGCGAGTGAGCTCACCTCACACCAATCCAAGGTTGCGGTCACTGGGCCCCAGAAATGAGGGATCAGGAGGACGGTGCTGTTGCTGACATCCATGTCTACGCGAGAGGGAGACGCTAGGGAAAGAGAACGGAGGGCATTTATTCATATATTCATAGCTCGGTCGCTTCATCCTCAGGAGTCTCGACGCCGAGGCGAAGCCGATCAGTCCGACCCGAGTTCACCTGCCCGGCCATCTCCGGCAATCAAATGCGATCCACTTGCGCTGAATAAGTTCCAGCACTGCTCTCAGCTCGAGAAGGGTTTTCTTCAAGGAGTGAATTTCGAGATGGTCACATCGTCAATTCTGCAGACGAATACAGTGCATATCTCATACAAAAGTTGAAAATTCCAGCCGGCAAAAGGCTCCGGGTCCTATAGCTCAGTGGTAGAGCTCACGATTGCAGTGCTCCATTGTTATCGTGTGGTCGCGTGTTCGAACCACGCTGGGACCTTTATTTTATGCAACAATATCTCCACGTCCGCCAAAAGTCATGTGCGCTGACCGATTGCAAGCTGCTCGCACTTGTCCTCCCGACCTCCATGAGGAGAGCAACGACCTCAATCCTCCGGAGCAGTCTTCGACGGCGACGGTACCTCCATGACTTTTCCAGCGACAATGCCAACCCTCCAGTGCAAATTACAACTTTACCAAACAAAGTACGCGTAGCGACAGAGTCGACGCCGGGCCACTTCTCTTCGGTCGGGTTGTATGCCGACGCCGGCTCACGTTATGAGACTCCGTCGACCTCGGGAATAAGCCATTTCCTCGACAGGATGGCTTTTAAGGTCCGTGTTCTAGTATATGTTTTTAAGGCGCCTTCAGTAACCTATTTCGATAGACAACCACCAAACGCTCGGATGAGGAGATGGCGAACGCGATTGACAAGCTTGGAGGACAGATCCTCTGCTCTTCATCAAGAGAATGTATCATGTACCAGTCATCTCATTTCCACCAAGCTACACCTCTAGCTCTGTCCCTCATCGCAGACACCGTCCTTAACGCGTCTTTCCTCCCCGATGAGCTCGCCGCTCAGCGAGAGGCAGCGCGCTACGAGATTCGGGAAGTGAGCTCGAAACCCGAAATGATATTGCCGGAGATATTGCATGAGGTTGCTTACGACGGCAAGACACTTGGGAATCCTCTGCTATGTCCGGAGGACCGGATCGACCTCATCGACGAGCCGACAATGAGAGCTTTCATGAAGCAGTGGTACAGGCCGGAGCGCATTGTCATTGCGGGGGCGGGCATGCAGCATGAAGAGCTGGTGGAGTTGGCGGACAAGCATTTCTCATCAATGCAGTACGTCCCGGCACCCGTTCCTCAGCCATCGGTTACGTCGTCTCGTTCGACAACGAATGCTCCGCAGGTGCCTTCACAGCTACTACCTTCTTCACATCCATCATTATACAAGTCGCTCACACGTGCGGCCTCGTCGTACCTTTATCCAATGTCATCCGTCACTGGCCAGGATCCTGCGAAGCATGCTCCGTCATTACCATCGACAGCGGCCTACACCGGCGGGTACCGATTCATCCACAACCCCACATCCGAATTCAACCATGTCTACCTTGCATTCGAAGGCGTCGGCATCCATGACGATGACGTGTATGCGCTCGCTACGATGCAGGTTCTCTTAGGAGGTGGCGGTAGCTTCTCAGCAGGTACGTCGTTAGATATCCATGCTGCATTCATTACTAATAACGAAACATAGGTGGACCGGGCAAGGGCATGTACTCCCGATTGTACACCCACATCCTTAACCATTACCCGCAGATCGACCATTGCGCGTCATTCCACCATATCTACACCGACTCGTCCTTGTTCGGGCTCTTCGCTTCGTTTATCCCCGCAGCAGGTCGAGGCCAGGGAAACACGCCATCACAGATCCTACCGCATCTCGTCCACCAGCTCAGCCTGCTGCTTTACACCCCGGTAAGCAGTGTCGAGCTCAACCGCGCCAAAAACCAGCTCGAGAGCAGCCTTATGATGGCGCTTGAGAGTCGTGCTGTCGAGGTAGAGGACCTAGGAAGGCAGGTGCTCGTGCACAACCGCAAGGTCCCTGTGACAGAGATGTGCGCCAAGATTGACGCGGTGACACCTGAGTCGCTCCGTGCTGTCGCTGCGCGTATCTTCAGTCCAGAGATGGCCAAAAAGGCAACGATTGTGTGCATGGGCCGAGAGAACTTAGGTGACTGGAGTGCTACGCTGAAGAAGTATGGGGTGGGTGGATACTGATTTGGTCGCATGTGTTTACAATTTCAATACCTCGCTTTACTCCCGTTTCACAACATCAGAATAATACATGAGCAAAGCATGAGTCCGTGAGTGGAATGCAACAGATGTAGTAATCTCTAAGTATGGCCAAGCATGGCCTACATTGACTGCGCATTAGCTTGCATCAGGTACTCGTTCAATTCTTCACCAAGGATATTCTGGAGTCCTTGCGGGTCGTCAGATAGATCTCCGAGTCCACATCAGGGACCATCCATGCGCTGAGTTGGGTGGGCTTCAGGTTCGTGATCTGTCATCAATGTTCCATCATTCTGCCGTGTATCAGAGGCATTGGATATCGGCACGCACCATCAACCTGTGACCCTGCTTGAAATGGCCCGCCTTGCTGCCCTCAGTAAGGTTTAGGCTCACGACGTCCCAGATTGTCAGCTGCGCCTTGCGATACGGACGACGCTTCGACCACCGCGCATCCTGCACGACAATCGCGCGGAAACTCCGTGCATTGCGTGGAGGACAGAGGGACTGCATGCAAGGCCAACTCAAGCATTGGCAAATGAATCAGATGGAAGCGCAAACCTGAAGTTCCTTCTGGATATCCTCATACATCGCTTCTCTTTCCTTTTGCACGTATTCTCGAGCATGCATCGCCATCCAGCCGGCGTTGTCGGTACTGAGATTGCGCAGTATTCCAGCAAAGGACTCGGGGCTGCCCACAATCGTTTCCCAATCACATTCAACATCAGATGGGACACAGGCTTGAAACGTAATCTCAGTAACACACCAGTAGCGAGGGCAATCGCAAGTTGCTTACCATCTTCAGGTGGAGCCCATCGAGATCCAGCACGCGTTTGGCATTTGTCGGCGAAGCCCTCATAGCGCAGGAATCTCTGTTCACATTCGTGTCGTAATCTGTCTGCTTCCCTCTCGCTCCGTTTCTTGTTGGCCTCCATGTCAGACGACGGGAAAGGTAGCTCCAGTAGAGAGGTCGTACCTTCCATTCTTCATTGGCCTTGGCTTCGTCGCGCTCGCTGTGCGGACCTTCTTTGAATGTCTCCCCGTCGCGCTCGATGTATTCAATATATCCGATCGGATATGCCTGGAGTAGTGCATGTGAGTATATGCACGTATCGAAAACATCGTATGCACCTTGACTACTGTAACGTCCACCAATGTGATGAGTCCTCCGTCGGGAGACAGACTGTCCAGAGTAGTAGTCGGAGGTGATCGCATGAAGCCTAGCTTCGCGTGCCAGGGTGCAAGATGAGACGAGTTACCGCAAATATGGAGGCTCATCGAATTGTACGCGTCCAGGACCTCATCCGGCCCTTTGCGTTTGGAGACCAGCTACACATCAGTTCGTCAGCAGTATAAAATGAGTTGCAGTTGAACAACATACACGAGCGTTGGCAATAGCAAGTTTTCTGCCCACACGAATATGGCCCTTTCGAATGGCACGTTCAAGAGGGTCGTCCACGTTGGCGCGTAGTCTGTACCACCCATCGGTGAGCTCCAACTGGGGCACACACTCTGTCGTGATACCCTCCTCGTCCGCACCTGCCTCGGACCACAAGATCTTCGATACGCACAGGACCATGGGACAGGAGGGGGATGCATCGTGGGTGGTAATTAGGCGGAACGCTGGACGAGAACCGCCGTTAATCTCGCGTTCATACCTGCGCATATAGTCAACTATCCGCTGCACATCAGTCGCGATCGATAGCCAAGCATTACCTATACAAAAGCTGTCTCATGACTTCGTCCCAGCACCATCTTCGCGTCTCTGGATTGCTCTCATGCTCGGGCTGGAGACAAACCATGCCGGCCAGTTTCCACAAGATCATGCCCCAGTGATTGTCAACCCATGCTTTCTTCGCCAGCTTGCAGCCTCGCGCGCGTAGTTCCTTGAGTGCAGCGTCTGGACCGAGATGAGTAACCCCCGCCTCGGGCGATGCTTGTACCTGCAGGGGTGTCGCGTCGAAGAAATAGTACATCGCCGACTCGGGAGTCATTTGGTTCAACTGAACTGCATCTCTACAGCCAGAAATGGTGAGCAGGAGGTATTGATGACGGCAGTATGCTTACATTCCCATAGATTGCAAAGTATCAGCGTTGTAAAATTGGGGCACAAGCCCGCACGACGCAAGAGTGTGTCGCCCAACTGGCGGTGCTATAGTGCGTCGACACTTCGATTAAAGAATGCCTATCAAACATAGGTAATTGACTCACCGAGATCAAAGAACCTATTTCCAGCTTTGTTCTTATTACCAGCAGAATGATGATCATTGCTTGCAACTTGCACAAGCAACTTCGCTGCACTGTCAGAACGCGCACCACGCTCGGTCTGTTGTCGCTCCAGCAATGCGCTTCCCAACCTGCTAGGCGTCTTAAAAGGCCTGCTCGCACCAGCGCCTCCACCTACCCGACGCGGGGTGAGTCCGAGAGTCTTAACAGGCGTCCGAGAGGGGAACGTGCTCGAAAGGAGAGGTGTCGATGGTTCTGGCTTGCAAGGCGTTGACAACACAGCTGGGCGTTGCGACGATGGCTCTGGCTTGCAAGACATTGATACAGTAGCTGGGGGTTGCGTTGACAGTTCTGGCTCGCAAGGTGTTGATAATACACTTGGGCGTGGCGACGATGGCTCTGGCTTGCAAGGCGTTGACGCAGCAGCTGGAGGTTGCATCAATGACTTTGGCTTGCAAGACGTGGATATGGCAGCTGGGATTTGTGTCTCCATGGCGGGGATTTCTGTCATGGAGGAGTGCTTGGGGTTGAGAGGCGAGCTGACGTAGGAAGACGGCAAGCCAGGTTTTCCCACCGTGTCCGGCGATTTGAACGGAGATTTGAAGACCCCATTCTTGCCTGAAGCCGGGAGCCTCACTTTTCTAAGTCCCTGTAGCGGACCTTCTCTTCCCAACGGAGTCGGCGTGTCAGGCGGGTTCGCAGAAGTAGAGGAGTTCTCTACAGCACGAAGTGCTGAGCGTGTCGGAGTCTCGGGCACAGGCGGGTTGACGTGCAGTGACACGTCATCGTTCTCATCGGAGGCGTCGAAACAATTTTTCTCCAGCTTGTCCCAGAACTGCTTCTGCTCCTCGAAGGCGGCGAAAGTCTCCGCAGACGGTAGAATTACTCCCTTTGCCTTGATCGTCTGAGAGTTTTTCAACAGATCGGCATAATGCGCACTTGTGAAGTCCAAGGTGTATGATACAGGCCTATCCGAAGCCCTTTCATTCATGTGTGCTGGAGAGAGCTGCGTGTTGGATGACGTGGATGGCCGTGGCGGAGACCTAGATAGTATGTCGATCGGACCCTCCGTTACGACGATCAAACCCGGATGGATATCGTCATCAGTCACGAACTTGGCGGACTTGAAGAGAAACTTTTCTGCGGGGATCGAGAGAGGCTGAGGTGCTGAAATAGAATCATGCTGAACGGGAATATCGGGCGAGGATGACGGTAAGTCATCTGCTTCTTTCATCGCGGTATCATCCGCGACTTGAGGTATCGATGTAGTTTCAAAGTCCTCAGACTTGACTACATTACTAGCCGGTTCAGCGGACGTGTCAGCAGTTGTGTTATCATCAAGGGGGTCAGACGCATCGGAGTTTCTCCCCAGCGCCTCAATGCAGTCGCGACCAAACGCTGCTGGTAGCTTTGCGAGCTCAGATGTGCGTAGAGGGGTGACAGAATGCATGTCAGTTAAAGGGCCGAGAGAGATCTGGCGACCGTGATTCTTCTTTGCAACGCCATCTAGCGGCGAAGACGATGGCGCTGCAGAAAGTTAGGCCCAAGAAGATGTTTGCAATATAAATATATGCGCTTACAGTCAAAGTCATCGTCACCTATGTTCTCCTTGTCATCGCGGGGTCCTTTCTTGGAGAGGTCCAGCGCGAACGCAATGTCGCTACTCCTCTTCCTGTGTTGATTGAGACTGAGGCGTTGTGAGGGCCTGGGTACAGACGATGTGCCCTGGGACAGCCTCTTGTCGACCTCATCGAACACTGCGATCTGCGCCTGGCTGATGAAGCACTGTTCGTCGTACGTCGGTGATGAGAGCCGTTGCCTCTTCGGAGAAGGAGATTCTGATGCTAGTGATCACTTAGTTCTCCTCCTTTTTGCGTGAATCGCGCTACTGTTCTCACCGAGACGAGACATGGTCGAAACGAGATGATGGAGAAGGAAAACGTTTAGACTGTAGTCGCGTGTGCCGCGTCGCGTTTAAACGCGACTCGAGCCACGTGATCGACGCGTCGACGCGTCGGCCAATCCGAGCCGTCCGTCCGACTCGAACTTCACGGCCCCTTAAATCTTATAGCATATATCCGCTCGTACAGGCTAGCTACGTCGATCATGCAAATGGTCGTACATTGAAGTGTGCTCTTTTGAACGATCTATCAAGGATGTTGATTGATTATGTCCATGCGTCGAGTTAGAGTTCGATGCACAAAACTGATGACGGTGGCCACTTCGACTCAAGATGCAGCCAATTTCATGTCTTACGTGTTGACGTTCAACAGTCCGGATGGAAAATTAACCAGCTCAGTCTATACACGGTCGGCCGAACTCACCGGTTCACAGTGTACAGTTTTCACCAATCAGCAGTTGCGAATGTACAGCGCTTGCATCCGATAATACCTGAGCTAATCCAGAGCGAATGCCGTGACACAGTGAGGGTTCACTTACGGCCCAGCCTCGCATGATGAGCAGAAAGTGTTGACTACTGGAAGAGCCAAGCGACAGGATCAGACACTTCCCAGCCTCGTTGACCTGTTCAGAATCAGGAGATGGCGATCTTCCGCAGCCAGATGATACTGTATGATAGCCAGGACCACATTCAGCACTGAGCCCGAGATTAGCGCGGATTCGATCGACGATGCGAACGCAAGAGCCGGCCCTGGTTGCCACCATAAACCGAACACCAAACGTGATTCTCAGGCAGCTGTATAGGAGAAGCGGAGAGCATAATCTTGCGAACGAGGAGACATCAGATATACCTATAGCCTGTATGAACCGGAAGCCAGCGAAAGGGAGTGGTTTTCTCTGTACAGATCTACGGAACAGCGATGCGGACGATGAGAGCATTTGCAGCATCATGTGTGGCCGGCGGCAGAGTGAAGGGGCGGTTGCGGGAGGAAAGAACGGCCGACAATATTAGGTCGAGCGTGACCGCGATCAAGTCCAACCAAATGCTGCAGCCTGTCTTCGTTGTCGAGACTCTGCCACCAACGCGCCTCACGCTAATCCTTCGCAGTCTGTTATTACATTCAGACTTTACCGTTCAATATTCGTCTCTTAAGTCTCCTCTCTTCTTGCTTCCCGAGAGTTTCTGGCTCGCACTCCCGCAATAATAATCCCCACAAATTCTCCATGAACGGCACTCAGACTGCCCGACAGGGAAAATCTGCTCCGACAGCTGCAACACTTCCTGCACCTACCACTGCACCACCCATACCTTCAAATAATGTCAGCTCCCCCGTACCCGCGGCCAATCGCCAACCCAATGGTACCGCAGTAAATGGCACGCATCCGCCCGCGCAGAAGGGCAAGAAGAAGGCAGCCGAGCAGGTGGACCCTTCACAGATGTATGAAACGTTGAAGAATCGCATTGCTGCTTTGGAAGAGGAGGAAGTACATGAGGAAGAGGAGGAGCGAAGAATCGGTGAGTATGATTTCCTATATCGCTGTCTTGTCCCAATCGAACAAGTGGCCGCAGCGGAGGAGGCGCAGGATTCCGTCTCGGGCATGGGTGAGAATGCTATACATGCCAAATACCTTGAACTTGTACGTTTGCAGGATATTCACCATTCGGATCCGGTCGTGACCATTGCAATCTCTCAGTTCAGTGAACTCAAGCGAATCGAACGCGAACATGCGAAAGAAAAGCAGAAGTTGATGAAGGACAAGGATGCAGGTGAGTGCTACTGTTAGTAATCGTTCCTACAGCATGTCAGATCTTCCCCTCAATAGCAAAGAGCCAGTTGACGAAGGCAAACCAGACAAAGACGAAGATGGAGAATCTGGCACGCGAGCTGCAGAAGGTAAACGCTCCTCATGCATGGACTGTGCATTCCTATTTAACCCTCTCCTCAGGACAACAAGAAATTACGGGTGGGTCCTGTTGACGGAAGCAGGCGGTGTACTTCTCACGGATCGCGTACAGGAGGACAGCAAGCGGCTAGCAGCATGTGTTGAGGAGGCTCAGGATGAGGTATGCAGACCACGACCCCTCTGTTCATGCGCATACACTTCACAAGCGCACCCACCCTCACGACTAGATCCAACAAATGAAGAATGACATGGCCAAGCGCGCTGAACGCGCGAAGATCCAGGAGACCAAGTATCGCGAGACGCCAGATATCGTCGTGCGCGTGCATTGCAAGTACCGCGCTGAGCTCTACTTCAAAATATCGCGCAAGACGAGGCTATCACGGCTTTTCAACGCATGGACAGAGAGGATGGAGTCGGGTCAGGGGAAGAAGGTCAACGGCAAGCTGTCTGGAGGGGCGTCTGCGCAAGCCAATGGTATGGCGTTGGCGAATGCAGCGAGCCCCAGTGTGGCTTCCTCCTCACCTCCCTCATCTAACTCGATGCAGTTCGTGTTCACGCATGCTGGCCGGAGTCTAGAGGCAGATCAGACACCAGAAGAGGCAGGTATTGAGGATGGGGACCAGATACTGGCCGTGGAGATCATGGATCTCACTGATGGGCCAGGGACGGAGGAGATCGTGAGATCTAGCATTATGCGTCGTTCCGCTTAACCGTATCATGCTAATTGGCAATCCCAGGACGAGCCTGAGCCTCGCCGGCAGAAGCTCAAGAAGGAGTGGGTCGAGAACCCCAAAGAGTGAGTTTGCTTAAGCCACTGATGGATTTGCATTTCACCTCTTGTTCGCAGAGCGAAAAAGACGATGGAGGAGATTTTCGACGGCGTGTGAGCGCGGTCCGCTTCCGTACGTGATTGATCGCTCATATCAGGTCAGTGTCCGAGAGCGTCTGAAGGAGGTTCTCCGACAATACGAGCTTCGGGAAAGGCATTTTGAGTGTGTCATCCGCTCCAAGGAACTCGAGGTGTTGCTTTCGCGAGCGCGTGCTGCCGAGCAGAAACAGCTGGCGGACGGAGAAAAGGTTCGAGCGGATAGGTTGGAGGAAGAGGTGCGAACATTATTCCGTCAGCCACCTAGGCTGAGACATGCTCACCGTTTGCTTCTCAGAATAAACATATTCGCCAAGAGCTTGTAAGATGTCAGGAGCAGCGGGCTATAATTAAGAATAAACTATTGGCCTGGCGTCATGATGTTTGTCCTATCCTCTTCTCAACGCGAGCACTGACTGAGCTCGCACGGGTAGTCTATCGACCCACGGATACAGCAACTAGGAGACGCCCTGGAAGCAGGTGAGTTTCATAGATATCATCCAAAAAGCGAGTCGTTCAGTAGTGATACTAACGCGTTAGATTCGAAGCCACTCGTGAATGGGACGGCCAATCGTCCGCCAGAGGGAGACATTGTTTGACCTACGGGATGGAGAGGGATCAAAGTGCAGGAAAGAAAGACCATCAGGACAGGACTGGTCGATGTTGTCCTTGCAATCCGCATTTGCTGTTCCTTACCCCGCTACTCGTAGGTCTGCAAAATGATATCTCGTCCAAAAAGTGCGACACCGCGTGATGATTCGTTAGGCTGTCCCAAACTGCAAATGATACCCAGGCGTACTAGGAGGAGGTAGTCCGTGCACAAATTCCGTCCAGATGCGATGCGAAGTAGGGATGTGTAAGATACGTGGCTGTTCGTACAAGCGTGATTCCATTCAGTCCCAATTAGACCCATTCTACACCAACGCATCGAGCTCCTCGACGGATTCAACCATTCCGGAGCGCGTAAACTTCTTGTCCTTCACCGATTCGAGACCCTCCCCAGAGTACGAGACGAGCGGAGACACCTCAATGTCAACGCCCTCGGCAACTGTAGCGCCAGCGTGCTCGAGGAAGCGTCTTTGTTGAGCGAGGAGGTCGCGCCGACTCGTCTCAGGGTCGTCCGAGCCTGTGCCCGGCGCATTCTTGAGCGGACTAAACTCCTCGTTCCGCGCGACCTCGAGCACTGCAAAGTGCTGCGCGTACGGGAACACGTCGAACACAAACATCTCGAGTTTCAAGCCGTTTGGTTTGGTCGGTTTGATGGTCTGTCCGCTCTCATCCACGTACGGGATCTTCTTGCGCGCGATGTGGAACGCCAGGTCCTCCTCAAACTCCCTCGTGCGCTCGAGGAACGTGGTCGTGTAGAAGTGGTTCACGATATTCGCGGCGCGGAACGCGAGCTCGCCCTTGGCGTTGCGTCGCTCGGCTTGCTCCTGCGAGATCTCCGAGTACTCGATCACGTTGAACTTGTCTCCGCGCCGCGCAACGACGCCGACTGACTCGGACGGGTACGCCTTTGGCACTACCTTAGCCGCACAGTCGGCCTGCTTTTGTATGCAGTATCCGATGAAGACAGGATCGGCAACTTTGACGAGGCAGTTGTCGACGCAATAGCTGTGCACGTATTGTACCTTGCGCTCTGCAAGGTCTGACAGCACCGTGCGTGAGCTTTCCGGGGAGAGCGGGTTGCGAAGTGCGGCGTAGAGCCCACCATTGCCGTCTGGCGCGACAGCGACGTGAGACGGACTCTCGAGGATGACCTTGCCCCCCATCGTGAGACAAGGCAGCGTGCCTGTGGAAAATCATGAGCATTCAGTGCATAGAAACAGAGACACCCTCGACTGGCAACGAAAGCCGCGCCCATGATCTCGAGGACGTAGACGCGCGCTGTTCAACGCTTCGATGTACAGATGGCTGAGGCTAATGGACAACTCGCGCCGTTCATGGCCGGCCAATTACACCATACAGTACCCGAGAGTACGGTTCTCGATGGAATAGGGTGGGTTCAGAACACTGCAGAGGACGTACCTTGCTCAAAAAAGACGACATTCTCCGGAGACAACCCGAAATAGTTGTTCTTCTTGAAAAATTGCTCGGTCTCACGGCGGGTAGGCCCGCTGGTCATGACATACCACGGAATGACGACTGGCTTAGCTGGCTTGCCGTTCTTCTGCGCGGCGACAGTCTGCAAGCGGGCTATGCGTTCGGCTTGGTACTGGAAGAGTGACTTGTGGGAGGGTAGACCAATGTCGTAGCAGCCCTTAGGGGCGCTGCTGCCCAACCGTGTGCCTTGACCACCCGCCATCAAGAGGACACCGACCTGACCATTGGCAGTGGCTCGCAGGCCAATCTCCCGCCATTCTCTCTCCTTCTCGGACATCCCAACCACGCTGTCGGCAGCATCCTCGGGGAGTGGCTCGATGACATCCTTCCCCGCGTTCTCGGCGGTCTCTTTCTCGTAGCTGATGGCCTTGCCGTAGATCTTGTTCACGCGCTCGATATCGAGCGCATTGAGCTGCCCTAGAAGAGCCGCGCGCTCCGCGTCGGAGAGTTTGGGCCAGAATTGGAGGAGATGACCCTGGCCAGCGGCCTCGTACCGCTTGCGAATTTGCTCGAAAGAGGGAGACATTGTCGAGAATATTAGACGGGATAACAAGGAGAGTATATGCAGGTCGCGGGTGGTGCAGGACAACGTAATGAGCAGCAGTTCGTTCCCGTCGCGATGTTATACGTGCGTGTCGGAACTTGCCGCAGCAAGCGGGTATGGCCCAGTACAGCTCTCCCGACGTGTTTCCTGCTTATTCGTCATCTCTCCCAGCGCGGCGCTGAACGATTCATTGGGAATATGTTCTGGCAACGAGAAAAGACGTTGAGTCTCCAGTACACGTGCTGCTGGGTCGACCAGTGGAATGGCCGCATTGTCGGCGACTGACTTGCATCTTTGATGAACGTGCGCCCGTGTACTAGGTATAGAAGCTGCCAGCCGTGCAATGTGGTCAGCTACACGGATGGACCACGTTTGACGGCTAGTACGAACACTCGGCAGCTCAGGCTGTCGGCGATACAGGCGATATACATCCAGGCTGGGGCAATGATCGTACAGCTCAAGGCTCGCAAAATCTTGAAATGCGCAACAACATTATTCAGTTCGGCATGGGCGAAAAGATGGCGTGTACGGCATTCTTGATCGCTATTCGATGGGCTACTACGTGCGCCGTTCGAAGTTCTCATCAGGGTGTCTCACCGGCTAGAATGGACTTGGTCACGACGGACGACTCTTCACGATGCTCCACCGCTTCCGTAATGCTTTCATCGACGGCAGCGATGTGCCCCGCGAAATCGGTCTGAATTCATGGCAACTGAAGTATGCAACTCCATCCGAACTATTTGCACAAGGCTGGATTCTGCTGGTCCCGCTTTTGGAATCTAAGCTACTGGTTGTCCCTCAATGGGCCAACGATTGCTCTTGTGATCACGCATGGCTGGACTAACCGGTGTAAATGCTCTTGGAGGCGCTTGCTCATCCAAACTTTATCAAGCCGCTCGCATACTCTTCGGATCCAATTCGCTCGAGCGTTCTAATGCCTCATCACCTTTTCCCCCGGTTGTGCTTAGTGGCTTTGTGGATTCACCCCTTATTCGGCGACACGGCGTGAAGGAATCTGTCCAAGACGCCCTTGTCCGTGTGGTGCTCAGGTACATTGTGATGAGCGCGTCCAGGAAGCCCGAATTTTGGCAGAATGCAGGGTCTCGTGGCTGTTCTCGCGTTGATGTCCTAGGTCGTCTAGTCCACAATGGTTGGTCTCGAATGCTTAGCATCTCCCCGTATTGGCGGACATTTTTGTCGCGAGTTAATCTTCGTTGTCGGATGCTCAGAGAGAAATTCGGCCTCGAAAATGGACGCCGCACCGATCATGCTATTCGATGAGCTGTCACTGTCACCTCGGCTGTCTGAACATGCCGCGACAACGCGAGATATAAAGCCAACCGCCGTTCGGGTTGGTCTCGTCGAGCAACGATCGCGCTCATAGCTCAGTCGCCATGCGTTTGTCCTGGCGCCCCGCGACGTCTCTCTCCTTGCTCGCCCTCTTGTCTCCTCTGGTATTGGGCGACAACCCAATCAACCCTGGGTTTGCCTATGGCTCGGAGACCGTCCGCGGCGTCAACCTCGGAGGATGGCTCCTCCTTGAGGTATAGGACATCATCGTCGCTTGTTCTCCAACGTGTCCTGATTTTGTTGATGTAGCCATGGATCACCCCTAGCTTGTTCGACAACACGGGAAACGAAAACATTGTAGACGAGTGGACGTTCTGCGAGCTACAAGACACAGCCACGGCTACGGCTGTTCTCCAGAACCATTGGAACACTTGGATCACCGAGCAAGACTTGGTGGATATCGCCGCTGCAGGGTGTGTCACGTGTGCGCGTCATTACCTTTTCAAGCTCTGAGCACCAGCGCCCCTGCAGCCTGAATCACGTACGGCTGCCCATCGGGTATTGGGCGTTCGAGGTCGGGCCAGGCGAACCGTACATCCAAGGTCAAGTTCAGTATCTGAATGACGCAGTCTCATGGGCCGGCAACCAAGGTCTCAAGGTGATAGTCGACTTGCACGGCGCGCCAGGAAGTCAAAATGGGTGACCAAATTTGAATGCTTCGTAGTGGTCTTGGGCTCACAGTCTTGTATATGCTTTTAGCTTTGATAACTCGGGGCACCGAATGTCGTATCCGGAATGGCAGTCAAAATCGACAAATGTGCAGCGAACCGACTCTGCCATCAAGACGATCGCGTCGATGTTCGCCAATATTCCTCAAGTGGTTTCAATTATTGCTCCCCTCAATGAGTGAGTTTGCAACACATGCACTCCGATGCCTGCACGGACATTTATATTCTCTTTTGGAAGACCTGCCGGATACGATGGATCCACTGTGATGACTGCCTTGACCCAGTATTATTATGATTCGTACGGTAATATCAGGTACGTGCTTCGGCCAACGGCATGCCCAGCTACTGATTTTTAGGACAGATATCCATACGGTACGTCCCAGGAGAGCAACACTGTCGTGCTGCTCCACGATGCCTTCCAACCCTTGAGGTAAGACGATCACTCACAAAAATATGTCAGCTCCTCTGACATCATGATGGAAGTCACTGGTCCGGTTTCATGCAGCCTCCGAACTGGCAAGGTGTTGCAATGGACACTCACATCTATCAGATGTTCTCTCAAGCCGTGCGTGACCAAATCTTCAAAATCCACATCAGTACTCAAGAATTAGCTGATCGTACAGGAGGTTGAATACAGCTACTCGCAGCATATCTCCGCCGCGTGCGACTATTGGTCAACGCTCTCAGGGTTTGATCTATGGCTAATCGTCGGAGAGTGGACACCCGCGGCAACTGACTGCGCACCGTATCTGAACGGACTTGGCGTTGGTTCTCGATACGACGGAACCTATCCTGGCTCGACCTATGTCGGCAGCTGCGACGGGCTTACCGGCTCCGCATCCACCTTTAGCAGCGAATACAAGACGTTCCTGAGACAGTACTGGGAAGCACAGGTTGGTTGTCTTCTGCAACGTGGACTGATTGATCACTAAGTTAATACGTTCATGATTAGGCAATCACGTTCTCATCGGCTGCTCAAGGATGGCTGCAATGGACTTGGAAGGCGGAAAACGCGGACGAGTGGTCGTACCAGGCCGGACTGGCAAATGGTTGGATACCGCAGAACCCTACGGATTATATGTACCCGAACATTTGCTCCTGAGCTTGGTTCTAGAATCTACGGTGATCCGTGATGGGAAGACAGTTCATTGCTTGCGTGTTACAATTATACCTATACCGCCTCTCCTTCAGCATAACCAATGTCGGTTTCTGTACGGCGTATGATTACGTTCCATGTACTACATAGTCGTCCGCTAGCGTTGTGCGTGGATTCGTGGTCCTCAGTCAAACTTCGGAGTGTGCACACGCGTCGGCTCGCTTGAATCTATCACGTGATCGTGTCGCGATCAGCAGGCAAGTCGATGGTCCGCGAAGTTCGCCACCAACTTGAACTTGGTCTTCGGTTACTGCGTCGTTCTCAAGGCAAGCCGGACTTGCTGGTCCTGTCTTGAAACATAGAGGACTGTACCCCACTCCTTTGACTCGTGGTTCCTGGACTTCCCGGCGCAACGCCTCGTTACTTATTACCCTTGACATGAGAGTCGCCGTCGTGCTACTCGTAACTGGCTTACTCCGCGGAGTCTTGGCTGATTCTCTGCGTAAACATAATCAGATATCCCATGCTCAAGGTCATGGGGACAAGAGAGACTTGTCTAATATCTTGGGAGGCTGGGATCCTGCTGGTGATGGAGCGCAATCACAGCAAGACGGCACGCCCGACCATACATTGACAGATGAACGGTCTGCCAGTACGGCTTCTCGGACGGATGGCGCTGGACTTGGATTCCTTCTGCCGCTTTCAACTGTTGAAGAGACTTCAAAGACAAAGACGACAACCTCCCCAACCAGTGCGGCCTCCACTACTGCCAGCTCTCTCACATCCCACTTGACATCAAGCGAAGCGTCATCGCAGCCAAGCGCGATCACCTCTCCACCACCCTCGTCTACTGTCGACAGCCAAGCACACATTACAAGCGAGCCTTCCACACCACAAGGCGGCACGTCTAGCTGGAAGATCATCGGAGTCGCCGTAATCGCCTTTGCCGCCGTCGCTGGGATACTTATCGGCGCCGTGTTCTTCGATCACTGGTGGAAGTTCATTCGCGATTCTTGCCTGAAGAAACGCAAAAATGACGAACTGGAGGAGATGGTCCCGGACTGGGAGAAGGCCAGCTGGGAGGTGCGCTTCGGAGATGATCGGCATCGCTATCCATCGTTCGCATCCATACCCTCAACTACTTCACGGGCGGCGGGGCCATTGCAGAGACAGACATCCACCGAGACCAACGACTGGACTCAGAGCAGGCGGCTATCTGGAGGCAGTCACGCTTACAGTACTGTGTTGACACCTGCAGAGAGGGTGGTTCTTTCGCCTGGATATCTTCCACCTCCCGACAATGCGTATCTCAGTGTCAATCCGAGGCCACACGCTGGCGATGGCAATTCGGATTCTCTGGCAAGGAACGGATCCGTAAATTCCACCAAGTCCGGCACAACGATGACGAACTCGCAAGCGTTAGCCCATCCTGCACCTCCTCCAAGGGCCTATCCGGACAACACGAACCCATTCGCAGACACTTCCAAGTCGCCCTCCATGGTCGACGCGTACGGTGGGATCGAAGAGAAGTGATATATGGACAGTCTCGAGATATTTTCTTACAATCCACTGTATCCGTAGCCCATACTATGTCCCTCTGTATCACGTCTCGCTTTTGTTATCCAATCAGACGACAACGTTATGGCGGCGCATCCTTTGTGGCTCCCTGCGCGATGGTGTCCTTGTCTACAGGCGGATACCACTTCTCCAGCTGGTCAGAGGCATAGAGCCCAGCTGCTGCGAACACGGCGAAGCCCACGGAAAGGTACAGCCTCGTTCGGGCCGGAAGCACTGCAATGTTCCAGAAATGAGGAAATTGTAGTACACGATAGATGTGTTGAAAGTCTGACCGAACCACGACTCTAGCACCGATCGCTCCTGCGCTGTCTTGTGGCGAGGGGGTGTAGATTTACCGCTCGCTGAAGGTTCGCCTCTCTTCTCCATGCGCGCGGCTCCGCAATTATTGGATAGAAAAGTGGACCCAGTTCAAATCGCGAAAGGCAGCGTTATACAGGTCTAGTGGTTGTGCAAGGTCATCTAATACATAGGAAGCGCTCGCGGCTCACCATGCCGATCGTGGCTCGGCGTCTCCCTACTCTTGATCAGACGTTTGTACCTGCACTTGCGAGACATGTTCACAGGTCTGGTATGCTTTCAGGTACAGCAGTCGACTCGGTGCTGATAAAGTCTCTCTAAGATTGAACACGTTGGAACGGTGTCTGCCATCGAACACGACAGCGGAGGATGCACACTCACAATCGCTGACTCCGCGCCCATCCTCTCCGATTGTCACGTTGGGGATTCCATAGCGATCAACGGCGCATGCCTTACTGTAACGGAGTTTGACAAGGAGCAGAATGGTGGATGGTTCAAAGTGTGGCTTGCAAACGAGACGTTGGATAGGACCGATCTCGGTACGCCTATGGAATTGCTGGTGGTTTCCGGATTACTCATGATAGCAATGTGTGTTCAGGAGAACGGAAGGTCGGGGAGCAGGTAAACGTGGAACGTGCGATGGGCGCACATGTTCGCTTCGGAGGTCATTTCGTCCAGGTGCGTGAATGTTGTCTGTGGTTGACGAGCTTCAACTTCCCAATGCTGCGCACTGTTGCTATTCCGTAATAGTCGGCATGTGGCCTCCGCGTAACGTTGCTAAGGGCGAGAATCCTGTACTGACGTTTCCATATGCTGAACAGGCTCATGTTGATACGACCGCTACATTGATCTCGCGAACCCCGGACGGAGATTCCTTGCGTCTGCTTTTCCAGCTTCCCGAACCCACGACGGAACGTCCATCTCTTCTGCCATATCTCATCCCTAAGGGCTATGTCGCGATCGACGGGACCTCGTTGACGATTACTTCGGTCGACGACGCGAAGCGCACATTTGGAATAATGCTAATCAAACATACGCAAGAGAAGATCACGCTCAGCAAGAAGCCTGTTGGATCAAGAGTAAACATTGAGGTCGATATGATCGGTAAATTAGTCGAAAAGAGCGTCCATGCCGCGCTTTCCGGTGGAGGGGCAGAGCTCATGCGTCCGATGATTGAGAGAATTGTAGAGGACGTTTTGGCAAAGAAGAAGCTCATATAATCAGTCTGCCAATGTACTTACGCCAGCAATTGATGTCTTAAGCGAGACTGTATAACACCGCCTGGAATCCAGGATACCTGCCATATTTGTGCCTCGGTTACTACGTCGGAGCATGCCGCCACAGCCGCTCTTTACAGGACCTATTACGTTCTTGTCCCTCACTGTCCTCTCCTGCGGCCACGGACGCACGCGTATTTATCCTAGCTCGACCTCAGGGTCCTATGGAAAGCCAGCTCAAGGCCAAGGTTCGCACGGGAGCGATAGAGCAGTCCAAGTGCGCACTGAGATGGTATTGCAGGTCACTGCTAGGGTCGACTATGACAGAACAGAACCTCCCTCCCCCCTTGACATGCAAGCGGGGACTCTGTCGCCGCCCAACATGATGAGACCAAAGGCGAAGGTGAACAGCAGCGCGCATATAGTTGCTCGCAAGGCACCAAGGGGTCCGTCCCCTTCATCCGCGACTCGGAGTAGCTTCGCACCTCCACCACTCCCCCCGTTTCCCAACAAAGCGTCCCATCCTGCCTTTACGCGTGCACCTTCGTCGACCAGTGTTGTCGTGAAGGCACGTCTGACCCATCGTGCGGGAGCGCAGCGCCCCTCGACGTTCTCCGCCGACGCTCATCAGCGTTCCTTGACCACGATACCTTCGGACTCTACTCTCTCCTCACGGACCCGACAGCGCCGAGGAAGCATATCGTCCCATGTCTCCTACGCTTCTCATTCCTCCGCCGTCTCGCATGCAGCCTCTTCAGCACAATTTGAGGCGCTTGGCCGCACGCAATCAAGAGGAGGGACGGTCTCTCATGAGGAGAACGGGTCTCTTGTACCAGGCTCAGGGAAGGGAGTCGTGCGCGTCAAGTCTAAGATATCCAATCCTCCTTCACCTTCGTCCATCACCTCTTCGCCGCCGTCATTTGCTAGCCGGAATCATCATGGACGGACACCCTCCATACCATACATCTCGCTAACGGGATCGTTGCCAGCGAGTGGTGCTGCCTCTCCGACTTTCATACCAGCGCGACACTCTATTCATTTTGACGGTCTCGCCGCTGCAACCAAGATCGATCCGGCGACTATACCCCTCCCTCCCCAATCACCACCAATGTCCGCTGTATCGTACTCCTCACGATCCTCTGCATCTCGTTCGTCCGCATCCTACGACTCTCGCAGCTCGGATGGCAGTAATAACACTGCCCCAAGACCGCATTCACACGTAAACGGGGATGCACAAGTCAAGACTGCAGAATATGCACCGATGCCGAGAGCAAGTATGGACAATTTGGCAGACATAACGGCGAGGAACCCGGGTTCTCCGAATCTTCCCAGTGACACTTGTTCCGATGGCAGTAATAGCTCTGGACCCCATGATCTCGAGGACGATCTAGACGATCCAGACCGCAAGAGGAAAGACGAAGCGAAGTCTAATCGCAAGGTATGCTTATGCACTGTAGGCTCCCTCTTGGCTCGCACATCCTCCTCATTACTTCCTACAGATTGCGGACCTGGAGATTTCTAATCATTCCTTGCTTGCCATCAACTCCTCCCTTGAAGCTGCGAAACATCGACAGGCCAAGGAGATCCGCGATCTTAAGCGGAAGCTGCGCGAATCGCTGCTCATACTCCCGCCTCCCGTATATCAGGCGGCGAAGTCGACCTTGCCGCAACATATCACAGCGGAGGAGGAGGAGGATGGCGAGGATGATGAGGAAGATCAAGCGATCATCGATGGAAAGGACGATGAGCCATATCGGCGTGTGAAGTTGATGGTTGAGAGTCTCGTCGAGTCTTGCCAGCGAGCGCTATCTTCTAAGCCCAGCGACTTTGTTGAGAGCGGTAAGAGTGGAACGAAGGTGCTCACTGCTGAGGAAGTGCGATCGTGGCGAGGTGACATGAGCGTCGATGAGCCAGACGTAGAGGTGCGTTCGACACTAGACGCTGATTTGGATGACGATTCGTCCCTACGGGGAGCAGAGGAGAGCATAGATGATCAGCCGCGGACGTTAGATGGCGCTGATCTGCATAGTAATGGTGAAGTTGGAGCGTCGTCGTTCGAAGCAGAGGCAGCTGGCTCCTCTGTATCGTTACCTCCAATCACGGTTACGCCCTCATTATAGGTCAAGTGGTCCTGCTGACTATAATCCGGCTCTATGCTGTCACTGCACTGTATACACCTTCTGGATTTATACCCACGCATATTTCTGTCTCGTCACCTCGCATTAGTACGTGAACGCCTGAATGACGTATAATACTAGTATCAGCATGCCTGCATGTTGCTGTTAATCCCACCTCATACTGCTCGTAACAGACTTGTTTAACCGTCATTGATACATGTTCCTGTTGTTATTTACAGATGATGATACTGAGTCTCAACAGATTGGCGAGAAAGTTAGGCGATGCGACGACGCGGTGAAGGGAGTCAGCTCTGTCGCGGTCACATGACCGCGTTCGGCACGCCTCACGCCACTCGCCTGATCCATTGCAATTGAATATCTAGTGCTGACCTTCCGATGAGCGGTCCAATCAGTACATATACTAGGGGCGGAAAGGAATAAAGCTCTACGTTTGGGCTCGGGTCAAAATCTGGCCGATGTACTTTCGAAGCATCCTAGCACGAAGTCGGTGACACTGAAGATTACCATATGTGATGGAGGAAGGAGCACGGCCGCGATCCCGCAGAAAGAACCTCTACTCTGGTAATTCAACTGCAACGAGAGCCTTCCGGAAGGACGATCGTGTTCTTGACACTCATGAATGCTATCCGCACTGTCCACGCTTGCCGACAGGCGACATGACAAACTACACTTGAATAATCGGTGATACAGGCTTCATGCATACGTTATGGGGTTTACAGATACCCATGCTCCAAAGGGTTCCCTTCAGATATGTCAGCGGAGCCTACGCATTTGAATTAGTGCTGATCCTCCGCATAAGTGATACAATTCGCAGTGGGGAAGAGAGGCACGAACCTTCAAGTCCACATTTGTTTCAGGTCCTGACAGGCAAGCTTTCGGAACGGTCCAGCACGAAGTATTATGAAATTGCTATGCGCGATGAATTGGAGATGCCTACTTCTGGTCGCAACGAGAACCCGTAAGCTTAATTTCAATCTCACACCGTGGTCGTTACATGTGAGCAAGCGCATTGCCCCGAGCGACTGGTGTTGTCAGTCGGCAGATACTTCGGGGGAGCAAACGTACATTCGTAACTATAGCCAATTTGACGGACCTACCTATTGGATCCTCAGACTCATATCAAATGACCTCGACATGATCAAGCTCAGGGAATTTGAGCTTCTGATCTACCTCATTAGTGGATAAGGCACTGATTTATTGCTTTGTGCCCATACCTCGTGCGCTTGATCCACCTGTGGATAAGCTTACGCGTGTTGCATGAGTCTGTATTAACGCTCCCGAGTCAGAGCTGAAGCTGATGCTATTGCCTATCTCGTTATCATTGCACGACACGAGGGTAATGTATAGTCGCAACTCTATTGACTGACAGGAATGAGGAATCAAACCGGGTAACAACAGCCCCAAAATAGTGCACTTACTACATGTATGTACGGAGCGGTGGTAGTGAGACTTGATGTCCAATTAATGTGAAAGCGCTTCTCCAACGGTCCACTTGGCAAATTCAAGCACTTCTAAACCCGCGGTATCCTCCTCGGCTCCTTCAAGTAACCCTTGTTCTCGCGACCAATTGCGAAGGAAGACTTGTACAGGTTGGTCGTTGCCGGGACCATTATACATGTTGAATGGCTGCTCATATAAGGCACCATCATCCTGGCTACCCGGCGATAATCGGACAGAGGTCGTCGGAAAACCAATAATCTGTCGCCCCAGCGCCCCACATAGCTTTTCCAGCTCGTCTTGGAAGGACTGCAAGGCAATAATCTCTGACAGTCTAGGAGACTTCAAAGCAAGGAGAGCCAAGGCACCTATGCGGCCTTGTTTCGGGTTTCGGACAGATTGATGAACACGCGACGCGACTTTTACAGCAATGTCATGTTGCGTAGGAGGGAAGGGATCTCGGACAACCGTGAGCGCTCGTCGGAGGGAGATCTTCTCGCCAACTCGGCCGGTCAGGTCGCGCATTGCATCTGACACGGTGGCGTCACTGTTCTGTTGTGGATCGGACCGAGAGAGGAGCGGGGAGTTCTGTAAGATGCCTAGAGAGAAAGGTTGCATGAACTTGTCCGAATTGACAGGCTCCGAGATGAACGCGGCAGTGTGAGCGATGTCGTCGAGCAAGTTGGCGAAGAGATCATTACGCGCAACGAAGTCAGTCTCGCAGTTGAGCTCGACCATAGCTGCTCGCACCCCTCCCTGTCCTCCGCTGGCGGCGCCGCCGGACAGCACCACCGTGCCGATCATCCCCTCGTTCGTGCTTCTCCCCTCCACTTTCGCGGCTTTTTTAGCAGCAGACTCCGCGAGGTGCTTCTCCAGCCATGCGACAGCCTTTGAAATGTCCATGTCAGAGGCTTTGAGAGCCTGCCCAGCTTGGATGGGCGATACATCCACATGGCTTCGGAGTTTCACCACAAGCTCCTTCAGGCTCTTCTTGGGAGGCACAGAAGAGTACATGCGGGAGAACGAGCAGAGTCGCAAGCCTCTCGTACCAGCAAACATGTCTACCGATTTTGTTGGTGGAGGTAGTAAAAGCCTGACAAGGACTGCGCGCCTTACGCGTCGCGGTCATTGCGCAAAAAAACTTCAGACGCGTCGACGAGCGCGTAAACAGATGTCTCAAAATCCAAACCCCCTTCCTCACCACAAAAACCTTAGCTGCCTTTAGTCTGTCATCGATGCTGTCTCTGAACCCATCAATGACCAGCATGGCATCCTCACCAACCTTCAAAGTGCCCTCTGCGGTCCCTCAAGATCTGCAGTTCATTCACAACATCATAGGAGACATCATCGAGCCATCTCTGCCCAAACCACTCGCCATATCTAGGCAGGTATCTCGCGACGATGACACAGATAGCGTCGCGGATATTGACACGGATAGCGAGCGAGAAGTAGAGGAGATTATTCTCAGAGGAGTTGAGGACGACGAAGATCCTGATGCGTGCGCTCTTAGTCTTTGTCACCGTACCTTGAACTGATTGGAATTCTTTTCACGCTCAGTTCCTTACCATCTGAGTCGACAATGGGGTTATCATCATCATCATCCTCGGAAGCCGATTCTGACTCTGACTCTGACGAGGAAACCCAGGAGACATCCGGCAAGACAGCCAAGCTAGATGATGCGGAAATGGGTGAAGATGAGGACAGCGGTCCTGCCATCTCATCTGAGTCCCAGGTCATGACCAAGAGCGAGGTCACCGAAGCTTCCATCGTCATTCCAGACATAAACGAAGTCGGCCCGGATGAGGTCCTCGAAAAGGTGGGAGAAGTGATGAACATTGTCGGCAAGGTCGTTATTGTCAAAGGCGATGCTTCGCAGATTGCCAACAGGGCATCTGAGAGAGCGCTTGATTCTGACACTCTTCTTGTCTTCGAGGATAGAAAAGTACTGGGATATGTGAGTACCCGACCATTCGTCAGTTGGAAACATCTCGGCCTGAATTTAGAATACATGACCTAAGATCTGTGAAACCTTTGGACCCACCTACCAACCACTTTATCAAGTGAAGTTCAGTGATCAATATCCCTTGGACTCAGACAAGGTGCAAATCTCAAAACCGGTTTTCCACGTCCCGGCGCGCAGCAATTTCGTGTTCGTTAGGGCATTACAGCGCATGAAAGGAAGTGATGCAAGTAACGTCCATGACGAAGAGCCTGCCGACGATGAAATTGAGTTCTCTGACGACGAAGCAGAGCTGGCCCATAAGCGAGCTCTCGCTCAGAGGTTTGTGGCTGTTGGCACATCAGTGCGATGTCTGACTCCATACATTTCTGGCAGGCGCGAGCAATCGCGGACACGATCTATTGCTTCCTCGCGGCATGCCACGCCAATCCCTTCCCAGATGCGTGATCAAGACATGGCCGACGAGCTCTACGGGACAAATTTATATGATAACTCAGGGCCTGTCAATGACATGGATATCGGCGCAGGACCTTCACGTCCAGTCCCTATGCCTTATGATGATCCATATTCTGATCATTACGGCGTAGTGGATTCCCACAAACCACCAGTGCCATTGTCCTCAAATGCCCCGCATGCGCACACAAGCCGTGGCTACACAGATGGACGTCATGCTCAAGACCGCAATCCCAATGGCGGCAGGGCTTGTATCGACCGTGGACGCGGGCGAGAACATAGGAACGGAAGCAGCCATGGGTTTGGGAGGCGAGACGATCGTGGCCGTGGTCGAGGTCGTGACCGTGATCGCAGACGAGGCGACCGTGGTCGAGGGTGGGGTCGTGCCCGCGACGATCGCGGAAGCGCCTGGGGAGCGGATGACTGGAGTCGACAACAGTCATTGCAACCCGATGAGTATGATCCTCGTCAACAGCGGTCCTTATCGCCGACATCTCTTGCCATTGCTCGGGCGACTGGTCAGTTCGCTGACGGAACGGTCATGGGCTCTAACTTACCGAGTCCCTCGGGCGGCGCGTCTTCCATGAACGGGACGGGGTGGAACGACTCGCAGTACTCGGACCAGCAGCAGTATGATGTCTCATATAGCTATCAGAATCAGTTCGTGCAGCCTCATATCAACCCACGCTTTGCTTCATCCTTTGCGATGAACTTTGCCTACTCGCCGACACAAAGTCATTTCTCCCCGTATGATTATCGCGGCATGGGCTACAGCAGTGCTACTGATAGTAGTAGTGGCGATGGCTGGGCGCAGCAGTGGTTCGCGGGTTCAGAAGGGTCTCCTGCTACAGGGGAGGGAGGATCATAGTGTGTGTACGGAATTCATGTTCCCTCATGCCTTCGCATTATCTGTTATACAACAATTCCTCGTTGGCATCAAAATCTCGTCAAGCATCACACTTACATACGCTTTGTCTACAACCATAACATAAAAGCAGTTGTAGGCTGTGGTTGCCATGTTCCATCACGGGCCGGACGTAGAGACCGCCAAGTTCTGCGCCACAAAGCGTTGAGTCGTTGAAGGCGATGGACTCCGAGATGTCCAAAAACGGAATGGAACGCCCAATGAAACGCTCATCATTGATGGACATTTATATTTTGCTTAAACACGGATTATCCAACCAAGTCTTATTCACTTGGTACTTTCTAGTTGCTAGTTGCTTTTCAAGTAAATGACGTGGCTCATTTCTAGTTGAATGCACTCTCAGACATGCCCATATCCGCCGGTGCACCAGGTTTATCCACTGCGGGAGAGCGCGATATCCGCGACAATTCACTGGCCTTCATATCTACTCTCCGATCGTCAGAAGTCGCAGAGGACGTGGTGCGGTCGCCAGGCCCTTCAAATGGGGAGCTGACGAAAGCCAGTGTCCTGACGCGTTCAAAGCGTGTGTTGCCCTCTCGCTCTCGTAGGGGTGGACCAGGTGTCGGAAATTGTGACACGGATGTCATGATTATAGAGACGATGAAGAGAAGATGTACGCGGTTCCTTCATATTACTTACTTTCCTACTGACCGCGCGTAGTGGAGAGCGAGCCCCTAATTCCAGCTGAAACGAACTTCCTACTTACCACAAACTCGGCCTTGGTTCCTTCGACTGCTGTCACCATTCCTTCCGAGGTCGAGATCAATACTCAGGCCTATGGGCGATATTTTGACCGCCCAGAGGTCCAAAAAGCTTACAGGCAACAGCAAGTCATTCAAACGCCCGAGTTTAAGCAACTTGACGAGGATGCTCATGTGGGAGGTCGATTCAGACCAAGAGGTATAGAAGACGTTCGTCTGCGTATTTCCTCTATGCGCCATCATGTACTTACTTGTTACCTTATATTACATGTCGCACTCCATAGGACTCGGCTGACACATCTGACGCTGCCTACGAGAAGCGACACAGGAAATATGAGACATTCGAGAAGCGACAGCGACTGCGCGAGAAGGAGAAGCTCAAGCATGAGCAGTACAAACTCAAGGAGCGCATAGAGCAGTTGCGGGCCATGGACACAACTGCCTTCCTCTCGCTGCCCGCCTTCGACTTCCCCCCACCTTCAGATTCAGACGTGCATTTTGACCCTGAAGATGCTCCAGGATTCGCGGAGATGGCAGGCGTTCAAATTCATGGCACAGCGGCATATCTAGAGGGTGAGAGGCGGCGAAAAGCTATGCTTGATGTCGCTTTGAGCCTGGAGGAGCGGTACCGCACGCTATTGCCACCAGACAGGAAATGGCTGGAAAAGAAGATGAATAACCGCGATAATGCAGCTGCGTCAGCTGAGCCTGAGCACATTTCCGAGGAGCCTTCTGAAGAGGAATCTGAGGAAGAGGAGGAAGAGGTGGATGAACTCATAGAATCCGAGGAAGAGCAAGTGAAGCCACCACCCGCGCCCTACCACGACTCTGACGGCGAATCGGAGGTTGACCTCGAGGAGAGAGATCGCCAACGCTCTAAAGGGCTCAAACTCCGAATTAAATTCCCTCCCAGGACAGCATCCCAACTTAAGGATGCGCTGGCCAAGCAGACTACCAAGAAAAAGAAACAAATGACCCTTTCCTCGTTCATGGCCAAGAACGGAATAGGAGGAGGCAAGAATATCATTCTTCATCCTCCTCCGAGCAGAACCTCCGCTACATCATCAATTGTCCCCGCATCCCCCACCCCCTCACGCATTCGCGCATCTGACGGACGGTTCCTAGCAAACGGTGCTTCAGCATCCGCATCTGTTAAGATTCCGCCGCGAAAGCGTCAGCGGACCAACAGCTCCGCCTCTGCCACTGCCGCACGAGCACCGAGCCATGCGTCTATTTCCGCGCCCGCTGGAAGGTTTCACGTGTCGCATGCTCACGCATCTCACAAGCGGGAGCAGTCGCCGTGTGTACTGATGATCTCGGCCATACGCAATTCTGCAGCGCCGAACGTGCGTAAGACGCAGCGGCATGTCCTAGCGTTCGGAGCGCGGGTCCCGCCGGAGATTGAGGAGGTGCGTGACTTCGAGATCCCAGAGTGGGTGCACGCCTCGGAATGGTCAAGACACGGAAGTGTGGTGAGCGACGAGTTCCCACATCATCTCGAGAATGAAAGTGGGGACATAGAACCTGGCGATTATCAGGATCAGAACGGTGCACACGCCGAAGGTGAAGAGGATGTGAAACGGGAATCTACGGTCTCCTCAAATGGCGGGCCTTTCATTGCCGATGACGATGTCGTACAAATCGCGGTTCTTGAGTAGTGAAGCGGCCTATGATAACTGTCACTACTGCGTACTTTTACACTGAGTCTCCCGTCTTTGTATCAGTGAATGCCTTCAGTGGGCTGTAGTACGCTATGCATACCCATATGTATTGAGTATGTATGTTACAGATACCCCACGCAGACCTCACGGCCGTACTTCAATCTGCGTGCTCGCAACCTTCTGCACCACCAGGTTCTGTATAATCCCTAAGGCATTGCTGCGCATATTCAGGCTAGCGTCGCGCTTCCTGGCCATGCCCAAACGCGCGGTGCTGATGGGTCCGAGGGTCTCGGGCAGTTTAATAGCAGCGGCAAGGTCTGCGGGGAGGTAGCGCGAGTAGTCCCCGCCAACGTTCTCCAAGCCGGCCTGGATGCGGCCGGCGACAGCGTTGGTAGCTCCTGCAGACGCATCACTAGCGGTCATGGGAACCGCTGGCCGTGCAGATTCGGCGGGTCCGAAGAGCTTCTCCAAGTCAGTGGTCTGTATCTTCATAGGCAGAGGCTCTGTTGCGCGACGGACGTCCACCACCTGTGGGCTCCTCCTTTTCTCTCCTGCTCTGGCTTCAACGTCTCGCACGCGAGCCCGCTGGGGTGGAGTATCCTCCTGCCGCTCGCGGGGTTGCTTCCGTGGACCAACTTGTCGCTTGTCGACCTGCTGTCCTCTGTCCCGCCGTTCATCTCTTCTCTGACCATCCGTTCCTTCCGCTGGCCTGGACCGAACGTTCCTCATTTGCTTCTCTCGTGTGAAAGGAGCTTGCCCTTGCCATGGCCTGCCTTGCTGCTTGGGTGCATCGGATCGTGCCTTGGGGAGAGTGGGAGGAACGTGAAGACGACCAGCTTGAAATTTGGGCTCAGTTGCCTGTGCATCAGGGCGATTGTTCGGTCGCGACCGTGCCAGTCTGCTGGATAAGGGAGCACGTCCGTCAAACTCATCGTCCGCGAGCCAGCTCAAGTCCGGGGTGAAGTCGTGGGGCGTTCGTGGAGCATTGGCCTTCGCCGCAGGAGCTGCAGCGCTAGCCGCTACAGAAAGTTGCTTCTGTCAAGTGCATGTAGAAAGTTCAACAAGGAAAGAATACTCACGAATCTCAATGTCCCCAAACAAACTGGCCAACGGTATTGATCGCTTTGGCTTCGGCACTGTGGCCTCGGGCGAGGCAGTAGTAGCTGCAGCTGCGGAGTCTGCGGAGACGGACGAATTTGATCGAGCAGACAGGAAGACCCGTGCAAGAGAGCTGCGGGATGACCTTGTCAGCATCATCGGGTTGTTCTACGCTAGCGTATCGCAGCTAGTGCGGGTCGAAAAGAGGCAGTCCGTATGCACGGTGATAGTTGCAGCGGAAACTCGCCCACGGTCGCGAAGAGAGAGAACTGGTGGGGCGGCTACTGATTTCGCTGCGGCGGTGGCTGCACAGCGTACCTTCAACATCTCTCTGCTGTACTCTCATCTTGCTGGATAATTCATTTGCTGTCTCTATCGTTGCATGGGTCGCTTGACTGGTCGACTGTTTGTTGGCTTTGTTTTATGTCTCATCTGCTTCATCGCATACTCGTCGCAGATATTTATAATATGGCCTTGGTACGGCCGCGAGCTATCCGTTGAGCTGCTCAGCCTATTGGTTCCATTCAAGTGTGTCAGATCTGTCCGAAGAGTGCTTGTGTGCGACTGATGTTTGAATGCTGCTAGTACACTTGTCGGAATGCTGCTATGGAATTACTACCTATGCGTCGTAACAGACCCAGGTACAGCGCCCGAGCGATGGGTGTGTCCTGGATCTGCTGCACGGTAACGCTTCCGATCTGACTGTGCTCATGCAGCAACCAGACGTCCAGGATAGTGACGGCTACGAGGTGAAGAAGCTCACAAGACGTCCGAGGTATTGTCGGACATGTGAAGCGTACAAGCCGCCACGGGCTCACCACTGCAAGCAGTGCAAGCGGTGAGCAGCGCTTCTATCGTATGTGGGCTCATGAATTTAAACATCATGGATGTGCTAGGTGTATATTGCGCATGGGTGAGCAAAAAAAAAGCCAATCGGCCGGTGGCAATCCCTCTTATGGTTTGGGCGTATGTGTAGATCACCATTGTCCGTGGGTAAACAACTGCGTCGGCCACTTCAACTATGGCTACTTCATCCGCTTTCTCTTTTATGTCGACTTGGCATGCTCATATCACTTCGCAATGGTCACTCGGCGGGTATACGTTGCCACTCAAACTTGGGTGCGTGAGGCAGTGTCAAGGAAGTGCCTGCAAGGCTGACGATTGAGCCTTGAATTCAGGATTACTTGCCTAGCACGGAGATGATCTTCATCATTCTTAATTTCGCGACTTGCATCCCTGTTTTACTAGCGGTGGGCTCGTTCAGGTCAGCGCCCTAGTGCATCTCATCGTGACATCACTGACGCTTCAATTATGCTTGTCGCACATAGCCTCTATCACTTTTACGTCATGTCATGCAATACCACGACGATCGAAGGATGGGAGAAAGATAAAGTTGCAACACTTGTCCGCCATGGCAAAATTCAAGAGGTTCGTTACTTTCATGTCCAAGTCCATTCTCAACGCAACCATGCTGACTACCTTTTCTCGTGATAGATTAAGTTCCCATATGTATATCGTGGTACCTTTCAGTTTTTCACAGGACTGAAATTGCGATAATTGCAGAACCTCGGCATCAAGCGTAACATTTGCTCCGTGCTCGGAGACAGCCCTCTATGGTGGTGCTGGCCGACCGTGCCTCCGGGCACAGGGCTCAAGTATCAGCTTGCCGAAGGAGATGGTGAGTGGATCGAGCTCAACGCGAGGCGCTACAGGGAGGCAGGCTATGAGTACGGCATGCTCGAGGTTTGACCGGGCGGAGATCAGGGACGAGGTTACACCTCAGGTGTGCTGCTATCAAGATATTGTTGACATGTAAGAACTTATACGCGCTTCACGTTTTCTACAAGCAGCGTCAGATGCGCCTCTACTCTCTTTTTCAGTGACTGACTGCTACGTTGAAGATCTGTCGCTAATGCTTTCATAGACTCGACCGCCGAGGCATGGCCTCCTGAGGATCCTACCAAGGTCAACCAACTACCCGAACCCGATCCCAACTATCAATTCAACCTCCCATCAAGCCCCTGGACATATTCAAATGGGTCTCTCAACCCGAATTTACAGCCCTCCAATGCGCATCACCGGTCTACCTCTCGTCGCCGATCGCGTGGCGTGGCAACACATTCGCCTCTGCCACCATACCATCCAGATTACCACGAGTCACAGGATGATCCGTCCTATATATACGACCCCTCTAGCGAGGAGGAGGATCTTGATGATACTCCGTTTGGAAGAGAGTTTGCGGGAGGAGCAGCACGCGTGCGCAGGGGTTCAGAGGGGTACGAAGTGAAAACGATCGATAGAGAGGCGATGCTGCGGATGATGGTGGATGAACGGATTCAGGCGCCAGGAAGGTATCAACAGTACGTTGCAGAGCAATATGGGGATGACGAGGAAGGGAAGGAGAATTTGGAGGACTTTGTACCTCTGGCGAAGACGGGACGTACCGAAGGGGTTAGAACGTGATACACATTGGGACACTCTCGCATTTACCATGACTATTCACACAGGACTTACAGATAGTGTACTTAATGGGACTCGCCGGATTCGCATTAATCTTATTCGCATCACTATCTATCTACCACCGCATAAGGCATCCAACAAAGAAAAAACAAACAAAGCACCAAATCGTAACACAACTGAGGTCACAGAGGAAGTATCCTGTCCAAATATACTCTCCACGGCACGCCACCTTTTTCCCCCAGTTCGAGTACACTGGGCCCGATGGGCAGCTCGACTTCCCACTCATCATTAGCATCGTTAAGGCCCTTGACGACAGCGCCATTCAGCCTGAGCTGTACTTCCCCGTGGGGACGCGGCGCCTTCATAGGCGCTTTGCCCTTGCTCTTCATCTTCGCAGGCTCTGGCAGCTTGACAGGTTCTGGCTTGGGCTTCTTCCGCGGCCGCCCTCGCGACCGCTTCTTCGGCTGTTCCTCTTCCTCCTCTTCCTCCTCTTCCTCTGCACGCTTCTCGTCCTCGCTGCTCTCCTCGTCTTCCTCCAAAGCCGGCAGGAACTTCACGTTTGACACGCGCACACCTGTCTCTCCCATAAGGCGGATTGCATACACTTTCACGCCGTCTGTGTGATCGAGCTCCAACCTGCGGCCAAGCGGTTTGGTAGTTAGCATGACGGACTGCAGCTGTCGATGTCTTGTCGTGTCGGTAGTGGCAGGCAGCTGCGATGTAGACGGAATTGGCACTGGCATAACAGCGGCAGTGGCAGCAGCATTACTGCCTGCAACAACCGTCGATGTCGATGTGAGTGGAGCTGGGGCCACGGTTGGAGGAACGATCGGCGTTTGATAGACAGCATTCGGGTAGTATTTACTCTGATAGGGCTGCTGGGGGAAAGTGGCAGGTTGCAGAGTCCCTGTGACTGGCGTTAACGTTGGTGCAACCGGCTTCGGTTGTATGGGGACGGGAGCAGGAGCTATCTTGAGCAACGGCGCTGGCGCTGACGTTTGTGTATGGTAAGTTGTGACCGGTATAGGCGTTGCTGTAGGAGTTTGAAACGTGGCAGCAGACTTGATATTATCTGGTGAGGACTGAGTCGCTGAGCCGTTCGTAGGTTGGCTATGTTGCGGAGGTATTCGAAGAGTACCGAGGGAAGGCGATGGGTTGAGTGGATGAAAGGAAACCGTAGCTGCTGTGGATTGAGCAGATTGGTGGCCTGAAGGGACAGGTACTTTCAATTTGATCTTGGTGTGATGCTCTGATGAGTATATAGGGATGGAATATGGAGCTGGTAGGTCGGACATCAATTGTCGGAAGTACTCCTGAGAGACACTGAGTGAGCTGTCACGGTTGTGTTAGTATCTGTTGCATACCCGTAACATAACGGCATCATTTGAGATAGGAGTGTTGTCCTGGTTGAATTCCAAAGCATTCGAGAAGACGAGCTCCACGTCATTCGCAAAATCTTGTGACGAATGATACTCTTTCCGCTTCAGACGTTTCTGAGTGGCGAAGATGTTATAGATGAGTTATATAAACGAACGATCGACGACGCACGAAGATATTCTCCAGGCACTGAGGACGCTTGATAGTTTTGTAATATATAGGCCACTGCTTTTTGTTCGGAAGCTCCATGAACTCTGTCGACAGAAGACGTTCACTGACGAGATAGTGTCAGCTAATGGCACAACAGACACTGAAGTAACAACTCACGAATCATCTGTTTTCTCGACCAATTTCTGTAACCGCGACTTGAGTAGACGAGTCATGTTCGGAGCTTTCTTCTTCTTGCCTCCTCCTTCATCGTCTGATACCCCAGCTTGCGCATGCCCACCAACATGCTCGTCGCCTTCGTCTGCGCCATCGGCGGCGGCATCGTCGCTGATGCCAGTCATCTTGACGTACTCTCTTGAGACGAGTTTCTGTTACGGAACCCGTTGTGAGTACAAAAGCCGGTGGAAACGCCCAAAAAAGACGCAGATGAGACAAGAACTCACATGAAGATGCTTGGCATCTTTCCAGATCTGACTCTCCCTCATGTTATACCTCTTTGCGTTGCGGAAACATGTATCAAAATCCTGCTTGACATCTTCAAATGAGGCATATGCTCCTGCGTCGAGCTGCGCTTTGATCTCGTCGAGAGCTATTGGACGCTTGATCTGTTGATAATAGTCTGGATACTGTCTTTTCGAAGGCAAGCGCATGAAGTCGTGCGAGAGCGCCCTGCCTCTGCACGATCCATATCGAATTTACGAAGGAAGATGACAGGTCGTAGCAGTCATGGTGAGTAGCAATCATACGGATGGTGAAAGTACGTTCGTGAGATGCAAACGCGCGGAGTCAAAATGGGCTGAGGCTGCAAGAGATTGTCACGCACTCTTTGTTCACCGCGTCCTTCACTGTCTGCCACAACTGCAGTCCTTTCTCCTTGATGGTCCCGCGATCCTCTCTAGCAGGCGCCGGCCCCCCTGTCTCCTTCTTGACAGTCTCAGCGGAATCTGTGGCAGCAGTTTGCTCTTTCGACGCTGAACTGTTTGCAGTTGCGGTGGCTTCCTTGCGCCGCTTGGCGCGCGGTGCGTCGATGTCAACGCCTGCGGCTGCAATCTGGCTTGCTTCTCTCTTCGACATCGTCTGATGATATATCGATGCGTAGGGGCCGGGGAGCACTATCTAGCAAGCTCAGCGTAGGGTACAGCGGCAGCAGGCCTGGATATCTGACTGCTCTTCAGAGTTCGTTGGTGTGGGCGGCACGGCTACCCTGTTATGGGATGTTCATCACGTGTACGGACGCGTCCTGCGTCGGGATGGGCGCCTATGTACTCCTCTTAGTTATAGACTAATATACTGCGTCCGTCCGCCGTCCGCGCGCACGTCCGCGCGCACGCTTAGACTCGAAGTCGAGCAGCTTTACACCTGCTGAGCGTAGCTGGACTAGGTGCACTCAACCTGTTATTTCGCATCACGTTCAAACCGTGCTTCTGTAAACCAACGGCGTCTCGCATGACAGTGATATGACCGCCATGGCGTACGTCGTATAGACTCTCTTCATATTACTACTAGTTGAGCATATATGAATACTTTCGGATGGGATGAGCACAGAAATGAACAGGGACCAAGAGGACTGTTGTCCAAAAGGCATGACACACTCTATGTTGATGACCAGACGGTCATCTTCCTCGTACGTGCTCACACGACGGCTTGATAGTGCTGTAAATAAATATATTGTCTTTGCTATAGGTTGAAGGTACTCTGTTCAGAGTACATCAGCATTTTTTCAAAAAGCACTCCAAGGTCTTCGCGGGAATGTTCACCCTTCCACAGGGTTCTGGAAAAGCCGTTGAGGGGCAAAGCGACGGCAATCCGATTCTGTTGGAAGATGTCTCCAATGTCGACTTTGAGCGGCTGCTGTCGCTATTCTATTCAGAGTAAGTCTTATCTCAACAGCATTTCTTTACATGGGTTAGCTGATCGACTGGCTTCGGTGTACTAACGCCACCTCCTTGACCCTAGATGCCCTGGCGACGGTGATCTCCACACCGTTGAAGAATGGGCGTCGGTCCTCAATCTTGCCACCAAGTGGGAGTTTGTGGTCCTTCGCGACCTCGCTATTGCACGTCTGTCGCAGCTCGCGTCTCCCGTTGAACGCATTCTGCTGGCACGATCCTACGATGTCAGCCAATGGATCGCACCCGCTTATTTCGAATTATGCAAGCGCGACGAGCCTTTGACGCTTGGGGAAGGCGAGCGTTTGGGCATGAAGGATGTGATATTGCTATCGGAGATCCGTCAAAGCATCCGAGGGAACTTCAGGGTTACCATACAGGACAGAAATATTGCTGCTCTCATTGAGAAAAAAATTGTATAGAACAACACCCCACCCCTGCCCGCGTCATGTCTACGTCCAGTTCGCCATCATACTCGCGCCATTTTGTATTTGCTGTACGTCTCGCTTTCGTCAATGTGACTTCACTGAGCAATTGTCTCACATCCTCGCTCCGCTAATTTTGCCACTCTAAGCTCCCTCATTCGCTTCTTTGCAAACCGCGTGTGAACGTTCAAACCTCCATTGAACGCCCAATCCGCTCGCTCCCACTGCTCCTCAACCCTAGAATCCTTAGCATGAATCCTGTTTTCAGGGTTACGAATGGAATAACTGCGAAGGAGCTTGGCTCCTCCAGGCTGAAGCAGAAGTCTCCGTGAGCTTTGAAAAACAAAACTGCGGATAGCAATCACAACGCACGTGTTCCTGAAGATAGCTGGTGACCTCTACGACGAAGCCCTCGATTATCAGAACGCATCGGCCAAATTTTCGTCCACCTTCGATGTAATCTTCTACCTCTGCCCATGTCCATGTTACCCCGGTCCACTCGTTGCTGTCAAGGACGATATCTGTCTCGGGGATACGCTCTCCGTGCTGATTAACCTTCTGAATGATGTTTCTCCTCGCATTAGCCACCTCCTCCGCGCTTGCACGCTTCAATCCCCATACAGATCCCGCGGCATGGAGGGCGAGAATGACCCATTTGGATGGATCCCAGTCATACTTCGATGGGCCAGAACGGTAGTCGTGGGGGAAAGCATGCTGTTCACCAGTGAGTTGAACGGTGGAGATACTAGAATGTACCGCTCACATGCTAGAAAATCAAATTGACGATGGTTAGGATTAACTGGCTCCCGATCGTGCCAGGAACTTACAAAATTATGGTTGCCCTCGCCACAAGTCAGGAGCGCAACGATCTGGCAATCTCAAATGAGCGAAGCACTGGTATGGAATTTGTCAAAAAAGACGCACGAAGTTCGACCTGGAGGTATTTTCGTCAGAGTACGGCTGAAGGCCGTGCCAGTGCGCAAGACTTTTATCCGGGAGGGTAAGTGCTGCATAATTATTTGGATGCAATTTAATGAACTTACGAATTGACGAAAAAGGTGCAATGCCATACTATGATAATATAGATATTTCAGTTATGCAGGGTTCAGTCACGCCTCATGACCATCTCACCGAGCAATTTAGCTACTAGCGAGCCCCAGACGAAAGCACCGCATGCATCTTTCCACATCGCTCCTATGAGGGGCGGTAACAGCATGCCGAAGATCAAAGCCAGTGGTACTGGAAACAAAATCAACCGTGTTCACCGGTCATATGTCGTGTGCTCCCTCACCATAGTATCTGTGCTGAAAACGTACCACTATTGGCTAGTCAATCAATCAGGACAAGGCGGTGGAAAAGGAGTACGCACCGGGATCATTCTCAAGGTCTTCACGGTCTATCAATTCAAGTCGTTCATAACGCGGCTTGAAGAAAATCCAGCCCATGTGTGACCATAAAAGACCCTTTGTGGCGGCATAGCTGTCATAGTAATCCGTCCATCCACGGGTGACCAGGGGAGAGCGGTCAATACTGACTGACTCAAAAGGGCGACAAACTCACGGATCATGCAGTGGATCGTCTGTAAAACGCTGCGTACAGGGAAGACCATCAACAACGTCCTCAGGAGGACTGAAAGCGAAACGCGTACATGGTGTAACCGATGTCTTAGACACCTGCGAGGATACACGTCACTCTAAGATAACCCCGAATAACACCGCTATTTCAATGACTTACCACCACTTCGCACCGGTCAGTGATTTTCGGGGACCATGAGTGGGATGTGCTTACTTTAATCGACCCTTGCATTCCACTAGCCCCGACTGCAGCCAATAGCGCTCTGACAGGTAGAGTCGCCCGAAATGCTCTGTGGGAATACAGTCGATGATAGCCCACTGTGATGCTGGTGGCAGAAAGAATCTGTCAATGTCGCCAGTGCTTGTCATGTCCGAGAATGTGACCCTACGACAGCTCTACGACCTGGAAGAGCGTGAAGCTCAGTAGCAATGTTGCAGGAGGCACAGAAGCAGGCGGGTATCGATAGACGCCGACACATGCCGCGACATGAACTGCTACAAAGAATAAAGCATTTGACCACCATATCTTGTGGTTCTGCATTTTCTCGAGGAGGGGGGCAGCAAGACGTGCGCGATCTCAGAGCACCAAGCGATAGGAGAAAACAGCTGCGCAAGCGAGTATGGCATCCTGCCAGCTTACGCGCGGGCTACTATACAGTCTATGCGCTGATCATATTAATCAGGGCATTGATACTTCGGATGAGTCGCTCTTCGATATTTGAGGTTCATGCCACGATGCTTCTACAGCTTATGATCCGGTCAAACGGATGGCATTTGATGAGTTAGATGGTAGGCATGCTACATCATTCTTAGCACGCACGGACGATCAAGGCAACTGCATGACCCAGTCTGCATAAACTTCTATCTTTGACATCGCCGAGGGAAGCGTAGCATGCATGATCTATTGACACAAGAAGAGAACACGGATTCGTACGACTGGCAGATAAGCGTGTCGTAGATCTCATGGAGTGTAGCAGTAAGAGTGGGCTGGAGGGATCCACGCCGACCACTGGTTCGGTATAGCCAGACCATGCGCGGATGGGCTGGTAGGTTCTGACAGTGTTCCTGACAAGCCCGAGTGGTGGTAGTGTGGTGTCTCGTAGCCGTACGCCTGGTCTGTTGTAGTATGGGTCATAGGCACGTACATCCCTGGCATGAGAACGTGAGGTGACTGCATTGGCTGATCGAGTGGTGTTCCCATCGTGCCAAGTGGTTCAGATGCCGCGCATGGATACAATGCCGAGGTCGGATGCTGTTCGTAGAACATCCACGCAGAAGCGGATGCATTCGCGTGAGATTGCTCATATAGCGAGTCGGAAATGTGGCTACGGGAAGGATGTCCCACGAAGTCGGATGCCGGCAAGGGTGTAGGAGAATATATGGCGATGTCGGCCTCATGAATGGACGAGTCCATCCAGTGTTCGCCTGGCATGGCTCCCCTAGCGACATCGTATGAGGCGTGCATTTCGTATGAACCAGAGGACACGATTGTCGTCAAAGAATCGGGCGAATAGGAGAGCATATGTTCATCGAGGCTCTCTGTAGACGATGTGGTGCTGGCGGCAGATGATGACGACACGGAGAAGTTTCGGGATCTCCTTTTTGAAACAGAAGATACTTGATGACCCGATTTCTCTGCATTGCGAGATGCACCGCGTATAAGGTGATTGTATCTGTATAGAATGAACATCGATGCGCGATATTTGATGCGCAACTTCGTACCTATTCTTGACAGCAAGACCAGTACGTCCAGGAAGTAATGTCCGAGCTATGGTGGCCCATGAGTGTCCTAGCTCCGAAACGGCCTTCAGAAGCCGCTCGTCCTGACGAGAATCGTAAATCCCGTAAACAAATTGTCGATTTGGCTATGAAGAGTATAATCACCTCTTCATGGCTCCAGCGGCTACGGTCGATGGACGGATTGAGGGCATCATTCCAGCGCTTGGCGCATTCTAGCTCGTCGCATTAGCTACCAGTTTGACATTCGTAGCACGAAGCAACTTACGCCCACTATTCCTAGTCCCTACTCTGTTTGCCACAAGAGCCCACCTAGACCGTGTCCACTGTCAGCTAGCTCTTGCAAACGAACTATTCCAGAAACGCACTTGTGACCAAGTTCGGCAACGGCGTTGCATAGGCGCTAGTAGTGGGCGTTAAGCTCAGGTCTGGCCGAGGCGACCAATGTCGACTTTACCTCATCCTCATCGCCGGTCCAGCAGCCCTTCGACACGCTCGAGGCCATCTGTGCCCACCATCGTTTGCGACAATCTTTGTTTGTCCTGTGTGGTATATGCTGTGAGATGGCATGCCAGCGAGTCGGGGGATGAGCATTGGGATCCTCTACTCGCATGAATGTCAATGAACATAGCCTGAACTGTTTAGCACGATGTGTTCACCTATTTCAATCGCTAAGCGTAACATCTCGTCTTCCTCTTCCGTCCATGCTCGCCTGTCGCGAGATTGATAAACGTCGTGCTGTGTGTGCATGGGGAACTTGCGGCGAATTGGCGAATCAAACGTGCGAAGACATCCTAGATACCGGGCATTGATATATGGTTCCCGATGCCGCTTACTTGATTGTTGTAGCGCTCAGAGGCCTTGAAGGATATGTTCACCACAGCGCTCAATGCCAAGCATCTAGATCAAGGCATCAGTATAAGCCACCATCGCTAATCAACCCCGTTGTTTGTCCTCGTGATAATAAAGCTAAATAACAGCTCATCTAGCAAGCGTTAAGATCACGAAAGGCAGCCCTGCCTCCACTGCTGGAGAAGACGCCGCGAATAATTGAGTAGCACAGCCACGATATCTGTCATAATCGTTGCTCTGAATGGAAGGAACGCTTCCGTACGCGCATGGATTCTGCTATTACCACGATGACGGCATTACCGGTCAGGGTACAATCGATTAAGTTGGTGATGCTTGGGAAAGACCACGCGAAAAGTCAACACTCACTGAAGTATTACACGTTGCGAGGTGCCCTTCTGATTTCATGTCCGAACAGCCCCAAACGTCGGTGTTCCATCCCGCCAAGGCGTCAATTCAGTCAGCGGCTTTGTGCGTGATGCACTTTCGTTGACGCCTTCTGACCCCGCAGGGAGAGAGAGGCATATTTGAACCAACGCTGCATGGGCTCGAAGAGCGATTGCAAATGCACTGTCTCATGGTCGCAATGCTGAGATTGGTACGTTTGGTATTACCAGTCAATCTCCGAGCATCTATCGTAACACCACCTTGATTATCTGGCCAGAACATCTACATTCAAGCGTGCCACTTTAGGTTACGCATATGCGTCACTGACAATGCCGAGAAACCATGTTGTGGGAAGTCAGCTTGCGCGCCTCATTGTTCATGAAACTTACGGGGACGGGCTATTCGGTAAGAAAACATTCGTTACTCAGCAGCAACCGGTTTTTATAGGACTGCACCTACGAAATGGGGTGTCTCAAGCTCATTTCGCGCGCGCTCAGAGTAGAGGAGCCCATCGTCGGGAAGTCTCCGACTGCAAAGCACCCAATGCTGTCGTAGGTCAAATACGTGTTGTCGGCGCATTCCCTCCGATCACGGAAGAACCCTTCAATGAGGAGCGCTCGGCGTATGCAATGATTCAGCTCCACGCTCTCCTGGGTGCAGAACGGAGAGACCCTGAGTCTTGTACATATTAGACCTGAAACCAATGTTCCGGATAAGTTGCTATCAGAAGTCGAGGATCATCGACTTGCCCGCCAAAGCTAGTGCTTTGACTAGAAGGATCTAGACGCTTGGCTTTCGGAAGATATCTACGTCAAAAAGCGCAGTTTTCAGAAGACAACAAAAACAGTCCGTGCCTTTCATCAAAAGCCGGTCGGGTGCAGCGCGGCGAGTCGGAATGCTGGCTCGATCCCGCCGGCTCAGCTACACGTGGAACCAGTCGCAGCGGCAAGCTTCAGCGGGGCAGAAATACCGTGATGGGAGATAGAACTAGAATCTCACAATCCACCAATGTAATCTCGGCGGCAAGTGATCTGATCTGGAGGCTGCATGCCCCGATCCCAACGGAACCTGCAGTGCATCGAGGTCGATGATATTAATTTTGCATGTTGCATGGAACGCTGACCGACGCATCGCCCAAGGTAAGAAATGGTGACCGTCAGATATCTGTGATCAGTCGCCATCCGAAGAGGGACTCGATGTAGCTTCTCCCGCCGACACCTAGAAGGAGCAATTAGTCACAAGTGTTGACCAAAATTACAGTCCCGAACAACGCATGGGAATGCTTCACCGTACTGAACCAGCAGGTGACCCGGATATCCGGGAGCTAAGGGTGAAATGCGAGTGGAAGATTGTCCGATGCTTCGACGTTCCTTGAACTTCCCAGTCCGTCGGAACATGGCTCTCTCGTGCACTTCGTTTGCTTCTTGAGTTCGACAGGAAGACCGACAGTTGCAAGGAGGTCCAGAAGCGGAGTCAGGCCGCAATTGATTGTCCGAGATGACGCCAACAAGCGCGGGATATGCTGCGAACATTAATGCAAACTTAAGTCCGCACTGGCATGAGAGTCGTAGCTAGGGAGTAGACGCGGTCATGTGACCGTGGTGCGTCGGAACAGCCACCGGTCTCTGGCCCAGCGACGCCGCGATGAATTGACTGTGAACCGTATGTTCGGATGTTGCCTGTCTCCATTTTCTTGCAAGCTGATCCGCTGTGAATCTCCTAGGAAACTGATAGCGTACCTTGGAACAACTTGTGCTTCAGTTCTCTCTAAATGGTACTGCCAATGTCCTCTCTCCGCCAACCTGAAAGGTAAATTGACCGATGGCCGAACAAATGGTGTTGCTTCCAACCTCGTCGAATATAGATACCTCGCGATCGAAGTTTGTATTGACTCGGTAGAGTCCGCTATCTCGTATGCCCTGCCGCGTTGCAAATTGGCGCACTATGTAAAGCTGACCTGACTCCGTTCTAGCGCCGTTCGCGGCGGTGCCGATAGACTGGAGCTATGCGGTAACCTTGCACTTGGTGGTGGTACGACGCCAAGTCTCGGTCTCTTCAAGATGATAAGACAAGCTACCCTTAATGTCCCAGTTATGGTAGGCCACGACCATTCTTAGGATGTCTATGAATAGATACTAGAAACTTCGCGTTTTCCGTCTATGCCTTCCCCCAGGTGATGATTCGTCCGCGTACTGGAGATTTTTGCTATACTGAGGATGAAGTCAACATTATGATCGAAGACATCCGTGTTTTCAAAGAGGAGGGCGCATCCGGCATAGTATTCGGCATTCTGACAAAGGAGGGCTCAATCGACACAGCCCGTACCACGAGGTGACTGTATTGTCAAGGGTTGTCGGTTTAGTTCAAGTCGAGCGCTCATGGGTTCGCGTCTTCTAGACTGGCTCGGGTGGCGTCGCCGATGCAAGGTGAGCTTGTCGCTATGGTCCACTATTAGCATCAAACTGCCGCGAAATCATAATGGTCGTCAAAAGTCTGCTTCCACAGAGCATTTGACATGACGCCGAACCTCCTCACAGGTATGCAACGGTTTATTTACATCAGATGTTGGATTTATCTACATCAGATGTTGATTCATGTATTATCAATGTCATTTTTGCAGCACTCCACGATGTCCGTACCATCCCGCATATTACGCGGATTCTGACGAGGTGGGTCTTCGAGAATTCAAATACAACTACCAATCATTCTGCCGCTGATAATAGTTCCTGGCCGCCGTAGCGGTGGCTCTCCAACCATCGACGTCAGCACGCTTCAGACAATCCTACAGGCTGCTTCCGACAGCCCGAAAGGAGACCATCGTAGTTCGCCGACGATTCTCCCCGTATCTGGAATCAACGCTTCGACTGTGAAGCCGCTCTTAGACGCCCTTCTCCCAACTCTCTCTGAGATCCACCTCAGCGCTGGCAGGTGGATCCCGAGCAAGATGGAGTATCATCGAGACGGAATGGGGATGGGGATCGAAGACGGAGAATGGGCTGTATGGCGTACAAGCGAGGAACACGTCCGCGAAGTGAGAAGGATAGTGGATTCGATGTGTACGCAAGATGCACAAGGGATGTCGTAAGGAGATACTGGACTTGTACGCGTCGAGCAAGCCAGAGTAAATGCTGACATACGTACTATAGGTTCTCGTACATAGATCATGTATAACAATTCAAGTTTTTGGCCAAACCGCTTCAGATCTGCATCAATGGGTGCATATGATCTCAACTAAGATTAAAACCAAAAAGATCAGCAAAACATGATGCACGAAGAGGACAACCTGATCCCCGGGACCAACGTACAGACCGCGTCCTTCGCTCTCCCACAGAGATAAATCCTCCGCCTGAAGCCTGAAGAACCTCCGAGTGGCCAAACGTTAACGGAAGGTAATGCAAGATCTTGTCACGCATTAGTCACATCTTGCCGTGAAACTCCGATGTGTCGGCAAACGCGGCAAGTCGGCAGATGAGTGATCGGCTGGAGCTGGATTCCAAGCGGCGGTGGCTGACGCGCGTCACGCAAAGCATGCCGGCTCACAAACAAACCTGGTCTTTTTATTATGCGGATGGACTCTATGTGAGGATTCTTCACTACATAAAGTGGAGGATGCAGTCAAGAGGGACGGTGTAGATCTACGGATTTCGAATGCAGCCGCAGTGATTGTCGTTGTACAACACGATCGCGACCACTCGTACTCAGTACTCAGTACTCATCCGACTAGCTGTCGGAGTGATGTCGAGGGGTTTCTGCCATGCAACAAACATTAATGGCATTTTGGTTTTATTCTATCTGAGTGGACTAGAGCTCCACAGACAATTGCTCAGATTGGGGCTGTTTTACAGGAAACACGAGCGTGGCTGGATATGTAGGCTGCGCATCAGACGGTCTTCACCGCTTCAACCTCATTTCCAAATCCTCTAAACCCCTCTCCCAAAACGAAGACAGCAACACGCAATGATAATAACGAAGATGAATTCATAAGGCAGATACATGTACAACAGACTCCATCCACATGAGTTAGAAAGACCCAGACATGAAAGTCCACGAAACCCGTCAATGACCAAGACTCTCATAAAAACGAACGATCTGACCAATCCCGGGACAAACCGCCAAACGGACGCGCTCGCTCTCCCGACTCGTAATCACCTTTCCCTTGCTCTCAAACCAGGCGCCCGTGCCGCCGTCACGCATCAAGTCGCTCCTGGCCTTGACGAACTTGGCGAGGCGGTCCCGCTGGATCGACCATTTCAGCCTTCGCATGGTGGCTATTAGCGAAGTTGAGACCACAGATGACGTCGATTCCTCCGGAAGCACTTGCGCGGAGTAAATATTCAGAAGCGACCGTGCGGAGCGCTTGCGCAGGGTAGATTCAATGATGTTACCCGCGTGAGTACGCTGAAGACGGCGGGAGGTCTCATACTGCGACACCATCTGTGCGACCGAGATGAACATTCAATAAGATATGCGAATATCCTGACGAAAGAAGTGGTTGGTGCAGCGTACGTGCTGAGAATGAAAATACATCCCTGCCCTCCATCTTCTCTCAATGCCCAAACCGCGCATGATGTTTCGCCGCACCAAGTCAGCGACGGTGGGCCGCAGAGGCATGCCACTGGGACTTTGTCCGAAGAGCGAATGCGATAGCCGAGACGGCGCCACGACATGCAGCCGCAAACGGTGTAGGACAGGGTCTTCTACGTAATGAGCGAGTTCCGGGGAGACTTGCGCCAGAATGGATAGGTCGGGAATGTCAAGGAATGATACTGTCAGCAGATTAATGAGCCATTTCGATGGACCGCCGTGCAAGTGGAGACCGCACAAATATGAAGCAGTATCTCCGGAGGTATTGCCAGAAGCCAGCTGGACGTCGAGAAAAGCTCTTTCGCCATCTCGAAAAGTAGGTTTACGACAGACGAGGTGGTGGAACGAGACAGAGCAGCGTCGGGATAGAAGAGCGACGCGGGATAGAAGAGCGACGAATGGGGCTCTGGAGGCACGTGCCACTGCGGGCAAGTGACGTAGGGCGTCAATGGCTGTGTGCCACAAAGGTTCCTCTTCCCTTGTTGCATCGATGCATGATGTACAGCAACTTTGCTTAGCAGATGTGCCCGCGACTTATGCAGAATCAGCTTTGAGGACATATTCGTAGCGGGCATGAAGTCGAGCAATGCAATGGACGAGGTCTACGAGAGCATGATAGCCGGGGCATGCATTAACGTTGGGTATGATAGTATCCTACATCACATCACATTGCATACGAGAAAGTCAACTGAGCAGCACGTCAACTTCAAAGCCACACCACGAAGAAACAGCTGCTACCTACCAGGAAAACACAATAATAATACACACCGTCTCACGCCGCTGCATTCCGAGCATTCGCTCGACCACCTCCAGGTCTCTTCCTTCCGCCGCGGCCAGGGCGCCGTGCATTTCGTTTCGCTTGGCAAAAGTCGCAGAACCAGGACCCCGACGGAGCTTCTGGCAATCCGATACAAGGCAGATGGAACTGCGTATCACAGTAAGTCAACACAATGCACTACCTATCTTTCCCATAAGAAGCACTTACCCATTCCCGTTCGCAATTCTCTCCGTCGCAAGCAACCATGACCCCGTAGTTGAATCCATTGCAGTAGCAATACGTGCGCCCGTCGTCGGCTTCGCCATCACCCTCCGTCCCTCCATGCACAGATCCCTCTCCTGCTTCCACCACAACACCGTCGGCATAGTTCCGCGCGACGGGCATGCCAGGGCCCTCGAGCTGTCCGTGGGTCCAATCCGTGGCACCGTTCACGACACGTGAGTTGTTGGTACCTTGAAGACCGTTCGCATATGGTACAGGAAGGGAGGGATGGGCAGCGGACGGCGGACCTTCGTACACATCGTGTCGAGGCGAGTCGACTTGCACAGCGGCATGATCATTGTTCGCAGTACGCATTCGTTTGTTGGCATTTCCGTTGGTTCGTCCATTAGCGGTCTGTCTTGACGTGGATGGCCCTGATCCTTGGTTTGCCAATTGTGGCAACGGCGAGGCTATGGAGACCAGCGACTCCGCAGGTGAGGGTGCGCGTTCCGGGCTATGATAAACTCCCAGTCAGTACGATGGCACTATATAGAGCAGGATGAAAGTCAACCGTTTAGTCCTGGCCGTATTGCGTGGTCTCGAGGCATCCACTATTCTCTCCTTCCTCGGCGTCCTGCCAACTGGGTCAGGATCGTCATCCTTTGCACCTGCTTTCCTCTTCTTGGTGGGGCTCGCATCAACTGCGCCATTGTTAGCAAAGTTGCCGTACACCCCAGCTCCAGCTCCTCGTCGCTGCCTCCGTCCGCCCTCGCCAGCAGTACCGAGGGGCATGTAGGAACGCGCGGCTACATGAGGATAGATCGTCTTCCTGCACAGCAGATCGATGCTGCCAAAGTCGGCGTCGGTGATCTCGTGTATAAGAGTCTTCATGTGCATCCTGTGTGCCCTGAGCCCGTCGGCCGCGTGGCACGCAACGCGAATCTTGTCCTCGCCACCGAGTTTGAGCCGCGTCGCCTCGTCCGCAATCTCGGCGAGCAGCCACAAGCGGTCTTCCTTGGATGCGACGTTGTTCTCGAGCATGACGGTGAGCTGGGTGATCTTGGTGGTGAGGACAGACATGGACGACGACAGCACGGCGTCGAGCTCGCGAAGATCGGCGAAGTTGCGCGAGAGGTCGAGCGGCAGGGAGTCGAGGGTGTGCGTGTACTCGCCCAGGATAGCGAGCGCGTGCGCTGTCGCCATCGAGGACGGCGTCGTGAGATTGGGCAGACGGCGGGACATGTCGCTGCCGCGCTGGTCGTCGATAGAAGCGATGAGCAGAATGGAGGGGCCGTGCACGGCGGGACGGGCGAATTTGCGTGCACGAGTGGGCTGGGAGCACGTGGCCTTCGATCGTTATTTCTCCATGTGGGTGTCGCGTGCGGCGCATCAAACCGAGCCCATCCAAGAAAGCAACTGCGCGACCCAGCGGAGTCCTGGATTGTGGTCCGTGCGCGCTCTGGGCACAGGATCATCCGTGCTACGGTCTATCAGAGTTGTTGGCTTGGAAGTGCAGCAGATAATTGAGTGCTGTGTCGTCGCGACCAAGCGAATTGTGGGAACGTCGGCACGATACCGCCCTCCGCAAAGTGGCGGCTGTGCGGAGTCGCTAACGGGCTGTCCATCGTGACAGTCTTGAGACTCTCACCCTCCTTTTTTGATGCTTTTATTCTAATATTCTACGCTCTTTTCTTATGGACTCTCCATCGTTCGTGGTAGTATCATCCTCGCCCGACCATCTCTATCCCTCGCCGCTCTCCACGCCGCCGCCCACCGCAACGAACACGCCGCTGCTCACCCCCGACGACTGCGAGTCGTCTGATTCAACCGATATCGTCACGATATATTCTATGTACGAGGAGGAATCAGGCAGCTGGTCTGCTCCCCCGCCCACCGTGGGCCACTGCTTCCGCCCGTCGAAAGACCACGACATCGACGTGACCGTCTTGGGCGTCGACGCTCCACAAGCGACTGCGAAGTGGGGTGAGAGGCCGCTCGAGGACAGCGCGTACTTCGAGACCGACGACTGGCAGCGCTCAAGCATGCTTGACAAGCCACGCGACTCGGGCGAGCCTGATGGGTTCAGCAGACCGCCGTCCAGCGACATCCGCATCCCCCGGACATCCCAGTCCGACAATCAAAGACTCTCAGTACCGCGGGTCCTGTCGAATTGCTCCTCGTTGTCCACGTCGACGGACAGTCGGATATCAGCTGGATACGAGCATGAGAGCAAGTACAGCGATGCCCTCAGTAACTTCACAACCAGCTCCTCCTCCGCATCCACGGGGCTTCCCAAGTCGCCACGACCACAGACTCTGGGCAGCCTGTCAGACGATGACACCCCCCGTGCATCCTCCTCAAGTACAGTGCAGCCACAAGAGAAGGCTTCAATAACGACTGCATCGCAACCGTCACTCTCATCCCCACCCGCTCCATCACAACCTCTGCTCACGCCGGTATCTTCTCCTCCTCGTCTCTCCACGGCGACGAGCTCGCCCTCAAGCGCGCCTTCAATAGCTCCCTTGCCGGGAGAAGACGCGGATGGTTTCCACGTTCGGTCGACATATGCACAACTGGAGACGTGCGGAGTGCGCGGGGATGGGATCGAGGAGGGCGTGGAACGGACGCGGGCGCGCGTCGGGGGTAGCCGCGCGAGCGAGCTGGCAGCCCTGCATGCTCTGGGCGACGAGACGGAGAAAAAGCGCGAGCTGACGCCGCAGGAAGTCGAGATGCTGGCAAGCTTGGATCGGTGAGTATGCCGGACTAGCTCGTCTTGTCCAGTCCTGGATTCATATTCTTTCAGATACGGGTTCTACGTGACGCCCTCGCACGACCGCATCATCCTACTTCCTGCCGCGCCGCTTCGCCAGCCCTTCACACGCCTCACCACCGCGAACACCTCTGGACCCTCCAGTGCGCCTTTGCTGCCATCTCTTCCACCCGTGCTACCTCCACAGAAGGAACTCTCCCGTGTAGCGAAGTGGGGGCGGATGCTGGAAGCCCGCTCGAGAGATACCGGGCGAAATATCGATTCCTGGGGCATCAAGCCGTCCAAGGAGCACAAACTGCGCGAGCGCACGTTCAAGGGGATCCCCGACCGCTGGCGCACTGCCGCCTGGGACACGCTGCTGTGCCGCTTCTCCAAACACGGCAAGGCGGAGACGAAACACCTGACAGATCAGTACTTCGAGGCGCTCGACCTCCCGTCGACGTACGATGTACAGATCGACCTGGACGTTCCCCGCACAATTAGCGGGCATGTGATGTTCCGGACGAGGTACGGGCAAGGGTGAGTCCTCAGATGTTCTTTGGTGGCGCAGCCGGTGATTTGGCTGCACTCAAGACAACGCTCGCTGTTCCACGTCCTCCACTCGTTTTCACTACATTGCGAGACATGTGGGTATTGTCAAGGCATGGGACCCATTGCGGCGACGCTTCTGTGTTATTTTGAGCCGGAGCGCGTATACGCCTCTCTGGTTCGATTACACGACGCGTACCAAATGCACACGATCTTCGGCCCGGGATTCCCTGGTTTGCTGGAGTCAATATATGTGCAGGAGCGGGTCATGGAGGAGATGTTGCCGGCGGTATATGCTGCGTTCAAGAAACACATGGTCTCGACGACCTCCTACGCGACGAAGTGGTACATCACACTTTTCGCAAATTCTGTGCCGTTCCAGACACAACTACGGCTATGGGATGCATTCCTGCTAGAGGGTTACGACATCTTCGTTGTGGTGGCTGTGGCGATTGTTTGGGTCTACAGAGGTATGTTGATATCTGTTCACGGCCTCATCGAGCTGCTGAGATTATGTCACAGACCACATCACATCGTCGCATGCGAGCTTTGAAACGGTGTTGTCTCTGTTATCGTCATTCTTCGTCCCTGAGGACGAAAATGCACTGCTCGCGTGGATCGAAAAAGTGCTCTCCGACAAGAAATTGCGGTCAAACATGCAGCAATGGCGGAAAGACTGGCAACGACTGGTCGCGTCCGGAGAACATAACAACGCGCTCCTATAGCGCATACTTGCCGTAGCGCGAGAAGATATGTGGTGCGACGCTTTCGGCCCTATCGTTATATTGTCTGGAATACTGGGGACTTTCGCTTTCTGCCAGCTGATCGTTGTGTCTCTGCTGTTCGCATTCTTGCATTGCATCGTATCGCATTCATCACGGACTCTGTTCGCAGGTCCTAATCATCTTCCGCCTCGCAGTACACTCATCTCGCGTCCTCGTTGCACTTCTCGTTCATGTACCCTGCATGTCGTTCAACTAGCCTCCATGGATATACCAGCAATGATTCGGAGCCGTCTTCTGTCCTGTGAGCTGATATTCACTTCAGGCTGCGTGCACCGCGAGTCATATCATCCCGGAAAGAGAATGTTCTCTGTCATGCCCGGTGCCCGACAAATCCTGCCACTTCAGCCAACAAGCTGGATATGCCTTGTGCTGTATGGAGAATCCAGAGGTGTGGTTAAGCGGTGTCAAATACGAGGGCGTCCTTGAGGGAGAGCATGCCTCAGAGACCGACCATCCCAAATACGTCCGGCCCTTGATCCAGGAAAGGCAAGGGCCCCCGAGGCACTGCCGCGGGGTCCCAAATATTGTCCCGATATGGCATCTTCCTTGTACTCTGAGCCAGGATTCGTTCCTAATCTCTCTTATAAGCTCCTCCCATCGCAACCATGCTCCTTCATCAGTCTTCAGCTCTTCGCCTTCGCTGGCTAGTCGCGAGCACAGCACCCATCCGCCCTCACAATCCACTCAAGGCACACCCGGGCTCGCCATTCTATTCGGTCGCCCTCTTTGCGCGCACAACACCTACCTAATTGCCTCGCACCCTTCACGCTCATTTGCCGCTACACCATGTCGTCATGCAAGACCTCGTCGCCCTCGTCGCCCATGTCGAGCTTCTTTGGGACCGCGCCCGCCGCGCCACACGCATTTTCGTCGTTCCACCAGTCTCCCCGCGACAACCACCAGATGTTCGCGGCGCTCATGTCGTCGGGCCAGAGTAGCGCGTCGGGCAGCCGCATGATGTCGGGCAACCCGCTGAAGAAGCTGTTGAGGAGGAAGTAGGGCGTCGACATCCCCTGCTGCGTGAGGCGTAGCCCGCAGGCACGGCATCGATCTACCTCACAGGCGCGGCAGGATTGCCGTCTATCCCATCCTGTAGCCACCGGCACGCTTGGATCCAACACCTTAGAGTGGAGGGGAAAGGGGACAGCGTGGTCGCATCCGCGGTCATCATCTCGGTAGACAAAACGAAGGCCGCTCTTGTCCCCATCCCTGTCCCCGGTCGCGTCTTCATCAGTCTCAGCGTTCGCGCATACATCTCGGTCTCTGATCTATCTGTCATCTCGCTGTCTTGTTCCCCACTGTAGCCATAGCTTTCCATCATGTTTCACCTTGAGCCGTGACCTCGACACCGGCAATATCCTCTCCTCTATCTACTTACAGTACTGGCTCCACGGACGTCTATGTTGATATAATCACGGGCTCTGTTTAGTTGTATTCTGTAGAATTTCATTCTTCTCTTGCAAGACATGGTGTGAGGCGGTATGATCCAGGACGATTGACGCAGTACGGTGTGAAGGCGGTTTCGTGAGCTACGCGCGCGCCATCGAATTTGTTACAATCTGTGATCGTGAGCGGGGAACGAGGCCGTGGGCGTTGTTGGGGACGACGTTGCGCTGATGCGAGCTGCTGATTCTGATGGGTCAAATGCTCTGGACTTTTGAGTTCTAACGCTGATGAGACGGGGTTTCAGGAGAACGGCTGCGCATAGACTCACTCGTCGTCAGTCTTCGCCCGAACCGTCAGCCTCATAAAATTGAAGCAAAAAAACTCAATACGGAACATGACGACATATCAAGTCAGAATCGCTTACCAGCACAGCAACCCGGAGCAAACGGAGGGAATGACAGAACGATCTGTCATCAGTACAGAGGAACAAAAAAGACGTCCTGAGGCGGCGGCGAGCCCCCATCATTCTGCGGTATGCGAGACCGCTGGTCGATGTGCAGTGCAGGGTGATGGGCAGATGGCAGTGAAGGCAAGGACTGCTCTTCGGCCATTGAAGCGACCTGTCAAGCTTGCCGACAGTCAGTGCTCCGCTAACACGGGCATTGCTTACTGGATTTTATCATGCCAACACGCAGAGCATGTATCAGCTGAATTCCAATTGTCATGAACAGATGACGGCATTGAAGGCAAGGACTCCTCTTCAGTTATTGGGAGCGGCCTGTCCAGCTTGCCGACAGTCAAAGCTTCACTAACACGGCCATTGCTTACCGGATTTCATCATGCCAACACGCTGAAAATGCATCAGCTTTACGTTAATGCCAAAGTTACCGAAGAGGAGTGGACGACTGGACGTGCCGGACAAATGCAACACATGAGCAGCGTCAAGGATTGCAAATGAGCCTCGGATCTCAGAATCAGACAGATGCGTCGGTTCCCGCACACCATGCCGTTCTAGCATATTCCGGGCTATGCGCGAACCTCAGTCTCATGCGCGGAATTAGTGCAAGTGGCATATACATAGATAAAGCAACGAGCATAAGCGATGGCGGTCAAGGTCGAATGGAATAATCATCAGGCTGTGGCATCCGAGTCGCGGTCTCGTGACCGTGTCGTGCATCAGTGGCCACCCTAAGGCTGCGGCCACGGATCCTATGAAAGCACCGATCATTGTTCTGAGTCAAAGTCAATAGATTTGCAAAGGCGACTTGTGTTTTTCGGATTATTACATACGGCCGGTCAGCGAGTCAGTGCTGGAATGTACATACATGCTACTGCTTAGGCTGCGATTTTGCCCTACATATGTTCCATTGGTCCGTCATGATAGGTTCCACGTGTGCGTACGATGTGTGTGAGTGCAGAAAAGAAACAAGCGAACGGAAAAGACACCAAAAAGATCAATCTTACATCGACATCGCCTCCAGTCTGCGACGCAGTCCCTCGCGAACGACGAGCCATTCCAGCTGCGTCATACCATTCTCAATGAGCTCGTCCCTCTTGGTACCCCATGATTCTTGCTTGAAACAGAAGCGATCGAGGGCATTTTCGGTAGACAATCCACATGCCATGAATAGCCCGAGATGGCGTCCCAGAGGCTGCCGCAAGCCAGTGAGAAACGCGTACATGGCTTGAGCGTTTTCGTTCCCTGGGGCCACCCTGAAAGCGGTAGAGGGCTGAGACGTCTCTAACCTGACTTGCGGGACTACGCCTAGATCAGCACCTCGTGAGGCCGCATACTCTTTGAACCCTGCTGCCAGCGAATACCAGCGCGAGGTGTCCACGTTGTGGTGCTTATGTAGCCACTTTCGGAAGGGCTGCCAGCTGTAAAGACGGCCAAGTGCACAGAGCACATCGAGATCCTCGCTGGTCTTGCATCCAAATTCGAAAAACGCGGAAGCAAGGCTGGTAAGGCCCAGGGGGGAAAGGAAAGCGAATATGGAATGAGTGACGACGGGGACGTTCGAACCGATGACCTGCAGCGTGACGGGATGCTCAAACTCCATAGATGCGAGTGCCTGGGCATTGATGTTGCTCTCAGGGAGTCCTTGAGGTTCATCGAAGCCATCGAAAGCTTGGTCTGACGTTGTGTTTCCGTCAGTAACACGGGATGGTGCAGGAGGGAACAGTGGATCACCCAGCGTCTCGAGCTTCGGGACAGGCTGCGTGCCCTCGCGAGGACGGATGACAGGCGATTGCGGTGGATAGCTTCGAGGAGGCGTAGGCTGCTGCAAGCTCGTAGAAGACAACATCCCTAGCGGCGGCGGCGGCGGCGTCTCGCGCTTCGTAGGACTCAGAGCAACATTCTCAGCTGGTAACGAGTCCACCATCATGTCGTCGTCGTTTTCGGGCCATTCGAGAGACGGAACGGGTGATGGTGAACGATCTGGCTCTTCAACACTCGAAGAACGAGAGGCTGGTGTAGGTGAAAGGCTGGTATCTTGCATGAAGTATGATGAGTGGATGTAATACTGGACCAAGCTAACAGCTTACAGAGGACATGCTCCACTTCCTGCTCTTCTGCGCCATCACTCATGTCTACATCTTCGGGTAGATCACCCTGATGAACCTGCGCACTATCCCCTTCCGCATTCAACATGCCGTCTTCGATCTTCATGTGGTCAGTATCGATGGAAAACTCGTCGATACCTGTGGCATCGATGACCTGAAAATATTCATCGTCACTCTCCAAATCGTCCTCCATGTCATTCTTTAATACTCTCGCTACCGTTCGGTCATCAATGCGCATGTACTCGGCGATGTTCCACTCTGGGAACCCTTGCTGCGCGAAGTAGCGAATCTGTGCGCGGCGCGAGCGTGGGATGTCGTGCTTTTTGACACTATTGGTGTATTAATACGAAGCAATATAACAAGAAAGAAGGCATGGGAGGCTCACGGTAACAGACGTGTTTTAGCAGCGTCATCAGAAACGGTTTGTAGAGTAGACACTAAGACACTCTGGCCAGATGACTCGGCTGCTGCACCGTGTTGACTAGTATGTGCCATCCAGATTGGCATGCACTTCCGTGCATGCGCCTGGAGAACGTTAGCTTAATTCAATGGACAGTGATAAATGCAATTACCCGTAGACAGTGTGCATATGAATGGGAATATAGTTTGCACCCGGGACAGTGAAATCTGCCGGTCTTCTCGTTCCTCACCACCGTCAATGTTTCGGCAACTCCGGGAACGTTGGTGACTTCGCACTCATGCTCATGCAATCGCCAGTCATGATGATGTTTGAACTCGCCCATAATCTCTTTCTTACAACTGTCACAATAGAATGGGTCGACAGGTCTTCTGTGCAATCGCGCCGGTTTCGATCCGTCATTGCTCTGTTGAGTGCCAACACCAGGATCCTGCAGTGGCGGATCGGCATCAAGGGGCCAACTTGGAAACATGGCGACGCCTGATTTCGGCGTACGATCGAGGGTGCTTGAAGCGCGACTACAGTGTCCTTATGAGCGTTAAAGTAGCAAGGAAACGCGATGCGGAGAAGGTTTGAATCAATGTTCATTCTCGGAGGAACCTAAACTCGAGGCTCGGCTAATAGGTGCGAAGGAACACCAGTTAGCTCGGATCTTTGCGGAAACGTCAGCTTCTCTTATCACCAGGGCCCTGTCTCATCGTGCAGACTGCAATGAGAAATCTTGTGTGTAAATGTGCTGCTTGTAAGAACCGTAGCGGTATCGGACTGGAGAGTATACTTTTGGTCAAGACTCAAGATCAGTGACCCTCGGCAACTTGGCAAGGCGCCCACAAGCGCCCATAACTATCCTCAATTTGTACTGGAACGAGAAATCATACAATTCATCCCGCTTGCGGAGGAAATGCAGTACATTCCGGCTCTACGCTGCAATGAAAAAGGTAGAAACGCAAAATTTCTTAACCCATTAGCGGCACGTCGTGCACGCCGAATACGAGACCGACCATGCCTCCCTGCCTGACACGCTGTCGCCACTGCTCCTTCGTCTTCCAGGCTTTTGCGGCATTGCGAACTTCCAGTCGCGTAAGAGGGACGTTATCAGGCAGGTCGAGACCATCAACGCGAACTTGCCTCCGAGGCACGCATGAGGGCCCAGCCTGAAGAACGTCAGTCTCTCCTGCACGCTATACCATTGCGAGGGTCGTGACATTCTGGGTCAGGCAACAAATGTGGTCGTAGTCTGTTCGAGCGGCGTTAGGGGACTATATCATACAGTTTTGCGCGTGCATCTGCATTGAGGGATGTTGACCATATCGACGATGCCGTGCGTCCTCGGGGACTCGGAGGGAATGATATCAGCCTTCTATCATTGAGCGGCTTTAGCACTACGATGTCCGTGGCGTCTAGTACCACAAGCCGCGATGGTATTCCGTTCTATTCTTGAAAAGCGTTCCATTCATGCGACCCTTATGGACGATATGTTCGGCTTCATTCAAGAAAGCTACCTTTTCGCACTTTCGAAGCCTTCCAAGGCTGTATGGTGAATTAGAATGCAATCGGCCAGAATTAGGGTGACCTACTGGATCTCGACTGTCAGGAAGGACCTTATGAATTGCTTTCCGTTGTTCTTCTTCATGGAATGCCAGTGGCATCAATATAGCAGCAGTCAGGTGCGCACTGGCTTCTTATTTGGCGATTTGAGAGGCGACAAGCAGATAAGGAGAGCCTTACGGTACCGTGGCTGGCGAACAAAAAAAAACATCGCCGATCTAGCAATTGTACCGGTATGCGGGCCGCTCGAAGACTGTTAATGAAAACACGGACCGACGCAGCACAACCTGTGCAATGTCGCATGACATAAGCAACATGGACAGGAACGAAGCAAAGTGTGGCTTCACCTTTAATCAGAAGCTCGCGCTCTCAGTGGCCCGGGGAGTCCAATTTGAAGGTAATGTTCTTTATGTTTGGCATCATTGTGAGAGTGTTTTGATCAACATTTCTTCGTCCTCTGTCGACATCCACGGGAAACGAATTTGACCGAAGATCTCGCGAAAACTTCAAACGTGAACTGAGCGTGATGTCAATTCGCCCCCTCTCTCGTATCATTGATCACTGCTACCTTGAGTGCTTTATGATCGATTCCGTCTATGCCACTCTTCCTGAGCCAATCCTCGCCTTACGTGGCCTCATGATAGAAAATGACGATCCTATGCCGCTATTGACATTGCACTGGAGAAGGCGGCACCGACTGCTTGGCGGTGCATTACGTGAAAGAAGAGAGATTCCATCGTGCACACATGCCATTCATTAGTCTAGTCACAACATCGTTGACTAGTTTTTTGTGAAGGTTGACAGGAAGTATGGTGGGTATAAATTCGAGTCAATCTGAGACGGTGTGAATCGGCACTTTACGACATGATTTCGTTCTCAGGAACGCAAAGCGGTTTCTCCGCCGGTGTTCCATGGACAGATGCTATGAAATTCGGAAAAAGGCACGACCATTCCTTTGCGAAATGTGGCTGGCTCACCGGTATGATAGTCACCTTCTGTACCTGGGAGGAATACAGGTAACCGGCAAGCCGTCCACGTGCCTTGCAGATCAGGAGGCAAGAAGCCCTCCGATCAGGACGGTGAGGAGACCCGCGTGAACCGTTTATATAGGCAACGGGAATCTGGCGCCGATTGATTTGATTCATCGACCCATCTTCTCCTGGGCTCGAACCTATCCCGTGCGCTGTGCCCGCCTCGCAAGGCCTGCAGTGGTGAGCATGATCTCTGGTAAGTTCGATTATTATCAAGCGTCCTTTACGAACTAGTGACGAACGTCAGTTCGTCAGATACTCACTTCATGTCCACCGTACGGCACGATACCTATGCAACCATTGACCCGAGCAAAGCCGACCTATCAGGGAGAATCATCCTCATTACTGGGGCATCCAAAGGGATCGGAAAAGCCGCCGCGATCGCCTTCGCGCAGGCTGGCGTCTGTGGTCTCGCACTTCTCGCAAGGTCCGACCTTTCTGACGCCGAGGCATCCTGCATGGCGGCACAGCGGAGGGGCACAGAGCTCAGGGTGCTCAAGCTCACGGCGGACACGACGAAGGTCGATGAAATTGAGACCGCTGTTCAGAACGTGAAAAGGACGTTCGGACGCCTGGATATCTTGATAAATAATGCGGGCGCTAAAGAAACGGCTGATCTGATCGGCGATTCAGACCCGCAGGCATGGTGGAAGGTGTGGGAGGTGAACATCCTGGGGACGTACTTCGTCTCCCGCGCATGTCTTCCGTTGCTCATTGAGAGTGATGGCGATAAAACGATCCTCAACATCGGGAGCTTGGCCGCATTGCAAGCAGGTCAGTTCAACTCTGCATACAAGGTTAGTCAGAAGCCGGTTGTATGCGTTCCTGCAGTCACTGACACACTTGCACGCATCGCGCTAGGCCTCGAAGCTAGCGCTGTCGCGCTTCACAGAGATACTCGTTGCAGAATATGCAAACAAGGGCATCGTCTCGTATACGGTACATCCTGGATTGATTCCGACTGAAATGACCTTGGACATGCCTGATGCATTAAGAAAAGTTCTCCTCTGCGATACCGTGGAGCTCGCTGCTCATTCCCTTGTATGGTTGGTGCAAGAGCGTCGGGAGTGGCTAAATGGACGGTACGTCAGCTGCAACTGGGACATGGTCGAAATGCTGGCGAAGAGGCAGGAGATCATCGAAGGAGACAAGCTGAAGTTCAGGCTTATTATGTGACAAGATTTTATCTATGAATAGCTTACCGTGTGTGCCTTTTTTAACTTCTCTTTTTTTTCTTTGCCCCGAGGAGGACGTCATGCATGCCGACATGAATCCTAGAACAAGGTGGCATAGGCATGCCATGCGCAGCACGCCTCATTGTGAGCTAAGCGCAAGCGTTGAGGCAGGCTGCTCGTCCATTACGATGTTACAGAAGATCTTCCGTTGAAACATACGCCCCATAGACAGGTGCAACAAGGGAAAAGAACACGATGAATTTCGGTGCCAGATTTTGAATAGAGCAGTTCATGAACGACCCTACACGCCTACAAGCGCCCATAACGCGTCGGGCGCTCAGCGCGTGCCTCGTTGTCGACCTAGCAAGTAATTTGACCCAATTATGCACCTTCTTGTTCGAACGCGTCCATTTACGTCTCTCTGCCTCGCTATTCGCGTGCGCCACGGCGAGCTCGACGTTGTACCATGCCTCAGCCAGCACGACCGTTGGCGAACCTCTTTGTGTCCTCGTCAGACTACCTGAACCATCCTGGCCAAGTTCTAACTCCCAGAACACCACATACGCGTTCTGGACGAGCAGAAGAAGGCCGCAACGAGGGCGAGCGTTATGAAATGGTTCAAGACGAAGAAGAAGATGATCCATTCTTTTCAACTCCTGGTCGCTCGCCGCCCCGGGGATACCGGAGTCGAGGGGATGATCATGACATCATGAAAAATCGAGCAGCAAGGGTTACGGAGAAGAAGTTCGTGCAGCGCTACATGTTTCTCGCCGCCTTCATCATGGTCAGCTGCATTTTGGGGGTGATCTACATGACCTGGGACCGGGCTGAAGAGGTAAGCCACACCGCGGACCGCTCAACATCGCATCAAGTCTCGTCCGTTCCTTCCGCTGGTCCGAATGTACCCAGCAGTCGCATAATTTCTTATGAGAACTACACGGACTTCCCGCTCACGAGTGCGGATTACCGCCATGAGTGCTACAAGCTGTCGAACTTCATAGAAAGGAAAAAGTACTGGGCTCAGCCGCGGAACGGCCCAATCGACGTCGCGCACAAGGACGAGAAGCCTGGCGCTGGACGGTCGAAGATATGTTCACGCACTATCACATATATGCTGGATGGACATGTAGGTCTGTCGACAGATCTAGCGCTGATGGCTCAGGTAGCCGGGCTAGCTCGGGAGGTACGCCTCTTCGACTACACTCACCGGGACACGAGATGACACATGCGGCAGCGTGGTAGCACGTTATTTGTTGACGACACCTACTGGAATCGTGGGCTGTGAGCACGCTTGTGACACCGAAACTTTCAGCGCACTAAATCATGTGTCAGGTGGATGGATTACTTTGAAGACGTTCGTATTACTCAACCGGGTCCGGAGCCAGGCTGCATGCCACCTCCACCTGAAGGCCAGTGCTGCATCTCACGTACGAAGCCTCATTGATGCTTACCATAATCGCATACAGAACTAGTCGCATGCCCTCGTAGTGCCAGGTAAGATTGCCAGTTCCTCATTTCAGAATCATCCGTTTATGCATCCTAGACACTGGGTTGGTCTCCTTCGAATCATTCCGTGGAGTATTTCAGCCCATCTTGGTCTTCTTGCAGGTCGTGAGCTCAAGAACAGCAGCATTTCACTTTGGTGACAAGTTCGTGGAGACATTCGAAGACAAGTGAGGCCCTTCCAGAGCGCCTCTCTTCACAAGTTAAGTTTAAACACTGATTTTGTAGAGCTGCCGATGGTATCAATAGCCAAAGACCAATCTTTAATCGTGCAACGTATTCGCTCACGCACACAATTCGGCCAAACGCGCATACAGCTGCGTTAATTCGCGCAGCGCGCTTGGAGATCGCCTCCGTTCTCTCGCTACCCTCTGGTGATGATCATCATGCGGGACATAACCCTGAGCCTGAGCCCTACATCGGCGTACACCTCCGGCGCGGCGAGCGAACGATGCAATCTGACATGTACAACCAGCCGTACCTGCCTACATCCAACTATGCTCGAGCCGTACGCAACACTTGGACCCGACTTTACCCAGACTCGCCCTTGCCCTCGACATCTGCATCCCAACATCCTGACAGCGAGCTGGGACCGCTGCACTTTCCCGCACCTCCGATCACATACATCGCAACTGATTCGCCGGAGGCACTACGCGAGTATGTTACGGAGTTCCCGCCTGCAACGGCGGTATTTGCGCTGGATTTGAGCACAAAACCTGCACTACGTGCGATTGCGCCAGAGAGGGATTATGTCCAGGAGCAATTTGCGCAGGAGCCTGATGAGCAGAGGGCGGCGATGACAAGGGGCATGCTGGTTGATTTGGCACTCGTCAGCGGCTTGTGGGCAGTCGAAGGAGAGGTGGTCCCTGGTGCTGTGATTTGTACAATAAGGTGCGTAGTGCTCGTCTTATATGAGATTATTTGGTCAATCTGTTCTATGCATCCACTTCAAACTGATCATCTAAATACTTTCACAGTTCGAATACATGCAAGCTCTCCGCATTTGGCCTTGGATGGCATCGCGCGTTCGGCTTGGATGATGGTGGTGACCATTCCAACGGCATCGTCAATCATGCAAGGCGACGGTGGGTTGAGATTGAGTACGGACACGACTTCACGACTTCCCGGTGGAGAGCATTCGAGATACCTGCTTGACATTTTGAACGGCGTACTGATGGTAGAAGTCCCTTGGGACGGCGAAGGAGTGATCTAGGGCACTGTGACGGGTGAAGGTTGTATCACTGCTCCAGACTGTAGTATTGCCTCTGCCTCATTGACGTATGCTTCTATATACCAATATCTAGATCTTCTCATGTTCGACTTGCATTTTTTGGCGTGACAGGCTTTCTGAATGCGCTTCATATATGTTGGATCGACCGTGGTGCATTGTCCAACTCAGGCAGGAACAAGGGCGTTACATGCGAACGTGAATGAGGGCCATCGATATGTCCCCAGCGATGAAACCACAATGAAAATATTCGTAGCTTTTGTAACTACAGACGTCATGCTGCTTTGCTTGCCTTCGGGTCTTGAGAGCACTGCATGCATGGAGTCAGCCGGTGCAAGAGTGGTGCTCTGTGAGCAGATCCTCTTCGAAGAGCTTGTTGCGTCAGGGGACGTGTTGCAGAGCCCCGAGAGTTCATCCGAAAATTCATCAACGTGCAGTGGATGGTCGCGGAGTCATGCATCTCGGAAAAAGCAGGCGGAGGCGCCGTGCTTAGACTTGCCTGCGGCCGTCTCGCGAAACGAAAGTGACCCACATACTAACCTGAGAATCAGCCAGTTGCGTTATCCAGAGTTTTGTTAGAGTACCACGTAGCTCGATATAATCACTAGACAATATTTATGATTGTGGAAATAAAGGTTCCAACTTGTTCCAAAGCAAGCGAACTCAGATAGAGGATCATCATGGATGAAGAGGTCCAAGTCGCGTGCGTGAATTGACCGCGCTGGTGGCATGACCGCGACTCGGAGTTGGTCTCGCTCATCTGCCTGCTGTCGACGGCTGCTTGCAGGCATCACAATCTCTTCATCCTGCACATCATACATTGCTTCCCTCGAGCTGTAAATCGTACACGGTAATCCTGCCAAAGAAATCGGAGCTCTCATGAAACACCAGCTTCACTGCCTTCACGCCACGCTGCAGATCGGGCAGCTCGAAAATCTGCTTTCGGTTCACATCCTCTGGGTATATCTGCACAAGAGTCTGCCATATCGTCTTCTCTGGGCCCGTCTCCTCTGGAATCTCAACAGTACACCGCGTGCCCACGAAACCTCCTTGGAATGTGATGGCAAAGCGCTTAGGTAGGATGGGTGCGGGAAAAGACAGCTGGATGAATTGAGGAAGCCCCTATCGGCACGAGAGCGTTATCCCTGCTTGCTGCAAGAAACCACCGAAAATCTTACTTGCTGCGATGTCCAACATGTCTCGGGATCTCCGTCGGTGAGGAACTTCTTTCCGACAGACTTGTCAAGAGTCGAGCTCACTCTGACAGGAGGTCAGACCGTGTGGTCACAATTTGCAAACTTTCCGCTCACTTCACTCGAGTCTCCGATGTGATCAGTTGCTGGAGCTCGCTTTGCATTGTATCTGGAAACGCAAAGGGACGGGACTCCCGAACGTTTGGAACGCTCGAATCGTCGAGCAATAGACCCGGAATATAGCAGTTGCCCATCACGTGACGCATTTGCTCAACAGCGGGGTACCGCCTTCCTTTTCTCATTGTGCGTTGCTGCCACCGCGATATTCCATCTTCAACATGCTGAAGGCATCGTCCACAGTCCCAGAGTGGCTGATTCACTGTAACTCCCCCCCTCATATAGCCGCCGCCACTCAGATCCTCTCTCATCGCGAGGGGTCGCGTGCGAATGCGCGCAATGAATCGCGGCGTCGAACCCACCCATCCGCCGCGCATCGCCTCGTCCATCTTCTCCCATTTGTATCCGACAACGCCGATTTTATCAACTACTATTCTGTCTCGGTCGGCTGTAGCGCGCTCAATGAAGTGAGTAATCGTTATAGCGACATCACACCGTACGACCGTACACGCGTAGTTGTCTCGGAGGACGCGTTGGACAAGGGGGATCGCGCCTCTCTGGGCGGGCGTTATCTCAACGCGAACTGGGTGCGCGAACGTGCTGGTGGAAAGTGGTGGATCGCGACGCAGGCGCCTCTGCCTCGCACGGCGCACACCTTTCTCAGTGCCATCTCGAAGCCGATTGCTCTGCCTCACCTCTCTGCTGCACCTAGCGAAGCTCCAGCCATCGGTCAGAAGATTAGCAGGATTCGGACGGTAGTCCAGCTCACGCAGAACCTCGAGAGTGGCATGCGCAAGGCCCACGTCTACTTCCCAGAGCAAAAGGGCGAGTCCTGGGAGATTGTCCCTGAAGACGGGCGTCATGCGCCATCGCTGAGGGTCACCCTTTTGGAGACCAAACGGATCGATGACGCATTGTGCATCCAGAGCACTGTATCCATCGAGCCCCTCACCACCGTGCGATCTGAGCCCACCGTCTTTCGCCACATGCTCTACGGCACCTGGCCAGACCACGGTGTTCCCAACGAAGAGCATCGCTCAGCTCTGCTTAGATTTGTCCGCCTGGTGGACGAAGTGAATCGCGACCTTTCATCGCAGCCTCACCCGGAGGATCTGGACCCGGACCCTCCCATTATTGTGAACTGCTCTGCTGGCGTCGGACGGACGGGCGCGTTCATCGCATTGTGCTCGCTCTTGCGTGTTTACGGCTTCCTTTCCCTACCGGCATCACCGCCTGTCGCGTCGCCGCTGACGCTATCGCCACTGGGGCCGCTTCCGCAGGAACTGGAGGACGACTTAGTTGCGCAGGAGATTGACGCTCTCAGGGAGCAGCGGCCGGGTATGGTCCAGAAGCAGGATCAGATGGTATTCATCTATGAGATGCTGATGGCAGCGTTCGCTGAGAGGGACGGCTCGAGACGTTGAGGGGTCCGAAATGACCTGGACGGTATATTTTGGGGGATAGGATCTTGGAAGTCCAACTTTGGCAGCTCAACATTCATGTATGTATAGTGCATCATCTCGACAGTTCGTTCATAGCGAGCACATTGGGCCTCTTCACGGCAGAAAAGGTTCTGTAGACGTACAGTCGTGCCTCCGTACTCTGTTTGAAGATTCCGTCCCCGTTGAAGTACTCGTATTAGAGGGGAGAGTGATGCTTGAGATGCATCGCGGCGAGCGGGCTTTACGGCAAGCATCACATTCAACGTCTGATGTCGGTTACAAGTTACAACCATCTTCGCATTTTTGCTCCTCGTTCCATGTTACATCTCCTACGATCGTCGAGCCCCACGTATAGGACGTTCTTGAATAGGGTCTTTCTGCACACCGTCTTCGACTGCGACAGCGCCATGGGCGGCTCGCATAGCGTCCGAATGCATCGTTCGTGATGACGAATCCTAGGCGCAACATGACGAGACAACTTCGTGAAGACGGCCGGTGAGTAAGCTGAGTGTTTGCATACACCTCGCACTGAGAAATTCTAGCCAAACTGGCTCTGGCTTTAGGCCATAGTAAGCTGACCGACGGCCTCCCGGCTAATCAGCCGATGATCACACTGACACCCACCACCTCCCGACTGGGCTTCGCATTCGTCAGCACAGGCAGACAAGCAGCACTCACCCGCACGAACCAGCTCGTCCGCCACCTATCTACCACAGCAGCGCAGACTGGCAAAATGTCGTTCCCGAAGACGATACAGGCGATCACCATCAACAAGAACGGAGGCGTCGACGCTCTGGAGAAACAGTTGGTGCCGTTCCCTCAGCAGAACCCGAGCAATGTCCTGGTGAAGGTACGTGCGCGATTCGCAGCGTATAGCAGGTTCCTCATAATTGGTGGTGACTATGATGCAGGTTCATTATGGGGGTGTCAACTTCGTCGACACATACTACCGGTGCTTTTTTCGTACTGTCCAGAAATGATGGGCGAACCACTGAACGTCACTTTAGAAGCGGACTCTACCCAACTAAGTCGTTTCCTCTCGCCATTGGCACAGAGGCTTCTGGTGTCATTGTCGCACTGCCGACAGATGAAGCGGTATTGAATGATGAACAGTACAAGAAGCGCGGATACAAGGTCGGCGACAAGGTTGCGGTGGTACGTTGCATACATTGCAGGAAACTTGGGCACGTATTAACGGCCAGATACATCTGCGCTAGATGACTCTTGGATCGCACGCCGAGTATGTCTCTGCGCCCTACACGAAGGTCTACGCCGTGCCGGAATCCGTCTCCCTTTTAATTGCAGCTGCTAGTATCCTCCAAGGTGAGCGTTCTGCACCCATGAATAGTAATGTAAATCTCATGCGCATGTCATCTCAGGTCTCACTGCGCTCACCTTCATGACCGAGTCCTATTACGTGAAAAAGGGCGACTATGTCTTCATCCACACCATCGCGGGCGGTCTTGGCCTGATCTTCAGCCAGATAGCAAAGCATCGCGGGGCGATCGTAATTGGGACGACGTCCACCCCGGAGAAAGCGGAGGTCGCGAAGAAGCATGGTGCAGACCACGTAATCCTTTACACTAAGGAGAACACCGTCGATCGCGTGTTGGAGATCACGAACGGCGAAGGCGTGCATGTCGTGTATGATGGTGTTGGGAAGGATACGTACGTCTGCTGCACATATCTTGTCGATGTTGGCGTCCTGACTGCTTGGATGCAGCTTTGAAGATGACTTTAAGCTTTTGCGCCGAAAGGGCACGCTCGTCTCTGTGGGGAACGCCTCAGGGCCGGTACCGCCCTTCGCGCCCCTCAAGCTCGTTGAGAAGAATCTCGCCATTCTTCGTCCGGCGTAGGTCCTTTCGCTCACCTGTGGCAATACTGCTTCCCTTACATATCATGTCGTAGCTTGGCGAACTACACCGTCACGCCAGAAGAGACCCTTCAGTACGGCACGGAGCTCTTCCAGCTCATCTCTAGTGGCGTCATCAAGATCGTCGTGTACAAGGAATACCCGTTCACGACAGAGGGTGTGCGTGAGGCTCAGACTGATCTGACGACGAGGGGCGGGAAGACTATCGGGAAGTTGGTGATCAAGATCGCGGAGAACTGATTTGTGCTTGGGGTGAAGATGAGAAGAGCAGCAGAGCCCGAATGTATAGTATGCTGTAGCATGGCTGGTACGTGAGGTCAGACTCAACTCGTCCAAATTGCAGAAAGTTATGAATCGCAGGCCTAACGGCCCAGGTTTCCGTCGAAGTGCAGTGACAATATCATGCGCGTAAATACTTGCGGATAGATTTTTCTCATACAGAGCAAAACCGGGCTGAATGCGGGCACGGTTTGTGCCTTAGGACTTATGATGTGAAAAAAGTGCAGAAGTTGTCCGTTAGGGTTTGTTTGCTAATGCTGCAGCGAGATCAGAGACAAACCGGCCTACTGTCGGCGGTATAGACTTATTGCATCGTGCTCGGATATTGAACTCAGATCATCACGCTCCGGCCTCGTGGGACTGAAAAGGGCGACGTTCGCGTGCCACGCTCCCTTGCAGACACACTGAAGCCATAGTTGGCATCGTTTTCGAGGCCCCCGTCCTGGGCTCACGCCCTTTGAAACGCAACTCCGAGCGGCTATTTCTCGAAGCTGGAGTATCAGAAGGGCTCTCATTCCTAACATCAAGGAATTGTCGCGCCGATCATCACTTTATTTAGCTCGTTGGACGCCTGGCAATATTTGACCCATACTTTTGGAAGGTTCAGGTGAGCTCATCAATTCTCACTATAGTATAGTCGTGACGGCAGGAAAAGTATGAATTGATCGTTCTCAAGTAAATAGCATTGTTCAAGCACTGTCAAATTATCGTTGGAAGATTGTATCAACAACTGGTGCAAAGTCCCGTGTTCGTCTGATGTCGATGATCATTGATCATAATCGTAAAGCAGATCATGGTACTCGATCGTGCGGGATCTCTGAAAAGAAAGAGGTGAGCCATTCAAACTCCAGATGCGCGAGATTCGCACAGCTACGGTTGCGCATGTGCTGATGGTGATGAATGGTGTAGGGAAATCTCAGAGGTGCTATGATAACTCCACGGCGTGTTCCATTCAGGACTGAGATAATACACAGGATTTCATCGATGACGCTTCCGACAAAGAGGATGAAGTACGCACACCACGCACCAACATACCTCGCAAAAGGGCACGAAACGCCACCCGTGAGGGAATCGAGCTCATCGGTGACGAGTCCGTGCAAAGTGCGAGTTTGCGAGGAGACAGTGAGTCCATTGTTGACTTACTGCGAGCCCACGCTGACATACGGGTCATGCCTTATGAACCCAGACGCACATCCCACTGAAGAGGCTGGTATCTACAACCAGTCCAGTGGACTGTCGGACATCGCACGATGGCTTGAAGGACATGAAGAGCCGACATCTCGACCGGCTGGTCCTGTTGAGCGCCCTGCTGCAGCTCCTCCCACCGTTTCAATGTCTCTCATACCCTCTGCTACTGATGGCACATCCTCAGCTAAGCGGGTGTCGGTACCTGCTGTCGGCACGGCAACTCAATATGCCAAACGAGAGATACATGTAGGAGATTCGCGCTCTGATCCTGCGGTTGGAAAACTCTCGGAACTCAAGTTCCACTCCAATAGTGTCGCTCGGGCTCTACCGGTCGATGCGAATGCAACTTCAGCTCGCGATGTTCATTACGACTACCTGGCATGTCCCAAAATGCTGTATGAATCGGAGGAGCTCGAGGCTATCTTGAAGAAACGTCAGGAGCCTAGCGCTCCCGGGAAAGGGAAGTCTCGAGCACTTGAAGGGACATACAGCTTCCATGATCCGGTCATTCCTGCAACGGCAGCGTCATCTGGAGTCCCTCCTCCTGCGAAGGAGAGCTCAGCACGGGCACTAGAAACCGTGCTGCCTGAGCTTTACATGGATTGGTTTGACTCTTCGTTTCATGCTATGACCGTCAGTGCCGAGCCGGAGAACCGCATTGCTGCAGCCGGTAACTCTGCCATACCACATCCAGGTTTGAGCTCTCATGGCGGACGCCGCCACTTTGCAACAGCAGGGATGTCAGCCCTTCATAACGAGCAAGTGACCACACTTGGAAATAGTCACTCGGTTTCTCCATCCTTCACGCCTAGCCAGGAGCCCAGCGCCCACCGCATGTCGACGCCTGCAACTACGCCAGATGCATATGGCTACGCTGTCATTGATGCATTCCTTCGAGGCCTGTCGCAGGACTCGGCACCACCTGATCATTTTGTCCAGGCATTCTTGAATATGGGAGTAAGCACCGAGGGCTTACTCGATGACTTTGCCTGCTCAAGTCCTGAGCACGGTGGCTGGGATGCGTTGAAGGAGGAGCTGAAAGTCGATCAGGATAGACGGAACATAGCCTGGTACCTCAGGGTTGCGAACGCCCTGAAGGACAGAGCGGAGAAAGTCCGCGCAGCCAGACGCCGAAGATCTTAGCTCCCGCCTCACCATAAGGAAAAGAATTTTTTTTGCAATGAATATCAGGAGACATGATTGTGTTTGTTTCAAAGCGTGTCGGTTAGAGTGTAGCACGGTAGTTTCACCTTGGTGCGGCGCGGACTCGTTCGTTGCCCTTTTCTGTGGAGTTGTGTTGTATCATTACAGGTAGTCTACCGCACATCTAAGGAGAGTAGTGCTGTATAGTAAGACCTCGTTCATCAAGCTGTCGTACTGACTTTCCAAAGGACTTATACAAGATCGTTATCTGATCGACACTGTTCGGAGATCAAAACACTCCACTGGATGGGTATTGGCACAACCTATCGGAGTGTGAATTTGAAACAGACTACCGTCGATCGGGATAGTTCAAAATGAAGTCAGCTACGTATGGATCCGTTGATCGAATGCATAAAGATTTTCAAACTCTCAGGCGGTTACGACGCTATCCGCTATTTACATTGCAAACGAAACGCAACATGGACGTCGATACAATTTTGAAGCACTGAGACGGTGAGGATATCTCGCTTTGTGGAACGGCTCTGAACGACTTTTGATCAGGCCCTCTTCTTCGGACAATAAGAGATCCAAAGAACCCTTCATTGATGTTTCAAACCCTGAGAATGTCGACGGGTTATGGATAAAAAAGCTCTACGCTGATGTTTGTCATGTTTTGTCAAAGCCACACAGACTGTCAATAAATACTTCAAAAGGCAGGTCGGCCCTCCCTCGCTGTGGTTCATTTAATCTCAGCAAACTCCTTTTGACTCGCCGCTGGCCACTGGCACGCGCGTCGCGATAACGTATTCTCATTCTGGCGTTCCTCTATAGCTGCACCCGCTATCGATTCTCGACGGCGACGCCTTCCAAAAGTATTCGCATTCGCGCGAGTCGTCCCATCCGTTTCACAACGGCTCTACGACAGAATCACGACCCGAGGTGACTCCGAAACATGGCAAGACGCGCTCGGGAGGATCATCTAACGGACCATGAAGATGCACCGTCGCCCAAGAGAACTAGGTATGCATATCCAGTTACACTTCCTTCGGAGCCATGCTACTTATATCTCATACCAGGCGCTCACAATATTGTCCAATATGCGGTCGACATTATCCATCATTGAAAAGCCACAACAGCCACGAACATCTTGAAGAAATGGTGAGGGTCAAATACAGGGATAGAGGCAAGAAATATAAAGTGCCGCGAAATCCTCGAACGAGATGCTTCCATTGCATCCGTTGTTCTGCGCAGTTCAGAGATCCACACAAACTTCAGGTGCGCGAGTTCGATGACTGTGCTTCGTGTATGAGCACCGAGATATTCGCAGGATCATGCGAAGAGGGATTGTGAAGGTTTCACCCCTTCTGCGGCCCAAAATACTGCGAGCAGAGGGCCAGCCGCGAGTGGATCATCAGCCATCCAGCCGATAGAAGAGGAAGAGACTGATAGTACTGACGGACTTGATAGTGATAGTCCGGCACTGACCGAGGTCGACGAAATATTCACGGATGCAGTCGCTGACGGAATCGCGGACGGGATCGATGACGAACTTGCGGAAAAGGACGGTGACGAACCTGCGGGAGAGGACGATGACGAATCTGCGGAAGAGGACGCGAGCGGATCGTTGCCCATCCAGCCGACAGAAGAGGAAGAGACTGATAATTCTGACGAAGAAGATGTTGATAGTCCGGCGCTACCCGAGGTCGACGAAAGACTTGCATATGAGGTTGATGACGGAAACATGGATGGGGCCGATGACGATTCTGCGGAAGAGAACGATGACGATTCTGTAGAAGAGGACGATGACGATCCTGCGGAAGAGAACGATGAGAATTCCGCGGAAGAGGACGATGACGATCCTGCGGAAGAGGACGGTGACGGATCCGCAAACAGACACCAGGAGATTCAAGCTGAGGTAGAAGTCGCCGAAGAGGCGGTAGAGCCTAATCACCGTCAGTGAATACGAATACTTCTTCATCGATCTAGACTGATGCCATGCTACATGCACAGAGGCTCCAAATCACGAGCATGCAAATGGGGGCAATCCTCCTTCCTGCATCGAAGCTCGACAGGGACGCGAGGAAACTGTCAGGGAGCCTATCAGACCGCCTGGCGCCTGTCGTCTCCGACCTATTGACCAGAGCTCTTTGGATCCCAGCTCCCTGAAGACGGCGACAATGGGGAACATCTCGATGATGCCCGAGCTGAACCCGCCACATAATCACAGACCGCTCGATCGCCAGAATATACCGCGACCGATTCGGGCTCATCTGTGGCCAGGCGTCCACCTTTTCCCCGATGCACACAACGGACCGGCGCAAGGCCAAGTTCCCCGTCTGGTCACAGCAGCCGTGTTGTCTCAAGGAAATAATCTTCATCCGCAAGCTGCAATTGCGCCATCCCAGGTTCAAGCTTCCGGTCTGGTATCAGCGGCGACGCTGTCTCAAAACGATGTACTTCATCCTCAAGCCGCACTTGCGCCCTTCCAAGGTCAATCTTCCGGTCTGCGAGCACCAGCTGCGCTGCTGCAAGGCGACGTTTTCTATCAGCGAGACTCAGGTGCACCGTTATTACCAGATCAAGTCTTCCATCCCGGCGCGCAGGCCGTATCTTTTCAAGGCCATGCGCGCAACTTGCCAGTGCCACCCGATCTGCAGGATTCGAACGTTGATTCTGTCAGCACTTCCTTAAGCGAACTCAGCATGGTTGCTGATTCCAGACGCAATGCTGCTATAGCTGGGAACAGGGAGACGCCTGTACCCCAGGCTGGGCCAAGCACATATCGCAGAGATCGTGAGCCGTCGACTCCCTCGAATGCGCGGGGTGAACAAAACACGCCGCGCTACAGTCATCCGTCTGCTGCGTCCGTCAGCCAGTCACCCGTGAGATCTGCGAGCCAGCGTTCGTACACGGGTCGCTCGCAAACACGGGATCCAACTCCTGCCTCGGAACGCGGTCTATACCCGGATGTTCACAGATTTCTCAGAGATGCGTTCGCCGGAATTAATTCGGACCCACCACCGCACTTTGCACGGGCGTTCACAGACATCGGCGTCACAAACGACCTGAGGCTCGATCTCCTTGCTAGCTCTGATCCCCAGGCCGGAGACTGGGGTAACTTAGAGCAGGCTCTTCTCCGCGGTGACATGGCGAACTATATCTTGTGGCTTGCGGTGAAGAAAGGCTTGAAGGAGAGGGCGGAGAGGATCATGCTGGGTCGACGACGTTGATCGGTGTCGAACTCGGTATGCGTATCTGCATTCATTCTTTGCATTATCAAGGTCTCTATGGAATGCTCCTGTTATAGCTCATCGGTCTTTTATTCCTGTGCTCCTGTCTCCTTCAATACTGACTTTCAGCATCGTGGTCATGTAGTTTAGACGTTGTACGGCTTTGTCACACCAATTCAATTTATCCAAAATTCTTCCTGCAATTGCCGACTCCATTTGTTCTCGATTTTACATGATTCCATCATGTATTATTATGTTCTTTGAATGGGCATTGACTCGGAATCTACACCATTTCGGCTGTGGCTGAAAGTAAACTGGGCGTCTATTGAAACACTTCACCGACTGTCTTGGAAGCCTTTTGCGTTTTCTCCGTGCTTGACCATCGGGGCTTCGCATTCTATAGCTATGCTGTGCTTGAACAACTTCACCTAATTCGCTGAGCGACGCTGATAAACCTACATACCGCAAAACCCGAGTTACGCATTCAAAGTTTGATTTGCAGTGATGTCCGCGTCTGAATCGGAACCAGCACGCGATACAGCATCAACGGCGCAAGCGTCAAGCTTATCGACGATGTCCAATAAAACGTAAGCAAGAAATGCTCTTGCTCAGCGTCTCCTACTGATATCGAGCTTTTCAGTGAGGCAGCAACGTGTCCCATATGCGGGACCCCTGTCAACAGTCCGGCCTACCATCAACGAACTGTGCATCAGCGTACGGCGACGCTCAAGTGGCCCGATGGGCGGCAGGAGAAGATTACAAGGTCTCAGGACGATGGACGCTTCCACTGCACGCAATGTGCGGTATCTTCCATTAATGCGCAGGTCGTACAGGTGATCTCCATTCGCTTGCACCAGCCATGAACAATATTCGAACACGTCTTACACAGAACCATACTGTTTTCGGATCCTGCGGAAGGTCAAAGACACGCGCCAGAGCTGTAGGTGACAAGCAGAGCCTCACGGACGATGCGGCACAGAAAGCAAGTCATGGTGCTTTCTACTCTAAATCGCGGTGCTTATGGTCGAGTTGCAGAAAGTCTTCGCAGATATTGATAGCCTGTTGGGACTGAAGGTGCGAGAAGAGTACAGGGCGACTGGAAAGTTCCAGGCTGAGCAGGTGCCTTCAGAAAGTACGTCGCATAAGGCCGTGCAGTCCGTATCACGCCTGAGACATCACCTACGTACTGTTCACACAGGCTCAAATAATTCTAACAAGGCCCTCAAAGTACCTATTCCGCCCGATGGACAAACCGTCGCGGACGAGCTTGTCACTGATGACCTGATCCCGGCCAGGGAGTCCAGCCCCGTACCCTCGCTATCCGATCTTGAACTACTGTACCCTGATGACTTTGAGCCAGGTTGGTCAGCCGTCAAGACAGAAGAACAGTCTCTGATCAGTCCGTCCACCACACTAGTTGGATGCACTTCGTCGCCTTCTGAGGAGAAGATATCGTCTGAACAGGTGGTGGTAGAGAAGAGTGCTGCTCGTTTCAGCAGCGAGCCGCCGTACAGTCCGTTTTCGCGAGCTGCTGAAAAGATATCGCTACGCTACAACTCGCTTGGACCGTCTGTGGCTGCTAGCGGCCATAGAACACCTCATGGGATCAGCATGATATCTCCGCAGCCCGCAGGCGAACATTCCCGCAGACCGTCTGAGATGCCTTCTTTGCCGTCTTCTTCGTCAACGCCGGCCGTCAAGCGCAAGGTCCCGGACGATTTTGCCCGCGGGCAACTCGGCAGTCATCGAGCGGTACCGTGGTTCCAACCGCGATCCCCAGCTGCCTCTGCAAGCAGCACAGGCAGCAGTGCACGCTCCGCAAGCCAGCAGCCTCAGGCATGCAGCCTTGTGCCAGTGAATACGACGCCGACAAGGGTCAAAGAGCGAAACAACGAACGCACTCAGCTGCGCTTCAATGCGTCTCCTCGGGCTTGGTACCCATCTCAAGCGTGGGCTGCGCCCGAGCAGCTAGTGCGAGCACATCACGGCCTGCCTGGGCACCCGGAGCGCGCGAGCAAACGCAGGAAGACCGTTGTGCCGACTCACGCCGTCCAGGCGTTCCTAAGCAATCTTCCGACTACGATGCAACCGCCGTTGCACGTGGCGGAGGCGCTGATGAACCTGGGGTACTACACCGAGGATATGCTCGATACGCTGGCGTGTGCAACCCCGGAGGAGGGTGATTGGGATATGTTGGAGAAGGAATTGCTGATCGATAAGAAGTACCATGCGTGGTGGACGTTAATAAAGAACGGTTTACGGGCAAGAAGGGAGAAGCTCAAAGGTACGACGCTAGGACGAGGGAACGTACTATCGCAGGAAACGCCGGTAGACGTTCTAAAGGCGGCTCATTAATTCATCCTCGCCCAACTCGTTATCATTACTCGTTATTCACAGTACATTGTAACATAATCTACGGTAATGGTTGTGGAACAGTAATGTATATATGGGTATAGAATATGGCTATTATAGGGTTACATGATTATGGAATAGTAAAATGTGGGTATAGAACATGGCCAGTATATATGGATTCTTAGGTTTACATGACAAGACGTGAAAGGTCGTAATGTGTGCATCCGTATCGTAAGAAGAAGAAGCGCAGCCTCAAGCGAAACCAGTAGCCGAAGGCGTCACGCTCGACGAGGGTCCGTCCATCGTCGAGGAAGACGCGCTCATCATCAAGGAAGAACTGTTCGCAGTGGTCGAAGGCATCGTGCTCGAAGAAGACCCATCCATGGTCGTGGAGAACTCGCTAGCCATCGAGGAAGAGCCGTCCATGGTAGACGACTCACTATCGCCGAACGCTCGCATGCCGAACGTCGCGGGGGTAGCGGAAGGTGCGGCAGTAGAAGTGCCATTGTTGCTCGCCATAGCCGTCGAGGACGCGTTCGTCGCCAACGAAGAGTCGTTGGCAGTGGCACAAGGCATCATGGTCGAAGAAGAGCTGTTCGCCGTGGACGACATGAACAAGGGAGGCGTGTCTGTGTCGCTATCACCGAACATCTGCTGTACATCGAACATAGCAGGAGTAGCCGAGGACGTCGCTGCAGAAGTGTTGTTGCTGCTGGCTGTAGCGTTCGTCGTGTTCGACGAACTAGGCGGTATCGGCAGCGAGACGGGCGGAGTGGGCGGCGAAACGGGCACAATGGGCGGCGACACAGGCGGAGTGGGCGGCGACACGGGCGGAGTCAGCGGCAACGCGCCAGTAGGGATATCGACGTCCTCGGGCGGAGAGACGGGGGTGTTGGGTGGGTTCGGCGGGATGGGAGGGGAGACGAGGCCCGAGCTGGGACCGGTCGAATTGGATGAGTTACCCTGGGCGCCCGGAGGACTGACGGGCAGAGTGGGTGCCGCCAGCACAATTGCCTCGAATGAGGGCGTCGCGGAGGAAGAATATGGCCACGACATCGTCGAGCTACAGTTTCCGGCGTGCATCGCGGTGGTATTGGCGGTAGAGGAGGGATCCGCGGAAGTGCCATCGTCATGGTCGCGCGCGGCCGCTCGCTTTCCAGAGCTGGTCATGGTTGGGAGAGCAGCAGCCATATTCTCCGCAGCCTGCGAGGCCGCCTCTCTGATCTGAGCAATTTGATCGTTGCTGAGAGTGACGGAGGGGCTTCCCAGTCCAAGAAGGTCCAACACCGACGTGAGCGCGTTGATGGCAGGCTCGATTGCCGGGCCCACTATCGGAACTTCGTAGAGGGGATCAAGCAACCCCTCCAAGAGGCTGCTGAGCTGTCGTCGGTCGTGAGTACGAATAGAATGAGGCATGTGGCTCGAGTGCATAGAGGCACTATCAGGAGGCTGCTCATCTTACGAAGGGTGTGGAGGGTCAGCCACTAGCATGCATGAAGAGGTGAGCACACGCACCCATGCCGACGTCCACGTTTCCGCCTCCAATGTGGGCGGACATCCGATCATCCCTCGCCAACGCATGCACTGATGACGAGCTTGAGAGCGCATGAAGGTCATTCCCCTGAGCATCGGTTGGCGCCGCTAGACTGGAGGACGACGAAGAGATGGCGAGCGTTGCGAGGAGGAGAGAAGAGCTCGGCGTAATCTTCATGATGAAGGCGCGTGAAGAAGAAACGAAGAGCAAGAAAATAGCAATGCGAAAGCACTATGACGAGACGATTTCGATTCAAGAGATCGTGGTGGTCACAGAGAGAGCTGGGGAGGCTGGCGGAGGTGGAAGGTTCGCTTTTATGTACGGTGCGGAAGTTGAACTTGCCTGTCAGCCTCAGCCCGATCCATCGTTCGTCTGACACCCAACTTCGTTTTCGCCTCTGGTTCAGACTTTGGCTGTTTCTGAGCATCATGTCGTATCAGCGCAGGCTATGGGGAATCTCTATGTTTTGTTTCAGTCGTGACCAACGGTGGAAGAGCCGACGAGAAATGCGCAGGCCATGAACCAACTTCGTATTCCACGCACAGCGAGCGTGTTGAACACGTGATCGCGATTCCGAGTGCGCCGTGCATGGAAATATTGGCAGCACTATGTTGTGCTTTCCGCTCAGTCCATGCAGGAAAGTTCATCGAATCATCCGCTCACAAATTACAATCGTGCAGCAGACAGGTTTTCTTCCCTCAGGCTTGTCAACCCGACCCGCATCACAACGTCCACCACCCGCCGGAGATATGGCTCCACAATCCCGCTGCTGATACGCGCGCCATTGTAAGTCAGCTGCATGTTCAGCCTCCCGTCAAACGTCCACAGCCCAAAGATGGTGTTGATCTTGCCGCCCGTCTCCATGTCCCTGATACTCAGCTCCCTGCTCCTGGGATCTGCAGCCTCACATCCGTTTGCGGCGCGGGAATATGAGAGTGGGAGCAGCTTGCTGCAATCTCCCAGGCTGCTCAGCATCGGCAGGAACGGCTCCCCAACCGTTGGCGTGTTCCATGCGGACGTGTACCGATCGCCGTGCCAGCTGAGGTGCCAGAAATACGGTGAGCGAACAAACGCCTCGTAGCGCTGCTTGCATTCTTGTGCGACCCGCCACACTGCACGGTAGTCCGGAGCACTGCTATCTATGAACCGCGGCACGCGCATGAGCATCGGGTACATCCTCGTCAAGATGACAAGGTTGTCCCTGTTTACGGAAGATGACCTGATGTGCGGAGAGAGGTCCATTGGCAGTGTGATGTTTGAGAACAGTGCGTCTTTGGCGGTGACAGATGGGTGGGAAGGATCCGCTGAGACTCCTGCTATTGCGATAGCTGCGAGAACCATCTGCGTGATGCTTGTGCCATTTGCTCTGCAAGCACGGGCGATTCTGGCGGTGTCCTGTCGCGACAATATGTGACGAAGGACGCGACCGTCATATTTATTTTCATCGGCAGTTCCATCCGGTACCAATCCGCATGTGGGCTGGACGAAGGAGGTGAGCGACTTACTTAGTTTTAGTGGTAGCTGAAGATACATACCACAGGCATTGGCTCCATCCATTTCAAAAATGCATCCTCCCCCTTTTTCAACTCTTCCACACTGCTAGATGCAATGTCTGGAATCCGAGTTTCAAGCGGAGGAGGCAGCATAGATCCGGGACGAGAAGTCTTGAGGTGAACGCGAATTTCCGCCTTGAGCTGCCCCGATGACGAGAGCAACTCCACAAATTCGCGCATAATGCCCAGCTGGCGACGGATGTCTGCAACAAAGTGCGCTGTCCGTAATCCCAGAACATACTGCCGCACACTGGCCCGCGCGCTCCTCATCCAAAATATGGATGACATGGACGCTCGCACATCGAGCACATGATGTCGGTCGATGCTTAGCCACCTCGTCCGCAACGCCACCACCGCCGCATCTCGGTCCTCGAATGTACCGAACTCGACGTGCGCTGCCGCCTCTTGCAGTGCACGAGCCTCCGTCTGCGGGGACTTGTACTCGAACTCGGGAACCGATCCGGAATGCGATAACCGCGATGCGAGAGGGGGATGGCGCAGTCGTAGGAGGGCATATGCGTGTATGATTTCACTGTCATCGATGGGCGGGCCGGACGGGCAGACGAGCTGGATGATAGTGAAGAAATCTGTGTACCCATGCACACCGCGTTCTGCTAGCCAGCTGCGCTCAGTGGCACCGAGCGCGCGGCTGCAGCTGAGGCTGCTGTCGGCAAGATGTGCGGTATTTTGCATGATTCACTGGATTTCTTGACAAGCTGAACAGCGGGAGGTTCCGCTCCCAAAAGTCTCGTGGTATATGCGTTGAGTGTGAAGGTGAATGTCAAGGGTGCAGCTCGAGCTCAGAAAACGGGATGTTATATAAAGACCCAATGACCTGGCCAGCCGTTTTCTGTCCAAACACAGGGTCTCGGTGCCTTCGTTCATTATGAATAATGTCAATGAAAGTGCATCGGAGTGCCATTTGGGTGCTTCTAGTTGGGCCATAAGCGATCCCCGCACGAAGAACCGTCGTGCTAATTGCTGATTGGCGCCATGCGAGCAGGATGAGACTTGCCATCTACTGATCGTGAGAGAAGTACAGCAGGTTCCTGCGGGTCAATGCACGTAATGGAGGGTCGTGGCCGGGTCATCTGTATGCTCATGTGTTAGTTGCGTGTCTCATCGATACCAACGTTCAACTCACTTGTTCGCGGGAAGGCTCTTCTCGCTTCCATTTCATGCTATGATCAAACTGCCCCTTGTGGGCCTTGTCCACATCCCGTCGGAATTATCAAAGAGCGAGTCTTATCAATAGCCCATTTGGGTAACTGCTCGTCCCGCCGTTGATCGCGCTACGTAAAATCGGTCTTGACAATATGCCGGCAAACGTAGTCGTCCAATGCGTAGCTTCGGTCAACGGCGTGCGTCCGCCACGGTTCCGAACTGCAGTCGCCTCTCGGTGATGAGCCTGAAGCAGGTAGTCCGTAGGGTGGATTGAGCCTTGCCGACCAGTCCACAGGATTCTTTCGAACGTAAACAACCGACCAAATGATGCCTGTCATTCTAGCATGCTGCGGAATAGAATACATTGGATTAGTTTTCATATGGACGGTCCCGTGGCAATTCAAAGGCACTCCTGACCTCCCGTATGCATGGAATCATGATAATCCTGAATCAGCCGAGATGGCATGACTTCATTCAGCGCATTATTTACCGAGCGTCGTCAACGAGCGGCGGCGAATAGCGCACTTCATATATCACGGGCCCGATCAAACGCCATGGCGCTGGTGGTGCCGAGCAAGAGTCGTGATAACTCTACCTTTGATGTTACATCGACGGATGAAACCATGGACCGACGAGTCAAACCTTGCAGTGTCAAAAAAGACGAGCAGCCTTCCTACAAGAACAAGTCTGATACCCGTGGGAGTAACGCGGTCAGTCACGACGGTCAGTCACGACCACGTGATTCCGTTTGCGATCCCTTATCCCGCGAGTTCGACGCCCAGCGTAATCGGACGCCCTGTAGTTACCACCCGCACTTGGCGACTTGTGCGGGCTAAGGTCAGTGTTTTCGCCCTATCAACGGCGTCACAAATCGCAAGCATGCATCTGGCAGCAGCAGTGCGGATGGACTGTCACTTTCGTAGAAATGAGACACATCCGGGGTATCCCAATTCATGTCCGACATTAATGCAGAATCTCTGATTAAACAAAGGCTCCGAGATCGCCACGAAAGCCTGAAAATGAGCTCCTTTAGTACAAACTACCAGAGGTGAGCGAGATAAATATGACGCCCTGCGATGACTCATCTCCTCGTCGCAACGGCATCAGACGTAGGGGGCTTGACGGTCAAACGACCGCAGTGCTATCAGTATAGCCTTAGATAAGTAGGTAAGCGGTAGAATATTGATTGATTTTCCGGATGGGATACGAAGAAACATGAGCAGACTCACCTTGCAGAACTGTTGTCTCACCATTCATCGCGACCTCTTCGGAAGACATCAGCACTGCCTCAAAAATCGGTGGAGTATGTAGCAGTCACATCATTGCACGTATTCGCGCCTGCAGTAAGTGGTCCAGCATTACCGAGCTCTTGCCCCCCTCACGACAGACCCGATAAACACTCCCTGTACATCCTTGATGATGACCAAAGCTCATTTGTAGGCGACCCGGCTGGTTGCAAGTGGAGCCGACGTGTATTTGACAACTTGCTATTCCTCACTTCCCACTATGCTGATCACCCCAGCTGATGCATGCAGGGATGATACGACATCTAGTTGAAGAGCACCATGCAAAATTTGCGCATACATGCATTGTGTTCGATAACCTTGCGAATGCATTGTATACAGTGGATGCGATAATCAACATTTCAGCAGCATGAACGAATACACATGAATCATGCTCGCCATCACACAAGCCACTCACCCCACCCTATTTCCTCCCCTATACTCCATCTCGAACAGCTCCACAGGGTCGTCCCAACCCCTCCTTCTGGCCCAATGTGTCGGGCGCCGGTCCGACTGCGCGCTCATAAGCAGTGCATGCCAGAGCTCGCTAACCGACTCCAGACAGGAGCGGCCCAAGCAGGAGGAGGCCATGCACCACGCGAGCGCAGCGAAGCTGATGTGTAATAGACGGGCTGGTGAGAACGAATCGTGCTTGCACTGTGTGAGGTAATTACATGATGAGGGCTAACAGGGCCAAAACGAACAGGACTGCAGAGTTGCCCTCTGCAGCGGCCGGCGCCATGGCCAGCATTCAGCTCTCAGCAAGCGGCAGATATCGAGGACGAGGCTCAACGTCGAGCGTGATAACGAGCAAGCGCCCAAGAGCCGGGCCCAAGACGCCCAGCGCTCAGCACGTGGTTGCGGATATAGATCGCGATCTGTCTTGTCCGATCCCGCGGAGTGGCCAGTACATTTGCTTTGATTTCTCAAGCGCAGACACCGAGTGCGAAAAAAACACGGAGGCCGGCTCAATGAGAAATCACACACATGTTATGGTCCGTGCACCAAGCGAAGTGAGCAGCTGCGAGGTTTGCGCGGTGCGCGCAGTTCGGAAGTACAACATCCAAAGTCCGCTGTGGCTGTCTCTTCGGCCGTCGCGCCGCGCAATATAACAACCTCCCACCTGCGCCTATCTGCGAAACGTCCTCTCGCTCTCTCTCCTGCTCCAGCCTCCCACAGACACGCCAAAAAAGGCTGGACAGCTGCTCGTCCAGTGGTGAGTGCGATATTCAAAGTACTCAAAAGTTCTTCCGTGGCTAAATGAGATGCGATCACAGATCCCCTCGGGGCGGAGCCAGATCACATTTCGACCCGCTCCCTCGGGGCGTCCCTACAGCCACACTTGCACCCTCCGCACATGCACCACTGACCCTCTACTACCATGGTCATCGTGCAAACCACCGAAGAAAATGTACTGTCTGTACGCCCCGGCTTTCTGTCTCTATACGCATCCGTGAGTGCGCGCCGTCGCCTTTGAAAAGATTCGGTGTCAGCAAATTTGATTATATTGACGCCGGCGCGCGAATAGCAGCCCGAGGGAGCGGTATCAAAGCAGCAGGCGGACGTCGAGCAGCCACGCACGACCGTCACGCGAGAAGAGCACCCTGACCCGTATTCGCTCAGAAAGGCCTTGAAGACTGACGATGAGCTTGCGAGTTTGCGCAAGCGCAAGGCAGGCAAGCAGCTCGAGCGCTTCCACCGCAAGCAGAATGATGTGGGTGGCGGGGATGGTGTGGAAAGTCGAGACGAGTTATCTGGAATGAAGAAGAGACCGCGCGATTACCTGTATTTTTTAGAAATGTTTTTTGTGCTGGCAGCGCGTTTACTGAGCGCGCTTCACAGATCAAGGTTGCCATCTGGGCAAGCCTAGCCGGAAACTTTGCTCTCTGCATTCTCCAGTGTGAGTATATGCTACCTTATCTTTCTACCATTCATTTATTTTGGCTCGTTTGTGTTGCCTCTCAGTATATGCTGCCATCACATCCGTCTCGCTGTCCCTCATCACCACCTCCGTCGACTCGGTCTTCGACTTTGGGAGCAATGTCGTCCTCTATTGGCTGCACAAACGCGCCATGTCGCTCGACTTGAATAAGTGGCCCGTCGGCGGGTTACGGCTCGAGACCATCGGAAACATCGTTTACGGGTTCTTGTGGGTATCTATATCCGGGAAGTAAACGAATGCGCGGGTAGCTTAAAGACTAATGTACAGGATGAGCGCGGTCAATCTGGTGCTGATCGTCGAGTCGGTGCAGCGAATCATCACGCACGACAGCAGCAGCGATACGGATAAGTTCCATATCCCGTCTATCATCTCCGTCGGAGCTGCACTAGGTAGCCGTCTTCCCCTACTCACAAATGCGGCGGCTGATAAAATATCGACGAACTCCAGGCGTGAAGTTCGTGCTGTTCGTGTATTGCAGTGGGCTGCGAAAACAGTCTAGCCAGGTGCACGTGCTGTGGGAGGACCACCGCAACGACCTCTTCGTCAACGGATTCGGTGCGTAATCTTCTATAAGGCATCGTGTGGCGACGTCAAACTGATACACACGCGTCCGCGCGCAGGTCTGCTCATGTCGGCGGGCGGAAGCAAGTGGGTCTGGTGTAAGACATGCTTCTTCGTCGGATCCGCGTATTCTCGACGCTGAACTCTGTTTCTCTCAAGTCCTTGATCCCATGGGCGCTCTCATCGTACGCCTTCCTTCTGCTCACTTCTTCGCGGCCTCTCCTGACCGCACGCACCGACCGCATCAGATCTCCATCGGCGTGCTGCTCGCGTGGGGCAAGACAATCTATGAACAGTTCGAGCTGCTTGCGGGCAAGTCGGCGCCGTACGAATTTATGCAGCTGCTTGTATACAAGACGATGACCTTCAGCGACGAGATCGAGAAGGTTGACACCGTGCGAGCATACCATGTGCGTTCACGTTTCTTTAACCTCGTGATTGATTGCTACGTGTTGCTGACGATGGGTTGATCGCAGAGTGGGCCGGTACGTCGATGGTGTGTGGGCCGAATGGACGACTGTTGACAGTGACTCATGCGCACAGGACTACTTCGTCGAGATCGACATTGTTATGGACGCGAGCACGCCCCTCTGGAAGGCACATGACATCAGTCAGCAGCTGCAGGACAAGATCGAGGTGCTGCCCAACGTCGAGCGCGCCTTCGTGCATGTCGATCACGAGACGACCCATGCACCGGTGCGTCCTCTCCATTTAATGTCTACCGTTCTCGCATGCCGATTTTCATCGTCTGCATACCCGTTTGCAGGAGCACCGCAAGTATCTATGAAAACTTTCATTGGATCATAATGCAATGCATTCTGCTACGCGGAGGGATACAGACAAGCGCAAATGAATAGGATAGATATAACCATGCTACTGGGCTAGAATACATCTTTATATATATGATCATGCACGTTGCCGAAGATATCGCTCACCACTCGCCAAATGATGCAAATCCACAAACCGTCCTCTGACAACATGCGATATCTCAATCCTCCACCTCTCTCCTTTCCCACCCAGCAACCCTCTCAATCCCCTTCTCAAATTCATCCACCAAGTCCATCCCGCCCGCTCTGGCAGACGCCTTAGCGCGAGCCTTCGAAGCACGAGCCTTCGACAACTTCAAGCCCGCGCTCGTTGCCAACGGGTACGACACACTAGAAGGCACTGCTGGAGGTGGCGGCGGTTGTGCGAAGGAGGGCGGTACGCCGAAGACGCTCGCGCCAACGCTGCCCCACGTGCTAGGCTCAGGAGTAGGCGGCCAAAGGAATGAAGGCGGCTGTGACGGCTGCTGTGAAGTCGCGGACGGTGGAGGACCGGACGTCTTCGAGTTGGACGTGCTCGGAGGCTGCCAAGGGAACACGTGTGGTCCGG